AGAAGAAGAAGAAGAAGAAGAAGAAGAAGAAGAAGAAGAAGAAGAAGAAGAAGAAGAAGAAGAAGAAGAAGAAGAAGAAGAAGAAGAAGAAGAAGAAGCGAACATCGGGGCGACGGCGACGACGAGAGACGAAGGTGTTGACGCGGTGCTTGCCGAGAGCAGCAGTAGCACCCACAGCAGCGCAGGAACAAGAGATGCCCCCTCCCTCACTGGTCTTCCGATCGAGATCAAACAGCAACTTTGCACCTATCTGGACTACAATGATCTAGGCAACTTGCGAGCCACCTGCCGAACCCTCTGTGACAGCACGATGGCCGAGACAAAGCGACGACTCAAGCGTGAACTTTCCCAAGCTTGGACAGAGATTGGCAACGTTTTCGAATTCGACTATGCCATTCTGCGCAATCCCATCGAAAGCCAACGGCAGGCGCAAGTTGCGATGCGGGTCGTGAACTATGCAACCTCCGCAGGATATTCCCCGATCGTCGCCCGCTGGTTCGCCCTCCCAAGTCACTACCGCTTCCCTTGCGCCCAGTGCGGACACATTCGTCACAAGCAGACCTTTGGCATGGCCACTTTGCGCTCCTCCTTCCTCACCAATTTCCCGCAGCCTCCGCCAGTCGCTCAGACACACGCACAATTCTTCGACTCACTCATCTGCGGCAAGTGCCTTGCAGAAAACACGCCCGGTAGATACCTTTCTCTCGGCGAGGCCGACTGGTACTCTCTGGTCATCAAGTGTACCGAGTGCAAGGAGATCGATAGGGTCGAGGAGGATGTCAGCTTCCGGGTCAAGGTTTCCAGCTTTTGTGAGCGGTGTTACATGATGCTCAACCCGGAGTGGTACGAGTATAAGCATTGGGTAAGTCATTTTTCCTTCTCCTTCTCCCCAAAAAGGAAATGTCCTGCGTCCTCTGTGCGCGCGTGGCTCTTTTCCTGCTGCCCGATATCATCACATGCTCATGGAATCCCCTGTGTCTTTTAGATCCAAGAGACCATGCAAGCGATCCGAGAGATCGAAGACAATGTCATCGTCACAGATGACCGTCAGAGGCGTCCGCTGCCTCAATGCCCCCTCCCTCCCTCGACAATCGAGGATTTGACCACGCGGCCCTATCATTTCATGCAAAATGATAGGCAGCAGGCTCTTGAGGCTCAAGAGGCCCTCGAGGCAGGTGAGGCAGAAGAGTAGATAGAAGATTTGACCCCTCAGGGGCAACAGAGAATTGTTTGATTTTCGACCATTGTTCGTGACTCCAATTGCATTCAGTCGGCTGTCGATTACACTTGTCTTGTCATGTTCAATCTCATCCTCCTTCTCAACGTGAGATGCAATCCTTGATTAGCAAGGAGGCAGGTAAGTGTAACACACGTTCACCGCAACTTAGATATTGCGCCCGACCTATGCATGTTGCTTGCATGGCACACAGTCTGTCGTGATGGAGAATACCAACGCCATTCATTTGCCCCCTTGAGATTTAGGGATGGGAAAGCCGCTAGTAGTCATTCCTGTGGCCTTTTGGATTCCTAGACACCGTGGTGCACAATACTCTCACAGTACTTGCAAAGGTGTAGTCCCAGCTCGCCATCTGCAACTTTCTCGGTATGATTGATCGACCAACACCGTAAACATCTAGTTGCACGGGTTGTCGATACAGTGTTGCAGAAGGCGTCCGACACGGTGGTAAGTAGTACCGGGTGGTATTGAGCAGGTTCTGAGAATGTGGAAGTCCGATCCGGAGTCGCACTGGTAACCACGGCAAGACATTCTGCTGAACACACGCCTTCACGCTTGTGTTTGGGATCGGCTTCCTTGAGGGAGCTGCACGCTTTGCAGACGATCCACGTATGCTTGTCATCTTTGATGGTGGTGCCTTTTTTCCAGATGCCCTTCTTCACGCCACAAGCTTTGCAAAACCGGCGTCCGCAATCTTTGTGGCCAAGGCTTCTCTTGCCCATGGTTTGCGTGCGTGTGAAAGAGTCTCGGGGCAACTTCTGGAGACACGCAAAGCAATTCAGATGTGAGGCTCTCATAACTCTGTTCGTGTGAATGTTTGCCGTGGTATCCTGGGAGTTCCAGTTTCGACCCGCGTAAGGAAAGGCAAGTGCCCATTGCTCCATGATTGCAAAGCGGACCTCTCGCGCCTCAAGATCCGTTTTCTCATCTTCCAAAAGTTTGTTCTTTGTGAATTGGTGTAGTGCCTTGAGTCTCGTAAAAGAGATGACACCAGTGGCGAAGCGGCAGGTCAAGCGGAAGGAAAGGATGTCTTGATAGTTGAGATCCGTAATGATTTGGTCGTAGAGCTCGACCGGTAATGAGAAGAGTGGCCTCCTACTCTGAAGAACTACGCTCGATGGCTCTGCCATTCTGATGAAGGCTTGACAGATATTCCTGGAGTCTGTGAGAGCTAAAATGGCCGGCTAATCCTCATTTGTGATTCAAAATCAATGTGATATATATATATATATAGTCATGCTACATAATTATGATGTTTTCATAGGTATATATAGTGTTGAGGAAGAGTCCAGGACATCTCATGTTTTAGCGGAAAGTGAATACTTACTGGTAGGCAGTAATAACCGGGTTTGTTTGTGCAGCAGCTGAATAGAAAATGACAATCACACTTGGTCCGCCAGGCCTCGGTACTGATCTCACCGTATCAAGCGCGTGAGGGTCTGATTGACATTGTAGTTGTTGATTTAATATCGAGTTGGGTCAACAGGTGGTGTTGTAGTTGTCAAAAGGCCACGCCCGGCAAAGTTTCCCTTCTCGATCGTCCTTTGGAAATCATTTTGGCGGGTCAGAAAGCAACTCGTTCTTTTAATTTTGGTAATCTTCCTTCCTGCGCCTCTCCATTCTTGTCTTGTCGCTACTGTCAGCATGGAGTCCTTGAGCGATGAGATTTGGGATGTGGTCATTGCAGGGACCAGTATCCCTCAGTCTCTTCTAGCATTGTAAGTTGGACATCCTCGTTATTTCTCGCGCCCAGACCTTGACTGACTGACAAAGTGTGCGTTGATAGGTCGCTCTCTCGCTCCGGCAAGAAAGTCCTTCATGTCGATCGCCATACATATTACGGAGGTCGTGATGCCTCTCTGAGCCTTCAAGAGGCGGAAACGTGGATGGAAGATCTGGACAAGTGTAAATGCTCGATTTTGCCGGCCCAAGCATCTGCAGCTGGGCTGATTTTGCACAGTTCCAAACAGTGTCTTTAATAATGCCTCCATCTCAAGACCAATCTCTGAAAGCGCAGAGTCATCAGCTCTGAAATCTTCTCGGTCATATACCCTGAGCCTGAATCCCCAGATTGTCTACGCCCAGTCCAAGATACTCCCATCCCTAGTTTCTTCACGGATACATACGCAGTTGGAATTCCTTGCCGTGGGATCATGGTGGGTGCATCGAGCTGGGTCTCTGCACAAGATCCCAAGTACGCGAGAGGATGTCTTCAATGACGAGTCTCTGTCCATGAAGGATAAACGCGGCTTGATGAAATTCTTACGCTTTGTGCTACAGGAGGAAGAGGGCGAATCCAACATCATGTCTGAAGATGACAAGAATTTGACTCTTCAATCTGCACTAAATACCAAGTTCAAAGTCCCGGCAACTCTGCAAGCCCCGTTGCTGGCTCTCGCCCTTTCGCCGGTACCTGCGAGCCACATACCTTTCAACCTTGCTGTGTCAAGGATCAGAAAGCACATGAGATCGATGGGCTATTTCGGCCCTGGCTTCGGTGCCGTCATCGCAAAATATGGCGGGAATTCGGAAATTTCACAAGTGGCCTGTAGAGCTGGAGCTGTCGGTGGCGGCGTGTATCTCTTGGGACACGACTTAACCTCACTGGCCGTCGGGGAACCCGACACTTCTGGCGATGTTTTGTTAGAAGGCACTCTTTCGAACTCAACGAAAATCAAGGCTCGATTTGTTGCTGGATCATGCGAAACCCTTCCGTCCTTTGCAAGGAGCACACAATCAACCGAGCCGACTGAGAAGACCTTCAGGTCGATCAATATTGTCAACAACTCTTTTCGAAACCTTTTCCCGCAAACCTCGGACAACGGACCGCTTCCTGCTGCTGCCATTGTACTGGTAGATGATGGTGACCAACTAGGGGTAGGCTCCGAAAAGAGCCCGGTCTATCTTCAGATTCACTCTGAAGATACAGGAGAATGTCCACCAGGCCAATGTGAGTTAATCAGTCATCTCCGTTTGCCCCTTCCACATGATGATCCAACAATCGAATACTTATCTACATTGCCTGAGCATTTTATGCTTTGCTGATATTTATCCTCTGACAACCTGAAGTGGAACTCTCATTGCAATACGTTTTCAGCCTTGGTCTATGAATGTTTGCTGATTTGTCTTACCAGGCATAGTTTACGCATCAGTGCGCGTTGAAGGGGATGAGACTTTCTCAAAACGCCGACTCGAATCAGCTATTCAGTCGTTGCTCGACACAGAAGACGCGTCAGGAACCCTCTTGTGGACCCTGTCGTATGTGCTTTCCGGATTGGCCACCACTTCAGACCAGGCACCTTCTTTGCTAAGACCCTCGTCTTCAGTTATGATCTTTCCGCCCGATAGCCAAGACATTGCATTTTCCGACAATGTCCTTGATGTCGTGAAGGGCGCTTGGCAGTCGGTTGAGGGACCGCAAGCCGATGACGCCTCATTCTTGCGCTTCGAAGAGCGAGAGAATGAAGATGAAGAGTAGACTACTAGCATGCTTGACTGCATCGGTAGCAGATGTCAGTGCAATGCATCCAAGCCTTTATATTCTCGCTCCGGAACTCCACTCCTGAACCCCACTCCTGGTCTTGGACCGTTTCAGCGTTCAGGTTGATGGTCTGGTAGTTCACCTCTACATTGGGCAGCTACATAATGTGTCAAGATCTATCGCTGCTTGACGACACTACTTTTCATTGCCGTGTCGACACTGCCAATCTATGCCGAAGGCCGACGCCAGAGCTGCCCGGTTCCAAACGTGGCAGATTGGCTTCTGCTGCAGGCGGAGACATACCTATGCCGCGTAACGAGACCAAAGGACTCATCGACTTTGTCAGGATACTGCTGCTTATGAGGAATCTACTCAAAGTGTCACGGCGTCGACAGCCAGGCCACGCCGTTCCCGTAGGAGAATATGCCGACTCCATGATATCATTTTCGGCGGCATACCTTGAACGAGATAGGGAGCAATGTCGAACATTCACTTCGTTGGCATCATGCCAATTGCTAATACAGTAGAGCCCGCGTGGCAATTTTCTTCTGCGCTAATGATTCCTGCCATGAGCTACATAGTTACAGATGAAGCAGGGCGTCAGTCAATGAAGTTTTGTTCTGTGAAGGGTCCGTAATTGGAGGATGTTCTTTTACTTCACTACCACCTGTTTCCGCCCAGTGGTCAGATGAAAGCTTGCACAATGAATAGAACTGCCTAGATATTCTATTCCTCAAGTCGCATCACATCAATTCTGAAACACTTCCTCGTGCCTGTATTATGCATCGTAGAGCAAATGAGTAATGTCTCCAACAATTCTAGGATACTATAGCCTTGCGGTTTCCTGAGGCTCTTCGGCAATTTGTTAATCCGACGGACAAGGCTGCGGCTACGGGGCACTTTCCTGCGTGACTCCGAAACGAGACCAAATAATAACAATGGACACCTGAACAGTGATCACAGCCTATCATCACCACACAACAACGGTCCTCAGCCTCCTGCTTGGAACACTGCGGTGTCCGAATAGAGGAATCGGGCTCCATGGGGCCAATTAATTTCGGAGCTAGAGGAGAATGATACGTTGTCCATTGATGTGCGATGTGATATCATAGGCTTCTAGATGACCTCCTCCTCTTCTTCGTCCTACTCGAACCGGACGGTAAGTACAACACTATATTCGTTTCCAGTCCTCACGACCGAACTCCCTTGATTGGCTGCAGCATGTCAGCAGCACAGTCTGGACGGCTCAAAGACCGCATCGCCATCGTCACGGGCAGCAGCTCCGGTTTGGGGCAAGCGATCTGCCTCGCCTTCGCGGCCCAGGGGGCGTCGGTGTTCTGCATAGACCTCTACCCGAGCCCGCGGAACGCCATAAACCAGACGACGCAGCGGGCCGACGACTTCCACGTCCGCGTGTCCGGGCAGCCCGGTACGCACGAGCTCATCCGCCAGCGAGGGGGCGAGGCGACGTACCACAAGGCCGATGTGACGCGGGCGCAGGACGTCGAGCTGGCGGTGCGGGCGTGCATCCAGCGCTACAAGAGAGTGGACATCATGGTCAACAACGCCGGGGTGAGCGTGGAGTCGACCCACGTGCGCCCTCTGCGCTGCCACGAGACGAGCGAGGAGGATTTTGACAAGACGTTGGCGATCAACACCAAGGGCATGTTTCTGGGTTGCAAGTACGCCCTGAAGCAGATGCTCGAGGGCCAGAACCAACTGTACGCCGCGAGGGGGTGGATCATCAACACCGCCAGCGTCCAGGGCTTGGTGCCGTACTACGGCACCCCGAGCTATTGTGCGAGCAAGGGAGCCGCCGTCATGTTGACCAAGCAGGTCGCCTTGGACTACGCCAAGGATCTCATCCATTGTAACGCTCTGTGTCCGGGGTTCTTGGAGACCAGCATGACCCAGAACCTACAGGGCCAAGTCGACGTGTTGGAGGAGATCACGGGAAAACATCCTTTTGGTGAGAAATTGGGAAGGGTCGAGGATGTGGCCAAGGTCGCGGTGTTTCTGGCGAGTGACGATGCTGCATGGGTCACGGGCGTGCCGTTTCCGGTTGACGGTGGGTATTTGTTGAGATGAGGCAGAGCTGGTGAAAAAACCATTACGGCCGGAAACAAGTAACTAGTAAGTTGGTGTGTTGCGAAGATCAAGGTCACTTTTGGACATTTATAGAAAAGGACATAGGCGTGTCTAGAGCATGACCAGGTGATCGAATAGGGGTTCACGCACTTCATCATTCAGAGGCATGAATCTAACTATGTCGGAGGATATGGCTATAGCTATTGGTCCCCAAATATTCTACTCTTGAGACGCCTCTATGTTCAACCACATATCAACCCACTGCTGGTCGGCAGGTTCCAAGGCTTGTCCTGGCTTCGTGTACGCAGTATCCAACACGTGAAGCAGACGCTCCCGTAGTATCTTGATGGCCATCAATTGTCTCCAATGTTTGACCGAGATCTTGACCTTGCCAGAATCCAAGACCATCACGCCGGCGTAGAACTTGAACTCGGCTTCACCGAGGAGCGTGACCAACGTTGACTCCGGGATAGCGGATGTTTCAAAGACGTTCAAGCTGCCGCTGCGGTTCTGCATGGCCTCGAAGAATGACAGCCACCGAGGCGCCTTGGGGTTGTTGTTGTGGTTGATGGAGCGGGACGTGAGTGAGACCTGCTGGTTCGTGTATACGTTGCGCCAGCCTCTGCCTTCGCGCGTGAGGATTCGGGGATACAGTGCCATGGCGGTGATGCCGTTGAGCGCTCGATCGCCGAGTCTCTGGTTGTACCTCTCGGGCAAGGTGTAGAAGTTGTTGGCGGCTGAGGAACCACCGCGACGACCCGGGCCGGATCTCGCGCGGTTGAGTGCGGCCTTCTCCTCAGAGTCCAGAAATGCGAGACCCGCGTCGACGAGATAGACGAGGAGTTGGATCTTTTGTTCCTCGATCTGCGACATTGTTTGGTCGCTGATGTGGTTCTTTCGGCAGAACTCTTGGGCGGAGTGGGCTGCTTTGGCCCTTCGCCACGCTTCGTACGCGTTGAAGGAAGATAAAAGGTCGGAGTCTGACCGACTGAATGTGTGACGGGCGTCAGGGTGAGAAGTGGCTGCTGAAGAAGCCAGAAATGGTGATTTCGAGGTCAACAGGGACACGATGGACAGAATCGGATCCTATAAAAGGGTTAGCCAGCTTTTTTCAGTTCGCAAGAGTGAGGAAAATCAGGGACATGGTTCGAACGTACCAGGCATCTGAAGATGACGCCAAAGATTGCCAGTTTAGCAAGCGAAACTTCCAACGGTAATCGTGCGATTTGCTGTCCAAGTGGTGTCAGAGCCTCGGTCTTCGTTAGTGCGCCGGCGTCTTTGAGCTTCTCGATCGCCCTCAGCACATTCTTCCTGGTGGGAGGGTCGATTGCAGCGTTGAGGGTTTCTTCTATAGATCCCAGGTTCCACACTTTGATCCTCAGCATCGGGTCCTGCAAGCTCAACCTGAGCATTTCGGGAACCTGCTGCTCGAGCATGAGAGTGTCGTGCCGATGCTTTGTGACGAGGTGGAAGCACAAGCCTTCCTGCACTCGAGCAGCACGACCTCTTCGTTGGCGCGCCGAGGAGCGCGAGATGAAACCTTCAGTGAGTCTGGAAAGCTGACGTCGCTCGTCGAACCGCATGACCTTCTCTTTACACGTATCGATCACAGCCGTGACATCGGGGATCGTGATACCAGTCTCGGCGATATTCGTGGCTATTACAATCTTTCTGTGCCCCGGTGGCGGTCGTTCAAATGCCCTTTCTAGGTCTTCGGTAGAAAACGTGGAATGCAGGAGATGCACCACCCAGCCATGACTGAACGTGTCCATCGACATGAGGAGGTTGTGAAGACGGCGCATCTCGCCTATGCCAGGCATGAAGATGAGAATGGCGCTACTGTATTTGGCGTATTGTCGTTTCGTCGCGATCGACGCGGATACCTTTGCGATGAGGTTGTAGTCGATGCGATACTCGTCCATTTGTGAAATCACAGCTTGGGTCTTGCCGCTGTATTTTTCAGGCTCCATAAGGACAGGGCGACCTTTTCCGTTGCCGTAGTCTTCAAAGTCGATGTCTTCTTCCTCCAAGGCCACCGATTGGTCTTTGGCCCCGGCGAGGCCGAGGGTGGCTTCAACGGCGTCCTCGAGAAAGCCCACCTCAACGGGGAACGTCCGACCAGGGAGATCCAGAACAGGCGCGCCTCCAAAGTAGTCGGAGAACTTTCGTGCGTCCACTGTGGCCGACATGAGGATGATCTTCAGAGTTTCCCGGCGTCTCTGAAGTTTCTGGAGTGCAATGAACAGCAGGTCTAGGTCCATCGTCCGCTCGTGGACCTCGTCAAGGATAAGGTAGTCCAACTCGTCGAGATTGGGCGATTCTTCTAACATCCGCAGCAAGACACCTGTGGTCGCGTATGTGATGCGAGTGCTGCTGCTTGTCTTGCTTTCCAAACGTATTGCGTATCCCACGAGCGATCTTGTCGTGCCGATCTCATTGCGGGTTTCTCCCAGTTCTTGTGATACTCGTCTTGCCAACGTCACAGCCGATATACGGCGTGGTTGAGTGACCAGAATGCGGCAGTCTTGACCGCTGCCGAATTGTTGTTCAAGAATCAATACTGGAATGCCAGAAGACTTGCCTGCGCCTGTCTCAGCACAAATCACAGTGACCGGGTTGTTGGCAATGCAAGACAAAATGTCGTCCTTGTACTGGTGGACTGGCAGTGATTGACGGACTTCGAACATTTGCTGGAAAGCAGGCCGAGACATCCGTGATAGCCAGTCCTTGGAGATCTGACCTGGGTCTAGTCTGCCAAGTGCAGGACGTGGTCGACGACGATCTGTTGGTAAGGTCGCTTGCTTTTTTTGAGTTGTCACCGTGTCGCTCTCCTGCTGTTGTCGGTTTTCTTGAACAGCTTGAATAATACTTCGTAGTCGGCGGAGTGTTTCCTTGTGCTGGTCGTTCACTAGTCTTTGCTTTTCGTCAGCCAGGTCTCTGACAAGCTCTCGCCATACGGTCGGAAGCCTTGCGATGGCCTTCTGTTCCTTCGAGCCTAGTGACGAGACCACGAACATGCCCAGCGAGCAGACATATGCCTCTGACTGGATTGTACTGGCTGCAGCAACAGTATCCATCACAAGAGTCCAGCTTCTTGATGTTATCTTCGTTGTGATCATCGATGGCAGGGCTGAAATAGCATCTTCGTCTGGCGAAAGCTCTATTGACCAAGAAATCTCCAAACTGTGCCTTGCTGAATGTGATGCGCTTTGCAGGATACGTGTATGAATGCGGCATTTTGCATCAAAACCTTTGCAAGTATCGTCAAGTAATTTTTTGGGAGACACGCCACTCCATTTACCAAAATCGACGAGTTTGATATCCCCTTCTTGTTTCATGACTTGATCAGGTGTTGTATCCTCAGAATCTCCACCGAACATACCTCCCAACAAGTCATCGTCTCCATCGACGTTTACTTCGACACCAGCAGGTTCAGTCGTGGGTCTCAGCAAGCTTTTATCTCTTTGTGAGGGTTTGCCTTGCTCAAAATCACGCCGTCGTAGTGATTCCTCTCGTAGAATTTCTCGTCGCTCTTCTTGAAGTTCGGCCATGATAGCCCTCCAAGAGGACTCAGCCTCATACTCATCTAGAAGAGGATCTCGACCTAGTGCCTGAATTTTACCCTTCAGCTTGGCTATACGCTTTTGCTGCCGTGATGAGGAGCTCGACTTCGCAGGTTGAAGCGGATTCTCCAAGTCCCATATTAATCGTTTGGTCCGAACATATTTCTCTGTCAGCTTTGCAGGGTCGTCATCTTCGTCACTTCCGGATGACAAACTGGACGAATGATCGTCTTCAGATTCTGATAGCTGAGCTGGTGTGCTGGCTCGACTTTGTCGACTCTCGCTTGCAGTTGTTGGTTCTAATACTAATCAGTCACATATTTCTTTGTGGAATCTTTTGAGTGGGAGACACTATCGTAGCAGTAAGGGCATTTGCTGCGGGGTCTGAAGCTTGCATGGATGAAAGACCCAGACTTCCAGAGTATGACACTTAGATCCAAGATGTTCGTGCTCGAACCCAGTTAAGGTAAAACTCACCAGAATCAATTAGAACAGGTGTGTTAGAACCACTGAGTCCAGGACGGAGCTCTGGAATATGTTCGTAGCCCGACAGATCCGCGGCATCTTCGGCCGTTGCGTACCATTGAAGAGCCTCTGGTAGGCCTGTGAGCGAATCTGATGATGTGCTCACTTGACCAGACAATGCAAGGCCAGCAATATGCGTCACGGCTTCTGATACTCGAGGGAGCTTCAAAGCTTGCAGAACCCTCTCAAGCGTCCAAAGATCGAGTAATGTCTTCTCTTCGTTGTTGGAAGGAAGAGGAGCATGATCCATCCCATTAGTTGTAGCTGTCCAAGGCGTGTTCATCGCGAATAGCTCGTCGATGGTCTCTTGAGAAAGCCATGGGTGGGTTGACAATTTGAGGGCTTGCGAACGTAGTTGTCGTCGTTCCGTCTCGAGCCGTGTCGACTGCCTACTGGCGTCGAGAAGGCATCGAGTTGAGTGTTTTTCGACCAAGGCTTCAAGCTCCGAATTCTCTAGATGGGCTTCCAGTTGCTCTGGAGTCATGTCCTCGATTCTTTCAGACGTTTCAGGAAGAGGACCCATAGCGGAATCGTCACCATTCTGCAGAGCCTGGGCACCTTGAGGGCCAGCACCAGTGCTGGGCTCAGAAATATTTTCATTAGGCGCATCGGTTGGTTTTGCTTTTGAAGGGACAGAGGTGGTGGCAAATCCTCTTGCAGAGTTCGCAACAGCCTTCTTCTTCTTCTTGTTTGGAGCCATACCTACATAAAGGGGTTGGGTTGTTGGCAGGGAGAGGGAATTAGTTGTGGAATTTTGCGATCAAGGCCGCACGAGATAGTCGAACACTGCACTCACTGCGGCAAGCATGGCAGCAACAGAGTGCATGTACAAAATGTTTCACTGGCACCAAAGAATCCGATTTTTTTAAATTATCAATTATGCCGTTGACCATCAAATAGGGTGATCGAAGTGAAAGAAAGGGCTCTACTAAGTGAAGAAATCGGCGCCAAGCCCTTGCATGACATGGCGGTAATTCGCTCCAACAACGTTGATATCAGTACAAGACGAGTGTATCGACTCTGGCAAGGACACAACATCAAGTAGACACGGCGACCTACAATTTCAGACTCTGAGAATGTTAGCACTGGCTCTGACGGCTGAGTTGGAAGGGTATCGACGTCTGTAGGATGGTCTTGATTATCACTAATGCTGTCCAGTGTTACCGACCTCAAGCCCCTCGATACACCGGATTCTCCATACTATTATACCTTCAAAGTTCAATGTACATCATGTCGTGAAGTGCATGCCAACTGGGTCGGCATTAATCGTCATGTAGGTGCTCTACAGGCAAAGTCGAACCCCTTCGCCAATCCCAATTCGCCATCATTGCTTGGTTCTCATGGCTTCCATTCGAGCCAATACAAACTTTGACTTGTATGCGGCTCTCCTCTAATAAGGTGGTCACAGGAGATGAATGAACAGTCCGGGAGCCGAGGTGAAGCAAATTTCGTATGGAAATGCAAGAATTGCAAGGTCGGACACTATGTTACTGTTCAGAGCACCAGACAGCTGACCCATCCATGCAGCGAGAATCCAGTGCTACTATAAAGACAGCTCCAGCATCTTATGAACAGAATTCTCCGGCCAAAGCAAAGAACATTATTGAGATTGACTGCCGAGGCTTGGAGTTCACGGAATTCAAAGCAGACGTGAGTGGCCAACATGACCCACCCTGGCTTGCAATCACTGATCGACCACAAGGGCGAATGGGAAGCCACGGGCATAGACTCGGGTACTAAGTTCACTGGAATAGATCTCTCTGATGGCGAATGGTTCGACTACGATGAGAAGGCAGGAGAGGAGGTGAGCATCAAGGATATCAAATGGGAGGTGCGGCGAGCTTGACGATCCGATATTGTCCGAGTGGTACCATGGCTTTTATTGAGTACTGTCACCTGAACCATTTAAAAGAGTGGTATTGGAGCTAGGAAGATCATGGATGTTTGCATAATAAGACACCTTCTTCCCAGACGCTCCTGGGAGCTCGTCGTTCAGTGTTGAGGAGGCTCTCCCATAAACTAGTGAGCAATGCGGCCGTCGAATTTCATATCGCGCGTGCTTCTGAAATGAAGCGACCGCAGCTTTATAAGTATCATTTTGTTAATTTTGGATAGTGGCCATAGAGGAGTCGTCAAATCAAGTAACGGATTAAGAGCCCGAATCTACAAGGCTGCGCACGTGACCTTGTGATGTGGTGATGCCAAGCAGTGCGGCGGCTTCGACAATTTTCTGAGTGCAAGCTAGAACGATACGCGACCAGGTGCATATCAACGAGTCCCTACAGCACAGATCGATTTTGCGAACAGTCACTCTGGCCTTTCGCACGAGATCGTACCAGAATCACAGCCAGTGACCATGAACGTGAGTTACAGTCCGACCTGTCGCCGATTCGATCCTAATGCTCATACAGTTCACTCCGCTAAACCCACGACCTCTTCTGCAAAACCTGTACGTTCGACCTCTTGCGCGGTCATTACTGTCTTAGTACCCAATTGGCGCGATCGCTGGACAGGAGAAAATTCATGCTTCGAAGCTGACGCGCGTTGGTTTTTATAGGATCAATGACGAGGTTATAATTCGATTGAAATGGGGGCAGACAGAATATAAAGGCCGCCTGGTCAGCGTCGACTCCTACATGAACATTCAATTGTCAAACACGGAAGAATACATTGACCGTAAACACACTGGCACGCTTGGTGAGGTCCTGATCAGGTATGCGAGCAAGTATATAAGCTGGATGGGTTGATGTGCTAATATGATGCCGACAGATGTAACAATGTGCTCTGGATATCAGCAGCCAAGGGTGTGGAAATGAATGGTGAAGCCGACACAAAGATGGAGGGCTAGTCAAGAGGACTCGTCAAACCCAACAGTTAATTGCTATTCGAATGCGTCGCCACGAATATCCGACCTACCTCTCAGCTGATGATCTGGATCAAGACACATTGATCCTGACCGATCAACATCCTGCCAGGAAGGAGGTCAGCAACGAGAGATCTACCGTCAAGCCCGCTGGGCAGCTTCCTGCGACTTCGGCATGCCGGCCCGAGATTTGAGCTTTGTTTAGCGCATTTATGACTTGAAGACTTGATATCTTGCGATACGACAGCATGCATTAGGTCACAGGAAGGATTATGAAAGCCTGTCTAGGTACGCTTTCTTTGCATGAGTGGAGGCCATGGCCGGAAGCTCGGATGGCTCTCCGCGAGGAAGTTGGTTTCGTCACTAGGCAGAACCTATGAGCGATTGAGCAAAGAGCGGGCATGAATAGCGCTCACACAAGCACAATGTGATTAGGTGTGTCTGGAGAAGAGGTGCTGTGTGGAAAACCATTGCCATCAATGGCTGCCTCAAAAGGCTGTTCAATCATCGAGCCACGTAATGCAACCATGAATTGACAAACGAACGTGTCATGCTGAGTATGCTTCTGTGTTCCTTGCTCTGTAGTTGCTATTAGTCTATCGACGTCATTCAAACACCAGGACTCAGTTCTTCGGTCGCAGAGAGACTATTTTTATGTGCTTGGGATAGTACACTACGTGCTCCCAGTCCAAGTACGGAATTAGGTGCACAGAGCTTCGCTTCCGAATTTTTGCCCCTCTATGCATTAGCCATCCCTGCCTGCACTTTTCAACCACTACGAAAAATGCCGAAGCGCACCTACCTCGGGGCTGTAGTCGTAGCGATTTATTAGCGACAAACAACACATCGAAGGATATACATGCTGTATAGCTAGGGGGGAACTATATACATGGGAAGGGCTCACTAGGCCGCTAGAGATGGATGACTCTGAGAATGTGGCTCGTCATCGTGGGAGGCACGAGTACGGAGCAGGGGGCGCGTCCACAGTCCGACCAACCCTTGACAATCTGACTCCCTTGTCACCCATCCTTTCTGTGGTGAATGCTGATCGTCCTCATGCCAACGTGGCTTTCGCCTCTGCAATAGTAGTCAGGTCTTGCCACAGTATTGCTTGATGGCTCTTGCTTATGCCTGCCTGCTACCTGAGTCGGGGGCTTGGACGAAAAGATGTGCGCCACACGACAGGGGGAACCCTGAAATTAGTTCCCGCGAGTTTCCACTGCGCTGGCCCAGGACCCAGGCTCACGAGGGCTAAGATTTCTAGGTTTACCATTCCAGCCTGGGGAAGGTCGATGGAGTGACCGTCATGGGACGGCGTGAAAAGCCACTGGAACACTTCATTGGGGCCCAATGCGCAATTGAGCCAAGGGTCTGGATGCCACGCCGAGGGCTCTGTGCAAAGGCGCGGCCGTGATCGTGTGCCGAACACGAAGACGGCCGGATTGGAAATCTGCCTCCCTCGAATTTAAGTCTTGTCTATTGCCCATTTGTGTCTGCATACTGCATTGTATCTTTCTTTGTCTTTTGTCGACCTTCTTCGCGATTCTCAGCATTCGTTCCCATCTATATAACACGACATTCTTCGGTGGGCTTTTTGCATACATACATATATACCCCCTACTATACTTCGCCCACTATCCACACACCATGTCTTCCAAATTCACTGAGATCCTCGACGAAGGATATCAGACGTCTTCACCCCAGGACGACGTGCGCCTGGAAGATATTATTGCAGCCACCAACATGTCTTACCGCGGCCGTACCTCATCAGAAACAAGCTCACGAAGCGCAAGTTCGTCCAACAGCGGCAGCCCTGACGAGAAGCCTCGCAAGAGGTTGTCGCGACTTCTCTTACCCACGGGAAAAAGATGATTTGCGCGAGATGAACTGCATGAAAACCAACTACGAGCCTACGACTATGCCCACCACACCGGTGCTGAAATTATGAGAAACGAAAAACCTAATTCCCATATCGGCACCGAAAGTCTCTCCTTTGCCAGAGTGCTCTACGACAGCGCAAGACACCCATACCAAAGTCTTCTTCGACTTCCAGGGAGTACGAAAAACCAGCCATCCGTCCCTCCACACTTCCACTCACAACTGTCTCATAACACAGAGAGACCTTGGGGATCACCACAAGCCGGTGGATTGAGTCAAACGTTCGGGGCTTGCCGTTTGAGTCAAACGAGGGATCCAGACGTTGATGGATGGCAATACGGCAACGTCCGCATCACCAATGACTCCAAAGTAACAGATTGGCAGCATCTCCACAACCCGCCATGAAAAAAGAAAATGGTCACTTTAGCCACATGGCCACATGACTATCCTTTGATGAGACTTTCACTCCCTTCACCGCTTCTCTCCCGTCGCAAAGTTGCGACATGACGGACACTTCAAAAATTGGAGCACTGAATACGAAAATAAAATCTTCTTTTCTCCTATTATCATGCAGAACAGCGCCCTTTTTGCATACGAGCGCGGCATGGTGCCCGTTCTGAGGAACAAATTGGGAAACACAATATGGGGGGAAGCGGAGACCCAGGGGAAATTGATCGCCCGAAAAAAACGCGCGACATAGAAAAACCTCACTACTGTACCCTGTCTTAGCGCATTTACACACGCATCGGGTTTTAGACTCGTGATCGAAATCTTTTGTCTCTCAGCAAGCATGCATTTTTTGGTCAAAATTTACGGAGTACTTTGACAGTAGTATAAACGAGTACAACTCCTTCTAATGTTCGTGTGTGCAGCGCTGCATATTAGGTCGAGAAAGTGTTTGGAATTTGCTATAAAGATGATGTGATGATCATTATAAACCTACATGTAACAGTAACAAGGAGTCATGGAGAGAAAAGCACAATGCCATTAAGGAGTAGCACTATTGACACCCCTTCTCCACGAGATTCTAATCCAGAACCATAATCCTAACTGTAAGAACATCCACTAATTTCACCCAAGATGCCTATAGAACATAGACCATTGGGGGGGCATACAAGTAGGAAGTCTCTTTGATGGTTTGTACAAGGTGCTTTCTTGACATGCCCCCGATCTGCAGCATCCCTTGAATGCGTGCCTAGATCGGGGCCCAGGAGGGGCGCAGAGGGAGCCCGCCAAGAGCAGGTCGGAGCCTTCTAGAGTCCGTCGAAAATTGAGGAGTATTTGGATTGTATATCAGATAGCCCAATTTTTATGCAAATTTCTGCCCACAGAAATCGTCTCATGGAAAACCTCTTCCACTGGGGAGGATGGCCGAGTGGTTAAGGCGCTGTGTTTAGGTCATTCTTCGTTGAAACTTAAATCCGCAGTGGGATTTCCCGCGTGGGTTCAAGTCCCACTCCTCTCACTTTCTTTTTTTCGTCTTTTTTTTTGCATTGTCTAGCAACCTTGGATGTGGTTTTTTGGAGTCTACTCATCATTTTGTATAATACTTGGTTCTGGTCGGGCCGGGCGTGATCTGACAGTTGAGTATTGGGTGCTTGGCATTCTCGAATCACGTGATTAATATGTTGCCCAAACCGTTTGCCTAGGCCTCTTAGGTTGCTCGCACTTGGATATTCGAATCAATGAACGAAGGGTCTTCGATGAGAGTCACAGAATATGAATACCAGGGTTCGAGCACGTTTCTTGAGCTTGTGGTTGTAGGTGTGTTTGATACCCTCCATGCATACAATACGGTACAGTACATATGCCGTTTGCGCACCCGGATACGCAGCCCTCAGCAAGACCGACGTAAATGGCCCCAGCCACGTTTCATGCCCAGGCTGGGCCTTGCATCAGCCAAAGCTTCACCTTCCTCACCAGACATTTCCCAAAGTACGTTCGACATTCGACTACATACAACATTCTTCATCGCATCGGCGACTCGCATCCGACCTCTTGATTCCCTGTTTATAACATCTACAATATACGAAAATGTCCTCCTCGAGCCGTCTTTTCCGTTTCAACGTTCCCAAGCCAGCCTGGCTGAACAGCGCCAACACCCGGACCGCAGGTGTCTACCTCGCCGGCGCACTTGTACGCTTTTTCTCCTAGAAACCTTTTGCGCCTGGCGCATTTCTCCTTCTTTCATGTCGTCTATGTGTGTGTGTTGGACATCTCGAAAAGCTGACGTGGACTCCTAGTTCTCCCTGGGATTCTTCTTCTTCATCGATGCGAGCGTCTACTCCAAATCCCCCCTCAACGGATCGCACGTCCACATCAACTTTGTCGACTGGATCCCCTTCATCTGCTCGGCGTTGGGGATGCTGGTCATCAATAGCATCGAGAAGTCACGCCTCAGCGCCGACAGCTTCTCGTATAGTGGGAACGGGGTCGCCTGGAAGGCGCGCACGGTGCTGTTCCTCGGGTTCGCCCTGATGGCCGGCGGCCTGGCGGGCAGTGTCACGGTCATGGTGCTGAAATACCTGTTCAACGATTACGCCCTCACGACGGTCTACATGGGTGTGGCGAACGTCGTGGCGAACGGCATGGTCATGCTCAGCAGTGTGGTGTTGTGGGTCAGCCAGAACATGGAGGACGATTATACCTATAATTTGCAGCTGTAGGTGGGCAGTGAGCATGGAAGGAAAGAAAATGAACTGCTAGATTTTGAAATATTACTACAAGGACGACAGACGTGGTCCAGACAAGTCTTGAGGCACGGAACGGCGCACTTTTTTTGTCTGAACAGAGTACAAGCATTAGCGTTTAGTTTGATTTCCAGGACAACGAAAAATCCAATAATATTCTTATCAAGTGTGCATTTTTCTGGCATCGGTGCGATCTAATTCCAAATTCAAGGCCAGACCTCTAGCTAGCCGTACGGTGTTATTATTCTAGTCTTCATCTCCTCGTAACTACTTCGAAGTGATTCGAAGGACTTCTTCAAGAGGGATCCTCCAGCGTACGTGCGAGTCTCTTCCACACAGGCCGGTTAGACTCTTCCATGCCGTATGCGCTCGGGCTTTTACACATTTGTGTGTCCGGCAGAGGCGTCGTGCCGAGGGAGAAGCAGTGCTTTTTCATAGCACGTGCCGTCAACCTCTGTCCCATGGTGGCGATTTGCATGGGGAGGTTATTCCTATGCCTTTCTAGACTAATTGGCCACATTGGGCCAATGCCTGTTCATCCAGCAACTTCCTCATCTGCACCTGGTTGTTTTTCCCTTTTCTTTTGCCATTCAATCCCTCTCTCTCAATTTACCCATGATGGCATCAATGACATCCATGTCCGCTGCCGAGACGTGATCCGGCCCGACAAATTCCTTGGGTAGCCGCTTGACAGCCTCGTTCATCGCGGGTTGATAGTTTCTCACGCCCGAACTGAGAGCGTAGACGGCTTTCCGTCGGACCGCCTTGTCGGAGTCGTCTAGCGCCAGTTGACACAGTTTGTCGATGCCGTTCAGAGCGAGGAGGCGTTCTTGTGCTTTCACATTGTTCTGCACCGCCGTCCCCAGGCACCAGGCAGCCATGCGCCGCGAATCCGCCACTTGGCTGTCCAGTTGGGACAGCAGAGGCGTCCAGAGGCCCAACGGCTCCATGTTGTTGGCGTTGTCGATGCCCTCGACCAACTGCTCGAAATTGTCAAAGGCCGTCATTTTGGCGTCGTGCGACACTTCCGGGTCAGTCGACACGATGATGGACATGGCCTCTTTCATCAGGTCGGCGTCGCTGGGCCCGCCCATGAGTGCGCGGAGAGCATCAGCTGATAAGCCCTTGGGTTCTCTGGTCGGTTGGTCGGTCGTGGCACGACCTGCTTCGGAGTTCTCGATACTCCATGCCAGAAGGGAGTTTAAGCCTGGATCCATTTCTTCTGTTGGTTTTTGGGGGGCTTTCGTCTGTGTTCTGTACGAATAAACAGGAAATCTATTGTATGTAGAAGGTATTAAGGTAGTTTATCGCTTGCGAAGTGTTTGTGTTCGACAATCAAACGATTGTTGTATTTACTACGATTTTCACAATTTCTTTCAATTTGTATGGGTGTCGCGAGAATCATCTCGAAGTCTCTGAGATGAAGTCATTGCTTGGGCGAATCATAAGGGTGCTTAGATAATAGACGCCAGGCCCATATTGATTCTTATTTACGCCGCTTTTAGGCTCCCTCTCTTCGAGTACTGTACAGTACGTGGTCGGTATGTAATGCGTATAAAGACCACCGTAACATCAACTGTGCATTCAAGATTACAGTCGTAGTAAGTTAGTCCGTACAAGAACATCCTAGCCCTGCAGACGCGACAATGTCATCCCAGCGCTGATGGATGGCTTGGTGCGATTACGGGATGCGAGACGAGAATTGTCGGTGGCTGAAAGTGGGCTGTGGCCTGTGTATTACGCATACCCCGCCTTCGTGGCTGGGAGGCCGTATTTCCCACCGCACAAATTCAAAGAGGCATCAACATTATTTCAAGCCTAATCGAACACGCTCTGACGCCGGCTCAACGACTATGTGGGCTTGTCGGCCCAACAATTGTACTCCGTCTTCCGCGTTCTGGACTCACTGCCCCTTTTCCCTCAGATAAACGGTGTGGATAAGAAATATATCCATCATTGAAGGGATCTTCAAGGCCGCAGGGAGATCAAAGGATGGCGGGGGCCAAAAATAGACAGAATATGATGAGATCTTGTATCTGTGTCTCGTAATCATTTCAGCCGCAAGGCTCCGAGTACTGTACTGTACAATAGCACGAATATCTTGAGAGCGTACCCCCTCTTAGTCAGGCTCAGCACCAGAGAATCATAGCTGCCTGGGATATGGAATACGTGGTCAGTACGGAGATTCTTGAGAAACCTGTAACGGAATGAGCATTGCGTGGCCCATGCCGCCACCATCGTGGAGAACAGAAACGACTCCTATGATAACAGCCTATCACTGGTTTCTAAAACATGATTGCCTGTGACTTCTCTGCTACAGGACTTCGCACGGTTGTTTTAGGTGGCAGGCAGTCAGTGTGAGAGCCAACTCGTACTCGTGTCGGCCGATACATTGATCCCAGCTTCGCAGCTGCAAAAGTATATATGTATGTAGGATGCAGGGGAGTAGCACTGCGTATTCCGGTTACTGGATATCAAGCTAGTTCCAGATAAGCCGCCTTTCGCATCCCGACGGTACTGTGCCGTATAGCTGAAGTACGACTAATACCGACTAGGTGCAAGTGGTGTTCCTGTCGGCGCAGCAGCAATCGAGCTTCGGTCACTCACCAACAGCGGTCAGATCAGCTTGGGTCTTGGCGCCTGCCCACTCACTGGCCACCGCCTCCCTCTCCTCCTACCGCTTGCTGTTCAAATCCATCCTATCTTACCTTCCTGACATTCCATTCTCAGCTTTGTCCTTGACCTCACTCTACAACATCTTCTGCTCGTGTATTTCGGAGGGTTCTTGTGCCTTCGTTGTTTCGAGTTCTCGCAAACCCCTCGCACAACAACCGCTTCTCATCTTATCGTCACTCAATCCTCACACAAGTCATCACAATGGAAGGTAAGCTTGCTTCTCCCAGCCTCAACTTGGTGCACAAAGAATCTTTAACATTGCTGAACTTGTACTGATGCATCTTTCTCCCTACAGAAGAAGTTGCAGCTCTCGTCATTGACAATGGGTAAGCTCCTATTACCTACCCACCCAATGCGTCTATCTGCGCCCTGTCCCGTCGTGGTCTCCCAACACCTCAAATGCAGCTGCGGCATCATCGGAAAAGAAGGGCAAAATCATTTCCATAAAGACATTGCTGACAAAGTGTTTCCAGCTCTGGTATGTGCAAAGCTGGCTTTGCTGGTGATGATGCGCCACGAGCAGTTTTCCGTAAGTGCCCCGCATTGATGGAATGCATGGAGAATCAGGCCTGACATGCTCAACAGCATCCATTGTCGGTCGACCCCGTCACCATGGTATCATGATTGGTATGGGCCAAAAAGACTCCTACGTTGGTGACGAGGCCCAATCCAAGCGTGGTATCCTCACCCTCAGATATCCTATTGAACACGGTGTGGTCACAAACTGGGATGATATGGAAAAGATCTGGCATCACACTTTCTACAACGAGCTGCGTGTCGCTCCAGAGGAGCACCCGGTCTTGTTGACCGAAGCCCCCATCAACCCCAAGTCCAACCGAGAGAAGATGACCCAGATCGTCTTCGAGACCTTCAATGCACCTGCTTTCTACGTCTCCATTCAGGCCGTTCTGTCCCTCTACGCTTCCGGTCGTACCACCGGTATCGTGCTCGACTCCGGTGATGGTGTCACCCACGTTGTCCCCATCTACGAAGGTTTCGCTCTTCCTCACGCCATCTCTCGTGTCGACATGGCTGGTCGTGATTTGACCGACTACCTGATGAAGATTCTGGCAGAGAGAGGTTACACTTTCTCCACCACCGCCGAGCGAGAAATCGTCCGAGACATCAAGGAGAAGCTTTGCTACGTTGCGCTCGATTTCGAGCAGGAAATTCAAACCGCTTCCCAGAGCTCCAGCTTGGAGAAGTCGTACGAACTTCCTGATGGTCAAGTCATCACCATTGGCAACGAACGATTCCGAGCTCCTGAAGCTCTCTTCCAGCCAAGCGTTCTTGGTCTCGAATCTGGCGGTATCCACGTCACCACTTTCAACTCCATCATGAAGTGTGACGTTGATGTCCGTAAAGATCTTTACGGCAACATCGTCATGGTGAGTGCTTCGCTGAAGCCCGATTCTATATTCATACTAATCTTGTGTAGTCTGGCGGTACAACCATGTACCCTGGTATCTCCGACCGAATGCAGAAGGAAATCACTGCTCTTGCCCCATCCTCCATGAAGGTCAAGATCATTGCACCTCCCGAGCGTAAATACTCCGTCTGGATCGGTGGCTCTATCCTGGCGTCTCTTTCCACCTTCCAGCAGATGTGGATCTCCAAGCAAGAGTACGACGAGAGTGGTCCTTCAATCGTCCACCGCAAGTGCTTCTAAACGTTTCGCAAGCACATTGAAATGCTTGTTTCTCCGGATGACACGCAGCAACCTTTTCGAGACAGTAGTGCACGAATTCAAGATTTTGATGAGACCAATGGCATGCGGAGCATAGAATTGTGGTGATCGATCAGTTGATGGAAGGTTTCCAAAACAAAAAAGTATTTGTGGAACTAGCACGGAAGTCAGGCGCGTCTCATACACAGAATGGAGGATGCGGGATACATTGAGACATGTATTAAGAGCAAAGTCACACCTTCAATGAGGTAGCACCATTCCAATAGTGTCTAGACTGCAATGCTAGCCGTTAATGTTTCAAACAATGCACACCTAAATTTGTAAAACGTTGTGCGCCCTTGGTATATCCTAGCCCCCTCGTTCCCTATGCATGTACAGTGTCGCCGTCATCCAACATATGGAGTGTAGATTACTAGGTTCATACTGTCTTGAGGCTTGTTCGATAGCCTGGGACGTCACCGGGGACTTCCCTTATCGTGGCACCGTCCTCGGCAGGCTCAAGGACCTTCCACTCGCAGGTGATGCCCTCGTCTTTGAAATGTTGCACAATGACACCCGCGATGGCATCGAAATTCTCCGTGGCGAGGGCCAGGATGGTGGGGCCCGCTCCCGACAGGCATATGCCCAGCAGACCCTTGTGTGAAGTGGGCGACATGGACGAGAGAATGGCGGGCAAGGCCGGGATCAAGGTCTTGCGGTACGGCTGGTGGATCTTGTCCTGCATCGCACTGTAGATGAGGTCGGGGTTCGGCGGCGAGTCGGAAAGCACCGTGGTCAAAAGTGCCAGTCTCTGGAGGTTGAAGATCTTTTGGTTGTCGATTAGCTTTGTGATTCACACAAATTTTTTTGATGTTTTTTTATCAAAGAACAATAACGCGTTTGGTTCTTCAAGGACATGTAAAGGGAAAGGGCAAGACGAGGGAGCGTGTTGTGTATGTGTATGTGCATGTGTATGTCTGTGCGTGGGGGGGGGGGGAGAGAGAGATAAAGTATAGGAAACTCACCATGTCCTGCCTCGTATACGACTTGGGCAACACTTCTCTTGCCTTTGCCGTGCTCACCTCGAAATCCGGGATGATGGCTAGAGCTTTGATTTCCTTGGCCCAGTCAAATCGACGATAGTGGCCGATGTTCTCGGGCGGGATGGGTGGCGTGAGACCCGTGTCGACGCCGCCTGCCGGCTGAGGGAGGACTTCCGACAAGGGGACCTCCTTGCGCGCCATATCGTCCGGGTCCAGCTCGTTGAGGTACGTGCCGACGAAGCCACCATACAGGGCGGCGGCGACATTGTCCGGGTGACGCTCGACCATGAGGCAGAAGTCGAGGAGGCGGGGTTGAGACAGGTTGAGCTTGCCGACGACGTTCCCAAGCAGGACGCCGGCCACGACGGCGGCACCGGACGATCCCAGACCCCGGCCGAGTGGGATTGGGTTGTGTATGTGGACGTGCGTCTGTGGAGGAAAGGCACGTTGGTTGTGGCACCGGAGAACGTACAAGGCCGTCCGGGTCAGGAGGTTGTTGGCCGGGTTGAGGTCAATGTCCTCCGCTCCCACGCCGGTGTAGGTCACTGTGCAGTTCAGTGGATTGTTGGAAGCATCGGCCGGCGAGGTTTCGTCGACACTGACGCGAAGTTCGAGGTACATTGACAAGGCGAGGCCGATGACATCGAAGCCCGGGCCTAGATGGGATAGACGGGTCAGGGACGGAAGCAATAGACAACAGGACTAGCCGTCCTGGGGTGTTGGAAGGGGGGAAAAGGGGAAGATTTCTTAGACATACCAATGTTGGCCGATGAGCATGGAACCTCTGCTCATATTAGAAAGTTGCTTTCTTAGAGTATTGCTTGATATGAGGGACAGAAAAAAAAGACTCACTTATAAGATGCATGGTGGGATGAGGGAGGCCCAGCTCAACGAGGCAAGGCTACCCTCCAAAAAATCCTGATATCCTCCTGTCTTCGAAGTGTATGGTAATGGCAGGAGTGTTCAAAGCTTCAAACCACAGCGTCTGCCAGCACCTTTCCCTGGTCGTTGTCACCTTTCGCTGTTGTAGTTCACTGCCGGCGAGATCGGTCTGTATGAGTCGAAAAACAATGCTAGGTGGTTGAGTGACAGGGTAGCCAATCAAAACCCGGATGAATTTTTCGCCTCCTTTATCGATAAGGAATTTGGGGGAGAATTTTCCTTGCTTGGCGTTGCTGCTACAACGACCATTATTTCTATCTCGAGACACGCTGTAGGACGAGGAACTCTAGGCCCTTTCAGTTACATGTAGTCTAGAGCTATTCATTTTTGCTCAGGCAGACATATTTCTTGTCGTTGTCTTGGCAGGTAAGTTGTGTTGCATTTTGGCGTTTGGTTATGGTGTTGTGTTTTGAAAATTGTTCGACAAGCACCAGGAGTTTTGAGCGAGGTCTGTAGCAGAGACTGACGAGCAATGTGAGATTTGCTCAAGAATCGGTTGACTGGTATCTCTGCTACCGCTATATTGAGCTCTGGTGCTAATAGCTTGTTCGATATATGGAGTTTGTACTGACCTCAATTTCATTTTCCAGATAAGACCCACGACGACAATGGCAGCAGAAAGACTTCGCATACTCGTCATTGGCTCCGGTGGGCGAGAACATGCCCTTGCCTGGAGGCTGGCAAAATCGCCCTCTGTCGATGTTGTTCACGTTGCGCCGGGCAATGGTGGCACAGAATTCGACAAGGTCGCCAATGTTAACATAGCCGCGGATAATTTTACCGACTTGGTCGACCACGCACAGAAACATGGTCTCAACCTCGTGGTCGTCGGTCCTGAGGCACCCCTGGTTGCGGGTATTGAAGGATTCTTCCGAAAGAAGGGCATCCGCTGCTTTGGCCCTAGCAAGGCCGCTGCTAGAATGGAGGGTTCAAAAGCCTTCTCCAAGGATTTCATGCAACGTCATGGCATTCCGACAGCTGCATTCCGAAACTTCGACGATTACGAGTCTGCTCGCAAATACCTTGATTCTGTCAATCACGATGTCGTAATCAAAGCAGATGGTTTGGCAGCGGGAAAAGGAGTCATCATCCCGACGACTAAAGACGAGGCACATGAAGCCTTGCGTAAGATTATGGTTGAGCACGAGTTCGGGTCGGCCGGCTCGCAAGTGGTTATTGAGGAGTTTTTGGAAGGCGAAGAGCTCAGTGTCCTGTCTTTCAGTGATGGTTACACTATCAGATCACTCCCACCCGCCCAAGATCATAAACGGGCTCTAGATGGGGATCAAGGCCCGAATACTGGAGGCATGGGCTGTTATGCACCAACAAGGGTCGCTTCCAAGGAACTAATTGCTCAGGTCGACCGTGAGATTGTACAACCTACCATCGACTGTATGAGACGGGAAGGTATGCCGTTTGTCGGTTTTCTCTTCACCGGTCTCATGATAACCAAGAACGGACCGAAAGTGTTGGAGTACAACGTAAGAGGAGGTGATCCTGAAATTCAGACCCTGCTGCCTCTTTTGAGCGACGACACCGATCTCGCTAAAGTTATGCTCGCCTGCACAGAACACTGGTTGGACGGAGTTTCCCTAAAAATTGAACCGAAGTTTGGCGCTACGGTCGTCGCATGTGCGGAAGGATACCCTGGCAAGTATGCAAAGAATCGACAAATTAGTATCCAGAAAGTGGCGCAGGATACCTTTGTGTTCCACGCGGGTACTAATATGGATGGCAAACATGTAATCTCTACTGGCGGCCGAGTGATAGCTTCGACTGCAACGGCAGCTACATTGGAAGATGCGGTGGCGAAAGCCTACAAAGGCATGGACTGTATCAAATTTCAGGGGATGCACTTCAGAAAAGACATTGCTCATCGTGCTTTTGCGAGGAAGGAGCAAGACAAGGGACCGGAAAGTGAGACTTTGACATATGCTTCTGCTGGTGTTTCAATTGACGCAGGCAACGATTTGGTCAGCAGAATCAAACCAGCCGTCAAGATGACCTCTCGTCCTGGTGCTAATGCAATCATTGGCGGATTCGGTGGAGCTTTCGATCTTGCAAGTGCTGGCTACAACGAAAAGTCACCTATGCTCATTGGCGCTATCGATGGTGTCGGTACCAAGCTCAAAATTGCCCATGCCACAAATATTCATGACACTGTGGGCATTGACCTGGTTGCCATGAACGTGAATGATTTGGTTGTGCAAGGAGCCGAACCACTAATGTTCCTGGACTGCTACACATGTAGTATCTTGGATGTCGACATTGCAAGCAGCTTCATCAAGGGTGTTTGTGACGGCTGCAAGACTGCAAAATGTGCTTTGGTAGGAGGTGAAACAGCGGAAATGCCAGGACTTCTGAACGGCACCGAATACGATGCTGTTGGCGCGGCAATTGGTGCTCTCGACACTGCGGCCGGGAAGCGGCTTTTGCCAAACACGGAAAGCATGGTTAAGGGCGATATACTCCTTGGCCTGGCTTCGGATGGTCTCCACTCCAATGGTTTCTCCCTGGTGCGCCGCGTCGTTGAGAAAATGCGCTTGAACTTCTCGGACCAGGCACCATGGAACCCGGACCAGACAGTAGGGAGATCTCTGCTAACCCCAACCCGGATCTATGTCACATCGCTCCTTCAAGCAGTCAAGCGAGATCTGATCAAGGGCATGTCGCACATCACGGGTGGGGGCCTTACGGAAAACGTGCCTCGAATGTTGCCAGGCCACCTTTCCGCTGAGATCGACGTATCAACGTGGAATCGACCCGCCGTTTTTGAGTGGCTCCAGCGATCTGGCAACATCAACAATACAGAGATGGCTCGGACGTTCAATAATGGAATCGGCATGGTCCTTGTCGTGTCTGATGTTGCCTCTGGTGAGGTCAAGAAGATCCTAGAAGCCGAAGGAGAAACAGTCTTCAAGCTTGGCAAGTTGGTGAACAGGGATGGTCAAGAAGGTTGCGTCTTGAGTAATCTGGACAGATGGACCTCCTGAGGAATCAATATTCGCACTCTGGAGAATAACATCTCCTTTGTGCACCTTTAGTGAGCAGACCTGAAAAGATATCTGCCGTTCCAAGTGTCCGCAGCAGCATAGTGAGCCTTTTTATGCGAACAGAAAATCGTTCCTCGGCGAGTTCTGGGGCTTCAGTTATATGTGATGGGAATCTTGCTGAAAAGTGCAACATGCTTTCTCCAACGTTTGTATCCTGGCACGTTCTGGCATGCAAGGGAACCCATTCAGGAGGTTCCGACGTGCTTCTATCCCCAACAAAGCATTTGGTGTTGGGCCCCAGTACCGCCTCGAATACTTGGGGATCAAGGTCCCTGTGAATGCCAGCCAGAATCGACCTTGGAAATTTTGTCTGCTGGCCCTCTTCGTCGTCAATCTGCGGACTCAACGATCGGCACGCCTTACACTCCAGCGGCCCAGCAATGGGGCGTTGCTAATGTCTCGCCTTCCTACATGCTTTCAGCCTTTGCAATTACGTTATTTGCACTATTGTTCTTGATGACAGGAGAGCCGCATGGTCGGGCTCGCCAAACTTCTGATATAGCATTGCAGCACGCAAACCATTGCGAGGTCAAGCATACCTTTCAAATGCTTTCTTGGAAATTGAAGCCCTCCAAATCAGCCAAAAATTGCAAACTCGGTCGATAAAGCTACTTCGAACGCAAAAGATGCGCATGATCTGCGAATAAGCACTTCCGATGAGCGCTCTCTGCGGATGCTTGTCTTTGAATATCTCGACGGCAATGTCATCGGAAGCATACTGTGTTATCAGTGCATTTATCTCTGGCTTGGAGCTCGTCGACGGTTGTATGTTTTGTTAATCTTAGCTTTAATTTCTGAGCACGTTGGAGTCAAGCTGGCCGACTTCCACGAAACTAGCAAGGCTATTGGGGATTATACTGGGCTTTCACTTACTAAATGAGCCGGATCAGTAGATCTTCACGATGGAAACTTTGAAACTTCGGCACGATCTTGAGAAAAATAATACCATGTCTTTCAAGGAGGAGCAGAGTCGCATCGTTGGACTTTGACTTGAAGACTGCATTGTGGCCGCCCGAGATACCGCATTTCTATTTATTGTACTTCTGATGCTACTATACGTCGAAAACCAACTAGAGCAGGTGATTCTTTGACATTCCACGACGAGTTTTTGAGTGTCTAGCAACCAATGCTCAGCCTGATATTCGTTTCCGGCTTTACCTCGGCTGATATTTGTGAAAAAGTTGCCATTGCGAACTCCCGCTTCACCTTTTGTCCTGAGACATGTTAACACGATTGTATTGTTGGTTTTGCTCCATAAAATTGCTCTCAGTCTTCGAAAGTGATAGCTGAGCTCGACGGAGAAACGAGTCTCTTCCTAAAGTGCCGCGGTCTTTCTTTCGCAGTTTGCAATCCCACGATCTTCATATGCTACCCCTTCCAGTCCGACAACATGCGGGCGCACAATATCGAAATCAGCACAGCTTACGGGCGTTAGCTCTCGCTGGACCCTTTGTGCGATCAGACATCCCTTCTCCGTTTCACCCTCCAGTTCTTCCGCGATGGGTAGGCTGCACCTCCCCTGGCCGCAGCCACCACCAAGTCCGCTCCCTTACAATATCGAGACCATCGTTAGAATCACATAAGTCAGGCCTGAAGACGCCAGCTACACGTGATGGCGTGGTTCTCTCGTCGAATGCACTTTCGCGAGCTGCAAAATATCGGACACTCGCGACTCTCTTACAAGAGCGCGGCAAGAAACTGGTTCCGGAGGGCGCATCCACATCAGATGTCGCGTTCGAAGATGTATTAAACATAGTGGAGGCTGAAGAAAACATGGGCTCGATTCATTCCAAAGTAGCAAGACGACTCCGTGATGTCTTTCCCGGACGTTCGCTCCAAGAAGTCATGGGCGAGTTGGAGCTTCTCGAGGACAGGCAATTGCGGAGATCGTTGGCTGGGCAGAAACTTACGTTCGATGAACGAACAAAGAGCACCTTGATAAACCTGGGCCTGGTGGACGAGAGCAAGGACGACCAAATTCAGCAATCTCCAGTTGAAGATGATGATGCCGTACCAGCTTCGAACCAGAACCCGCATTCACTCAGGGCGACCGCAACCCAACCACTGATACGCCGCCATTCAGGGGGTGGTAGGGTACGCCCGTTTCTTTCTAACAGAACAAGTTTACAAGGATCGGAGTCGAAGTCTGAGCTACATAAAGACAATGGCTTGTTGGAGAACCAAGAAGAAATCAATCTGGAAGGATTCGACTTTACCCCTTTGAATGTGGAAAGATCGCAGGTACCACAGCTAAGCCATGACTTGTCCCGCGTGCTATTCAACCCTGGAGTCTATCAGTTGCAAGATCCTAGATCAAGAGTCTGGAATTTTGATCCGTACTTGGGAAAATTGATGCCCGTGTCCGAGTTCAACTATGATGCTTTGAACCAGTACATCACCTCCTCTCAGGATCAAACACTCCGTGACGTGGCTTTACAGCACGACAAGCGATACATCGGGTCTACATCGAGCATGTCTGGCACTTTGGCTCATTTTCATTTTCTTCTTTCGAGGTGGCGCGAACTGACCCTGGACCACCTCTCCCGAGGCTTTCGAGACGATGGACATCAGTTCACGAAGATACAACGAGGACCTTCTGCCATCTTTCTCAAGTACAAAGACGGAGTGTATGCAGTTGATGCAGATAAAGAATATGATTCCGCAAATATTCTCATGAGCTTGGGCCGGTCGATGGAAAAGCTTTTGACTAACGACAAAGACGTATTCGAGACGTACAGAAAGACGCGTGGCGAGGACGAAGTTGTTCAGCCTCAGCCTTCAGAACCCGAAGCTTATCACTACACCGAGTTAGGCTCCTTCCTGATCAGGTCGCAGCTTGATGCATATGACCCAAGGCTTCCCGGCACAGGCATGTTTGATCTGAAAACCCGTGCAGTAGCTGCCGTCCGAATGATGGTACGAAAGCACGAACAGGGCGTTGGTTATCAGATCAAAGAACGATTCGGGACATGGGAATCGTATGAACGGGAGTACTATGACATGATGAGGTCTGCGTTTCTCAAATACTCCCTTCAAGTGCGCATGGGAAGGATGGACGGTATTTTTGTGGCCTATCACAATACGGAACGTCTCTTTGGGTTTCAATATATTCCGCTCTCAGAAATGGACCTTGCCTTGCACGGGCAGTCCGATCCGACTCTGGGTGACCGCGAATTCCGCTATAGTATCAAGTTACTCACCGAGGTTTTCAATGCAGCAACCGAGCGCTTCCCGAAGCAGTCGTTACGTTTTCATTTCGAAACAAGAGAGGCTACCCAAGCACATGCTCCTTATATGTATATCTTTGCTGAGCCGGTCACAGACGAGGAGATTGTCGAAATCCAAAACTCCAACCGCGAAGAAATCGAAGCATTTGAACAACGCATCTTCAATCCAGAGAAGTTTAAGAAGTCGCACAACACAACTCCCGAAAACACGGAAACCGAAGACAATGGAATGGAGATCACTATGAACACTGATTGCCAAAAGATATCGGGTGAAGCCGCAACGCCTGGCGCATCAAATCGTCAGTCGAATGCAGCTGATGTTGAGTTCCTGGAAAGTATCATGGGGGTGGATTTACCCGCCGTCAAAACGCCAGCGCCAGAGAAGCCAGCCCCGTCACCAAAGGCAGATGTACCTGCGGACAAACCCTTATTAGGCTGGAAACTCAACATTACAAACTTGGTGAACAAGCTTCCGGTTGACCGTCCCCAGGACTTGAAACAGAACGACAGTTGGAGTGTACGATACAGTTTGGTCCCTATGAAGGATGCTGCCACCCGGCGCAACTACGTTCTGTGCAAAAATAGGCGGAAGTCGGTGTTGCAGGCGCCTCAAGACGAAGATACCTCTGTCCAGTATTATATTCAGCGATTGGTGTCGATGAGCAAGGAAGGGGCTAAGTGGCGTCAAAAACTCGACGAATTTGACGCACAACGGGAAAAGGTTGTGCTCTATGGCGATCGAATCCCTGGCGACCAGACAGAGTGAATGATGCGATGACGGATTGTGTATAACAGTAGAATATGGATTGTTGCACCCTGGGGTCCGAGATGACTCCTGTACCATCAAAACGAGGGACTTGTGTTTGATACATATGTACAGATTCAGGTGGGTCTTACTATATTGTCCTTCTGTCCGCTGGTGCTGGGCCTGGATATGTACAGCACAATGGCGTTGGACAAGCTGCACCAGGGGGCCAAAAATCGTTCAAGACATTGGGAGAAACATGTTTCATTAGCGGCATCTAGAATTACAGGTGGTAGTGCAAAATCGCATGTGGATGGCACGTGCCGATGGTGTCTTACTATATGGTAATAGCCTGGTCTCTAAGCATCCCATTGAGGCGCATATATGTCTTTGCTTGAGTAATTGATATACGAAGATACAACCAAACAGTAACAGTACGTATACTAAACTGGGTATCGTTGAGAAGTATTTATGTAAATTCACCAGGCGAGACGGTCTCTATTAGTTCTGTATAAGCTAAGACGACAGTCCAATATCCGTCCAAGGCCAATAATCGATCCTGGTATCGTCAGTTGTCACTCGGCAATCGCTGATCCGAGGCGGCCAGGTTGGCTCAAAAATGGCGCCTAAATGCACGGGGCTTATCGGGGCTAGTGACGAGCCTATTGAGCCTATTACGTCGATCTACCACGCCCCCCGGAAGTGCAAGGCTTTAGCCCGGCAGACACAGCTGGTGTCGCTATCGGAGCGGTATGGGGGACGGCAGGAATACCTAGACGTACACGTACAGCCCTACTGTACCAGCCACACACGGAGTAGCCTGGTCCTAGCCGCCCTCCCCTGTTCGATTTTGGGCCTCTTGCATCATCATAGCATTGGCACCGGCATGAGCCCTGCATGCCATGTAACCCACGTTTCAATGGTGGGATATGTGCGAGTACTTTAGCCAGCTTCCATCTTTTGACCTTGAACAAAGTACTCGTAGCATTTTCATGAGGAGATCAATGTTATTATTCTAGTTTTTCTCTTTGTCTTCATATCTTGTTCTCTCCTTCGTTTTGCCCCCTGCACAAGCCGAAGAACTCTGCTGTTCCTCTGATTCCCCCACCATCACCACAGCTCCTACGAGCGTCGTCAGCACATTTCCCTCCAAGAATCACCAGATCCTGGGCTCGGCGTGCATTCTCCGACACTCGCCGCTTCTATCCTCTCCCGTGGCCGTTCCAGCTCGACCGGTTGAACGCCTGTCACTGTCGTCTGGCGAGGAAGCCTTCGGAGCCGAAGCTCAGTCTGATCGAGGCTTTTCGCGGAAGCTCAAGAGACGGACACATTAGTCACTGGCAGTTGGGCACATCCGAGTGCCAGACGTGGTGAACATGGTGCACTACTGATCCTATTTGGTAAAGCGTTTTTGAAGTACACTGGGGTTATCTGCATACCCAGGTGAGACCTTGTTGTCGGATGGTTGTCAGAGGCCAAGCAACCAAACATGGCGGACAAACGTAGGAGGAAGAGCCTCAGCATATTCCGGCAGAAGGCCGACCATGGCGTGGCGCCTTTAAATGTCCCCTCCAGCCCTACAGAGAAGAAATCTGCAGACTATTTGCCGAGTCCTGTCGACTCGGAACATTCAAGTCCAAAGGCCCGACCTAGGACCTTGCAGAAAAACCGCAGTTCAGTCTTCGGATCTTTGCGATCGCTACATTCACTCGACGAGGAAGAGAAGATCCTTCTGACCAGATCCGACTCGAAAGCTTCTTCTCTCCACGATGAGGCCGAGGTTCAGATGAAGGGACTCTTGGGTGAGAAGGTTCTGCAGTACGGAGAAGTGCAAGCTGCTGGCACAAATGTCTTTCGGAAGAAGATCCAGTTCATGGTACTCACCGAATCACATCTGATACGATTCAGGAACCAGGCTAAAGCCGTGGAAATGTTTCCATCCATTCCCAGCAACCTCAGCAAAGGTCACAATCGTCGGTCGTCCTCGGTGGGTTCCGTCCCGGAACTCCAGATGTCGGCATATACAGATATCACTTCTGGTGTTCCGTTGAACCAGGTTGTTGCTGCATACAGTACGGACGATGGTCGCCCATTTGTCACAGTGGATGTTGCATATCTTGATGAACGGACAAGGAAAGCGTCTGTGATGCAGCTCCAGGTCAACGATCTTCGAGAGGCTAATTTATGGGTTTCGGCCATTCGTTCCGCAACTCTTCAAGCCGTTTCATCATTACCGAAGATCCAAGACAGTACCTTGGAGCATCTGGCGCGTGTTGTTGAACGCGAAAGAGACTATGACCCCAATCATTTTCATGTATTCAAGGTGGTCCAACGCTCAGTCAATAGGTCGGTAGGCCGAGCTTCAGCTGAAGATTTGACTAGGCTTGGGTCGGCCATCTTGTATCTTGTTCTTGGCCTCTATAAAGTTCATCTGGTACCGCTCTATCGACCGTCGACAAGGTCCTCGAGTGCTTCTCTCAGCGACATGGACAGCGTGACCTCCTTCGCCATCGTGAACCTGGCTATGGTATCGGTGCAGGCTACAGAAGATGCATTTCAACTACTGTTCAAACCACCGACGGGACAACCAAACAGTCTTCGTCTAGCATCGAACGCCGCAGGGGAGATTGCACTTCGCTTACAGTTTGCGTCCGAATTCCTTCGACCGCAATGGCTTAGGCAGCCGTATCTATGTGAGATGCCGGCCGAGCTTGATGATCAATTGGATCCGCCTGATTACCCTAACGAAGAGCATGATTGCTTCGACCGCACACTAATTGCATATTGCGCCGGGTATGATGTTGACACGTCTCGAATCTGCTATTCCGTGGACTACGACTGTGAAGATGCGCCCTGTTTTCAGCTCATGGCTCCCTCGACGGGTACTACTTATTCGGCTCTCGAGTTGCTCGCAGTACTTCGAGCACTTCGATACAATGAGTCGTTCTCATCGATATCGTTCTCACATATTGACCTCGGTCCTCTCCGGAACTTGTACGACACGTTCGGAGCGGACTTGGATAGTCTTTACACTCGATCTGGCAATCCCACCAATCTTGCAGGCCATCAAGATCTGCCCGTGCTATGTCAAGAGATCCGAGCTCTAGCTCTAAAGAGCCGACGATTGAGACGCCTGGACTTTTCCTATACTATGCCACATAAGTTGCTTGCAGATCATGAGCCACTTCCGGAATGTGGCATCATGGAAGCACTTGCTCCTTTGTGCAAACGATCCCTCACCAACGTTGACTGGATAATCCTCACAGGAATTCGCCTCACCGAAACCGACCTAAACTTCTTGGTCGACGCCGCAATAGAGAGACGGTGCCACTTCCGTGCATTGGAAATTGGCGAGTGTGGGTTATCTGTTCACGATATCGATGTGCTTCTATCTGCGTTGGCTGTACAAGAGAGCACAATGGAAGTCATCGACATCTCAGGAGCACAAGGTCGTTTCAGCCCCGAAGTATTTCAACGTGAAATTGGTGCATTCAGCCATATTCGACGTTTGAACCTCACCCGGGTGCAGAAAACGGCCGGACCCGAGCCTCTGGTAGCCCCTGAAGCGCTCTACGCCTGGAAGCTGGAAGCTCTCTATTTGTCACAAACGACGCTGAACGAGCAAACGGTGGACTCGATCTCGACCTATCTTGCCACTCCTAAATCGGATATTCTCCGTGAGCTGCACGTCAACCAGTGTGGTCTGACGGGTCGGGACCTTGCCACATTCTTTCAATCAATGACAAGAGACGGCAATCAGCCACGCATCATGCACGTCAGTGCCAATGAAAATCGCTTGAAGACGGGCAACACAATCCTTTTCAAGACAATTGCTCAAAGTTATGGACCTTCATCCCTGAGTATGAGAATGATGGACTTCGAAAAAGAGAGTCATTTTCGAGAACTCGTCAAAGCTCTGACAATCAATACAACTCTACAAAGCCTTGACATATCACGCGCGTCTCTTCCGTACGATGCTAGTGTGGAGACCTGTGAGGCTCTGAAGGAGATGTTTGCTAGAAATCAAACGTTGGAAGAACTCGATATCAGTGGCGAACACGCTCATTTGGACGCGACAAGATTTGGCATTGGACTTAACATTGCCCTGAGAGGACTGGCGACAAACAAAACACTCAAGGTGCTCCGAATTGAGTATCAGAGTCTGGGCTTACAAGGTGCAAATACTCTGGCCGAAGTTTTGCAGAAGAACGATACCTTGGTGGAGATCCATTGTGAACACAACGACATCAATCTTCAGTCCTTTACCTCACTCGTCAATGCTATAGAACACAACCATACCTTACTGTACATGTCGTCCATGGACAACGATCGGGCCAAGTCCATTGCGAAAGTTCAACGAGAGATTGACACGATGGAACGCGAGGATAGCCCCAAACATCTCAAGACTTCAGGTACTCTTAAGAAGACCCTCACAGGGTTTGGTGCCAAGGGTCATCGGCATGGCCATCGCCATAGTAGTTCTCAATCCTCTACTGCATCCTTTTCTGACCAGGACGTGGCGGCCGCTATGGCTACGCTGGAAGAGAAGTGGAATGCCCAGGTTGCCCGACTTCGGAGTTACCTGTTTCGTAATTATTGTTATTCACAAGGGATTCCCTGGGAGGACGAAGCAGTGGCCGGGCAAAGCAATCGGACTTCCACTGTGGTGGGAGATTCCATGGCCCAGATTTTGCAACGAGTGCATTTGGACCAAACGCCTACCAAAGATAATCCGTTCACTCCGGACTATTTTCACGAAAAGTTCGGAGAACACAATCACTCCATCTTTCAGCTTCCCGAGGACTGAGGAGCAGGGGAGAGTATGAGTCAAGGGTGGCGGCTATCTGTTTTTCTTGCTCATTATTTATGATACCCATGTCTTTCTTTGGAGAACCAGAACAAGCAGGAATTAGTCTTTAATTTTTGTTTGGATGAGCATGGCATGCGTGTTGGGATACCTCGGGCATGTCGTGAGGCGTTGGAATATCTGATCAGTTGGATTAGTCATATACAAAGCCTACATACGCACGCACGGAGAGTAATGAAGATGAAATTCACGATGCAATATGAACATGACCGCGCAAGATTTCTTGGTACCTGTTACCGTATTATGTTGTCAGCCCCTCAGCCTCAGTCTTCAGCTGGAGACCTTGGGGGAGGCATACGTACTTTGTATTACGCCCACTAGAGGCAAAACCATGGAGACAGGTTAGGATGTATCTTGCGAAGGCAAATGACGCCTTGCATGCGCAGTCCGTAAAGGCCCGCAGCCCATGTGGACCGGACGAGGTTGATCATTGAATCACATGGGGCCGGCAAAACAGACAGATGGATGTTCTATGAGGAACAAATGATATAGCGCCGATGACTGTGCAGTGCAAAGTGCGAATCTATGCAAGTGTGACGGAGACTGGGTACCCTGTTCGAAAGATCCGCCCGCCAGGCCGTCAGCCTCACTAACAAACTCCATATCCGGGTACCTAATTAAATCTTCAGGCCAACCGGGGAATTTAGGCCATCATGAACAATACAACATGTATTCCAGACACCGTATACGAGTACGAGTATGGTAATTAGAGCCGGAGCTCTAGAGACTTGAATATGATGAACACCAGTACTCCTCAAGAGAAAATGAGGAAGAATTACAATGAGGCTTCGAAAGGATGGATTATGATGGTATTCGTGAAAGAGTCTATACCGAGGGAAACATTTCAGGCGAGTGATGATGTCTGAAGGATTTTTGGAACCATTTCGTCGAGCGTGCTACGCGAGTACAGTATCTGTCACTGGGCTGTATTGTTTGGTTGGTCCAGTCTGCGTGACCATCTGACGACGACGTGTGTGTGTAATGACGAACTTTTTGAAAAAGGGCGGCCGCATGGACACCATAAGGGCCTTGCCTAGCTAGGTTCCAATTTGCGAGGGACTTGTGAAGTACTATTGAATCCCGCATGAAAAATATGGTTGGTCCATCAAATAATACAAAATACGAGATACGAGTACGAGGATCTAGAATCTAGAATCGACAGACTTCAGGTGATGAAAAGCACCTAGACAGTAGTGAAGTGTCATGCGTATTATGCTCTGTGCAGTACAGACGTACTCGCTAAATCGACGCATGGTAATCAATAATGCCTAGGCATGTTTTTTTTTACGGTACTCGGAACTGTTTAAACCTTTTAAATGACCGCAAGGACTTCCATATGCAGTCAACTACACGGGGAGGCTCTTGCATGTTTTTAGGCCCTCTAGCCTACTATCGCACTTCGTTTACGGGCGAGAAAAATAATGTCTGGGCATTATTACTCCGTCTTTGCAGGCCTCATTATTCTTTTGCACTGCCACAATCTAAACCGTTCTCAGCCCTTTTCCCTCTGCAAGAGTATCCAACCTCATCATCAGGTTCCCTTTCAAATCTTCTGCACCAAATCTTGACCCTCATTTGGACTCCGTGCAGTACATATCTCGTCGTTCCTTTTCTGAAACCCTTTGCTCTCCTCCGATTTTTTTCCTTTTTTATTACTTTGCGTATTCGACTACTACTCGTGTGCGGTCGAAATAAAACTGCTTGATTCCACTCCTTTGTACAAGCAGAAAACGACCCGCCTCCTAGATAACCTCCCCCCAAAACACAATGACATCCACCCTCCTATTATCCCCTTAATTTCCCTTGTCGAGATCGCCAAACGGCCTTCACCTTGCCGCATTGCAACCTTCTCGATAAATACACAAAAGAGAAAGTCAAAACCGACAATACATACCCTCACTGGCGCGTTGTGACGAGGCTGCGCCCCAGGACACTGACTATCTCTCTCGCTTCCACCATGCGTCGCAGCGTCGTCATCTTCCTCCTAACCACGATCGTGGTCGTCACATTACTCCTACACTCGGTGTCAACGCTACTGTCGTTACTCATTGAAGATGCCTCGCGCGATGCCATTCACCGCACCGATATCCCCGCGCCCAACTCGACCCTCCTCGACAACCGACCGCACCTCATCCCCAAGATCATCCACCAGACGTACAAGAACGAATCGATCCCGTCGCGCTGGCTGTCCGCCCAACGGTCGTGCATAAACCTCCACCCGGACTACGAGTACGTCCTGTGGACCGACGAAAAATCTCACGATTTCATCGCCAAAGAATACCCCTGGTTCCTCAGCACCTTCACGAGTTACAAACACAACATCCAGCGCGCCGATGCGATCCGGTACTTCGTCCTCGCCCACTACGGAGGTGTTTACATCGACCTGGACGACGGGTGCGAGCGTCGCCTGGACCCTTTACTGAGCTACACCGCCTTTGTGCGCAGGACGGTGCCGACGGGCATATCCAACGACGTCATGGGCTCGATACCCCAGCACCCGTTCTTCCTCCGGGTCATGGAGAGTCTGCCGGGCGCAAACCGCAGTTGGGTCCTGCCGTACATCACCATCATGGCGAGCACGGGCCCGCTGTTCCTCAGCGTGATATGGAAGAAGTGGATGGGCGAGCACGCCGACCTGGACCCAGACACGTGGATCGGGAGGGTGCGAGTCATCATGCCGAGCGAGTACAGCGACCACACGTGGAGCTTCTTCAAGACCTACAAGGGGGACAGTTGGCACGGGGACGACGCCCGCTTCATCTTCTGGATGGGCAGGAACTGGATGCTCCTTACCGCACTCGGCTTCTTGCTGGCCGGAGTGCTGGGCCTGATGGTGTGGTACGTCTATTCAAGGCTGATCATCATGGGGTCCAGACGGCGTGCTGGGGGCGTCGGTAGCCCTCGAGTGAGCCCGTTCAGGTTCGTCGGCGTCGGGTCGAGGGTGCCCTTGTGGAACGTCTGGAGTGGCAAGACACAAAGTTATGAGTTGGTGGCCCAGCATGATGCCTAAGGCGCTCCAACCCGGGCTCCCTAGCAGTACCCCAGGGCGTGTATGTGTGTGTGTGGTTGCGTGCATGTGCTTTGATTTTGAGCGATGGCGTTCTGGCAGGGGAAAGAAAAGAAAAATTTCCCCATGACTACTTTTTACAATGGTGACACCGATTTCAACACACTTTGGGTGGTGGTTGAACGCAACCTGGTTTTGGTGTGCATCACAAAGCATGAACTTGTTGAAAACAGAAACCACCCAAAGATACCCTGTACTCGTGGTATGAGTGCAGGTGGGTTTAAACGGTGACTTGTTGTACTTGCGGCTGCGCTGGCAAGCAAGAATGAGCCAATGATACTTGATCTGGGATGTTTGTTTTCCGGTGTGTTGACACACGTGGAAAATATTAAAAAACTAAACAGATTTGAAACCTCGACTCTGGCATTGTCCACCCCCCTTTCTCTTTTTGGTGAGACATATTAGGGTGCGTGGGTTTATACATACCTAGCTATACTCGTACTCTACTATATTTTAATAAGACAGGACCTTTTTATCTTACTCGTACGAAATACCCTACCTATCTTGATCAGACATATTCTGGTTCATGGCTTTCTGCCTGCTTGTTATCTATTTTCTATTTTCTTTGAGTCATACTGTATGTATCTAGAGGTACGATGTATATATATCAAGGTGCATATATATACATACACTTGGATGCGGGAGTACTTGGTATGTACAAGTGTAAGGTTCAACCATACCTCGCACCTTGAATGTCCGGGTCGAACCAAGTGGGTTCGATGCCGTAGTTGATGACGGTACTCTTGAGTTTGGTGTAGCTCTCAAAGGCCTCCTGGCCGTTCTCCTTGCCGACGCCGCTCTCGCCGAACCCGCCCCAGGGGGAGGAAGGGTCGTTGAGGTGGTGCCCGTTGACCCAGACGATCCCCGACTCGATCTTGCCCGCGACGCGGTGGGCCTGGGCGAAGTCCTGCGTCCAGACGGAGGCGCCCAGGGCGAAGGCCGTGTCGTTGTTGGCGACGCGGATGATGTCGTCCTCGGAGGCACACCTGATGACGGCGATGACGGGGCCAAAGACCTCGTTGCGAGCCAGGTCGGTCCCGGGGACGGTCTCGACGACGGTGGGTTCGAAGAAGAATCCCTTGCCGTCGACGGTCGTCGGGTTCCCGCCGCACAACACCCGGCCCCCGTCTGATTTTCTGGCTCGCTCGACGAATTCGCCGCACCTCGTCACAGACGCGCGGGAGATCACGGCGCCGATCTGGGTGCTCGGGTCTTGCGGGTCGCCGACCTTGAGGCCCTCGACACGACGCACCAGCGACTCCAAAAACCCGTCGTACAGGTCCTGATGCACGAGCAGTCTACTGCCCGTCACGCAGGTCTGGCCGCTGGCGATGAAACTCGCAAAAAGTGCCGCCTGGACCGCCCGGTCGACCGGCAAGCTGGGGAACAGGCACACCGGGGCCTTCCCGCCCAGCTCGGCCGTCATGGGCACCATGTTCAGGGCCGCCACGGGGGCGATGGCTTGGTACGTGGCGATCCCCCCGGTCAGGTCGATCTTGGCGAGGTGCGGGTTCTCGCACAGGTACCTGCCCGTGTCCCTCCCGTGGCCGTTGATGATTTGCAAGGTGCCGTCGGGGAGCCCGGCTTCTCGAAACAGCGATCCCATCCTGATCACCGACATCGGTGCGAGTTCCGACGGCTTGACGACCACCACGTTGCCGGCGGCCAGGGCCGCCGCCATCTTCTTCGTGGCGATCAACAGCGGGTGGTTCCAGGGGGTGATTTGCGCCACCACGCCCAGCGGCAGGCGGGTGAGCGTGTTGATCACGGGCCCCTTGAACGGCGTCACTCGCCCTTCGTGGACCCTGGCCAGAGACGCAAAATATTCCAACCATTCCGGAACCCTCGCCAGTTGGGCCCTCATTTCCCGAATCGGACGCCCGGTCTGCAATGTCTCCAGTTCCACAAACTCAGGGATGCGTGAGCGAAGGAGACCGGCCGCCTTCGACAACACGGCGTACCGTTCCGAGGCGTCGGCTCTTGACCAAGTGCCACTCGCAAAAGCCCGTCTGGATTGTTCGACGACGTCATTGACAGAATCTTGTGTGGTCGCCTCGACGGTGGCGAGAGGTTCTTCGGTCGCAGGGTTCAGGACCGTGATGCGCTCCGCCGAAGCTGTAGCTTGTGCGCCATTGACCCAGTTCGATATATGAGGGATGTTGGACATTTTGGTCATTGTTTCTTCTTGTTTTTTTTTGTCGTCCGCGATTCAATCACTTCCGAAATCGATAGCTTAGCTATTTCGAGGCTATCTCATAGCTACTCGCACAAGCAGGACGTCTTTTTCCAGAGGTGTGATATTCGAAAATAGTTGTGTCGAAACGAGCGGCAATGATACGCACGATAGGACGTGAAGTATTCCGTACCGGTCCCGTAAATGTTGGACGACTGGAGGACTATATCAACAATACCTTTCAGTTTCAGGTTTGGTCACGGTGAAGAATGAAATTCCAACCAATTGACAGTAGTATCTGTCTGTTTCTTTGGTGTGGATATAGCTCGACCAACTCTTGGTCGTACGAGGCTTCGATACCTCGACCTTAGTTGTTCAAAGTGAGATAAGATAAGATGTACCTTAGGTCACCGGAGTTCAACGTCACCACTCTTCGGATTAATGCAACGACATCTCCGCAGGAATCCCTCAACTCACAACAATCACACGAGCATTTCCATGTACAGACACCGTTCGGCGAGTGGAGCTTGATTGAGAATTAGACATCACTTGGTCTAGTCTCTTCTACTTCCTACACAGCATCACTTCTCCAGTCATTCATTACGGATATACATGTGAGATATCTGCTCACGTGGATTGACTGACTGATCCTTTCATCCATCCATCCTTCTTCGAAGATTAGTTGTCCCGATTCTTTTTTCTTTTCAAAACCTTTGGGACTTTCCGTCGGCCTTGGGGGCTTTGCTTGCTTCCAGTTTTTTAACTACGATGCCACCTCCATCAAACATCAAAGGCGTCGTTCCGCCTGAACATCTCACATCCGTGGCCGCCGGTGGCTTCGCGGCGGGTGTCCTCCGGTTCGGTACAATCTCCATACTCTCGCACCTCCTCCTGCTTCGACATCCAGTCTATCGAGGCCTCACGATCCAGTTCAAGGTCTACTTGCAACTCAGCGCCATCATCCTGGGAGGCTGTATCTTTGCGGAGAAAAGAGTGTCGGAATACAATGACGCAGTGAGGAACAGAAACCGTGCTATGGAACGGAGCCGGCGGGTCTGGACCGAAGAGCAAGAGCTCAAAGAGAGAATCTCGAGGCGAGAAGCTGCTGAGAAGTGAAACAAGACAAACAATACGACGAGAGGGTGGGCAGGGTCTCGGCACCTTTGAGCCCCGCGTAGTCTGTCACGAGCGTACCGGAGGAGTTTGATTGTTTGGATCCAAATCGTTGAGCAAGGTGATGGGTGAGAACCCGTCATCATACGCCGTCGACTCGGGTCCCTCCAGGGATGATCGGTGGACACGCAGTGTGGATTCGGTGCCAGCTCGAGGGGTCCGTCAGCGTTGAAAGGATGCTCTGCTCGTCACCTCCTCTTGGTTCCTCAGGGTCAATCGAACAACGATGCGGAGGAGGGACTCGTCCATAGTCACAAACTATTTGACCGTGGAAGATCATCAAGAAGACTCGTGGATCAAGAATGTATGAATGACTGGGGGGCTCGGCCGCATTGCTTCCGGCCAAGAAAGCATTTATGAGTGAATGAGATGGTCGCAAGACCGAGTCCAAGGACAAGTTCAAAGTGAATGTCACCTGCCTTTGCTTAACCTCCGAGACCTATCAAACCCCTCAAAAAAAGAGAGAGACAAAAAGTTATTTGGAGATTTGAAGCCCCGACCGTCTTTGCCAACGGTCGACGCTTCTAATACTCATCCCGACTATGACCATTCACAAATCTCAAATCCCTAAAGGAACGTATTACCCCGTAATACTTGTAGAGAATGCTACAGTAGTCATGGAAACCTGCCGAAGACTCCCAAGTTTTTAATCCACTAAGCAGCTGGTTTCCAAGGATGAGCCCACCTCCAAACCACTTAAGCCAAAGGGCCGCAATGCGACGCGGTGAGTCTTACTAGTGGCCATCAAGGCGGTGTCCCTTTGTTGGACAAGATTTCACCAGAACGAGTATATATAGGGTATTATATATGATGGTGAATGTATGAATTCTCCTCAGGACGAGTACTGTATGTACAACCGGATGAGGAAGTATTACGGACGGGCGATAAGATAAGAAATTTCCCAACCGGTAAAACTTCGCTGTTGTTTCCATTGCCGGAATATTTTGCAGCGGGCTGTTACAATTTCATTTCAACGCGGCCCTTGACCACGAACCACGACCACAACTCGCCGTTGATTTTATAGTTCAATAAGTTCTCCAGCGGGCGCAATGGCTCCTAAACCACCCACATCTTCCAACAACCACAAAGGTCCCAAAGCCCGTAAGTCAGCCACCGCGGGCTCGACGACCGGAAAATCCTCCTCCAAAGTCGGCGGCCGACGTCCACCGACGAAGCAAGTCAAGTCCAAACCCGGGTCGCACGCCGACGGCGGCGCCGCCAACGCAAAGACGTCCAAGAAGCGCGAACGCACCTACACGGACAAGGAACTGGGCTTGCCGGCGCTGAACATGATCACCCCCGTCGGGGTGCAGAAGCCTCGCGGCAAGAAAAAGGGCAAGATCTTCGTCGACGACAAGGAGAGCATGATGACTATCCTGGCCATGGTGAACGCGGAAAAGGAGGGTCAGATCGAGAGCAAGATGATCAAGGCCAGGCAGATGGAGGAGATCCGCGAGGCCAGGCGGAAAGAAATGGAGAAGAAAAAGGAACAGAAGCAGCAGGCCCTGGAAGAGGTGAAGAAGGGCTTGAAAAAGGGAAAGAAGGCTAGGGACAGCAAGATCGATGCGTCAGAGGAATACGGAAGGACCTCAGAGGGAAAAGAAAAGAAAAAGAAGAGAGTTTCGTTTGCGTGAAAAAAACAACACAAAGGCAAAACCGCACATACTTGGTGTGTTCTATAAATGGTCTAATATCGACGAAACGTATCTACAGCTATGACGGGATATTCATCTTGCGCCGCATGGGCTCAAAGACCGGCACTAGAGGGTTTCGATTATCGCGGGAAATTTGCCCCTCGAGTTGCGAATCGTCAGCGTCAATCCTGGATATGGCGTCTAGGTCAATGTCTCGTGCCATGGTTTGGAAGAACGCTGTGGTCTATGGTCACCCCATTCCGTCAGTTGAGGTCACAGTTGAGCATTGTGGCCTTCAGAATGGAAACTTACGACTCTCGCAAACCACCGTTTGCCCCCGAGTTCGAACCAACTCAGGTGGCCACCAGTGCTCGTTGTACACAGCACACCATAAGGTGTCGTCTGGACTTCTTGTCGCGGCAAAGCTTCGCTCGCAGTCACCTGTCCTGTCAGCATGGAGAATAATTCTCCCATTTTCTCCGAACTTACTGGATCATCTTCCGCATGAATCGCGAGAAAGGGAATTCGGATGGCAAGCAGGGAATCTACGGAGGATGCATCCCGATAATAAGCTCCTTCCGTTGGGTAACCCCAAGTTGGACCTTGAACATGTCTGCGAGTGCTTTAGCGGGCGTCTTAACTTGAAAGTGGCTCGAGACATACCGGTCAAATTCATGGAGATGTTTAATCTTTCGGACGGCATCGACGTCAATTTTGGGGTTTGTGGAGATTTGGTCGACGTGACTGCAGAGAAAAGGATTTGTGAGAAGGGTTGAAAGAGGGAGTACCGTTACTTCAGGGACTCACGTCTCGAATAGTCTCTTCATGCTGTTTCCCATGGCGGCGGAATATACATTCCGGTTGAACCATGTCCGTTGCAAAGCGAGACTGCCCGCCTGCAAGTCCCAGGGGTTGGAAATGATACAAGCTGCCTCCAAAGGACAATCACTGCCTTCTTCACCAAGATACTGTATACTTTAGTCTTGATACTGAGTCAGACCGGCATAGATACTCTGTGCTTACATTTGTGAGAATGTTCGCTCCCAGCGAGAACCCAATACCAAAGAGCGGACGATTCGGAAACGTCTTTTTCAGCCATTTCACGGTCTGTCTCACGTCCCATGTAGCTCTCGCATTGTACAGAACGCTAGATGTCACCTTGGTCATAGCACATCCTCTGGAGATGACAACACATGCCTCCCATCCACCTTCTCCCAACAGAGGAGCTAGGACATGCCGGAGATAGAGCTCGTGAGACCCACCACTCAAGCCATGAAGCATCACCAGCATTGGGCAGTTGTCGAGGGAGCCGATGGTCTTGAACTCCTGTTCCGTGTAGTAGGTCGTCCTCGGCGGTAACGTCGGGTCGTGAGCATCGTTGGGTTTCGTGGCAAAATCAACCGCGAATTGTCCAGTGTATGTAGATTCCTCGTTCTCAAAGATCCGCCGCTTATAGTATATGGGAACGGATTGCCGGGTCAAAACCGTCCATATGGTCTGAAGATGGCCGTTGAAGAGAAACGGGTTCAATCGACAAGGTGGAACGGCAGATTTGCATAGTTTTGCGAGCGAAGTAGTTCTGCCGTCCTTAGTTTTGAGTACAAGTGACTTTGCTGAATGCCAGTATCGAATTTTGGCCATGCCAACAACCTTGGCTGGTGATATAACAAAAGCAGCAAAGAGAGCGACGGTAATGACGGAAACAAAGACCGGATGCTCCTGGGCGAGAGAGACTGTGTCCGCCAGCAGGAAACTCATTTTGTCTCTAATTGATATAGAGTCTCAGCACACTCATCTTGAACGATATGTCTGTTTTCCCACGCTGCCTCAAAATATTAAAGTCGAGTCTATGAGGTCAATTAATTTTTTAATTCTTTGTTGTTGTTGATGGCCTGGTTACAGTACGGATATATAGCGCACATGCTTGAGACAGTGGCGCCTGTGCCGAGGAACAACGGGGGCTCACCAAGATCTTCCAGGCGTTGTCTCCGTCCAGTATCCGTCCTTACATAGGCCAACTGTTTCAATGCCCAATCGATTCGTGCGATTTGGTTTTGTAGATCCCGCCTAAGCAGTGACAGGCCACACGCGTTATTTTAACCTCACATTACTCCGTTCTCAATATCACAATAAATATCAATTTGACATCAGTCTCGCCTTGAATTCTACAGCCGTAGGTTTGACTCGATGCGATTGACAACGATGAACTTGCGTCTTGCATTGATATCGGCAAATGCCTCAGAGATTGGGCTGTCGCCGCTTTATGCATAAAGGGACAGTTCCACGCATCGTACGCGTTTGTTTGCGTGAGACAATCCTGGCTTAAATCGTATACCAGCATCGGGAGAAAAGGGAATTCTACTTCCAGGGGTCCCGGGCGCGACGTGATATCGAAGCAAGAAGGCTGTGGCTCTGAAGAGAAGGGAAGTCACTGCCTGGAGGCCGCCATCACCATGGATCGCAACTATCAATTCAATGGCATGTACACCAATTTCCCTCGTCACCAAGCACAGCAGCCACCATCTCAGCCTTTTCTACAACCTCAACATCAACTTCAGAATCAGCACCAGCACCAGCATCTCCCATCCCAATCACACGCTCAATCGTATTCCAGTCCCCAGTTTCGACCTCAGCCTCATCCTCCGCCTCAACCGTACAATCAGCCTCACTCGTATCCTCAATCACTTCCACCTCAGCCTCTTCGACAGAATTACCCTCAACACTATTACAACCAAGACCAGTCGTATCAGTCGCCGCTCCCACAATATCAGCAACAACCGTTCTACCAGGCGCCTCAGCCGTCCGCATCACCGCCTCAACCTCGTGTCCAGGTCGTCATACCTCCTCGGCCTTCGCCATCACTCTCGTCACTGCCATCACCTCAGCAACTACAACAGCAGCGACAACAGTTCCATCAGCAGCCTACACCGCAGATTAATCAACTACCCAGTCCTGTTCAATCATTTCAACAGTCACCGAGAGAACAAGTGAAACAAGGACGTCTTCAGCAGCCTCCCCAACCGCGTCCTCAACTGCGCCCTCAGCAACATCCTCAGCAAAGTCCCCAGCTGCGTCATCAACAACATCCTCAGCAAAATCCCCAGCAGCATCCTCAACAAAGCCTTCAGCAGCGCCCTCAGCAGTATTCTCAGCAGTATTCTCAGCAAAATCCCCAGCAACCTCCCCAACAGCATCTACAATACCGTCCACAACTCCCGCCCTCAGGTTCGCAACAACGACAACAACAACAAGCAAGTATCCTTGCTCAAATTCCATCCCCAAATGTCAGCCATGGGCAAGCTCCGCCAGTGCGAAAGCCACAGGCACCTCTCGTAAGTGAGCCTGAGGTGTTCATTAAGCAAGAATTAGCACCGCCTACCATAAAATCGGAAGAAGTGCCTCAGAATATGCCAGGCCCAGGAAGCACGATAAATCCCCAAATGCTGATGAAGCCGCCGCAGCCAAAGCCGCCTAAAGTACTTCAAGCTGTCGAGATCGATACAAAACCTAAGCAGATCTCCAGCAAAATGGCAGACTATGAACAAAAGCCCCCAAAGCCTGACGAACTTGAACCTGACTACACCACCTTGTTGTGCGTCCTCGCGGACGACTATATTGATGCGGCGCGCAAACTACCGACGTCGAATGAGGAGTACTATACACTGATAGCAACCGCTATTGGTTGTCTAGAATCTGTTCTTAACAACTTCAAGCTTCCACCCTTGAAGGAAGCACAAATTTCAATTCGATATGCACAACTTTTATACGAAGAGACCGAAAACTATGATGAAGCTGAGACCACTTTGACCAAAGCTATCGAAATCTGTGAAAGACACAAATTTGTTGACTTGAAGTATGAGATACAATTACTGCTATGTAAAGTTCTCTATGAGTCTAGACCTAAGGCTGCGTTACGAGAGATGCAAAGAATGATTGATGATATCGAAGCGTATCGCCACACAGTGTGGCTCTACATCTTCCGTTTTCAGCATGCAATGTTTTCATTGGCATCAGCAGCACCAGGAGAAGTCCACAACGCAACTGTTCAGCTCGAAAAAATCACCAGCCTTGCACGGCAAAACTCGGATAGTGCTGTGCTGGCTTTCGCTGCCGTGGTGGAAGCACTCCTACATCTTTCCAGTTCCAGTCACGAAGCTGTCACTGCTACTCAGACAGCGCTAGCCAAGGCTAGAGCGCTGCAGTTAAACCTTGATGTCGAGAGAAACCCACAGCTGACTATTTTCATGGAATTTCTTGACCTCGCATGCAGTGTTCAAGAAGCCAACATTACACAAATTGAAAATAAACGTAAAGTCATGCAAAATGTCCTTTACGAATCAATCAGTGACACCCACTGGCGCGATGATGGCTTCATCTACCTTCCCATATCAAAGCGAGCGATAGCAGGTATCGAATTCACAGGAACTGGACACGTCATTGAAAGAGGTGGCAGGTACTTTTTGACCTTCTCGTGGCTGAGCAAAGCACAGGTAGAAGTCTTGGGTTACCTATTTAGTGCCGACAGTACAGCATACAAGAGTGGAACGGATGGAGGAAAGGCCGAGAAGTTCGCCTTGGAAGGCCTCTCGGACGTTCAAAACTGGGGTTGGCCAAAGCTCTCTGCAGGCTACCAACAGTCACAGAGGGAAAACATCTTTCAAAAACTGGTTGAATGTCAGTATCTGTTCCTGATCTGCTTTATGCGTTGTGGCAGAGGCCTCTGGCAACAAGCGGATGATATGCTGGTCAAGATTGAGGCTATCGCGTCGGGACTTGGAAACAACTTTCCCTTGAATATGAAATCTGCCCTTAGTTATCTACAAGGGGCTGTTTTGCAGGGGACAGGAAATACCACGGAAGCACTCGAAATTTATCAATCCCCAATCTTGAGCTTCGACGAACAGAAATACACTGCGCTGCCGACAAAGCGAGATATGGACTATCAGATATCATCCTCGTATCACGCCGAGTCTGACGTTACCCGCAATTTCTGCATCCTCGCGGCCATGAACAGTGCCTTCATCCTCCGAGATCCTCATCATCCACAGCATAACCGGCTGTCTTACTTGGTTAATCGCCTTGGTCCCATAGTCCAACAATGTGGCAACAAATACATCCAAGCGCATTATTCGCTCTTGGTCTCGTTTCTGGCAAACACAACTCTCACCGCGAAGCAATATCTCAAAAGTGCAATGGAAGCTGCAAAAGCGATTGGAAGTACACAAACCACAGCACTTGCCCTTATCTACATGCAGGAGAAGCTCTTCAGGAGCACTGTAGATGAACAGGCCCTCAAATGTGCTCGAGCAGCCAGCCACCAGGTTCGGAGATGGGGCGACCCACTATGGATGCACGTCGTGGCCGGTCTCGAGGCCGAGGCACTGGAGGTCAATGGGTTTATTGAAGACGCCCAGCATAGAAGAGCCGACGCTGCCGCAGGCTGGGAGGATTTGCAGGAGGGGATCAAGGGATGAAAATGCTAATACTCAGATGCAATATCCGCGATGATGATGAGGTCCTGAAATACCTCGAGCCAGCTTTGTCAAATAATGAATTGTGAAAAGTGACCGGAAGGAAGAAAGCCTTTGAGTTTTAGCATTTAGTCTCTTTGAAAGTATTAGGATTCGAAAATCATTCACTATGATATGAGCACTGAGCATCTATCCTTGCTATTCGTTCATCCCTGGTCTCATCTTTATTCATCGTGCAAGCTCTAGCTCAAATGCTGGAAAAATTCCGTCGTCAATCATACACTGCGAGTCGAATGAGCTCTTGATGAAGTAACACCAAACTCCTTTTCCCGAACCCACAAGGTTGGGTGTAGCGGATCCCACAACACTTGCAAACGAGAGCACATCGCTGTTCTGTTTCCTGCCCTTTGCACCAAAACCAACCGGTCTTCCTGCTTGGCAATCTTGGAGACGACCATCCGCCCTGCGTCGAAGCAGCAGCAGCAGCAGCAGCAGCAATGGCAACCTTGGTTCAAGAAGGCAGACTCTCCGGGGTTGGCGGGGCGTGTTCCGGATTGTTGTTCTTCACCTTGCGCTTGCCCTTGGCCTTCTTTTTCTTCACGACCGGGACATCCTTGCGGACGGTGTTGTCGCCGGTGGTGGATGAAGCCCCCTGCTCGGCCGTCGCAGCCGTCTTTTGACCGTGAGAGGTGTCGAGTTGACTGTCAATCTCCTTTTCGAGCATGTCGAGAAGGTTGTCGTCGCCGACAACGGGGATCCCATTGTGGGCATCATTCCCGCCGTCTTCGCTCGCGAGTGTGACGGTGCGGGTCAGACTGCTGGGCGTAGCCATACTCCCACCGGCCGCGCCGAAGCTGCCGGCACTGGGGGCCGGGGATGCACCTACAGTCGGGCCCGGAGTCGCTTCGGGCTGCTCGATTCTGCGCTGTGTCTTTTGGTCGATGGTCTCGTCGACGACGCCGGGGGCTTGACGTTGGCCGGTCTGCCATTGCCGGATGAGTCGGGACACGTCGACTTGGTACCTGAGGGCTTCGAGTTTCAGCTCGAGGGACTGGAGAATCGCCTGCTCCTGGAGTTGCCAGTCGCGCAGGGCGGCACCGCCCTCCTTTGGTGCGTTGTCTTCAAACTCGGGGACCTGTAGAAGATTATTCGGTTCGGCCAACCCTTTCAAATGGCTGTCGTCGACGAGGACGGTGTTGCCTTGGTTCCATTTACACCCCTTTTCGGCCTTACGTTGGATGGCCCCGTCCGACCAGATCTTGTCGAGTTTCTTGTACACTTGAACCTTGTTGTTGTATTGTTGTCTGGTCAAGCCCAGTTTGTCTCGTGCCCAGACTGCGGCCATCTGTTGGCGCTGCACGGGATGGATGAGGTTGTTGACCATGGCGGTCGTGTTCTCCGGCCTAGCAGAGGAATACACCATGACAACGTGGTTGGCGAACAAGTAATCAAGCAACTGCGTAACGCCTGGTCGGATCTTGAACTTCGTCGGGTCTCCTCTGCGGTTCGGTCGCACGAGCAAAGTGCCGTTCAGGTCCAAAATCACGAGAAGCTTCTGTGCCTTCTGTCTCAGTGCTGGCGGGAGAGCGGCCTTTTCCCTGTACTCTGATGTAGGTTTCGGGACAGGCACTGGCTCAATTTCACGAGGAATTGTGCTTCTGCTGCCTCCACTCCGAACCTGACGGATGGGTAAGTCTGTAAAGTTGACTGGCGAGATGGGAGCGTCTGGAGTCTCGATCGATGGGAGTGGGACATCTCGACTGGAAGTACTGTAAGCTGCGACTTGTTGTTCAGGTTGTCTTGAACGGAATGTATAGCTGCGTTCCTGACGTTGTTGGACGGTACCCCTTCTCTGAGTACTGCTCTGCATCCTGTATGGTTTGTCAACTCGATATGTAGGATATCGAGCGTAATTGTGAACTGACCTTAGAGGTTCATATGCATCTGGGCCCCTAGCGTTGTCGTGTCGCCATTGGTAGTTGTCAGAAGAATTCGTCCTCATGTTTTGAGAGTGACTTTCTGACATGTAGTCACTTGGTAGACGTGGTCGCATCCATCGGTGGCTTGAGGTCTGAAGATTTGCCGTATCGTTTCTGTAAGATCTCCAAGAATCCACTATTTCATAAATGTTAAGCCTATCCTTGACCAAAGTATCACTGTATTCACCTTGTCGAGGTTGTTCATTTCTTGGTGGGTTGTAATCTCGAAAATCGCTGTAAGGCGGCCGATATGGATCAGCATAACGCGGTCGATAGCTGTCGCCAGGCATGATTGCTGAGGATGTTTTTCGTGACGCAGCGGGAAGGGCACAAGAGAAGAGGCTCTGATGCTGCCACTGCAAGAGACAAGTGTTAGTAATGTGAAGATGACAGTTGAAATGGTTTGGTGAAGCAGACTTTTGAGAGTGGTCGGCAGTGAAGGCCAGAGTGAAGGCCAGAACCCTGTCTAATAAGGAGCACCTCCAGAGTTGAGATACACGCGTTATGCTGCGGGCAATTTACTTGTTGCGCACAACAATGATTTCTGGTTAACGAGAAAGTGCAGTGAATAAAATGCGAAGGCAACTTTCGCAGGCAAATCTCAGAGTTCTTTGCTAAGATCTGGAACGCCTGCGTTGTCGTACGCTATCGTTAAGCTTGTCTTTTAGTGCCGGGTACGTCACTCGCGGCTTTCAAAAAAAAGTTCCCAACTGTCCATGTTTCAACCTCTGCCTTTTCCGCACATCTACAAACATGAGTTCGGCTCTTCTGGATCGACCCGTCCAATTACGACACGATGATGGCGATGGAGACGATTTCGATGAGGAGGCTTCTGTCCAGAACAACAGCGAGGTAGATCAGTCTGCGGACAGTGATTCTGGCGCGACTGGCTCAGAATCTATCGACGAGGTATTCCAAGCACCTGCCGGACTATCAAAGGTTGTTGACAGTTTGCAGGACGACGATTCAAGCTCCGAGCCCGAAGAAGATTCCGCACTGAAAGATATCAGCTTCGGGGTTCTGGCTAAAGCCCAAGAAACCTTCGACCCTCGGCAACGCAAAAGGAAGTACGAGGAGGCTACTCAAGACGCAATAGCCGACACAGGAAAGAATGAAGAAGACAATTTCGATACCCGGAAAAGATCCAAAGAAGCACGAATCGACGCACCCAAGAGATCTTCTAAACATGCCCCTGTGATTGAATCTGCGCGCAAGCCTGTGTCGCGGAAAAGAACAATTTTCGAGCCGCCTGCAGCGCAGAAATTCCGAGATCCCCGATTTGACCCTACAGTGATGTCGGCGAACAGAGATAGGAATACTGCTGAAAAAGTGAATAAGAATTATGCATTCTTGACACAGTATCAGGCAGCGGAGATCCTGGATTTGAAGACGCAGATCAAAAAGGCCAAAGATCCAAATGTTGTGGCTGACCTCAAACGAAAAGTCATGTCGCTAGAGTCCAAGGTGCGCAATGCTGAGATGCGACAGAAAGAGGAAGCCATCAAGAGGAGGCACAACCAGCAGGAGAAAGAAGCCCTTCGCACTGGACAGAAGGCCAAACCCTACTACTTGAAAGAAGCCGATGTCAGGAAATTAGCCAAAGAAGAGCGTCTGCAGAGTCTGGGCAAACGGGCCAGAGACAAAGCCGAGAAGAGAAGACAAAAGCGTGAAAAGGGTAAAGATGCGAGGGACATGCCACGATTTAGGCGTGAAGGATGATGAGATTTGGGTATCTGCCACTCAACTTGTCCTACACATTAACCAAGCGCGCTGGTGACTGAATGAGATATGTTGCTACATGCTCCCAAAGTACCATGTTGGACCGATGCATGTTCACTTATTTGATTCTACGACTTCATCTCCATGTCAACGACCAGCTTTCCACCGACACCTCGATGATAATCTTCCACCAGCTCATTCAACTTCTCCAGGGGATATGTCCTGGTCTTTGCTCGGACGCCGTACTTAGCGGCAAAGTCCACCATAGCCTGCAGCTGGTGATTGCGCCCGGTCAATACGCCAACAAGCTTGATATGTCTAAAGACCAAGTCTCCAGGCTTGAAACGCCAACCATCCTTGGGGAAGCTCACACACACACATGTCCCGTGGCTCTTCAAGACACTCATACCGAAGTCGAACGCGGCCTGTGACTCTGGCAGGATCACACTGGATTCGCAGCCCTTTTGATTGTCGAGCCCCGGTGATGCGGCTCCGAAGATGCGTCGTTTCGCGTCCTCCACATTCTCCTTTAACGCATCGACAGGGATAACATTCTTGCCGTCCTCACCGAGTTCTTTGATCACGCCGTCCAACATGGCCATAGCTGGCGTTGTGTCCACGGCCAGAACCTTCCAGCCGAGTCTCGCAGCAAATTGCACACCTAAATGTCCCAAGCCGCCACCAGCTCCGAGGATTGCGACAGCCTTGTCTCCCTTACCCCTGTCGCCTCCTTCCATGTTCAATCCCGCTGCTCCCAGCGCGTTCCAAACCGTGACGCCTGCACACATGAGAGGGGCGATGTCTACGGCTTTCATGGCTCCGCCACTCGGCACGCGCGCGACTTGCCTCACGTCAACGAGGCAATAATCTTGGAAACCTCCGTCCCTCGTCAACCCGAGGTTAGACCCCTTTGGGCACCAGACTCCGTACCCTGGAAGATCACCGCCATTGTCCACGCACTCTTCGCAGGTTCCGCACGGGCCGAACGCACGACCTGGAACGCCGACCAGATCTCCCTGCGATATCCCCTTGGTTTTCGCCACGGACTTGGCATCGTCGCCCAACGCCTCGACGATTCCGGCAAACTCGTGCGATCCTACCCGAGGAAGACCCTGTTGCATGGCGCCCGCAACGAAGACGGCGTCTGTGTGGCAGTACGACGCGGCCGTGACGCGGATGAGCATTTCATGACCCTTTGGAGGTGCAGGCCGAGCGAAGTCTGTCTTGAGCGTGTAGGGTTGATTGAAGGCCTCGAGGACTTGTGCACGCATTGTGCCTGTGGTTGTTGTCGTTGTCGTGCTCGACATTGTCCTGGCGCTTGTCCTTGAATTCCGACTCTGTCCGGTATGGTGTTGGTATCGGAATCGCGCGGTACGAATCCCGAGTTCGATAGAACGGCAGTCTCGAAGACCAATACGATTGAAAGTGCCTAGTACCGGCGTCGAGAGCGTGGGGCGCCTCCCCTGTGCGGCGAGCAGCGAAGTGAATAGAGCAATGTTGAAGTTGAAGTGTTGCTCGGGTTCGTGCTTGTGCTTGCCGAGTTTAGTTTTCGTCGACTTCTTCTTCGCGTCGTACTCTGAACCCGAAACCACCTTTTTCAGTGAAATACGAAACGGGAACAGGATCAATTGAGAACCTCGAAACCCACAACATCGTGGTTTACCGGCAACGGTGGTGGTGGAGAGAAAGGTGAAATTTGGAGAAAGCCCTCTTTGCACCCGCCAGCCTCGCTTCCTTCTCCAACTCGAAGAATTGGGGCAAGAGGAACTTCAGTAACGAGTACGGAATACTAACACCTACAAAGGTTCGCGAGGTACGGACTAAACACGTGCGAGGTATTGTCCGTAACTACTACACATGACATGACAAGCATCCTGTGCGAGCCCCCGGAATTGGAAAAAAAAGCAACCCACTCGACATTGTTGTTTCATAAGACGGTACTCCGTATGATCCGACACAACAAAGTGCGTACTCGTGTACTCTTGATGTATTAATAGTACATGCCTGTCGAGGTCTACACGTTACCAACAACGTCAAACTTGTTGATGGCATGGCGGCTCCCAAGACCGTCAAGCCGCAGAGTATACTCCGTATGGATTATACAATAAACATAACAAAGGAAAATGAAGCGAGCATTTCACAAGCAAATCAATGCTTTTTGGAATTTTCTCTGCAATCCTACGAGTACCCTACCCCTGTTGTAGGAGTAGCCTCATCATCTTGACAGGAACATACACACATGAGGCCATCATCCAACACCAACAACAGAGTCCTACCAATAAAATCCTGCAACTCTTGGTGCCGTAACCCAAAGACGTCGCTTGACAACCCAAACCAAAATCAAATCCAATGCAAAACCTCCCTCAGCCATTCGTCGCTAATCATCTGTGAGTATTAGAACTAGTCCCAGTCCAGCCAGTCCTTTTGTCATTACATGATACTGCCCGTTCAAAGACATCCATCCCATGTAGCAAAATATTCAGATCCAGCGAAGATTTATCGGCGAGATTTCGTGCCCAAGGAAAAGAATGCCTTTCGCAAACGGCCGTCCGTCTCATTACGCCCTGAAGCGCCGTCGCAAATGAAGGCATCGAATATAAACAGAAGTGTGAAGTCACGACATCAACATTCAAGAATGGAAGAGATCCCATGCTCGAGCGCATAAGCTCAAGAATTCTTCCTTCTTTGCTTTTTGGGTGGCAGGGCTGTCTCTCCCTTCTCCGAACGGACCACTATGGCGAGGACGTTCTCGTCCAGAACCGAGAGGCGGGCTACTGCCCTCTTCATATTCCATACGGGTTCTTCGTCGACCCGCAGAGTTGTTGGGTAGGAACTTCTGAGGAGTCAAATTGTCCTTCATTGCAGGATGAGGTGAGGGGGGAGTGGGTGGTTGATGGCCTCCATAGTGGACGATTCGGGGCAACAACTCCTCCCGTCCGCCAGTCATCTCGTGAACAGCTTCTTCTGCCGATCGATATTCTCGAGGTCGATCCAAGTGCATAGCCTGAGACATAGGATGAGCCGTTTGTGGTGGAAAGCCTGGCGAAGGTAGTGGAGGTCCATGACCCTGGGAGGGTGTCGAGTTTGCATGAAGGAAGGGAGGTCGACCAGGACCCGGGTTGAGCTCACTGGCTCCAAACACGTCGGCAATGGGAGGAAGTCGATTGTTGGTTTGGATTGCAGGAACATGATGGATGTGAGTTTGTGACGAGTTGGCGACATGATCACTGATTTGTCTCGATGGGGGTGCCTCATACCTGCCAGTAAATGTCTGGTTTAGTGGCGCTGATTGAATAACACGTTCGTTGGCAAAGCGCTCGGCTGCAGGAGGCACAATCGATAACCCAGGTGGGGGCCTTTTCTTGGAGGAAGCTGCAGGTGTCTTGGAAGTGGTTGCCGTTGCTGGCTCGCTGGTCTTTCCTGTGTCCGGTCCATCTCCCCTTGCAGATTTAAGAAGTCGAGCTTGAATTATGGATCGCTGCTGGTCTCTCACAGACATGCTACGCTCAAGCTGTTCGCGCATTGCTGGGTCTTGGGTTTGGAACCCAGGAGACAAGCAGGCCAGGCCGACATCCTGAACAACCAATCCGTCTCTTGCAGTCAGTGGTGTGGCCGATGGCCGAGAGTTCACATTTGCGAGTAAGGCACCCGTGGTATTCAAATCCAACTTCTTAGGTCTGTGGCGAGTTGTCTGTAGGGATGGGGATGGGGGAGGTTCCTTCTTCACAATGATCTTAGGGTGATCTGAACTACGAAGTCTGCCACGATGGACGTCAGTATCCGTCAGTTTCAATGAAGTTGTGTAATGCTTACGATCTTGGAGACCTCTTCCCATCTGATGGAGACTTCTCGTTGGCATTTGCGGGCGTGTTTGTCTCTGAAAGTATGCCCAAGTCGGAGTTCCTGTCTCTACTCGTAGAAGGAGCCAGTGGCGGATAGCTTCTGGGGCTCAAGTTACGATCGAGTGAAGGCATCGGAGCAACCGCAGCTGAAGCCACTGCGGTCGACATGGCTGAACGACGATGAAGTAGCAACAAGGCTGCAGTATACGGAGTATTGTTCTGCGAGATCCCAGCAGATGTCCAACTCTTTTACCTCGTCAATCACAACCCAGTCGTCGATAGTGCGCCGTGGTGTTGGTCAATTGGATAAACAGCAAACTAAACGAGTGGTCTCGCAGAAATACAGCGCGAGAGGTAGGACAGCGGTTCGACCGCTGGGCCAGCACAACCTCTGGTGGAAAGCGAGTGACCTGAGGGCGATAAAAACCAACCGATCCGGCTTAGACAGAGGACAAAGCACACTCCAGCCTGGGCGGATTGGGTTGGAAAGGGAACGGGATGAGAGAGCAACGAGCGGCTAGGACGTTCTTTGAGAAACGCGGCCTGTGAGGTTTCGAATAATGAGGGAGGGAGGAAAGGGAAAAAAGCGGGTGCGGGAAGGAGGGCAAGAAACGAGGCAGGCTAAGACAAGTGGACTTTTGGAACAGACACGACAAGGGTTGAATCGGGAGACATGAATCAGAGATGTCGAAGCAAGAGAGGTGTGGCACAGACTACTCCGTAGGTGTTGCAGGGGATCGATCTGCCCCAGGTCCAAAGCCAACAACGGTTCTTCCACTTAGAGAGCGCTGAGGCTTCCGTTAACCCCCTTGAGCCTAGCGGCGTAGCGGGAGAGTTTCAGGGATGCAGGAGCCCAAGCAGCGCCCAGCAGTCAGATTCTAGGGTGCCCTTTTAGGGCCAGCAAACGGAGTAGGCGGCCCCTTCTTACTTAGACTGCCCCCCCAGACTGACACAAAATCTATTGATACGGAAGTCTTATCGCCACTCGCATGCATCCTGAAGCTTCGTTTCGAAGCTCGTTAGTCCTGCGACTTTGTATTTAGTTGGCCATACTTCCGTGCTTCACCGACGGACAAGTAGCCTGATCAATATTAATTTCCATCGACTTCATGCATTATTGCGACTGCTTGTCTCGTCATCTCGTCTCGTGGCCGCCACCCACGGCGCAATCGCTTCGACGAAGTTCGGCTGGCCCCCCCTTTCGCCATTTCTTTTGCGTGCACGGTGCGGCAAACAATGTTTCAAGTTGCCAGATGCCTGGCGTCAGTGCTCAACGCATGACCTCCTCTACATTACCTCTTACGGTGTGCCCTCTCTGTGTTCGTCGCGACTCCTTGGCCCCGCAGCCTCGAGACGCGTTTGATATCCCTCCATTCCGGGAATCGTCTCCAGCCAAGTTCTAGCCTTGTGTGTCACGGGCCCACTTGTCGATAGAAAAACTGTTTTTTTCCGTATGTATGCAGCAGCACAGAAAGAGTGGTAGTTGGGTGACCCGGATGTGCGGATTGCTACGGCATCTAGCTCTTACGACTTTGCCTGTCACACGTTGCAGCCAGACGGAATCCATGCCTGAGTATTGGACCGTCCAGAAGAGACCTGCATGTCGCAGCCGCCAAAGTGGCACAGACCGAGTAGCCCATTGGGCCTGGCGGGCTCTCCTTCCCCTCCCAAGCATGCAAGCGAAGGTCACTCAAAACTTGCCGGCCCTCCAGACAAAACTGGTAGGCTCACCAGGCTAGAGTCCAAGTACAATAGTTAGGCTGTCAGCCCTGGACGTCCGAGGCCCCCATGTCGTATCCTTCTGCTCACTTGCAGCAGGCACTATTAGGCGCGGCCGAACCGTTGGTGCCAGGGTGCAGCCTTCTGCAAGGCCGGAGTCATGCCTGGAAAGAGGCTGGCTGGCGGTACACTACAGCGCACTCAAATAGTAAGGTTTGCTGAAACATGTCCAATGCCTCTAAACGTCGATCGCACTGCGAAGATGGTCAGATTTGTCGAGCCTGACGCACTGGATCAAACTGCACATCCCGCTGATCGAAGCGATGGCGCAGAGATGGCTGGAGAGAATAATCCGTACTAGACAGAGTCAGGCAATACTAAACGATCCTCAAACAGGTGCAACCACGGGATACTAATATTATTGTTTTTGTTTGCACGTAAGACTTTGCCCCCGGTTGGACATAAATGTTTATTCGAGAAATGAATATGCTTGCAATAGTTGTTCATTCGTCCAGTCATCATCCTCTTGTTCTCCTCTGATTTTGCTGGCCGTCTCACTTATCGCTAGTTTCATCTCGGTTTTCCCTAGCCGAGCTAGTGAGCCACGAGGCAGGCCAACAGATGTCGATGCGATGGGCGAATGATGCCGGTTCCTGAAACGCTCACCTGTACGCTAGCACTTCAGGGGCCCCATAGCGTTGCTTGATCCCTGTATCCCTGAGTTTCAACTACAAGAATCGCAACTTAAGCATCAGTATTATTGCGTACGTCCGTATTCCGTGAAAATGCATGAAACGATGGTCTTGTCCTGTTCTTGTATAGGCTCGAAGTCTCACCGACAAAGTAATAATAGGAAGCTTTTTTTTACCATGTCTGCTTCACGGACTCGATTGTTATTAATGAGCAGTGAAGCCTTGGTCCAATTACAAGTTGTCTACGTCGTTTCGATGACTTACCAAGAGAAAAGCACAACATCATTTTTGAGGGCACTCTAGAGTGTAAAGCGAGCTGACAAAGTCTATGTTGTTGGTTTTTACAAAAGGATTTATATTCTCCATAATCCGTATAGTACAATAAGTCGGTATGATTCAAGTATGCGCAAGGCGTCGTACATTTTCGACTTATCCTTTTCCTCAACTTGTGTAATCGCTCCTTACTCGAATAAGTCCTGCTCTGGTATATCTTTCCATTTGTTGTCTGTCTGTGTAACTCATTGGCAGAGGTGAGTGGCCAACATTCGCCTTTAGAGCAGTCCGGATCAGTCAGTCCAACATTTCAAAAGCGCAAGAATTATTCCATGGTTGGGTAGTCGGTATAAAGCACTTCCATCGTGTGTGCTCCTCTCCACGGTAGCCTTACGGATTCTTTCGAGACTTTAGCATTGGCAGTTGCATGCTATTCCCTTTGAAACATTGTTCACGAGTTGACCACAGCGTATTGATCAAGAAAACAGCATGATTCTGGGCGCAGCATCCATATGGTCGAGTTACTTGAGTCCGTCGTCACAGAGTTTGAAGCCTTGTGCCACCGTCCACAAAAGCAGGCCGTCAGACTGGTCAAATTACGAAAATGACGAGCTTAATGCTCTGAAGAAATTAGTCAGACAATAAAATTTTCTCTCCAGCAGCCTCGCCTGCTTTGTATCTTGGCGCTAGACTAACGGCTTTTCGGCAAGGTTGGAGATTTTTCGTGAAGATTATCTCTTTTTACATCGGCCCAACATCGAGAGATATACAGGAAATCAGCAGTCATCATGTCGAACGACAGCGACATATCAATGGTGGACGAGGAGGAAGAACTCAAGCACGCCGACGATTTAACTCTGGGTGGTCTGCCGAAGCTGGTCATTGTAGGTTTAGCAAAATCCCTCTCCACCTTGCGAAAGGCCTCCCTTTCTAATACTTACGACACTTAGCTGCCAGGCGCATCTACTCATGCTGCGTCATTCCAAATTGAAAAGGAAGATCACACTCTAGGCAATGCCTTACGGTATTTTGTCAACAAAAAGTAAATGCAACTTTCAAACTTCACTCAGTGCCGGTGGGCCAGTTCTAATATGTTTCCAGTCCCGACGTAGAATTCTGCGGATACACTATTCCCCATCCCTCCGAGACGAAAATGAACATTCGCATCCAGACTTGGGGTAAGTCAAGAAGTCCTCGAGACCGAGCGCAGCCAGCAGAGTCTCTAACTCCAAGCAGAAGATACGCGGACGACAGCGGTTGATGCCCTGCGAAAGGGCCTCGTTGACATGATGGACGCCTGCGATGTGATTACTGAAAAGTTCACCCAAGCACGAGACGAATTTGATGCACAGAAATCGTAATGATTTATCGATTTTGGTGATGCATTGCGAAGGCGCTGGGGGTTTTCTGGTTTAGCTATGTACAGTGGTTGGTACCATGACTTCTAGTTCCGTCCCTAAGTATTGCGTTAGGTTGTTTACGCAAAGACTCGTAGCATCGAGACATACCTCAAGGAATCCAGACATGAAGTTCTTTGGTAACCTGGCGTTCTCGTCCTCTTCCGTTCTCCAGTACTTCATTATGTGCGAATTCTGTTTCCAGAAGTTAAGTGTTTCCTTTAAAAAGTTCCTCGTAAGCATCAGATTTGTATTGCCGGAGTGTCAAACGCACTTGGAATTCGGCGTGGCTCTGTTGGAGCAAAACATCCACCGCCTGTAGATGATTGACATATCTGTGTTTCTCAAACTCTTGTCTGACTTTCGTCCGGATCTTGGAGACTGGCATGTTCAGGGAGTACATCGACTGGATCTCAGGGCTCTTTTTCTTGATCAGCAGGGCTGTCCGTCGTGGGTCAGGGGGAAAATCAGCATACAGCTCTGAGCCATTCGCGGTATGATCTGAGAACTCGTCGTTGCGCATCTGCCCAGTTAATGGCTGTGGAAAGGTCAGCGCGTTTGCAAAGCTGCGGAGGGAGTTTGACGTACACGACCGCGACCTTTGGGCCAGATATGTAGGGTTGATGGTCATGTCGATGTATTGCACACTCACATAGGAGCGTTCTCGTGAGTTCTGGTCGGCGAGACGCAGTCTGCGTGGATTGATGTTAAGGTCTAGGGTTGCGGAGCTTCGACCTCGGCGAACCTGCTCCATTTGCTGCCCAATCACCACCAGGCATTTTGTAAGTGGAGATCACGTTAAAATACCTTCCAAGTGCCCTTTCGATGACATCTGGATTAAAAGAAACCACAGTCGCCAGCGCCAGCACCAGCACCTCAACACAATACCAGGAAAGGAAGTAATGGGTTCCATTGAGAGAGCCACACCAACCACAATGTCCAGACGCACACATACACTGAATCGGATAACCAACGAGACTAAAATTCAAGTCTCTCTTTCCCTTGATGGAGGTCCACTGCCCGCCTTTCAACCATCAGATCACTTCGATTCGTCAATACCTAACGCACAAAAGCAAGCACACCCTGATGTACTCTTTCCTCTGCCATCATCTCATCATGCGACACAAATCACTGCGACCCAGCAGATCGCCATCTCAACTGGAATTGGATTCTTGGACCACATGCTCCACGCGCTAGCAAAACATGCTGGCTGGTCATTGGCAGTGCGCGCGTCGGGGGATCTTATCATCGATGACCATCACACAGCAGAGGACGTCTTTCTAGCAGTGGGATCGGCTTTCAATGGTGCCTTGGGTAAGAGAACTTCCCTAGTGCGATTTGGTCGAGGAGATGCGCCGCTTGACGAAGCCCTTTCGTGGGCAGTGATCGATCTTTCAAACCGACCATACAGCGTGATCGATTTTGGCTTCACCCGAGAAAAGATCGGCGACCTCAGCACGGAAATGATCACCCACGGCCTCGAGAGTTTCGCACAGGCGGCCAGTGTCACTTTACATATCAAGTGTGTGTACGGACATAACAACCACCACAGAGCAGAGAGTGCCTTCAAGGCTCTTGCTGTAGCGTGCAGACAGGCTTGCGAGAGAAGAGCAGAAGGCACCGTTGGTAGTGGAGATGTCACGAGTACCAAAGGTGTACTTGGATCCAGCGTCAATGAATGAAGCAAAACCTTTGGGGTCTGAATAGATTGTAACAAGAAGCGTCATTGGATTTTAATCTCGTTCCTCAGATGTTCCCTTTGGGATAAAAGGATTGTTGCGTTATCAGCAATAAGAAACGCTCGTAGACAGCATTAAGCATCCAAAATCAGTGTTCAAAAACCCAACAAGACTTCTTCCTTTGATGTTTTAGGCTTCTCTGCTCTGAATATGAGCAGGGCCGAATCCGTGCCATAAAACCATCCCAAGGCCAAAAACGCCGCGCTGTACATACATAACAGTAATCATGAAAATGTGACAAAGCACACTCAGCCCAGACCGCCCCAGGCACCTCTTATCCTCCGAGCTAGCTGGATATCTTTCTGCATTATAGTAACCCTCTTTGCGTGGATGGCGCAAAGATTGGTATCTTCAAAGAGGTGTACGAGAAAGGCTTCGCTGGCTTCCTGTAGTGCCTGTATTGCTTGACTCTGCCATCTTAACTCCTGAGCTGCTCGAGTGGGAAGGAGATCAATTGCGATTTCGCGGACTAGACGCGCAAAGGGGAGTTTGAGAATCAACAGATCTGTTGACTGCTGATATCGTCTGATTTCTCGAAGAGCAATTGTTCCTGGCTTATATCGATGCGGTCTCCTCGTGGGCACTGGGTCGCCGGCTGGTCCCAAAAATCAGCGCTGTTCCATTCACGATCGATGACAGAGAATACTTACGTTGCGCGCGAGGTCGGCCCATACTTGTTCTCGACTTGACCTGAGAGCCTTGCCCTTTGCGGGGAGTCGTGCGTTCGGATTGGCGTCTCACATGCTTGGTCTGCGCCATGGTGCTTTAAGAGGTGCTGATCCTCCAAAGAAAGAGGTGAGGAGGGAGGCGCGTAGGAAATTGCTCAAGTGTAAGTCGCTACGTAGACTCGAAAATCGAGGTGGTGGATTGTCGTGGTAGTGCAAATCGATAATGGTCGTGGGCGGACGTTACGGCGCTGGGGAGTGGGCACCGTAGCGGTTCAAGGATGCTATCTCCTAGAGATTGCGTTCAGAGACAGACTGATCGGTCATGCGGTGTCGGTGTCGCGCGCCAGTATGCTGGATTTGTTCAAAAAGTGACTGTGCTCATCAAGGTCGCGTCCCGCATTGAAATCCGCAGAGGGCGCGTCAATTGGACTGGGCGGCTGACAAAGACTCGCCCGGGGTACCTATTTGCGCCTAACGTGGTGGCCTCTGCCTTACCTGACGCTTTGATTCGAACGACGTTCCGGGAGGCATCAAACACCTCGTTCTTCAGACAATCCCGCACAGCAAACAAAGAGGCCACCTACCACCTACCCACCTCTCACCATAGCCTGTCGCCACTACATGAACCTATCATTCCCCATCCTGTCGCCGATTCCTCCTCCAGATAAATATCACCATGACTACTCTGACCTTCGCTCGCCGATTCTGACGCAGTCCGTGTTGTCCCCCATCTACACTATCGTCCAGAGTCCCGAATTCCTCTCGGACTTCTCGCGAACCATCCTCCCGTTTTTTCAGCTCATACCTTGGATCATGGCAGCAATATTAGGCGGAGGCGAGGAAGCCCTGGGTCAGCTGGGCCAGTTTCCTCTAGAACAATGGTTCTTCGAGATGCCACCCTGCACCCGGTACTGGACGACAGCCACCGTCATTACATCAGTCCTGCTCCAATGCAAAGTCATTACGCCCTTTCAACTCTTCTATTCATGGCGCGCAGTATACTATAAGTCTCAGGTAAGAGAGAGCCATTGTACACTACCCCCAAAAATAACACGATCTCGCGCTGACACGGTCTGGTCTAGTATTGGCGACTGATAACCACATTCATATACTTTGGACCCCCGTCCCTAGATCTCGCCTTTCATGTCTTCTTTCTCCAACGATATTCCCGACTGTTGGAACAAGGCTCGGGCCCTTCACCAGCGGTCTTCTCGTGGCTGCTGCTGTACGCTTGCGCGTCGCTGCTCGCCCTCAGTTCACTCACCACCTCAATCCCGTTCCTCGGTTCAGCCCTGTCAAGTACGCTAGTTTACATCTGGTCTCGACGAAACCCGGATACGCGACTCAGCTTCCTGGGAGTGTTGGTGTTCACGGCGCCTTACCTACCTTGGGTGTTGATGGCTTTCCACATGTTCATGCACGGTAGTATCCCCAAAGATGAAATCTTGGGCGTGATTGTAGGTCACGTCTATTATTTTCTTGCCGACGTTTGGCCTGGTCTACATGAAGGACAGAGACCGATGGATCCTCCAGAATTCTGGGTTCGATTATGGGAAGGGCGACGTGCCGAAACTGGAGAGCGAAACATCGATGGAGATGTAGCTGCCGCTGCCGCACGACCTGGAGAAGTACGGTGATAGAGATGTAGCATGAGAACTGAGCATAATATAAAATCAAATTTGGACTAAGTCATTTTGAACCAGCACCAGTAAGAAACATTTAGTGTGTTTCGTCAAAACCGGCCTTTGTGGATTGCCTGGGAAAGAGTACGAACAGGGAGGCTGGTCGGGGGACCATGTGCCATCTGCGTAGGAATTCATTCTGTGTCTACCTCGCGAACTCGAAAGACTGTAAAGGCGTGATTTCGATGAGTCCAGCTAGGTCAGTCAGGACAAATGTGAAGTTGAAAGCCTTGTGATTGTCCTGAAGCATCCATCTAATGGTAGGAAAGAAAGAGGCTTGCTCCTCAGTTCTTGAGTTCCCAACTCTGACTTGCCGCTGGTCGTTGGCCATGTTAACTGCCCATAAAATTCAATGGTGGCGATGTTGATTAATCATCAGCTAGGCTCTGGAATCCCCCAAGCCATGGCTAAAGTTACACTTGTATATGTCGTTGGCCGTGTCCATCCCGCGCTTGACCATGCAGTAGGTGCATCATACGAGTGTTCCTTGGAGAGAACACTTAGATGAAGCAGTCAACCCAACATTCTTTGTCGAATTGAGATCTTGCTCAGCGTGTATCTTCGACTTCTGAAACACCGTGAAACATCGTGTTGAGTGAACTGGTCTGCTACCCTTCTGGGGGGATGTGTCATCGAAATTCTGCATGAGGTAATTGTCGACAACACCAAGGGTGTGAAGGTGAGACTGTACTGGCATTTTCCGGGTGAGCGAGAGGATTCGAGTCGGCCCTGGTAAGAGTGGACCCAGATGTCCCGGCAACTAAACGATCAGGTCGTCAGCCAGGAGCCTTAGACATTTGATCTAAGCCTCTATGGCGACAATCAATCTTTCCCCCGAGACAGCGCAGTCCATGCTAGTCGTCGAAAAGTGACGGGCAACGCTCAAGAATAAAACCTCAGATACGCCAGACTTGTGCTCAAGAATGGGCGGTGGGTATGTCCAAGGGGCGAGTCTATTCTTCGGGCTCGCCTTGTTCTTTCTCCAGCTGCTGCTCTTCTCTTTCTCGGCGCCTCTTCTCCTGTCTGGCCATCGGGTGCTCGCCATCTTCTGAAATTTCGCCAGCCTTCAGGCCTAAAGCTCTACGAAGCCTCTCACTCTCTCGTTCTTTCGCTTCGGCCAGTTCATGCACTTGATAGCTTTTGAGACCTTTGCCATCCATTCTCTTACCGCCCGAGCGGCGGTCCTTGTTACGTTCCATCTCTGCCGTTAACTTCTCACGCAGCTTGTCGCATTCAGCCTCGATTTTGTCCTCATCGACCTCGTCATCTTCTAACTTCTCTTGCAGTTCGAGGACTTTGACTTCGATATCCCGTAGCCTATCATGGTTCAGGATTTCCTGGTCCGGTTTGCGAGTCTTAGGGCCACGGGTGGACTCATCGAGACTGTAGGGTGCGCCGATACCTGTGTCGCGGGGTTTTAAGAGCGAAAGATTTCGCTGAACATAGCCTGAGGTCCCCGAGCCACGCGGAGTAGATAGACCAACGTTGGATGACATGTCAAAATATCCTCCTGGGTAGAACGCTAAGAAAAGCGAAGGTCTGAGAAACGGAAGAACGTTTCGCATGAATAGGAGGAAAGTTTGGGTAGAGGATGTACAAGTACTACGATGATTAGATAAGATTGGAAGCTAATCACGTGCCCAGACGTTTTTCCCCTCTCTTCGCTTGAGGTCATGATATCAAAGGTTCAGGTTTGCATCTGTAACGTCTTGCGTCGCGCATCTTGCTAATAGAGGAGGCAGTCAATTTCAAAGTCTAAAAGGACGAGCTTGATATACGGTCAAGCCTGGCGGCCGTCGCCAGTCTCTCTCTCATTTGACAGGTATGGCAGCCAGCTGCAAGAGCGGATGTCAATGCATCAGAAACTCGCTCGAGCAGTCCTCGCGTTGAAGGTCATAGTCGATTCGGGAATTTCCTATGATAGCCACGTCCCTGAGTTGGACTCGACCATAATGTTAGCGACCCCCCAATGATCGGGATGCTGTCTACGAGTGCTGGCCTGGTCGAGGTGCGCTGGGAGAAATGTTCGACACGAAAATCGCCTCGACAACGTTCCGCCAGGCGCAGTATATCGAATCATCCCACACGAGCATCACGGCTCGTCACAGATCTTTCTGCTTGTTTGTGTCGTTGATTCCTTATAGGCCCCGAATCCCCATCAAGCATGGGTAGGAGCAACTGGCATGGCCGAAGGTAGTACTGTTCTCCGTACGTACATCACACTTATCACCAGGCACCGCTAAATCGCAAGAGGCTAGCCTTCGTTCTAGGCATTTGCTAACAAAGTTAGGGACATCTCTGGTCCCTAAAAATCTGATGATCTGAACCCACAATCATAAGTTTTGGGGCAGCGACAGGGACTTTAGGCTGCGGGAGTTATTATTCTCTTGGCTCAATTGGACCCTTTCTCTATCACTCTGGAACTCAATTCCGGCATCTGCATTCGTCCTCCTTCGCACGGGGTACAACGCTCTTCGTTCTTCATTTGCTGCTTGGACAGCAAGATCTTGTCTTGTCGATGTTCCTCCCAGGGTCCTTATGATCCCTGTCATCTCATATACCTTTTTACTTGGCCAGATCCCGGCGTCCTAGGGCATTGACTTTGTGTATCGTTCCAAGCCTCTGTTTCTAACTGACTCTCTCTTTCTCCCTGTATCCGCCGCTTGGACTCTTTCTCTTTTCTCCTCAATCTATTGTCTGTTTATTTGCTCTTGCTTATACGTCCTGACAGATATGTTTCGTTGTGCTGTTGTGAAAATGATGCCGTTCCAGTTGAACATGGGGTCGGCCGTCCCTGCTGCATTACTTCTCCTCTTCCAATCTTTTTTGGCTTACATTGCAGAATCTCCCAGCAACAATATCAGAGCATGGGCCCTGCCTACTGGAATTCTTCCATCCTTTCACCTGGGATGACTAGGTGGAGTAAAGGCACTGCCACCATGTGGAGGTTGTGTGTCCCTATACACAGCTGCAAGATTGCCCGGCCATGGTAAAGTATCCCCGTCCACCGCGGCTGTACGCTCAGCTGTCCAACCTGCTTGGCTGCCTGGTGTAAAGACATTGGCTTGTATACCACTATGTTGTTGTTGCGTCGTCCGCATTGCTGCTTGCCCAGCGTGCCCTCCCAGAGCAGCCGTGCTTTGGAAGTCCATTGGTGCCATCTGACTGTACATTGGAGATTGCAGATTCATCATTGCAACGTTTCCACCCAAGAGCATAGAAGCATCGAGAGGATCATCTGGAGGTGGTTGGAATCCTTGACTTATAGCTGCAGGAATTGCAGCAGTTTGATGCTCGGGCCCCATGCCTTGGGACACCGAGTCCATTTCGTCCGAGTCCGATGCTCCATCAACACCATCCACTCCATCCACTCCGTCTCTTCCATCTAGAAGCTCGACCCCGTCCCCCATATCGTCCTTTCCCAGGGGTGAGAGTGGGATCTGATCCGATGACTGTCTGGAAGGACGGGGTGCGAGCCGCGGTGGTATGTCTGGTGGTTGATAGGATGGCTGGCCTCGCACTATTCTGCTGTCCAATACCGACTCTGACTGACTTTTGATAGGACCTGCACGCTCTACAGGTGGGGGATCGAGACCTAGACCACGGAGAATCGCATCGGTAGAGACGCGGCTGCTGCTCTCATCGGGAACGACACCAGGAAATCCACGACCCTCTCTGCACGCCCAATAGAGCCTCTGCAATGCTTCGTCCATAACATCATGCATACCCCAGTACCTAAACATAATTTTGGTAAGCGCACAGTCATTATCACCTGTCAAGTATAGGATGGATGAACAAATCGCCGTGCATTCTCATCAAACTTACCAGTCCCTTGCTTCTCTCCGTCTCCTAGCACTATACTCACAAATACTATCGCTTGCGATACAACCCGCGCAGGGAATGTTGCCATCACACTGTAAATTGGTCAGACGACTGAATGTCCCGGAGGATTTTGGGGGAATTGGTGACGACTCAATCCATCCCACCTTCGATTTCTTGATTTTACAACGATCGCAAGCCCTTCCAATTCGAACTCGAGTTCTTAACTGCTCAGAACTCTCAGCTTTCGGCGGCAGCCGATTGTCCTGTCGCTCTTTTCGATTTGGCATCCCGAAGATCACTCCCTCCCACCCCTACAATCTCCGGCTTGCGACCGGGTCCTTGACTGGACAGGGACAGGCTCAAGAACGACACAGCCTCTGTGAACAATCTAGACTGGACAGAGCAGCGAGCATGAGAGGATCGCGAATGGTGAGTTTGGGTTGACCCTTTGGAATCACGACTATCACCCTGAAATTTCGTGGTTTCTGTTCATCCCTCAACGAAGCGGTAGCTCCCCGTGTGTGTCCGGCACATTGAGGAGATTATCTGCGCTGGGCTCGCGTGCTATGTTTTGATCCGCACAAACCCCCGACATGCAAACCTGTCAGACTGGCGTCAGCTAGATATCAAAATTTTCCCGTACGATCGAGGCGAAACCAACGTGGTGTCGAAGGACTGAATCGAGAACTTGGCATCCTGAGAGCCGCTATTCCATCGACCAGGTCAAAATGGCAAAATGGAGATCTGGACGATTGCAGGGCCGCTATCCAGAAACGTATGCACTAATTGACAAGGCCAAGTGGGCTTCTGAAATGGCAGCAGAACGAACCACGTATGCGGATCCAAATGTGGCGGTATTATTACTGCTCTTCTTGACGAAACAACAGCTACCACACACCAACGCTGCCGAGGTTGTTCCCGAGACGTCGTGCCTACGACTCCAGTGCAGTTACTCAGATGACGCTGGTATTCTAGGACATTATTTTGATGTTACAACACGCTGCGAAAATCATGAAATGAGTCCTCGGATATGTGACACCCCCGTCGCCGTTGCGATGGTTGGGGCCACCACCACTTCTAGTCAGCCCCGAAAAAGCCCACGGCCCTCATCCAAGTGTCAATAACAATCAACTGACTGATTCAATGGAAGAGGTTGTGTTTACTTATTGGTACGACATCGAAAGCCTTCCATTCGTTACATTGCGTTGTAAATCCTTCTATCCCTGCTTGGTGGCCTACTCCTCGCTGGATGCATGGAGGCCATGCTTGGGCAGCAACTATTACCGCAATACTGTATCTCGGCAGTGCCACAGATTGGAAGTCGCCAGCCCCATCTCGCCCGCTGTGATGTCCTGGTTGCAGTATCGACTGATGCCAATTTCTTCAAGGGTCTATGGTTGCCACTGCTATCCACGACTCCTACCGATAGTTTACCAATGAGGGACCGGTATGGCCCTCGTTAATTGATAGCCACCAACCTTCAAGACCTTCAAAACTGGTTCTTTGCCTGTGTCGAGCTCCACGCGCCCCCAGAGGTCGCAATGGGGGTGGCCCGGATCTTCCATCCGGAGTGGATTGTCGGGTCCGGCCTAGTCAACAGAGGCTCAGGTGTACGACTCCGGCCGAACCAATGACAAAATCCCTAGCCGCCCTTCGCCAAAATTTACCGGTTCTTCTGGTACTTTTAAGTAAAGTAAAGACCTCGACCGGACAGGAGCTCAAATTCCACGGACGGTCAGTGGCCGAAAGCAATTCTGTCAGAGTCGTGCTTCACATGTGTCTGTGATGAAGGACCGTTTTGACAATGACACCTCTGCGCATTTTTGTCCCAGTTTCTCCAAAATCCGGCCCACCGAAATTGCGGGATTGCTGTTTGCCTTGCCGAATGAAGCGTAGTAATGCGCTTGACAGGCACGACACAGAAAACGGATATGCATGGACTGCATCTTAGGGTCTACGGGCCTATGACAGCCTGAAACCTTTGTACCCAAGTGATCTTGTTACAAACTCGTACCCGTACTCTACACCCCGGTGCAGCAAGGATATCGACTTATTACGGAGCCCATGACCGGAAGTTTCGCCCGGTCTCGTAAAAGCATTTCGGTCAGAGCCACCCATGTTGCTAATTATTTCCAAGTTCGGAGTGGGGGTTGTTCAGAATTGAAGGATCAAAATCCTCCGTCAACAGCAATGTACCCGTGCCCTCCATGGACGAAGACAAAGACGCAGATGCAGAGAGGGTAAAATACAGTCGTCGCGTATTCAAGCCAGGGGCGTTCACATGGTCAATGACTCCATAGCAGCGATGAGCCGCTATGTGAATGCTCAGACATGTCCTTGATAATTTGGTATGTACGAAAGAATTGTTCTTGAGCCCCCGGTGACGAACAAACGAGTTCCTCGTGGTCTTTGCGCCACTGAAATCAACGGTGACTTCTACGAGTACTGGCTACAGACCTCAACTCGCCTGATGATGATGATCAATCCACATTGGCAAGGATAGAACAAATAAAAAGGCTCCTCAAGTGTGAGAGCTTACAGTATGAATGGCAGATTCAAGACACGCTCATATTTCGCAGCAACACGCTCACCCAATGTATACACACATTCATGCACATGCGCATGTACCGTACACCGTACACATCTCCCTTCCTATCACGTACATATCAAACACGTCGGTCCCTAACGCCTTGAAGACTTACCTACCGCCGTGGAAAGAAAAAAAATCCCTGCTACGAATCCCACATGACCTCGCCCAGAGCGAGTAAGATTTCCTGCTGACCTTTTCTGGCCTTGATGCTTTCTTCTCGGTCCTCCCCCCTGAGTTTGGCACTACAACACAGTTCCACCAACGTCCGCAATTCATCATACGTGTACCCGACATCCCTCTTTTGCGCCTTGCAATCTCGAACGTACTGCAACACGGCGTCAGGCCCTTGCAGGAAGAGGTTGAAATATTGAGATGACCAAGTCAATAGGCCCGAAGTATCATCGTCGTCGTTGTCGTCTTCGGCTTCGGCTGGCACCCCGGTCGAGATACCTAGACCCGCGGCAACGCTGCTCTTGTCGGCGTCGACGACACCTGCAGATCGACCGCCGACTGCAGCAGCATCCCTCGTTGCGTGAGTGTTCGAGGCAGTACTGGCCAGGACGGCTCTGAGGTTCTGCTGGATGACCATGGCGTCGATGCGCACTCTCTCCGCGCCGTTGGTGTTCATGACGCCAATCGAGTCGGCGGCGATCACGATGTAGCGGTCCACGAGCCGGGCGAGACCGGTCAGGATGAAACCCCTCTCGCGAGACCCCAGGTAAGTCGCGATGTTTGAGTCAAAGGCAATCAAGTCATTGTTCAACTCGAGAATCAACGGAGACGCCGAAGTCGGCGGCGCAGCCAGCACGTACGGATACAGACCCGAACCGAGCGGCGGGAGGGTCGTCGAGTCGCGGTTCAAAGGTTCGCCGGGCGATGTCGTGGAGCCATTGTTGGTCGCATCGGCCTCGGGGCCAGGCCCGCGGAGCGTGCGCGAGAGCTGGTGTATGATGCCGCAGCGGATGTCGATGTGCAGAGTCAGCAGACTGGACTGGGCGAGAGCGCGGAACGAAGACACGGTACCGTCGAACGCGACAGCTGTTTCCGAGCCCAGTGGTAGGAGGACGGGCGCCGTGGCTCCAGGGTGATTCGGTGACTTGCCGCCGAGGGACCGGAGGCCCGTGATCAGAGTCCACCGTCGAGCAGCTTTGGCCTGCGAGCCCGTTCGCGTGTGACCGGGGTGGCCGCTTTCGACGTGGCGGATCTGCGTTAGGGCGGCAGAGAGCCACTGCATCGAGTTGTACAAGAGGGAGAGCTGGTGGACGGACTTTGGATCGGAGATGATGTCGTAGGATGACAGGGGGTGTTGTTTCGTCGCAGACAGCAAGGCCTGGACTTCTTTCGCGACGAGGGCGGCTCGGGAAGTCGCGCCGCCGGAATAATCGTGCGCGAGCAATTCGAGCGCGGCATCGCGGACCTCTCCTGACTCGGCAAAGGCGGCGGCCGCTTTGAGTGCCAAAGTGTTGACGTTCTGGTTCGCGGAGGACGGCACGACCCTGCTCACCAGAGCCTTGTAGTACCCGAAGCATTTGTCGTAGTACGTGACGAGTTGGTCGATGATGAGCTGCGTGAACATTTGATCCTGGGGAATCGAGCCGAGCATGCCTGAGAACGCACGGATCAGACCCATGAACGAGACGGTGCCTTTGAACACCGGGTGGGTGGAATGCTTCGACCATTGCGAGTCTTCCGAAAAGGCTTCCAGATCGATCATGCACTGGGTGCAGAGCTCGGTGACTGCCTCTTCGAGTTGCGGGTGGAACACGTTGATGAGGAAGTCGTCCAGGAAGGACGTGAGGGTGCTCATGGGGATGTGGGCGGTCGTGGGGACGACGTCCTTGAGACGTTGGAGGAAGGTCAACGACGGCGGGAGCAAGATGGTCATGTTGAAGACGCCGGGCTCGATCAACAATTTGTGCCCTGCGGCCGAAACATCCTGGCCACTTCGTTCGGAGGTCAAGTCCAGCCCGTTCCCGGCGCGAGACTTACTGACCAGACCTGGCACGGAGCTCTTGAGGATCTCGTCCAGCTCGTCCTCTTCGGCCTTCATGGATTCGGACTTGAGGTCCATCTCGGACAGCTTGAACATCTTCTTGCTCTTGTCCCGTGTCGGGCGGGCGAAGATGTCCGTGCTCGTCGTCGTGTTGAGGCCGGAGCGTAGCGTCATGCCGCCGTCGGTGGCGAGGTAGTCGTGCAAGAGGGAGCGCATTTCCATCTGGTACAGCTTCCACAGCTCCTTGAAGCCGCTGGTATACTTGTCCGGTTTGGTCAATTTCTCTCGCGAGGCGATCCCGGTTATGATCTCGTGAAGCACGCGATGGCTCTCAGCGATGGCCTCGAACTTCGAGTACAGCGTCCAGAGGAAATCGGAGAGGACCTGAGCTCGGGCGTCGTGGACCTGCAGGGCCATGACTTTGCGGCCGTCCTTGTTGACGTGTCCTCTGAGATGGGTCGGGTATTTGGCGTCAATGTCGTGGTTGGTCTTTTCCACCACCTTGTACAGCTCCATTGGCATCCTCTGCTCTATCCGCGACACGGCTTCCCCGAGCTGGCCGAGTTTGTGCAGAGACTCTAGAATCATGTGGATGTAGTAGAAAGTGTCGGCCTCGGGGTTCTTTGACGCGTCTTCGATCATGGGCGTGGTGATATCGGCGCTGTTCAGGTAGTGGATGAATGGTCGATCCCAGACGTTGACGCTGCCCATCAGGTTGTCCTTGGACTCTCTATCTTCGCCATTGGCCTTCTTCCCCTTCCATCTGTCTTTGCAGTAGGGACTCCGTAAATACAGGTGGTCATGCAGTTCTTCGACCAAGATGTCTAGTAGGGTGCTTTCCTGGTTGATAAAGTAACTCCGTAGGTCCGTGATTGCTCCGATGCCATCGAGTTCGCTCTTGGTGATGGCTTTGAGACTGTCCATCAGCAGGTCGACGGCTCCGAGAAATTTCTTTTCACTAATCTTCTCCTCGAGTTTGCCCGGGACGGTCTTGAGGGATTCGATATTGCTCAGGATAACTAGCATGTGGTCCAGGTCCCCGGACTGTTCGGCCAACCCTCGCAACTCAGGCCTCGTGGTCAACATGCCGCCCTTGACGCTCATCAGACCTCCCTTGAGATGTCTCACTCGACTCTGGCTTTCCCGGATGGCGGATTGGATCTTGTGGTACGTACCGACGGCACTGTTGAAGTCGGCGTAGTGCTCGTTCACCACCGACTTGAGGCACTTCTGCAAATCAACGTGCGTGCTGGAGAAATCATCCTCCTTGTCCTTGAGGCCCAACGAGCTTGGATCCATGAGCTTCAGGGCAATCTTGACGGGGACGCATTCGTCGCCTTCCATGTCCTTCCAACTTGACTGAATGTGTCGCAGGATCTCGTCCATGCTCTTCTGTGGCCTCCGCGGCGAATACTGTCTGTTCGCATTCTCGGGAAGGGGGTAGGTCTGGTTACTGTAGCCATTCGTCTGGCTGCTCGGCGCGTTCAGGCTAGTCATGGAGGGTTTCTTAGGCATCGTAGTAGGTGGCATCGTCGGAGGTGGAGGCATGGGAGACCGGCCCTCTCGGTTGTCGCGAAACCTCGGGTCATGATTGACTCTGTCCCTATCTCGAGTCGGCGGCCTCTGCGGTCTCTGCTCGTACGCCTGAGGCTCTCTTTCCCGGGCATAACCATTGTCGTTTCTTGGAGGAGGCTCTTCTGCATATCTTGGGCGCGGTAATCCTCCATAACCACCACCACCACCTACTCCTCCTCCCGCTGATCCTCCATAGCCCCCGCCACCACTTCCACCTCCTGGAGCTACTCTGCCCGGTAATCCCTGCGCAGGAGAGTCTCGCTCCCCGCGCTGTTCATAGGGGTTGGATCTGCGTCGCCGCTCTTGCGATCCGAAACTGTTGACGGAGGCGGAGGAAGAGTTGTTCTGTCGATTCAAGTACGGGTCCGCATAGCGACCAGAGGAGATAGAATGGGACACATTGGTCGGAGCGTATGGGTTGGTGCCATTAGTTGGGCCTCCGTAACCGTTGAGCGCGTAGGGATTATTGCTCATTTTCTATACCTCTGTTAGACAAACAAAACACAAGTACGGTTGGCTACGCATGGCGTATCGACCATTCGCAAAAAAAAAAAAGAATTCGAGCGCTGAGGATAAATGTGGTTGAAGCATGGAGTAAAAGGACGTTTCTAAGGAGAATGAATCTTGTGTTTTGGGGTGCGTGCAGACGATGTTTGGAGATGATGTGCTGATGATTCTGTGGAGTCGCCAACATCAGCATTCAACTAAGAAGATAAAGATGGTCTATTCTGTACAACCACCTCTTGTCTTTGAACACCTTTAGGTACATAGGAATTGTAACTATATACCCGAGACCGCACTCCTGAAATTATATTATTGATTTACTGGAACGATTCGTGCTCATTCTTCTCAATGTGACCACGGTTATAACCTGGTTACATTATTAGAGCGTACTCTCGAGACAGCTTCAACTTTCTTCCGTTGTTGCTCATAACACCAATAATACCATCGCTCAGCAACTTCTAGCATCCTTGGGGTATGCTATTTCTTGCCGGTGGTCCCAAGACACATGAATGCGAGAATGCGCTTCAGTGTGTTGTTCTTCTCGGACGCTGAATTCTCCTCGTCGAGAGGCAGACCTTGCGACGCCCTTGCTTCACGTTCCTCTTGTTTTTTCTTCTCTTGGCTAGCAAGAACACTGCGTTTGAGGGCTTCGTACTGGGCGGCTTCGCCCTCAGCTATTCGGTCTTTGGCGACTACACCGTTATTGACCGTTAAAGCGAGTGGCATTCCCATGGTTTGCGCCGGAGATGTCTTTGTTTTGTGTGATCAAAATCGAGTCTTGCTGTGTGAACCCTGCCCTATTGTTGGCTTGATATCCGTTGGAAAACTTTTTAGTACCTGGATGACCATCTCAAAGCCAGCTCGAGGATCTTCGGCCTCGATGGATTGTTATTATTATTATTATACGACGATCTGAACTCCGTAAAGACACAATGCCATCTGACGAGCCGATTACCCGACCCTACAAAAGTACACAGCCTCAATAACGAAAGATCAGCTGAACAGAGCAGCCGAGCCACCCCCCACGGGGCAAGGATTCTGGCATATCATCTCAAGCCACCAAGATCTTCATACAAGTAGGGGGGGTCTTATTGTTATCTATGTTTTGGCGGAGTTTGATCATCTCATTTTTTTTTATAATTGGGTCGATGATCTTTGGGAAGAAACAGAGCACTCGAGCCTATCCAAGCGTGTCCTCCCAATGGATTACACAGCGTCACAAGCTGGCATGAGCCACTAGGCGATGTACCCAAACCCGCTCCCTTTGCATGATATCCAGAACTCTTTGACAACGTCGTTCGTCTTTCTTCCTCCCCTAAGTCCTTCGACTTGGGCTACAAATCTGTTTCGTTGTTCGATGGTTGTGGTCTGGAGTGCCTTCTCACTCATCACACCAGCTTCTTGCTTGACCGCTTCCCGGAGCACCAATTTACTCAACATAGGCTGCCTCTGAATAAACTTCTTGAGCGCGTCGGTCAGGCTTTCGATTTCCGAACGAGCGCATTCTCCACCGAGCAGACGAACAATCATCGAAAGAATGCTTGACCCGAAAGTCTGCAACAAATCACTAATTGTTTGGCATGCTGCTGTATCGAGTGGTCCGCCTCGACCGGAACAGTCGACCAATGTCGCAAAGAAGGAAGAGGCAGACCGACGCGGGAGAGTGTCTGATTCGGCCATCACCAGCAAAGCCAGCTCAATCGCGACCGTTCCTGTCTGGAGCGAGTCTGGGCTCGCGAACCATGTTGAGCCAAACTTCAATAGTGTGCGAGCAAGGAAGTCGAGAGATGCCGAACTGAAGGGTGTACTGGGGAGTGGCTCGTTATACTGATTAGCGTAAACACGTCGATGTGTGGAGAGTAGTAACTCCTGATTTGTCGCAACTTGGTGCAAGACCCCTCGAACACAGCTTTGAATATTTCTAGACTCCGCTGAAGCTAGAAAGCTCGAGGCACATGCCATCGACATGTCGATACTCGGGTTCGAGATGGTGATCCAAGGCACAACGATATCCAGCGCCACCAGATCAGGAAACTTAAATGGCGATGGATTTTGCTCCGTGAACCCAGATCTGATGAAATCACAGCATGCTTCTATGAAGGAAACGTCGGCTTGATTGGGTGCCTTGTGTATTATAGCCTTGAAGGTGTCGAGCACGTTCAGTTGCAGATCCGCTCCGGGCCCAGTGTGCCAGAACGCCGCTTGTTCGTCTGCTGAAGGCTCAAGATCAATAGGGACGTCGTGCGGCGAACGAAGACCTTTTCCAATCGACGCAAGAGTCTGCACTGCATCAATGCAGAGCCTCAGAAGCTCGTCCTCATCTTCTGTAGCACCGGTTAGCACTTCGTTGAGACTCCGAATGGATGACAACAGCCTCCTCAAAGGTTCAATTTTATGCTCTTCGCTTGGCAGTGCCTGGACAATGGCGGCAACTGCAGCGTATAAACGGTGCTCTTCGGTAGCACCAAGGTCATCAGCAGCCATCAGGGATGCCATGAACTGTGGAAGGGCCTGCATTAAGGCCCTTCTGTGGGAATCACAGAGGCTGTAAATCGCCTTTGAGGCAGCCGACGCTGATGCTTGTAGATGAAGTGATGAAAAGAGAAAGTTAAGCACCAAAGTCATGCTTTCGGAGTGTCGTTGTAAGTATACGACGCTGTCAGCAATGAATCTGATGCAAGTCTGCCGGGCTCTATCTGGAACAGTACTTCCGGCAGTCAATACATAACCCCAAGGATGGCTGCCCAAAACTGTTGTGATGAGCTCGTCATAGACTTCTGGTTCCGAGGCCATGGTATCAGAATATGCCGTGAGACAAAACATCGCAGCCTCGAATGTGCTCCAGTCGGGCGTCGTTCCTTGGGAGATGATGGTTTTCACGATTCCCTGAACAACTCCTGTCCCAAGCACTGTGAAAGCTGACTGAAAAAAGTCATGGACATCGTAACGGAAGTCTTGGAATTTGGCTCTATCATCAGCATCCCAGTCTGACGTGCCATTTGACATCTGGTCTTCAGGGATCTTGACTTTTATAAGACATGCATCACATGCATCCGCGGCCACCTCGTAAATGAAGTCCTCGACTTGGTCTTGTTCCCAGTCTGTGGAGCCTTCCACGATATCAGTCACCTTTTCAAGTGCAATCTGGCAGACGGGATCTTCGATCACAGCAATACCATCGCATCGTAGTAATCTTCGAAGAGTTTGAATGATCTCATGGTAGCGACGAGAATCAAGATAGACTCGTGTGCTGGTATCCACCTGACTCATGATAGATTCGAGAAGATCCACGTAGAGGATCCCATTGGGGCTAAAGTCGCCACGGACTAAACCATCGACAATGATCTTCGCCGCATGTGAGTCTGCTATGCTTGCGGGGTAGTTCTGTGCAGATTCTCTAAGAAGTCCTGGAGATACCTGCTGGAGCGATAAGAGCAATTGAAGGACATCTCCTACCGCAAAGTCTCTATCGAAGAGGTTCATCGTGACTGCGATACATCCTTTAGCGATTGTCTCAATTTTGTCGACGACTTCTTTAGCCATGTGTAAACGTCCATGTTTTATTGAACCAGTCCAGAATGGCATCGCTTGAAGGATAGCATGGAACATGTCTTCAGGAGCCAAAGAAAGCATCAAGGAGCCATCTGGCTTGTGCTCAGCTTTGATCACGCGATGCAATGAGAATTCGAGGAGCTGCCAGGTATCGAGACAGTTGGCAGCCAAGCGATCAGCAATGCTGCTTTCGATGGCTGCGCTCGAAGTGTTACTGGTGAGGTCCTCGGCCATGATCCGGACAAGCATGAGGATACCTCGCAGCTGAACATCCGAGCATGTCGTCGTAGCTTCAAGCAATTGTTGCATATCTGGTAGAGCTGTTTCCGGAACATATTGTCCGCTCATAAGACACGCGAGGACGTGTCGTATAGGCATTTGCCATCCTGAGTCTGGTTTCGCGAAGAAAGTGACAAGCGTAGAGCATAGTTTCTGGAGGACAAAGTTTGAGTCCGGTAGTGTCACCAATCGTGAATAGTGGTTGACCAACGTTCCAAGCAACTGCTCCCTCATCTGATCATTCTTGCCAATCCCATCATTGTCCCTGTCAATAGATTAAAAACTAGTCATGTGAGGGTGTCTGATCATCATACCAATCGGCGTTGATCTTGATGGTCAGAGTCAGAGCACCGTAAAACCTTAGAAGGGCTTCATCATGCTGTAGAAGGTCGAGACCACCTTGCCAGGCGGACCGATCACGTTGTAGTCTTTGGATCTGTCGCTGAATATCATGAATACGCTCCGGAGCGGCCTGATTGCCGGGGTCGTTGAGTTCTAGGACTAGCCTCTCCATGATTGAAAGAAAGTGATGGACCTTGAGACATGACGCTCTAGTCACCTGTTCTGGAACATAACCCTGCTCACTTAAACAGGTATCTGGTGAAAAGTGACTTGGAAGTTGACATGGAGGAGAAGATGATCCAAAGTGCGAGCCTCTGTAGCACACGGCGAGTCTGAATGGAAGCCCGCTGAATGTTCTTGACGCACGATCTATCCTCTTGTGAATTCAGTTGGCAACTTCCATTTTCAGTGAAGTCTGATATAACAGTACGTCCCGCTGCTTTATGACGCCAGCAGCCAGCTTGTTGAGTTGGTCAAGTTGGGCGATAGTACAAGCCGAGCAAGGGAGGATAGCATTGATATCTGCTAGTGACGATATATTTACATGCGACTTATATGTTCAGCGCCTGTTTTTTGATTTATGAGGAGTTGTCGAGAAGGATGTAAAGCCTTGTTAAAAGCGGCATGGATGCTCCAGACCGAGCAAAATGGATAGACACTTCGTACTCCGTCTAGTACATTTGGGTGCATTAAATACAGCCAATAAGGAATATTGGCACACGTCCTCATAGAGTGATCATTCACCGTTTCCCTATCGCAGTATCACTTCGATGCGTTGGTCATTACTTCGTTTGCCTGCTTTACTTCGCCGCTCGTCGAGCCGAGTTCAACCTCCATCACCCTTGCAGTCCGTACGCTCCTTCTCATTCTCCAGTTCCCTACGAAGCGTCGACATGGAAACAGTAGACACCACCAAGCGGTTGGCACATCTGCGCGACCTGATGCGCCAGCACAAAGTCGACGTTTATATCGTTCCTTCGGAAGACAGCCATCAATCAGAATACATAGCCCCGTGCGACGCAAGAAGGGAATATATTTGTGGCTTCACAGGGTCGGCGGGCACTGCTGTGATCACACTAGACAAAGCTGCTCTAGCTACAGACGGGCGATATTTTAATCAGGCTTCCAAACAGCTTGATACCAACTGGTCATTACTGAAGCAAGGCCTGGAAGATGTTCCTACTTGGCAGGAATGGTACGATTTGATCCTCGAACATTGATGAGCACGAACTGAGTTTGAAAATAGGACCATAGAGCAGGCCTCAGGCGGAAAGACAGTAGGAGTTGATCCAACGGTCATTACTGCAGTAGACGCTCGAAAATTGAGTGAAGAGCTCAAGAAGAAGTCACACGCAAGCCTGGTAGGGGTATCAGACAACCTGATCGATAAGCTCTGGAACGACAGACCAGCCAGGCCGACCGGGAAGGTCATTGTACTCGACGAAAAGTACGCAGGCAAATCGTTCAAGGAGAAGTTGGAGGATCTACGGAAGGAGCTCAAGAAGAAAAAGGCTGCTGGCATGGTCGTGTCGATGCTGGACGAAGTGGCATGGCTGTTCAACCTTCGTGGAAGTGACATTCCTTATAATCCTGTCTTCTTTTCTTACGCCGCCGTCACCCACGATTCCGCGACTTTGTATGTTGATTCGAGTAAGTTGGGGTCAGAAGTCAAGGAGTATCTGGTCGGATCTGTCGAGATTAAGCCGTACAACGCTCTCTTTGACGATCTCGCAAGCCTGTCTGAAGCAGCATCCAGTGCTGTGCAGCAAGATGGAGACGCCCAAGCCCACGACCCCAAGCTGTTGTTATCTAATAGGTCATCCTGGGCCCTGTATTTGGGGTTGGGCGGCGAAGAAAAGGTCGAAGAAGGTCGTAGTCCTCTCTCCGATGCCAAAGCCGTCAAGAATGAGACTGAGCTGGAAGGGATGCGGCAATGCCACATTCGAGACGGAGCGGCGCTTATCGAATATTTCGCGTGGCTGGAACACGAGCTGCTCGGCGGTGCATGGGTCGATGAAGTTCAGGGTGCAGATAAACTTCTAGAGATTCGATCAAAGGGCGAGCGTTTTATGGGACTGTCTTTCGACACCATCTCTTCGACGGGCCCCAATGCTGCCGTTATTCACTACAGCCCCGAGCGCGGCAACTGCTCTGTCATTGACCCCCAACAAATCTATCTGTGTGACTCAGGCGCTCAGTATCTTGACGGAACCACTGACACCACCCGGACATTACATTTCGGCGCACCTACCGAGATGGAAGTCAAGTCGTACACCCTCGTATTGAAGGGTCTCATATCTCTTGATAGGGCTGTTTTCCCGAAAGGGACGACCGGTTTTGGGATTGATGCGCTTGCTCGGCAACACCTGTGGCGCGAAGGATTAGATTACAGACACGGTACCGGACATGGTGTGGGATCCTTCCTCAATGTCCACGAAGGACCTATCGGCATCGGTACCCGCGCCGCTTATTCGGAGGTGTCGATAAGTATTGGCAACGTTATTTCCGACGAGCCAGGATATTATGAAGATGGCAAGTTTGGAATTCGGATAGAAAACATGATCATGGCGCGAGAGGCCAAGACGAATCACAAGTTTGGGGATAAACCCTGGATCGGATTCGAGCACGTTACGATGGTCCCAATGTGCAGGAAATTGATCGACCCAACGATGCTGGACCCAGAGGAACGAGATTGGCTCAATGATTATCATAAGGAAGTGTGGGAGAAGACGAGTGGCTTCTTCAAAGATGACGACCGGACGACACGTTGGCTAAAGAGGGAGACGGCGTCGATATGATAAGCGGACCATAGACGGGCTGCGAGCTGGAAATCTGTCAAGTCACGCATTGATAACAGGGAATTGCTCAAAGTCGTGGCGAGATATCTTTAAACTTCTAGACGGCATGACAGATTATACTTGCATCGTCTAGAGCTCTCGAGCAAGGGTCTAGTTTCGATCCGCTTGAATCATTTTACCCGTGAACATCGGTAAAGAACGCATAAGGTCTCGTACGAAGTAATTCCTATAGTAGGAGACGAGAGAATAGTAGCATGGAAAGGCCGACTCTTGTTGTTGTTGCTCTTGCAAGTGCATGCTCCTGAACATCGAGAACTCAAGTCTAGATCTTGCGGGCCAGCATCGTCTTCTTGATCCATGAGGTTCCGACATACATCGAGATGATCCGAGACGGATCCGAGAACGTCAGGGAACGTCTGCTGTTGAGGTTCGTCTTGTGTTTCATGGCCCGGGAGAAAATCGGCCTTGGGTCCCAAGAAAAGGACCAGTCTGGGATTCTTTGACCGCTCGCAGGCGGCAAGGTCGAGATACTTCTTCGCTAAGTTTGGATCTCGAGGGTATACGAATATCCACACGTCAAACTCTGACGCCTCATCGTAGAGAGACGACGTCGAGGGTACGGTACATCGTAGTTCGTGTGGGAGGTACTTGTTCGCCGTGGTGGAAGATGCGACTTCGAGGCCAAGGAGGTCCAGGTCGAATGAGTGGCGGTTTCTGGCGCTTGACGTGATGAGAGTAGCTTCGAAGAGACCTGTACCGGAACCTATCGATAGACATCTTACGCGGTCCTTGGTTGATTCTCGAGGATTCGCTGGTTGGGAATATGCGTGGAAGATATGGAGGATGGTGTCCAGTAGCGCCGTGGACAGTCCAAGGCAGCAGTCCGGATGTTGGACGGGTGTGCTGCTGAGGGTGGGTAAGGGAAGAGGAAGGTCATCTCTTTTGTCGCTGGACTGTAGAGTGTCGGAAGAAGAAAAGGAAACCATTTCATTCGATACGTCTTGTTTCATGTCACTGGTTCTCTTTCCTGACTATTGATGATTGCCGAGTTTGTTAGCTTTAATCAAACCAGCCTGGAGACTGGGGAGGCGTCGTCGTGAAAGACGGTCCTTCGTGTTTGCATCTTGCCGAGTCCTCTTGCAACGACAAGCAGGTTCATTTTTAATTGAAAAAGGAAGAGAAGCAGTGGAGGGCTGACATACTTCTAGAATACCATTTCAGGCCCTTCACGTGTCTTATTAGAAGGTGTGGTATCGGAACGAACCTGGCAGCCTCCTTCCGGCGCCGATCGCACCTCTAACTCACTGTTATCGCACGGAAGCCCAATTTCTCGTCCGAAGTTCGTAAAGGATGGACATACACAGTATGGTGTGGCTGCGACGATTTTTTGGGTGCTGTAGTTGCCGTATCTTTGCCTACTGTAGGTAGCTTAAGCGCTTCGCGCTTGATTGAGGTATTCCCAGTACTCGTAATCTCGGAGCTGACGACGTCTTTACTGTAAACATGCCTCCAAAAAGTCCAATTTTTAATTAAGTCTAATGGTCATGCTTAATGATCCCTGCTTCGTCGGAATATGTATTTCATCATTGGTGTTCCTGTGTCGATCTGCACATGGCTGATCCTGGCACTCGTACTCGAACACCATGCAAGTCAACATTTTATCACTGTCAATGATGCCTCTCAGCTCGCAATCAATTCTCCAGTCAACGAGGACTCTAGGGTAATAAGAGAGGTTACGGATACACGGTAAGGTGATTGAAAATGACCCACAGGCTTCGGCCCATTAGCCTTCCAATGAATAGTGGCCTACCTAGTTTGGACCGGTGAAGGGAAACATCACCACCACCCGTCGCGCGGTTGAAGAAAGCAATTTCAGAGATGCATCGCCTGAGCCCTGACTGGATCTAAAAAGCGGGAAGCATGGGAGCATGGACTTATAATCCGTACCCCAGAGCCACGTACAGTGACAAAGTTTCGCGTGGTGGTGCTTGTCACCCAAAAATAAAATAGACATCATCGCCCTGCACTGACCCCCTTCACAATTGACTATTCACCTCCACCAACTCATTTTCTAGGTATCTTTTTTCCCCTCCTCAAACATACCGCAAAAGTCGAACGTCTGCCAAAGATGTCGAACTTCGTCGCCTTCCTTCTACTGAGCGGCTGCTCTCTAGCTTTCGCGGATCCCGTGATCACCGCAGCAGCAGCACTCGTTCCGCGCGACACAGATCCCAGCTTTGTCGGGTACATCGCTGAGGGAGGCTCATGTGGGTCCTCGAGATTCCTTCGTTGCTGCTTGTCCCTTCATGCTGACATTCTCTTCGTCCATCAGACGGGAACGCGCGCTCGTGTGACTATCCGCAAACAGTGTCCACAAGCGGCGCGTACGTACAATGCTGCCCGACGACGGGGAACTGTCCGTTTTACACCTCTTGCTCGGCCAACACGCTCTTCGCCGCCGGTGGCGACACCGTCCCCTGCGACGTCAGTACGCAACTGACGTGCAATACGGGAATCGTTCTGCCGACACCTGGAGCGGCAGGTGGCCCTAGCTATCTCGCATGTTGGCAGACCAGTTTGGGATCCAGCCCTTTTACTTTCGTGCAGGATATTGGCACTGCGACTGCAGGTATGAACTTGGCGCGTGCCTGTTGGTCTTGTAAAAACCACATAGCTGACTCCTTTGGTGTAGCCCCAGCAGGGTCGACAGGTTCGGGATCAGCACCTTCTGCAACGGCGTCAGGTTCAGCAGCAGCTTCAGGAAGTACTGCATCAGGCTTGTCTTCGACGGGCGCCGCGTCAAACTCGCAGTCATCGGCTGGTAGCGCCGAGACGACTTCGTCATCTGGGTCTTCTTCTTCTTCTTCATCATCAAGCTCCTCTTCAGCAAGTGCAAGCTCGGCGGGCTCTAACGACGGGGTAACTCTTGGTTATGAGACTGGCCTTGTAGGGGGAGTCGTGGCCCTGCTGGCGCAGATGTTATTGTGATGAGCTAAAGGTTGCCATTGCCATTTATGTACAAAGAGACATCTGCTTCCCAACATGATAGGCGGGATTTGTCAAACAAGAGAATACCTTTCTAGAGATGAATCTATGTATGGTGCCCTCTATCGTACCTAGGAAGGGGCTAGGAATGCCAGATTTGTCGCGCGTTGTTGCAAATAGAGCTGGCACCAAGTCTTCGTACTATATATGTCCATGATCTGACAACTTCTACTATGGCGTCTCCCCGGACTAGAGTCAGTCGTTTCTGCGGAACAGAAGCGAACACTGCCTGCAACTACAGGCTCGAAGTAAGCCCTTGGCGTCATAATCCGATTATGGTATGTTTGATTCTGAGAATTTGTATGTGGTGTCTTGTGAGTGTTGCGGTCGATGGTTTCCAGCAAAGAAGGAAAAGCGGGTTGTGTTCATCCGAAACCTCGGCTTGGGTCAGTCTCCAAAGACAGGGCACTCCGTGGTGGAACTTTGACCACTACAGTCGATCCGCTACAACCTAAAAAAGCTTAATGTAGATTTGAAGAAGTTTTCACTTGATGAGTTAAAACATGCAAAATTTGCCATCAAATCATAGCATAACGCGTGAATGGTGTAGTATGTATTACCAGATACCTTTCCACATATAACGGATTCTAACATTTCCCTCTAGGCGGTAACATTGTTGCCTTCCAAAATGATAGCAACAGCTCAGGGTTCGACTCCCTGTTCACGCATCTTTTTTTTCCCCTTGAGCTTCTTTTTGTTCAATTTAAAGTGTGTCCTTTCACCCTTTTTTTCTTCTAACCGCTTTTCTTCTTCTCTAGGCGTGCCATCCAACGTGCTAACTTGAATAAGGATAGTTGTCTACTACGGGACTTTTGAGCTAGGCCACTCGAGTGCAAATGCTAACAAAAATTTGTCCAACATCAGTTTTCATCGGAGTGCTCAATTACCCCGAAACACTCTTGTAAGGAAATTCTTCTGTCTTGGTCTATTCACAACTTTCCTGGCCAGAACCTATCTTTCTTCTTCGCATCTTCTTCCCAGGCAAAGTCATGTGCAAAAACCACCTCGACCGAGGCGGGATTCTCCCCTGCCAATTTGATCCCATCCTTTGTCGCAGCGTACAGCCGAGCCAGTGTCTCCTTGGTAGTGGGAATGTCCACGTGTATACAACAAATCTTGCCGGCTTCATCTTTCCAAGTCGCAATGTCCCTTTCCCCGGACAGTAGCCTAACATCATGACATGCATCCCCCGCCAAGCATACGAACCTGGTCGGTTGGTCCGAGATTCTGCACAATAGATTGATATGGCCCGGGAGATGGCCAGGTGCATCCACGATAAACACACTGCCGTCACCGAAAAAGTCGATGGCATGGGGGAACAATGCCAGTGGTTTCCACGAGAATTGAGCGTTCCCAGTGCCGTCCGGAGGAGGCAACTCTATCGTTCGTTCAAGGGGAAGAAGGTCAGACTCAAACACCATATGCTTGCCTAGGTCGTGTTTCGTCTTCCCATTCAAGAGATCAAGCGCGCCGTTACCGATGATGAATTTTGTCTTGTTGCTGGTGAAGTCTTTGGGTAGTCCAACGTGATCGTAATGAACGTGGCTGAACATCACATAGTCTATCTGATCTTGGCTTAGACCTCCTGAGGCCAACGACGTGACAACGTCGGGATGAGTCGAAAGTGGCTGTCGACTATCGAGATGAGACTTCAATGCTGGCGGGTACAGGTTAAGATCCCTTCTTATACCAAGGTCGAATACCAATCGTGTGACTTTTCCAGAGCTTGCATCTTTGTGTTGGATCAGGAAAGACAGTGAAGGTACAGTGCGTCTGGCATCTGGGTCATTTGGGATGACGAAGAAGCGCTCTGGTATCGTTATATGGCCTGCATCGAGGGCGTGCACCGTAACAATCGCCATACCTCGGATCTGCTTATGTTGCCTGAATGAACGTGTCCCGCAATTATGTACAGGGTGGTGATCTTGCGCCAATTGCTGAGAGCTGAATCGGAGGCTGCTTCAGAGACCGGTTGACTTCCTATGCTGACACACCTTGAAGACGAGTAGAATATAACCCCTGGCTCGCTTCTGCAGTTGCCCTTATGCCTGTGAGAGTACCAAAACTCCCCCGCACATCGGCACGGGTTCCCGTCTCATGAGGGGTACAAAGGGAGGTACCTTCCCCAGCTTTCGCCATTGTTAGCCTGCACATTGAAGAAAGCTTCCAGCTCCTCCAGGTGCCACATTTTGGAGTCCTTTGTTGGAGTGATGGTTGAGGTGCTAAGCCCAGGTACCAAAATCTGACCTCGGACTACAACCCGTCTAGGCAATGGCTGGGCGTAACGATGGCCGTTCCAACTTGCACCACTGTCTCCAAAGCCTTGGAGGGAGTGATTAAATGGTTGAGTGATGTGACAGACTTCCGAATGCCTTACGGATGATCTCCAAAGTTGAAGAGAGTCGACCCTTCTCATGGTTCGTATTTGTCTTTGTTCCGTTGCCTGATTGCCACACTGTGTGGTACAAACTGTAGCGATGACATGGACACCTCGAGCTCATTTATGGCGGCATCCGAGACACCGTCGCGTGATTTGAGAATTGAGCTTGTCTTGCCGTCTGGTCTCCTGTCGATCAAGCCATTTCTGCCTTTCTCGGGTGTCACAGCGAGGGAGCCACGCTTGTTTGTTGACGGTTGCTCGGTCCTGGAACTTTGTCGTTGGTGAGTGCCACTCTGTGCTGGCTCCGTGGCAGTAGAGACTCTCCTCCGACGCCCTTCCCGCAGCATCGAGGTCGACTTGTCTATGCCATGATCTATGATCCGGAAGTTGTACGCCTTCGGAAAGAGATGCTTGTCAATGAGATGCAGACGCCTTTTTTGAGGCGTGGAGCATTTCTTGTCACAGTCTTCGACGAAGCAAGCATAAGTCTTCTCACCTTTGGCTTGCAAGGATTCTCGGAAAGGATTGTGATTCTCATCAATATGCAAAGTCAGAAAGTGAGCAGTAGGGAAATTCTTGCCGCATGAAGCACAACGATTGGTATGATCCTTGGCATAATGGGTCTCGAAATCTTCAATGGTAGAGAATTCGACTGCCTCGCGGTGAGGCGGCAAAGAACACTGCATCACAGCGCTGGAGGGAGACATGTCGTAGGGGGTGAACTTCAAGGGTCGCGCAGACTCGAATTCTTCCTGGGAATTGTCCTCGTCGCCCGAGGGCACAAGAGAGGAGTCGCGCGACCGCTTGGTCATGGCGGTGAGGACCGTCCCTGAAGGATCGAGTTCAGCCCATGCACGCTGCAAATAGTGTTGTTTAGGTGCTGCAAGGGAGAGCTAATTGTAGAACATTTCCACGTGCGGTTCTCCGACGCGAGTCAAATGAGCATTCTGATGCATCTGAAATAAAATTGATTACAGAGAGACAAGGTGCGACAATGGGTATCCAATGACAAGGATCAGGCTGTCAAAAAGACACTGCGATAGCAGGAATGTGAGGGAAGCCAGGCTGGAAGAGGCAAGGCTGCATCTGAGCCTGAAGAAGGCCGTGCCACCCCTGCTGCTTGCTACTTGGACGTGCCCTCGGCTCTCTAGGCTTCCCTCTAGGCTTCTCTGGGCCTGATTCAAGCTTAGACGTCCTCCCGGCGGTCATTTACCGAGTCTTATTGGCTGCCTTTTACCCCTTCTCTCCTCCCCTGTTTCTCTGTGCATCAAGTCCACTGCCTCATGTCCATGTCAATCTTTCAGGGACATCCTTTTCCTCCACTCGTTGACGTTTCAGATCCGAAGAGGATGATGCAAGCGTTCCCTCTGCCAGTAACACAGCAACTACTCGAGAAGACCTCGCTCGCCGCTGGCCCAGCTTACAACTTCCAGACTTCCAGGCTCATCTGTTCCTCTTGACACTGTCGCAGCCATTTCCCAGATCAATTCCCGAAGAGTTCTTGTGTGTTTCAGCGTACGGAGGTCCTTTACTCGACACATGATCTCGACCTGTTCGCAAGAACCACTAGCTTGTCCCCCTTCCCCGTCGCTCCTCGGCCTGCGTTGTTCCCTGTGAAATGCGGACCTGGTAGAAAAGAGACGAGTGTATCACAATCCCTGCGGCAGGCATCATCAATAAAATCGCAGTCACAATGTTGGCTTCCAAACCACCATACACGGTCCCGACTATCCCAACTACTACTCAGCAGATTCCTGTTCGAAATTTCTCGGAGGCCACGCAGAGAACCCAGATGTCTTCGCTGGCTCTTCAGGATGGGCTGTTTACTTCCCCTACCGATTCCGAGTTCTCCGATGTCTATGATGGGCTGGAATCGATAAGAGCATGGGATGAGAAGAAAGTTGGGGAATGGTTACACACTATTCGATGCGGGCAATACGAATCGCTGTTTCAAGCCAACAACTTCACGGGAGAGAGTCTGTTGGAATGTGACCAGAAGATCCTCTCGGAAATGGGCATCAAGAAAATTGGTGATCGTGTACGCATCAATGTTGCGATCAAACAGCTTCGCAACAAATCCTCATTACTACGCACGAGGAGGAACCGTGATTCTTTGGCGATTCTCGATGGGTTTGCAGGCACACCTTCATCATCTGATTCGCCTCGAACGCATGCCTCAAAATCACAATCCGGTAGTGCGAAGAGGTTTTCCCGCCAGATCGATGCGTCTGCTCTGCAAAACTTCAATTCAGCAAGCACAGGATTCAAAGTCGGCTCACGTCCGAGTTCGCCGTTGGCTGATATACACAGCGCAGGCTTGCGGGCACACCGATTCGCAGGAAGTCCCCTGGATAATAGCAGAACTGGCCAAACCACTGGCTACTTCAGTCAGCCAGGTTCAGCCAGTTCAACATCTGGGAAGCGACCCGAGAATTCACCCCAGGTTACGACTGTCCCCTCCAGAGCCAATCACCTGAGACAAAACTCTAGTATCGATGGTCTCACCGCGGGTGGCTTGCCCATAGGGTCTCCTGTCATAAAGATAATTCACAATGGTGGACAGACGAAAGTCGTCAACATCAAGTATTGCAAAACTGCGGACGATGTGACCTCGACCGTGCTGAAGAAGCTGCTTCTCCCAGAGACTCACTTTCGAAACTACTGCTTCTATCTGTTGACTGGTCTTGATCCGGATCCTTCTGCCTGTCGCCGCATTGGTGACTCGGAACTGATGAAAATCTGTAGCGATTCGGGCCGGACTGAGAGAAATAGATTAATATTACGAAAGATCAATGATGGGCTTCCCGACGCCGATGACCTACGCAAAGCAGCCAAGATTGCGAATGATGAACAACAGATTCTGCACAATAATGCCCTACAGACGAACAACATGCGAAATCAGATCAAGCTTCAAAAGCTTACCGGCGAATCGTGGCATCACATTCAAACTCCAATGTCACCAGTCACGACAACCGACCGGAATCGTAACATCATGGCAACTGCTGATGATCTCGAGCGTCAAGAAGCGCAACAGCATCTGCGTATCCAAAGCAACCAAAGCACCAAGTTACGGTCGTTTTTCGGCGCTAGACCCCCGAGCGAGATGATCGTCCAGGAATTGACAACCTACTTTCCTGCTCATCAGCGTGAAGACATTGAGAAGACTATGCGCATGTCAGTTCGCCGTTCACAGCGCATGAGCCGCGCAGCAAGTCGTTTGAGCGTCATGAGCAATGTCAGCTATGCCTCAAGCCTAAAAGATGCTCCTCCAGTACCCAGCATTCCCAGCATTGCTGAATCCTGGCTCGCCCAGACTCCAGGACAGCCTAGGACGCCCGCAACGCGACCCTTGTCCGTAATGTCGACCAGATTCAACCTGCCTACCTCCTCATTCCGAGATTCAATTGCATCCTCGACACTACATCCTTTGCAGGAGGAATCCCCAGTAGAGCCAAATCGAAAATCTTACGTGTCCTTCGATAGTGGATCAGACACTGCACTTGGAGGCGAGCTAGTCAGGAGTAGTTTCATCGATGATGGAGCTGGCACTCTTGGCTCCGATGTCGTTAACGAACGTCTGTCTGTCATTGTCGCCGAGGATGGCGAGGAGGAAGATCAAGCTCTGACCTCCTTCCTCAAAGGCAACAGTTTCGATAAGCAGAATTGGATGAAAGGTGATCTTATCGGCGAGGGTTCATTTGGCAGTGTTTACCTGGCCTTGCACGCTGTCACTGGAGAGCTCATGGCCGTCAAACAAGTCGAACTACCAAATGTGGCCAAGGGAACTGAAAGCGACAAGAAGAAAACATCCATGATTGCTGCCCTCAAACAGGAAATTAATTTGCTGCAAGGGCTTCGCCACCCTCATATTGTTCAGTACCTTGGCACATCGTCCGATGAAGAACATCTGAACATTTTCCTAGAGTATGTCCCTGGTGGATCAATCGCAGGGATGCTCAAACAGTACAATACCTTCCAGGAACCCTTGATCCGCAATTTTACCCGCCAAATTCTCGAGGGCTTGTCCTACCTTCATACACGAAATATCATTCATCGTGACATCAAGGGCGCCAATATCCTTGTTGACAACCGCGGTGCCGTCAAGATTTCGGACTTCGGTGTATCCAAGAAAACAAACTTTAATGGAATGAATTCCGTGCCTGGGACGAGAACCTCGTTGCAAGGTAGTGTTTTCTGGATGGCGCCGGAAGTTGTTAGGCAATCTGGACAATCCATCAAATCTGACATCTGGTCTGTCGGATGTTTGATAGTTGAGATGTTCACAGGAGCCAGGCCATTCCCCAGCATGACGACTCTGCAGACACTGTTCGCCGTCGGCAGCAACAATGAGAAACCTACAATTCCTGAAAACGCAAGTGAAGACGCGAAGAAATTCTTGGACCAAACATTTGAGGCAGATCATGAGAAGAGGCCGGGTGCAGATGAGCTGTTAAAGGAGAAGTTTTTGCAACCTATGGCTTGAATCTGAGTTGAAAGCCCAACCACGGCGAATACCTCGTCTACTGGTGGAAGGTGGCAAGGACACTGAGCGGTGTCCGGTCAAACATGGCAGACATATGGTTCTTTGTACGACTCTTGGCGTGGGAGTGGTCTGCCAGATGGGTTATTTCAGACACAGACTGACATGTATCAAGGTTTTTGAGCTGAAGATAGAGAGAGAGACGGATACTTATGACCTGAGGACGTAATTTTCCCTCTACATTTATTGTACGAGTTATTAATGCATACCTTCTGCTTGAGCAATGAAGCTTGAGATTTACATCTGCACATGAAGTATAAGTAATTAACGTACTGCACAACTCGAAGACCATGTATGCTTGAGCGAGTGTAGTAAAGGAGTGCCTCGACTCGTTACGTGATAAGTCATTTGACGACTTGTCGTACTGTTCTGGATGAGCAGTGCTCAGCCTTGTCTGTTGCAGGACGAGGCTGCCAGAGTCGGGCTCCACTCGATGCGGCAAATTCGCCGAAGCTCTTCCTTCCCGACTGCGGAAACATCACGCTTAAATAAATCAGAGTACGGAGTACCGGTTGGAAAGTTGAAGTTGCTTTCGAACACGATTGGAACGATACTTTCTACCTAGGTATACATCGACGTCGAATTATCGGATCGTCATACCCGGTTCAAGGAATACTACGAACCATACAGATCCATCCTTCCATCTAGAGATACCCTTGGCTGCGCTGTGTCGTGTGGTCGGCGGACCACGAGACAAACCCAAGACAGAAAAAGAGATGCCCTCCTCGTGTAAAGACATACGTATGTCATTTGTTCCCGACCCCCACCGGTTCTCTTTTTTGAGGAGTCGTTTCTGACCCGTACGTGCGTGCGTATTTAGGCGCCGCTTTGGCAGCGTGCCTACAAAACTCCGACTGTATCATGGTCGACCGCCACACCCCGGTGGAGTGCCTGTCCTCCCCCCTCCTCGAGACCTTACCGGAACAGTGTCAGCAACTCAAAAAGGGGTTCAGGGAATGTCGGCGAGGGTTGGTCGACATGAGAAAACGCTTCCGAGGTAACGCTCCCATCTCGACGAGTTTGGAGAACGAAGGTGGTGGCGGTGGTGGTGGTGGCGGCGGCAGTAAATCGGCGCCCCAGCTGTACGGGGGTAAACCTGCATTCGACGTCGTCGAGGGCATGAGCAAAGAGTCCAGAGGCGAAGTTCAAGGGTTGGGGTTCGATCCGAGTAAGACGAGGGGGTTGTGACTTTTGTAGGAGTTTACAGGAATCACAAAATACGACAAAGGTAAGAAAAAAAACAGAACCATGCGGAAAGTATACCTACACATGATGGACCCTCCCGAGGTGTGCATAATTGCTCTTTAAACGACGACGACGACGAGCAAAAACAACATGATACGCAGGAGACAAAAGATGTGCATTGAGGTGCCTTGTCCAATTAGCAGTGGGGAATGAATGATGCTCGATTGTCTCTCTGAGAATTGTCTGCGTTCCCACCACCAGCGACAAACGACAAGCCGAAGGTTTTGAAGAGACAATCGACAGACACCCTCTCTACAAACAAGACAGAACAGGGGGAACATGGCAAACCTGAAAAGGCACACTGCTCTCCGGAGAAGATGACGAGGCTTTCAACTGGGGAACTTCGAAAAGATCGTGGTCAGGTATAGAACGGATCGGCGAACAGGAGGAAACTGAATCAATTCACCGGTTCAGAACTTTCTCCTTGCGAGCACGAGATACACCCAGAATATCCAGTCAGACGAAGTGTCAACATTGTTTTGGTTGTGCTGACACGCACGACAATAGGGGAAAAAAGAGAAGCGTGCATGTTCCTGTACATACACGCACGTATTGAATGTATCACCACTCTGTCACCAGATATGTATGTACTATAATGTATTACGCGAAAGACAATCAAAAGTCGGCATAATCAAAAGTCCATACTTGACCAATGTTGGAATTTTCTGTATCCTTTCTTCTGTTTTTATTGGTGTTCCATAAAATACATTTTCCCACCCCATACCCTTGTTCAAAACCTGGTCAAACACATCGAATATGTTTCTTGTTTGGCTCATTTCGAGGAGCCCACACTCAACCTCCGTCTCCTCTCGAGTTCCTCCTTGGGAGGTTCACAGTACAACCAGAGGATTGTAAAACAGACGAATCCGACAATGACACTCCACAGACCCCCGATCCAGGGCCACGCGCCGGAGATGGCCCAAGACCGTGGCCACTCGTCGTGCGCAAAGTGGCGCACCGTGACCTGGTTCTTTTCTTCAATGGGGGTCAGAAAGGGTCGCTTGTAGTTGACCTTGAAGGCGAAGATGCCGTGCTGGTCGGGTGTCGTAAAGGTGGTGCTGAACACGGTGCTGTTCGGGGTGGTGGCGGCGGGCGAAAGCGGGATCCGGTGGAAGGGCGAGAGCATCGAAAACTCCAGCTGGAGATCGTCGTTTGCCGGGATCGTGAACGGCTCCCAGTGGTCCCGGGTGTACTGGGAAATCTCGATCGAGTATTTCTATTTATTGTTGTGAGGAAATGGTCAGCAGAGAGCTCCTAAAGCAAACACACCGAAAAGCAATATATACAAACGTACCACATCATTTTTGATCCTGTAAATTTCAGGATTGTAGTCTCCGTATCCCGTAACCTCGGTGTTATTGGAGGAAGGAGCAGGACATGTGCTGCAAGTACCGGGGGCGGTGATCCTGCTCGAGAAGACCTCCTGGTGTTGCACGCTCAGGACCCTCAACACACCCACCTCCTTGAAAGCCCATTCGGTCAATTGCCTCGCAAACTGCTGGTTCACGGTCTTGACGTTCTTGCCAGACGACGACTTCACGGAAGCGTCGAACCACTTGTCTTGTAGCATTTCCAGCGATCCAAGAACGACGAAGCGAGCAGAGTTCCGAGCCTGCATGGCAGAGACGAGCGACAGCTGTGTGCCGGTCGCGAACGGCTCTTCCAGACTCTCGGCCGACTCTTTCGGGTTGTACGCGTAAGCGGTCGTGGGTGCTTTCAGGATCGACGCAATCAGAGGACTGGCATTGCCCAGCGTCTGTCCCACTGCTCTCGGAACCGCCAATACTCCATCACCACCGAAGAAGTTGACCGCATCAGGTCTCACTGGGCCGGGACGGTCGAGGAGCAGAACGTCATGCTTCTCCGCCGCGGAGACGGTGTCGTAGTTGAAATGGTCCACGACGACCGAGGTCTTATCGGTAGGGAGGGAGATGTCGAATTCGAGGAGGAGGGCCGAAATGGCAGAGGGTGTTCCGGATTCGGATGACAACCCAAGGAGAACGTTCCCACCCGCGTTGACGTAGTCGAGGAGGATTTTGGGAGTCAATGACGGTCCGTAGCCTGTGTTCCGAGGTGAGTAAAAAAATGTATGTATATTTTCATCACGACGTTCATGGTCGACGGATGGGTTTCTTGACCTTTCGACTTTGGTGGTGTCAGAAGTACATGCTCATAGGCCAACTGTCCATGTCGGAAGAGCGAAACGTCGTCCTTCCTCGGGGATTCAAACGTCAACTGAAAGTCGCGGGCTGGTGGGGGCATCGTCAGTGTTCGTCGTCCAAGATTTCGCCAGAACAGTCGGTTCAAACACCTTTGGGGGAAAGAAACATACCTTCCAGATCGGCCCAGAACTTGGAATAGTGTCCCTTCTGCGCCTCGTCTTCAAGCACAACCAACACTCTATCGCCCACGGCGCTCTTTGCGGAGGCTACACCGACACAGGCCACCAACAGAAGGGAGAGCGACTTGAAGAACCGCATTTTTCTCGTCGAAAACGACAACGCCAAAGAAAAAAAATAACTTGTGCAAGGACTCTATGGAAGCATGATCTCGCAGGCAGGGTGAGGTAGGTAATGTTAACGCAGCAGCGCAGTCTCTCTCCAACTTGTCAAGTAAATCTGTCCACCCCCAAGAGCGGAGTCTGACACGCGGATGGACGAAATGCACATATACTCCACCGTTCTACGGTCGGCCATTTTGTCCTATGGGCAAACGAGGCTGAATGTCGCCTGGAAAAGGGGCGATCGAAGAAGGTGAATGTGTTCACGGCTCAACGTCCGTAGGGACTACATCGGTTAAAGCATCAAACGAGCTCTGAGAAAGGTCGTTGGTGATGCAATGCGTCAAAATCGTACGAAACTCAAGCTCATCTATCTTCATGAGTCTATTCCTGCCTCAAATAATGCTCCCGTACGTCCTGGAACAAACGCTCAGTAATGAAGGTTAAACAGTTACGTTGCTGCTGATGATGCCTGCTACAATCAATACAACCTCATTTCTTCATCGCTTTTTCCGGGTTCTTCTCCAGCAAGAGACACCACTTCCTCCACTCCCTCGCCGCTTTGCGGAACGTATTTCTCAAATCAATCTTGACCTCCTCCAATTCCCACTGCTCGTCCTCCCAGTTTTTCTCCTCCATGTCCATCTCGGTCGCCTTCTCCCCATCTGCCGCTCCGGGACTCACGGCCCGGTGTCTATTTCTCCCTGTGGGCGTCCAGCCGATCGCCTCGAGCACGTCGCTCTCCGTGGGGCCCGTCCTGTACTCGGGGAACAACTTGCTATCCACCTTGTGACACTCGCTGTCGAGGTACCGCCTCAGGACCTCGATCCTGCCACTGTCTCTGAATGTGAGTCGCAGTTGGTCCTTTCCACCATTCTGACCCTCGCCGTCGCCACCGTGGCTTCCTCCGTCTGCTGGCGTTGGAGTCGCGGCACTCGAAAGACGTTTCGTCACGCTCCTCGCCGTCTTGGCCCCGCGGAAACTGGAGTACGCCCACACCGTGTCGATCTCGCCCAGCCCGCCAAACGGCCAGATGAAGGTGGCGAGGATGTCGATCCCATACCCGACAGGCATCAAACCTGTGGCGATGATGGTGTCGCGTTGGGCCTTGCTCTTGGTCCGCAGCATCGTATTGACGAATTCCTCGCGCATCGCCGCCTCACCGAGACCCAGGGTCGGTGGGTATATCATGACCATCTCCTCGACGCCGATGGTCTTGTGAGTCTCGGGTCCCTCGGTGTCGCTGCGCTCGTCATCCGAATGGGCCGGTGAGACGCGCCCCAGAAAGTCCAGGTTCGACGTGGTCGTCTTGTTCATGGCCCAGTCGATCCCCTTTGTCGCTTTGGACTTGAGCCCCTTCCACGACGCCGTTTTGGCGGTGCTGGTCTTTGCGGCGCGAACCTCTTCTTGCCATTTTCGTTGGACCTTGTGGAGTTTGGCTTCCTTGGTGCCTTCGGCGGGTTTCTGGAGCGGGGGTGGCGGAGGCGTGTAGATCATGAAGCGCGAGGGTACAGAGTCCGGCGTCGCGCTGCCGATTTTGGGCTTGGGGAAGGGCACAAGGTAACCTATGAGCTTGTGCGGGTCCCGGATGTAGTGGATTGGGTTGGAAGGGTCATCGTCCGCTGAGAATGTTTGTTTGATGCGTTGAGGTGGGGGTTGAAACTGAGGGGCTGCCTGGTACGACTCTTGTCCGGCGTAGTCGGCTGGATTGTATGACGGTGGCGGAGGTTGTTGATACATCTGTGCTTCAGTTCCAAAGTTGTTGCCATGTCGCTGAGGTAGAGGCGGTGGTGGAGGTTCGTTGATCTGTGGCACCGCCGGATATTGCGCTGATGGGTCTGCGCCGTACGTCTGAGACATGTCGTTTGGCCGTGGTGGCATAGTCGGAGGTGGAGGGTATTCTCCTGGTTGCTGTACAACTTGCGGTTGTTGGGCGGGATGAGATGGAGGTGGAGGATAGTGGTTCTCGTCTGCCATGATAGAGCTTTGCTGGTTACAACCCAGATAGATCACGATAGTTGATGCAAAGTGAAAGTTGAGGCAGGTCAGGTATGAGAGCGATGAGTGATAGTGATATACAAGACTGAAAGGGTTTGTTTAGAGTGATGCCTTGGCTTCGTATCGACTAACTCTCAATAAAACAAGGCGACTTGGAAGGCCCAACTTGGAAACACTGTCTATAATAAGCCACTTGTTGTATACGCGTCGATCAACAAGTATGACGTGGGGGGGACAAGTCGACAACGGTGGCTGAGGCCCGGCAGTGCTCGGGAACATCAAACCAGCTCGGCCTGTACTTCACACTTTATGTGCTTCGAGCTTACGATGGCGAGTGAGGCTTAATTCTATAGCTTAGTGACTGTGTAGAGTCAATCATGGTGCGATGTTTGATTCATGAGAACAAGAAGCATTGGATCATGAAGCCTATGTTGGGGATCGTGGATAGATAGATTGTTATGCGTCGAGAGAGGGAATATATATTTCATAGCACAGTGCGTGAGGTTCGTATCACCCACGCTATCGGAATCATTCGCCACAGCACGGCAGACAAAATAAATCCTTCCTTTCACATTGGGTGTACACACTCCATTGCTGATTTATCTAGGCCTCCCTCTTCACCTGTAAACATCAAGATTTTCTTTACCAGAAGCAAAGCCCATTGACCATCTCCAAGAATGAAATATAGCTAGGTCATCAACTACATGCCACTCATTTAGTTTCATCGCGATGGACTCAAGAATCAATACCACCATGAGACAAATTACACTCCGCGTGCCTGCCATGTACTGATCATTATGCATTACCGACGTTCTTTTCAGATGGCATATCCAAAAGGGGGTGCTACCGCTCTTTGCACCATACCATTCACCCTCGCTCCCAATCTCTCAACGCTCATGCCTCCGCTCAAACTCGTGATAGAAGTTCTAAGGCCCAGTTGTCGCCGCCGTTGGTCTGGTCGGCGTGGCAGCTGCTGTGCCGGGCATGGAACCCGGACCCCCTCGTCTAGCAGAGCCTCGGAAACTCATACTCAGAGATCGATGTCCGTGGCCATGAGGTGTACCATGTCGATGGCTGTGACTTAGGGTCGAGACGTCATGTTTGCCTAAGCCGCCACGTTAGTCATGCTGCCTATCCAGGACTCAATTTTCTGTACGTACCGTCACAGCAAGCCCGGACATTCTCGAGTCCGCCAAAGCCGACTTGTTCCTGTCTCAACATCTCTCTGCGAAGCTCTTCCGCAGAATCTTTGCGCCCATCACTCACTACACTGGCATCGTAGATGCTACCAACCTCGGATCGTGCTCCGGAAGGGTGATTGGCTGCCTCACTCATCCTCCGAGACCTTCCCGTGACAGATCCAATCATGCGCGAGAAACGGCTAACACTACTGGCACGACCCGTGCGTTCCATGTCGGCGTCCTGGGTCTGCTCGACACGACTCTGTCGAAGGCTTGAATCATTAACAGTACCGTGAGATTGACGCGTGGGACCAGTCGTGGCAACACCGAGGGATGGTCTCTGAGCACCAGAGGCTCGGTTGGTACTGGTGCCTCTGGTGGTTCGAGAGTTGTAGCTTGACAGACTCATACGACTGGCACTTGGGGCCAGTGTAGCTCCATATCCGCTGGCATTGACGTTGAATTCGTCAACATCATCCCGGGTGATTTCCGCGCCGCCAGCTTGATAGCTGCCATCACTAGGATCATCGCCACGAAGTAGCAGGTAATTTAATGCGTTGTACCAAGTCTCGTGTCTCTGTCCAGTGCTTGCAGTAAATCTCACACGACGGCCAGGAGTGATGACTTCGAGACTCTTTCGATGCAGTCCAGGGGGCATGGGGTTGTCATCGGATATGACTTTGACGCTTTCGATGAGCACGCTCTTTGCTTTCAGCTCATTCCTACCCGCAGTTTGGGGGTCTTGGTCAGACCAATATAGAGTCTTAGTATATGGGTGTACCCAGAAGTACCGTCGATGCCTTGTTTCAGACATCTCGGCTCGTCCAGCCTTGCGAGTGTATTTCCACAAAAACTCTCCTATCATGGTTTGTGTTATCGCTTGGATGATCCTGGGGTCTGTGCCAAAGCCATGCGCCGACATCTGTCCAGCGGGATGGATGTTGAAGCGCTCGTCTAATTCAGATGCAAACGAAGATACAGACGATCGATGTGACAGCTGTGAGGTGACGGTACCTCGCTGTTGACGACCAACGTTAGAGGTGCGTCTGGTAGTGCTGTCACGAGTAGGAGATCGTACAGATTCTCCTGGGGTGCGTGGGCGCCGCATGGCTGAAGCTGGGAATGCGGGCGGTCCCATGACAGTGGGCGCATGGGCTGGATTGTTGAGCTCCCGAGTCGGAGAACCGACCCGACTTACGGCTTTAGCAATGGCAGCTTTGTGGTCAGGAGGGAGAGGTGGGTGGCTGTTGGACAAGCGCCGGCTCAACGAACTCGACGGCCTCTTAGTGGGTGAAGGTAAAGGTACAGCCTGACCAATTTGCATGCCGGGCACGATTGAACTGGGTATATCAACTTCCTGTCGTTCAAGAGCGTCTCCTGGTGTGAGAGGGCTGAGCGGACCAGTAACAGAATCCTCTTGTTTGTGACCCTCTGGCAACGGCACAGGCAAAGCAAACTTTGTTCGCAAAGCTTCCTCGATTTGTTGAGCAGTAAGAAGCGTCTGGGAACCTTGGTCTTGGCTAATGGTTGCAGGAGTCTCCGCTTGCTCTCGGCCGTTGTCAGATTTGCCAGCGAGTGTATTCTTGACGGGAACACTATTCCCAGAGACATCCTTCAATGGCATGTTTGCTGGCATTTCTGGGACAGCACTTGTTTGTTCGCTTGTCTCGTCTTCGGCAATCACTGGCGCACGGTCGTTCCTTGTCTTGGACAGGCCTAAGGCCGCTGCGGCGGAAGCAAGGAGTCCTGATGCTGCCACCTTTTCAGCAGTATGCGGTCTGCTTGGAGAATCTTCTAGTTGGGTGGAAGCCGACACACCAGGCACACGTTTCTTCTGAGGCGTTTGCACTGGTTCAGTGACTTGAGCGTGAATGTTCGAAATTGTGAGCGGTTCACGCAACGGAGCGGTAAACGTGGCCGTTTTATCAGGCGTCACTGGCTTGGTATCCTGCATTAAGAGACCAGAGTAGTTGAGGCGTTCGAGGACCAGGGAATGGGAGGCAGATTCAAGGGTTGGCTCCACTTGTTCCGGGCTTTGTGCTTCATCCCAAACGGTCTTGGGAGGAGTAATGAATGCAGTATTTCTGACAGGGCTTTCTTGCAGCATTCTCTGTGGGGTGTACTGTGTGCCATTATCGATGTGTTTGACGGGCGATACTGGCACAGTTGGAGGTAGGGGAAATTGGGATGGAATAGGAGATGGCGTTTGCTCCCGGAGCGGAGTATGGGGTGCTTTGACATCGTCCACTGCAACCACACTGCCTTGCGACTGCGATTGGTTTGGCTCCCAGGGGTCGGTCATAGTGGCAGAGTCGACCATTGCCGCCTTGACAAGACTGACAGGCTCCGATTGCGGTGCTGGCTGCTTACTGGGGGTGTAGGCCGGGACACCAGGGGTTGACGCTGCTGAAGCAATGCTAGCTCTGCCGGGCGTACCAAAGTTGGAACTATCATCCATACCGCCTAGCTCTGCAAAAAGACTCCGCTCAGCGCCAGGCACGCTTCGCTCACTACTGACCGTAGCTGGCGAGTCCTGCTGCGCGCCTTCCGAGTACAAGTTTGTAGGAGTACCGTCCGTGGGAACTCTCGACTGTCTCGCGAATGAAGTCCGGCCGTTTTTGAGCCGGAATTTCTGCGGCTGACTAAAGACTGGCGTTTTGAGTTCATCTTCATCTTCACCAGCCGAAGTAGAAGCGGTGCTCATGTATGACTGCCGGTCACCAGCAGATTTGAAGGCAAGAGATGGCTTATTTGCCCGGGATATACCTTTCCGCCGCAATTGAGACGCAGTATCTTCCGTTTCAGTCAAATCATCGGTGCTATCACCAGCAAGACTTTCAGCACCAGTCTGGAAATCTTCGCTCTCTGTGGCGTGCCGCTCGTCTGCAGTCTCAAACGCGCCTTCGGTCTCATTTGCAGTCTGATACGCGTCGCTCATGTCAGTGCTCCGACTCTCGGCACCAGCTGGCACAGCTAGATGTCTCTGAGTGTGTGTCCTAGTAGGCGAGTCGACTGTGTTGTCCTCCCAATCATCATCTTCCAGCTCAATATCAGTGCGAGCGCGTCGACTTCCTCCGAGCATGTCAGGCCGAGCTGGCTTCTTGAAAATATCCGACTTTGTCTTTTGTCGTTTGTTGCCGCTGCCTACAGATACGTCGCCTCGACGCTGCTCTAGCTCATCCCTGGCATCTTGTAGCATACGCTTGAGCTCGATCTTTTCTGTCTTTTCCCTGTGGATATTGTTTTTGAGGTTCTGGATCATCCTATGAGCATGATGTAACGAGCTGCGAAGGGTCTCCGATTCCAATCCGCCATGTCGTGGGGTTGCTTTTGTAGGAGAAGCAGGGGGCGAATGTTCGGGGGACTCAAGGTCTTCAAATTCTTCATCATGAGCTGGACCTGCTGAAGCCTCTGCGTCAGGATGCTGTCCTCGTAGGCGTGCGGCAACTGCCCGCGCGAGCTCATGGTTCTGGGCAGTCAACTCATCAACCTTGTTTTGCAATGACGCTCTTTCGCCATCTCCAACGTCGATGCTACGCTTGAGAGTGTGCAACTCGGAATCGTAAGCTTTCTTTGCCGTGGCGTGTTCATCAGTCAATTTTTCGTGGGCAACCCTAATTTCGTCCATCTCACTCTGAAGTCTGCCCTTCTCCGCTACAGCAGCAGCGAGACTGACATTCAATCTTTTTTCTCGGTCGGCTGCTTCACGCGACGCCGCAAGCAGCTCATGTGTCTGGGTTTCCAGATTCCAGTTTTCGTCTTTGTACTTTTGCTCACTTTCATCCTGTGCCCGGAGGCGCTGAATATACAATTGGGCTTCCTGCTCTAACCGATCTCTCTCAGCATTGGCCTGCTTCAAAAGATCATCCCGTTCAGCTACTGCACTCTGTAGGCTTCTCACTTGTGCTAAAAGCGACGTGGAAATATCTGCTGCAAATTGCAAATCGCCGGCCCGATTACTGGGCTGGTTGCGTTGTCGTCGGCTTGGAGCTGTAACTTTCGTGGGAGATGCAGTCGCCTGGCTCGTAAACGTAGACTGCTCAGCGCCTGGCTTTTCTTCGCCACTGACTGCCCTTGACTTGGGCCCCAGTAGAGCTCGCGCGATTTCTTTGCCAACATCGTTGTGCTCTCTTTCTAAGTCGGCGAGTTGTTTCCGCAGTTCGGGAGATATCTCCGCATCTTCCTGGTGCTCCTCCACCTCGCGCAACTTGTCGTTGAGCTCCGACTGTTGTACTAAGAGCGACTCTCCAAGCTTTTGCGTGTCGTGCAGCCGGCGTTCTGTCTCGGCAAGATGAGCGATAATGCTTCTTTTGACTTGCGAAGGCGATGTAGCTGCGCCCAAAGTGATCGAGTCCGGATCGACGAGACTGGAATAGCGGTGAGAATGACTGGATTGCCGAGGATTCTCATCGTCGAGGAAAGGATCAGACAAGTCTCTCACTGACGCGTGAAGACCGCTGTTGAGGACCTCATCGGTACCAGCTACCACCGCAGCGGCCATGACTGCGGTGATTGCTCTAAGACAAAATGCGCAGTAACGTGTACGGTTCAAGGACGTTTGTTTCCGTTGGTAGTTATCATATCGCGGCTCGATTGGACAAAATGTACGGTGGTCATGAACTTGAGGAGACTGATTTATAAAATTGAATTGAATGAGAAGCGGCCGCCCGAGTTCAAGCAGGGTTGTGTTGTCAATCAACACAGAAAAAGGCGGACTCGGTCAGGGAGATTTGCAACGATTGGCTCGCGGCTTGTTGACGCGTTTGGACCTTGAAAGCTGCCAGCCTGCCAGATTCGGTGTGGGGTCTCACTCCTCGTACCAGCGTCCAGGCGAGGAGTCAGTCAGGTCAGCAATCCCTGAGAAACCGGATTCCGCTGCGTAGGATGACACATGTAGGTCGACCAAGCGGCCAAATCAAAATGAGAGTATTTTAAGGATACCTTATCGATGACGATGAATGTGACATACAGGTGCTTTGCGTCCTGGGGTAGAAGAATTACTGAGGAGAGCGATATGCCCGCGTGAGAGGGACAACATTCACTTTGCCCAGCATTACTCGTCCACTAAGGCATCTCGCTCAGACAGGGAGTAAGGAGCTCAGTTTCTGCAAGGAGAAATGCCTCCGATCACAGACCATATGTTGTTCCTTGCTATGCACATTACGTACTGTACCCCAACACTTACGACCTTCTCTTGTTCAACTATCGTAGTCGCTGCAGTCCGTACTTTGTCCTGCTGTGTGCCGTATACCCAAACAGCGGCTGAAGTACCTAGGGAGTTGAGATGTGGCAAGGTCGTTGGGTGGCCACGTATATTAAGCACAGGTCATTTAAAGAGCTCTTGCAAGGTGATATATGAGCACCTTTGACTATACAATATGTACCAAATCCAGCCCTTCGAGGGCTCTGTGAAACAAGCCTGCCATAATTATAAAGCTTCCACAATCATTGTGGAGTGGTGCTACATGAGACATCCGGAAGACACCAGTCCATTGAAACCCATATCTAGTGAGGTTATAGTCAATGTCCCGTCATTCCAAGTTAATTTAATTCAAGAAGCCAACTTGTCGCCATTGAAAAATCTCGCGTCGTTCAGCTGCCATCGGCGTGGGTAAGACTTATGAGTGATCATGACCATCGTCTATCGGACGATTCTTTTTCTTTCAATCCACCTATCCTCTCAAGGTCGAGCGACTGGAAGCGGGTGGCATCTTCGCGCTGATAAGGTGGAAGATTTTCCTGGGCTACAGGTTCCATGCCGACACTGCCAGAATCGGTAATGTGAACAACAACGACGCGGCCTTTTCGCGTAGAATCTGGATTGCCCTCTTCGTCAGGGAAGGTAATGTGAATCTCCGGCACATCTGATGCTGAAGTAGGTGAAGAGTTGTGGATGAGGTTCATCTTTTCATCGTAGACAAAGATTGATTCGTTCTTGCCCGTGTTGAAGTTGCTGACTGACGGAGAACGATGGTGCGAGGCTTGCTGATGATAAGTCGGCAGCATACCCTGTTTCTTGACGAGTCGTTTACGGCGTATGAAGAACAAAGCCAGCGAGCATAGCGATGCTAGCAAGAGGAGTGTAAAGAAGACGAAGAGAAGGTGCCCCATAGTGGCGGAAGACGGTCGGTCGTCGTCGAACGCATCTGAAGAATCGCGACGAACATGAATATTGGAGGACTGTGTTGAATCCATGACTGCCTCCCAGCAGAAGTCGTGGCTTTTTAACGCGAACCTTTAGATCGCGCACACGAATATAGATTTAAGGATGAAGCTGATGTGAGGCCCCGGTCGGTGATCGGAGTCGGAGTCCGCGACGAGAGACGCAGCGCGGTTGGCCTGTCTACAATCCTTTGAGTCGATGATTGGGTCCGAAAGGCTCAAGTTTCCCTTGCAGTGGTAGCAAGGAGGCTGGCGAAGCTACGGATGCGCGTTCAATGCACCTTCTGGCTGCAATCAGTCCGAGCAAAAATGTCGGTGGTAGGCTCCAGGCGGGTCGACGTGTGGCAGGTGGCTGGAGAAGAATGAACGGACGGCGCGAGTTCAGCAAAAGAGTGAAGCTGAACACTGCCTGAGAAGAGGAAGACGTTGGGTGAGAAGGGCGGAAGTCGTGCAAGGAAAAGAAGGCAAAAGGGAGAGCCGCGATGAAAGCGAAAATTGTAGATTCCAAAAGGTGAAATGGTGAAGCGGCCGTTCAACAAACCCCAAGGTGACAACCCAGGGGCAGCACCACGACTTCCCCGAAAAGAGACTGAGACCTGCCAATTCGCATTTGGCCAGTGGCTGCTGACAGCGCCCAAGGCTCAGCATCCACCTAGGCCTCCAGCTGTACTTTTCGGCACCACACTCTCACATTTTCAGAGGCCTGGTGCCCACGCTGCTTCGCTGAGAGTGGGCCTCTAATGCCAATCACTGCATGCAATTTCCAAGGGCGCCTTTTCCTGCCAATGAGCGCCTGGCTACTGAGGCTACTACGCGTCACTCATGCAGTGTCGGTGAGTCGGAGCTTGAAAGATTCCTGTTAGCCGCTTGGTGCCTTCCGTGCTTGGAGGGAAGTCAACAAACAAATACAGTACGGAGTACATTATTAGGACTACGGAGTTTGAAGTCCCACGTATAACACTACTATACGAGTCCAAATATTTAGTTTGCGAAGTGTAGTGCTCAAGACTAGGACTTGGGAATATACCCTGACCTGGAAGACAAGGAAAAGCACCTCTACCTGGTTCCTGTAATGTCGGTATACGTTTTGTGCTGGATCGGATCCTTGAGTCGATCACATGCCTAGAACTCGGGTCTCACTTTAGCAGCGATTTTTACAGTACGGTCAGCCACTCCCAAGACGAGCATCGGAAACCGACAAAGGTACTCGTATAAAGCGGAGTCAATAGAAAAGCTACAGGCACGTTCCAATAACAAGGAAATGACTCTGACAAGCATGTCTGAAAAGGAAAAATGGTTGTATCCCTGCTGCAAAGAAGTGTGCTTCTTGCTCTGGCTGACCGGGTTCATGATTCGTGGTAGCAGCCAACCGCTACTCCGTATGCCACCGACAACTGTCACCGTACAAAAGAGTTATCGCCGACGGAGCGAATGAACAGGAAAACGATGTTTTGACAGCTCTGAGCATTGCATGTCAGACAGGGCGTTCAGTCTAGCGATATGTCGAATTACAATACTCCGTACCTACGAGTGGAAACACATTGTGTGGAGATCGAGAACCTGCTCTACCTGGACGTACTATACTCGTAGCATGTGCATACCTGTATTCGACGATGACATGATAGGAGCCGCGTGAAATGATCGGCGACTTCGATTACAATTACAAGTATGTAGATCGGACGGAAGCAAGCTCGGATCTGTAGGGCACGCACGAGCCCGATTTTATGGTTTCCGACCCCTCAAAGTTACGAGTATAAACGAAGACGGTCGTAGCAAGAAGGGGAATTTTTACTAACACAAAGCCAATGAATATAACGCGGGTGTACAAATGAACTGTCAACTTGACAATTCAAAGAGTGTTGAGCCTTTCACCAACCCCCAAGTTCATCCCCGACAGATCTGGCAACTCAATCACAAGGGGCGAGGGCTCCCTGTCCGAAGCCTATCCGAAGTTACAATACGGACACGGTCTCTCATTTTCCATACATCGCTTTGCCCTGCTATTCGCGTCAATAATCATCATTGGTATTTCGAAGTAACGCCACTAGTAGGTTGGAATATGAGATGCACCGCCGATAGGGGTTTACATGTCTGAAAAGAGCCCACTTAGAGGTTGAACCTCCACCTCGAAGTCGTCCAGCGAACCACACCTTTGTGTGTTGTCGAAGTCCTCCTTTCTATTGTATGATTAATTACCACTTCCGGTTTGACCACGTCAGAATCGAGTTTTTCCGTGAGAGTCGATCGAATAGTAGTGCTGCGACGATCGCAAAGACGCCATCGAGGGCGACTTCAGCCGGTTTTCCTTGCTTCAACATTGGCTGTCTCACCGACGCTTCGTTTCTATTCCATCTTTCGAAGACTTCGCCTAAGTCACTAGTGACAGCTCGTTGTCAGCAGCACATGGTCGCAGCCGAGTGGTCGATCATGGTCCCGACTTCAATGACCCAACAGTGCTCGTATCTTGGGCCAGTGAGAGTCTGAGTCAGCCTCTGGAAGAACATGTTGGGGATCAGTGATACCCGTACGGAGTATCATTACCCGGAACACAAGATGCCGGTCTTGCAGAAGCGACGGTTCTAATGCAAGTACAACATCAAGCGAAAAGGGAACAGTAAAGGTCGAGATGCAAGCCACCTTGTGGTCGCAAGGCAAGGAGAAATCGAGATCTTGGAAAACTGAATTTGGGCTGAAACGCTGCCACGGCTTCTTTCTTGCCGTTTTCCTAGTCCAATGGGGACGCGCCTGGCCTAACCTCAGTGGCTCTAAAGGGCCGCTGGGTACTTCCGGGCGCACCCTTCTAGGGTCAGCCACCCACCAAACCATGGAAGCCTCACGACCCTAGTGACCTCAGATGCCTCACCCGCCTAAGCCTAGTGCCCTTTCACGCCCAAAAGTCCACCTCTTGGGCATCTCGCTCTCATCTCCACCGCAGCCCACTTCGCCTGGTCGATCTGGGGTTTGACGCTGATGGGCTTTCTGCCTGCGCATCATCATCGTCTTTTTCCCTACACGACGTCTTTTTTTCTGATATATCATCTAGGCTTCGGTGTTGAACCGATTCATCCACCCTTCCCCCTCCCTTCGTCTTGTCCTTCTCGTGTAACCAGCTTCTCAACACGATTTGATGGTGCTCCCATCCGGCTCCACTCGAACGATTGCCAGACTCTCCCTCACCGCACCACGATCCACCTCCGCCCGCCAGATTTGCGCCTCGCCTTGCACAAACCCGGCGCACGCAGCATTCCACCCTTCCCAGACATCCATTCTTTTCTCATCCCTTGCTCCATGCGCACTTCGTGGTCGAGGCGCATGTCTGCTGGCAGATGTTTCTCAGTCCTTACTTTCGCCCGCTGTCGCCATCCGCCCGCAGCCACTTCCGTCTAGGGTCATGCCTTCTATTCGCTCTGCGGCTGCCTGCTGAAAAGTGTACCATCGGCTTTGCTGGCAAACGAAGGGGTACATAACTCTACCGAACCTTGCTTCGCCCTCATTATTCCTTCTTCTTTCTGATCTTCTCGACTCTCCTTTCTTATCCCCTTGTATCTGCGGTTGCCTCTTTAATAACCAGGCCCCGGTGTACATTTTTCTCCTGAAATATCTTCAAAATACTGGTAAGTGGAACTTCCAGGCGCTGACGGGGGACTTGGGTTTATACAGTTTCCACATATGGAGCACTAACATCTTGATCAGTCTATAAAAGCGTTATTCCCTCCCTCGGCCCACTCAGGCCTTGTCCATGTTTGTGTATTGACGTTACCACCGGGTAACTGAACAATTTTATATTCTGATTATCTGCCTATAACTTCTGCCATTCATTCTGTGCAGCGGTATTCTTCTTCACCATGGAAAGCGGTCCTTCCCTAGAGACCGTGAGTTATTCTGAAAGATGTGCCGGGTTCTGAGGCTGACAGATCTGACATCTAGTCTCGCAACGGCCGCGTTCCCAACACTGATCGAACATCCTCTCCGAGACCTCCAACGGCTATGAGAACTGATTTTGACCGAGGAAAGAGCGCTTGGGGAGTTTCAAGTCGTATCTGGGGGACTGGGACGTCTCTCTACGATGATGAGCAGGCAACATCGCGTACGCAGGCACAAATTGCCCCAACTATGTCATATGCTGACTCTAGATTAGCATTTCCGGCTCAACAAGGATCATCTTCAGGGTTCGGCTCAAGCAGGACAGCGAGTGCTTCGATGGGAACCGAACTAAACAATGAAGAGCCTGTACAGTCAAGACTACCCTGGAATTCGACCTCGACCGGGAGTGGCTACAGATCTAGACAACGGACACAGCCACTATCACCCACGGGAGAGAGACGGCATCAGGGTTTCAATTTCATGGCTGGTGAACATGACGGACACGTGGAAGGATCGAGTCTCTTTGAGGGAAGTGCGCCTGATGTGGAAGACGATCCTTTACCAGGACGCCGACCCAGTGACAGCCGACGTGCCGTCACTGAGAGCTCTCGTTTCATGCAGTCTCCTACCAGAACGACATCATTCAGCCGAAGCCCGTTTGCTACCCAACTTCAAAATACCAACGTCGCAAGTTACAACAACAACGCCATTTTTGCATCCCTGGACAACCATGACCACCACCACCTCAACCGAAGCCCCATTGGATCTTCAGCAAGCCCCGTCAGTGCTCTACCGTTCGTGATTCCAACTTGTTTTGCGACTAGCCGTCCATCAGAACAGTTGACTATGGCATCTTCAAGATATGGAAATATTTCACCACGACTTGGAGGCACTGCTCGTACCTTTCCCAATGGACAAGCAGAACATCCCTATACAGCGACAGCTCGAGAAATTCAGGAAGCCCTCCAATCCTTCCAAGCACTGAATCTCAGTAGAGTGCAGAATGTCATGGATGGGCCACCTGGCCGGCGTCCATCTGCGGGTGTTCCTCGACATCAGTCTGATGGTCGGCCTACGACGGTACATGCCGCGTTACAAGCTTTCGGAGGTCTCAGTGACGTTGATCGACAGCTCGCCATAGCTGCAGGGAATGGATTTGTCGGTTCCAGGTTGAATCCTCAGGCTGTCCCTCATTATGGCGGGCTACCCTATGCTGGCCGTGGTACTCTTTCACCAATGGCCACTGAGTACCGAAGCAACAGTCACAGTCCGCATAGCTCACAAGTAGGCACCCCTCCAACCGGCCCGCTGTCAGTTCGAAGCACTCCGGCTAGTGGTGTCTCTAGCCGCTCGTCTGGTTATGATTCCTCGTCGACGGAACGGAACCTCCCTGGCGCGGACCAGTATTCCTGTGACGAGAGAATGTTCCCCCCAGGCTCGTTACAGCAGCAACTCAGCAATGGGTTCCACTACGATTCTCACGGCTCCATGCAGCATATGCGCCTAACCTCTGTTACAAACTCGTACATGTTGCCCGGACATCCAGTAATGCACCCTTTTTCGCAAACATCCCGAATTCCTACCCGTGACTTGGAGCAGAACCCAATAGCGCGAAGCGCAGTGCTTGATGACTTTCGTTTGAACAGCAAAACCAATAAGCGGTTCGAATTGAAGGACATTTACACCTATGTGGTAGAGTTCAGTGGCGATCAACACGGCTCCCGGTTCATCCAACAGAAATTGGAGACGGCCAACAGTGATGAGAAAGAGCAAATATTCAAAGAAATTCAGCCTAATTTGCTCCAGTTGATGACCGATGTTTTTGGGAACTACGTGATCCAGAAGATGTTTGAGCATGGCAATCAATCCCAGAAAAAGGTACTGGCTAATCAGATGAGAGGCCATGTGATGCATTTGTCCCTGCAGATGTACGGGTGCCGGGTTGTGCAGAAAGCTTTCGAGCATGTCTTGACGGACCAGCAAGCGACCCTGGTGAAAGAACTCGACGGGCCTAACCAGCAGGTCCTTAAAGTGGTCAGGGATCAGAACGGCAATCATGTTATACAAAAGGCCATAGAACGCATCCCGGGCGAGCATATCCAGTTCATCGTCGATGCTTTCAAAGGCCAGACGGCGAAAATGTCGACTCACCAATACGGATGTCGGGTGGTACAACGAATGCTAGAGCACTGCGCGCCACAGGCCAAGAGAGTCATTCTTGACGAGCTGCTTGAGCACATCATCCCACTCATCAGTGACAACTATGGCAATTACGTTGTGCAGCATATCATCCAGAATGGAGAACCTCAGGATCGGCGATTTGCCATAGATATAGTCCTTCGGTCAGTTTTGATGTTTTCGAAGCACAAATTTGCGAGCAACATTGTGGAAAAGAGTATAGAGTTCGCCGATGAAGACCAGCGGCAGCAGATTCTTCGCACATTGACCACGCCAGACGAATATGGGACCACACCCGTGCTGCAACTCATGAGGGACCAATATGGTAATTATGTTCTGCGTAAGTTAATGGTTTTTTATCTTTGCAAGACTTTCCGAGATCCTAACAAGAACAGAAAAAGTATATGACCGACTTCAAGGCGAGGCACTCGCTGCCCTCGTTGCAGATATGAAGAAGAATCTTCCAGAGCTCCGCAGGACGAGCTACGGCAAGCAGGTTGCTGCCATAGAGAAACTACTGTACCCCGACCAAGACTCGTCGAATGCCTCGACTAGCAGCCGAAACTCTGTGCAAACCACTGCCAGCAACTCGACGTCTGCGGAGGGCGACAGAGCCAAAACCCACCAAGGACAGGCCAGATAAGAATGCCGTTGGCATCTCTACCTCGATGCCACTGCGGTGAGATGATTGAGTGTAAAGGTTGCTCTTTTCGAGTGAGGTATATTTGTGTCCCTCGCGACATGTTGCATTCGGTTCAAGGCGACGCAAGAGCAGAAAAATGGTTTAACAGTTCGCGCAGTATTTCAGCCCTACACGTATGTTGCCAGGGGCAACTCTGGGTGTTTTGGATTTGGGAGTTTCAAAGGTGGTAACCGGTAACCGGACACTCCTCGCTAGGAACAGTCGATCCGGCATCAGCTTTTGGTGGTTAAGGCCTGAGTTCAAGACGACACCTGGTTTGACGACAATATAAACGACTTTTGTGGATACCCATTTTCGGTTTTTAGACGGATGGATGACGAGGTAGGTCCTTGAAATGGAATGGTAAAACAAATGATGAAGCAGGAATCTTTTTGAATGGGTTGTTCTTCAAGGCGCCAGGGTATTGGTTAGTACATCCAAGGATTGTCAGACATCGGTATGAAGATGGCGTACTGTATTGTTGTGATTGCAAGTTAGGTACATACCTGTTATGTATTGGAACAGCAGGGCTGAGGCACACGCAGATTAGTTTGCAAACATTCATATACACGGCCGAATCCTTCGAATAGTTATTTGCAATTAAACAATATTGATAGCAAAAATCCTTCGAACTTGCACCAGAGATTGCAAGAGATTGCAAGCCGCTACGCAGCCTAGGGCCCTTGCAACGGAGACGTACGCGGGACTTAGTCTAATGATATTTAAAGTAAGAAATAACTTGGGCTCACCAGCCTATCGAGTTCTTATTGCTAAACTACAATAGGAGGTCGATATCGGTACTTGGAGCCAATGGGCACTGTAACTGGCCATTATTGTTTATTATGTGCTCTTCGGGGTGTAATGAGCTAAATAGAACCCCTAGTACTGCACAGGCCGCCGGGTGAGGCGGTCGCTGACTTGGAAGTCGGGTTCACTTTAACTTAGCTCCAGAGAGCCTGTAAGCCTAGACCTATTACGCCTAGTCGGGGGGCTTTGTTGTTAGACGTGGACCAGGGTCAATTTACTGGATCCCCTACTCCGTACTGTAGGTGCTGATACCGAGTCATACTGTATAGTACTGAGTAGCTAATAAAAGACTGGATGAGAAAATGGCCCGTTTGTTTGAGTGTCTCAAGTTGTAAAAGTTGAACTTTCAAATCTCAATCTGGGACGTGCCATCATGAGGCTTTTGGGCTTGAATTTTGACATATGACAGACATTTCGTGATGTTCATAGAGATGACGATGACATGCACAACAAAGAACCAGCCGGGAAGTTGAACCTGCAGTAGATTTTATTCCTGAGCAGCAATTCCACCAGGAGTTTGTGCAATGGTATGCTCTGTAAACAAGGCCGCCGATGGTGTCTTCTCCCTCTTTATTAGGGTTGGTATCACCAGCGTCAGAGTACGGAGTAATACGGTACACGTACGCGCACACACTTGCAGGATCATACGAGTTCCCTGAATGCGGTTCTCTCTTCTCGGGTCCTCTCGCTGCGCTATCAAGAATAACTCCCACATAGACCGTGTTTATCAACGGTGAGCTTTGGCCCTTGATCTTTCTAGGCCTCATCTCGCACGCCGTTCCCGTGTATGATGCCCAACTGGGTTAGCAGGGCTTAGATGCAGAATGATCGTCTCTGGGTACCTGACTACTTCTCTGTTTCCGCCCCCGTGGCGTTGCGCTTGGTGCCGTCGACATGGGTCCCTTCGCACTCCTTGACCTTGAGCCATGGCCAAACCGGTATGGTGTCACAACACTTCCGCATGCCTCTCAGGCCGATGGGCCGTGGATGGGAGATTTCTCTTCCCTCGCCTAGCAAGTTGGGTGACTCTGGCTCTTCTTCGTCAACGTAACCAACCAAGGTGAGCGAGGAGACACCATTACCGATGCGCACCTTCATTGCACGCGATCCCCAGGTTTCCATGTTTGCCTGTCTCCCTGCGTGATCAACCCGCTGGCATACCTCTTCGGCCAAGGTTCACCTCCCACCAATATCGCAAAGAGCGAACTGCGAACGAGGATGGCGACTGTCATAGCACCCGTGGAATTGCCCACGGGCAGACGCTCCTATTTCAATCCTGAACCAGGCCCAGACATACATGATCCCAACTGGATCCCGGTATTAGATGGTGCGCAGTACAAACCGCCGTCACCCTCGGCGGAGAAAGAAGTGTTGCCCTTTACGCCCTCCGCCTCATTCTCTCTATTCCCAAGTCAATCGCAAACCACCTCGCCGAAACCACGACCACCGGTATCCCACAACTACTCCAAAAGCTCACTCGCTCCTGAGAGTATAGCCTCCGAGTCCCGATCACAAAGTCCTAGTGACAATGTCGAGCCACTGCCCACTCTTTCAAACCTGGTGTACCAAGCTCAAAGCGATGCAGGAGGCCATCATCGCCGGAAGACGTCCCTCGGGTCGAGGTCGACTGAAGAGAAGATTTCCGTGGGCAGAGAAACGCCGGTGGGCGACGTGACGAGCGCACGGAGTACCGAGGAGAGGGCGAGTGTGGTCGAAGAACGCCCGTTTGCCTATCAAGAGCAACGTGACGAGCAGACAGGGACAAGGCCATCTACAGCGTCAGGCCGAAAGCCTACAGTGCTCCCGCCAACGTCAAAATACAACCGTAAGCCAGTGCCAATCGCACGACCACCCTTCGCAGCGAGCCTGCCTCAAACGCCCCAAGACTCTCCACGGTTGGGCCCTACCATGCCCACCACAGCTCCCTCGACGCCCCTGTCCCAGGCTCATCCATCACCGAGACTGATACCATCTGATCTACCACCTCCTCCACAACCGCCTGAAAGTGTGCCGAAACTCCAGCCCATGAAGTCCACCGCTTCCGAACGTCGTCAGCGTGCTTTACACTCTCACCCCTCGAACATCTCGCTCCGATCTCAAGCCAACTCCAGTTCAGATGATGCAGAGATCCGGTCAAAGCCTCCATCCCTGCGTAAGCCAAGGAAATCAACCGACTCACGCGCAACAACACGGTCTGCCATGTATGATTCCCAAATGCCGAGTCCAGCACCTACCACCCCGCTACCACAATTACCGCCGGAAGCCCGACGGCCGCCTACTCGGGACAATAACGCGTCGCAAAACTCGACGCCAGCTTTGCCCAGTGAACCCTTCTTGCCGAGTACTCCAACCGCGCGTGCAACGGAACAGTCTGAAACAGCATCATTCATGACGGAGAAGAATACGCTGGTGTTCAGACGCTTCGACAATGTCCATGTCAAACTTTTGCAGTGCTTGCAAGAGGAGATCTCACAATTAGAGAAGGAGCTGTCCAAGTTAGAAGACCCCGACACCGCAGATAACTCTGGCGATAAAACGTCTCAAAAGATGCGCATACTGAGGGAACTGCGAAAAGTAGTTGCTGAATATGGTAAGTTTTCGAAAAAACGAGGCTCAACAATGACCAAGACAATGGCTCACGTATTGCATAGATCATCTTTTTACCACGTGGAACAAGATGCAAGCCAACAAGGCTAGCGAGACGACCACGGATGATTTGAAGCGGTGGTTACAAAGACCCGGAACGAGTGCAGGAGCAGGCTTGGGAATCGACGTACGTCAGGACATGCAATGGCTTGAAGAGAACAAAAACGACTTGAGCACCATCGACTTTAATGAGAAGGAGGAAATGGTGAAGAAATCAGCGCCACAGCCTCATGCGAATAACAATGGGGCCGCGGCAGGATTCCTGGCCTTGTTTAATTGCGCTGGAAAGAGGAAGTAATGATCTAGCGGTGGATGGTAAAAGGGCACATGGGCTTGAGCGTTTGCAGATTTATGAAGGGCATACCAATAGAGTATATATATCAGCGATGAGACGACCTCACCTGTATTGCAGTCTCGTGCAGAAGAAATCAGACCCTGTGTGTATGTCGCGTGACCGGAAACGTTACAGAGGATAGACATTCTATCTTGCTCGACTTCAACTGTGCCCAACTGAATTACATACATAATGCATGACACTAACCGGCGCAGGTACCCAAACTCGGCAAGATTTGGGCTTCAACTTCCCCGGACTTTTTGCCATTTCCCGGATTTGTGGCTCATCACGTGTGTCGAGGACTTTTTCCAAGCCTCATCTGTCATTTCCACTCTCTACGTCGTAATATTGGATTCACACACAGAACGTCCCCTCAAAAAGACCTTTTCACTTGTGGTCTTTTTTTCGTGCTACTTTGTATTCTTTTGTTTTGGTGGCTCTTTGAGTCTTTATCATTTCCAAAGATCCTAGACACTCACCGAGTAGAGGCGAAGAGGCAGATCTCTCAAACATGTTTCCTCCGCAGCAGGGCACCTCGCTCGACATCGAAGCTCTTTCGGGCATCTGTGGTTCCATCTCGATCGCGTGCTGGGTCGTCGTCTTTTCCCCTCAGATCATCGAAAACTTTCGGAGAGGTTCGGCCGATGGGTTATCGATCGTCTTCATCGTCGTCTGGCTGGCCGGCGACATCTTCAACATCCTTGGCGCCATCCTCCAAGGCGTCCTCCCCACCATGATCATCCTGGCCGTCTACTACACCCTGGCCGACATCGTCCTGCTGTGTCAGTGTTTCTACTACCGCGGTTTCACCCTGAGCGACGAAGTCGTCAAAGACGCCGCGTCGAACGGCGGCCACGACGCCGAGACCCGGCCCCTGTTGCACAGCGGCTCAGTCACACAACCTCCGTCCCGGGACGAGGACGGGATCTCTGCTCTGAGGCCGCAGGTGCAGCACCAGCACCGACACTCTTCCGTCGACGGACGCCACCTGTCGCCCGTCGTCCCACTCATCGACCCTCCCAAGCCTTCCGACCCTCCCACCCCGGCGGGTGCCCTGAAGCCCTCCAGCCCTCTCCAGACGGCCGTCTTCAACGTTTTTGCCATCCTCCTCGTGTGCGCCGCCGGCGTTTTGGGGTGGTGGATCGGCAACCACGGGTCCCACCGCCACCGCCACGTCAAGGACGAAGGACCGGCCAAGCTCGAGTTCGACACCCTGGGCCAGGTCTTTGGATACCTCTGCGCCGTGCTCTACCTCGGATCCAGAGTGCCACAACTCCTTCTCAACTACAGACGCAAAAGCACCGAGGGCGTCTCGCTGCTCTTTTTCCTCTTTGCTTGTCTCGGAAACCTCACGTACGACATGTCCATCTTTGCGTACGCACCCGTGTGCGCCAGACCTGGCCACTGTGCACCGGGCGAGGAAAAGTCACTGTACCTTCGGTACATTGCGGTGAACGCGAGCTGGATCGCCGGCAGTCTGGGCACGTTGTTGCTGGACATGGCCATCTTTGTACAGTTTTTCCTGTACAAGAAGGACGACGACGAGGATTATTCGGATGTTGCGGTCGAGGAGAATGAACGATGACGGGTCCGGCACTGCCCCTTCCAATCCAACCTGCAATTTCGCTTTCTATGTAGTTCAGATCTTGTCACCATGTACGGAGTACAAAACTTTGCATATCATCTGGCGTTTTTCTGCTCGGGGAAAAAGAAATCATCCACCTTGTTAGGGTCTACGATTCACGGGACTCAAAAAGGTGTCGGTGCATCAGATCCCCCGGCTTTGGCTATACAGTACGAGGAAAAACTTTTGATCAAAACTTTACCATTTCTCATCCCTCCTAGCTCGATAAAATTCAATGGAGCTTCTCTTTTACATGCGCCGGTATACCTTCTCAATATTCCGCGTTTTCTAGTTTGCTTCCGATACCACTACTGGGCGCCACCTAGATAATCCCACACGGCGGCAGCATGTACCTTGACCACGCTGACAAACTCGTCCACGCCGACTCGGTCATCCACGGCGGCGGCCATGGTCCGAGGGCCGACACCGTACACGAAGGCGGGCACGCCGTGGGACCTCCAGAACTTGGCGTCCGTGGCACCGAGGCCAGGGACGGCCAGGGATTCCCGGCCCGTCACCTCTTCCCCGGCCCCGGCCAGCCTCGCGATCATCTCGTGGTCGACAGCGCCATGACTGGACGGGTTGCTCGCGGCCTCTTGGACCGCGTATTCCACCTTGACGCCTCTTGCTTGGTCCTTGAACCCCCGACGGTCGAGCACGCCATCGACGTACCGCAGGACGACCTCCTCGGTCAGGCCGATGGGGCAACCTGACGTCCACCTCGACCGCGCACCGGTCCGGGATCATGTTGACCTTGATCCCTCCTCCCCGCATGACGCCCACGTTGACGGTCGGGCGGAGCATGTCCTCGCTGGCCCCTTTGCCCGTGATCTCGTCCAACCGCGGCCCCTCACCTCCGGCCGGGCCCATGTGGTCGACGATCGACCTGTCCAGGTCCGGGTGGACGTCCTCCTCGATCTTGACCGGCCGGGTCGACGAGCCTCGAAGCCACCCGGTTCGCCCCCTTCGCTGACGTGCGTGTACGCCCCGTGCGCAGTCCCTTTGTCGTGACGGTGAAGGTCACGCGGAGCGTGCCCTTTTCGCCGAACCTCCCCGACGGTAGACCTCCCGGTTCCGCGTCGATCATGACGTCCCCCTTCCCACCGGTCGCGGTCCCCATCGTTCCCGAGAAGCCAACGACTTCCCAATCTTCCTCCGGCCTCTTCATCAGAGACCAGAGTCAACGCGACCGAGGAACGAGGTAACTTGAGATGTCGACGATGACGTTACAACTGAGTGGGCGACACCAGAGATGACGTTTTGTCAGCGTCATGACGATCAGGATCGAGTGGCGGAATGGTGTTCTTTCCAGACTCTTTGAAAAAAGAAAACAACAACCAAAAAAAAATAATCTCACGCAATCAAATGCAATCGCACTCGCCGCCGTTCCGGCCTTCATGTCCACCCCGCCCCTTCCCCAGATGTAACTTGCCGTCGTTGTGACCCGACCAAGGGCCCCGACCGTGTTTCCACTCACCCCCTCTCGACTCGTCGACTGGGAACACGTCGATGTGTCCATTCATCACGACTTTCTTGCCACCGCCGTTGCCGCTGCTGTCGCCGTCATCGTCCTCCCCACAAGCAAAGTCCTCGACCAGGTTCGGTTTCGATGCCCCTTGCGGTGCGATCACGCCGACCGGCACACCCTGACGTTCCAAGGACTCCCTGAGAACGTTGGCCGCGTCTAGTGTGTCCCCGGGTGGGTTGGTAGATGGAGCCCGAACGAAGGCCTGGAGTAGTTTGAAGTGCTCGTCTTGCTCGGAGTCGATCAAGTCGATGAATGATTTTCTGTCCATAATTGTTTTCGGACCCTCGCCCTCTCTCTCCGACACCTCTTTGTCCTTCTTATTGTCTCCTCTCTTCTCTATGACTATGAATAAGAAACAAAACTCAACATAAGAAGAAGAATAAGATGACATCAAAAGAGACATGGGATGGGTGGAAACCAAAGGCGGGCTTTGTTTTTCCAAAGGAGTTTTCCCTTTCACAGTATCTATTCCAGTATGGAAGAAATAAACAAGTACAAGTCTCGGTGGGATGAAGACCTACCTATCTACAGAACGAGTTCGGATCGAAATACTTCACACTCGTTTAGTGAGTGTTTACGGATTTGTCCACTCCTCCAGGACCAGCCCATGTCCTCCTCCATGTACGCTTCGACGCCGTATGGAAAGTTGTGTATGTACAGAGGTATGTACACACAGCGTAAAGTCCGGGCTGCAAATACACCAAGGGACGGAGTAGAGGGTGGTGCTAAGGGAACAACGGCAGCATTTGATACCACGTAGAATTCTTCTTTCCACTATGTCCGTATCATCAAGTCTACTTCGTACCAGACATATTTGACTTCTCAAGTACTTGGTCAAGGAGTCCTTGTACATATCTCTCACCATTCACTCTATCTTGATAGTCAAAAAAATAAAAAAAATAAAATAAAAAAAGGCCGTTCCTCATGTCGTCCTGAAATTTCGTTGAAATGAAAAAGAAAAGGTTAGGCTTAGTCAATTCAATCAGTTGTCCTAAAAGTCCTCGCTTGCTGAAATAAATGAAATCCCAGATTGATCAGAACATTTCCAGAACAAAGTTCGTAGTTTTCGGAGGGACAGCTAAAACTCGAGCTGTACCAACAAAGTGTCAGTCATTTATTCGTCCTTCGTAAGTTCTTTTCCAGTGTGATAGTCGTCTCGTCGTTGAAAGCAGCCAAAAATAAAGGATTTTCGTTTCGTGGTCAAATATATGCCTTCATAACATTCTGCTTTTGTCTCCCTTCGCTATGCCCTTTGAATGTCGTGTCGCTCTCGACATAACGGTGCTTGCAGGTACTTGACCTGTATGTGCGGGAATCTTGACTCTTCCTGGGGGCAGTGGTTGACAAGTCCATCTCGCTGGGGAAACACATATCCGGAGACTCACGTAGCTCTTCGCTGAGTGCCAAAGGTGCAACGATCCGTCGATACACACAAACACAAGTATCTGTTGCATCAATAGACGATCAACGTCTGACCCAGCCCGGCGGCGGGGGAGGTCGTCCACCTCGATACACAACTTCGCGCTCAATATAGCGTTCCTCTTCTCGATCCCATTCTTGGCGTGGGCGATGGGGTGGAGGTGGTTCAAGCATCAAGGGACGATGAGGTTCTTCCACCACTGGTGGTGGCAAGACTCGATTTTCCCAGGCCATTTCCTTGATGCGCTTTTTGCGATCCTTACGAATGTCCTCTGATAGCCCGACAAGGCGGGCAACATCTTCCTAATTCATTGTCAGCACGCTCTCCTAGTACAGAAATCACGTCCCGGATCTACTCACATATCGCAGGTAGGCAATGATGTAGTAGAAATCGTCCGTCTCCTCGAATTCATAGCCCATCTCTTGGATAGCCTCCTTGACGACGAGATCTTTGGTGATCTCGGTCCATAACCCTTCTTTGGCGTCTGGCATTCTACCATATCGGCGTCCAATGTCCCCATTCGACGCTGGAACTGGTGGTGGGACGGGTAATGGCGCTGGTGCCGGCAGGGGGGCAGGTCTACCGATCTCCCCATACCCTTCCTCTCCGTCTGGCATAAACTTGCTCCTCCGAACACCATTGTATCTTTGCCAGGTAATTTCTTGAGCTCCGCCACCAGCTCCATTCATGCGGACGCGATTAGTGCCAGGAGGAACGTCGACTATCGCCCAGTCTCTCGTGGCGCCACGATATGCCTCCCCAACGTAGGCACGCTCCATGGCTCGGCTATTGTAATAGTCTGCCTCTTCCTGCACATCTCGATCATATTCACGATAGCCTTCGCGTCGGGGAACTGGAGCGTCGTAATAATCTCGTCCTGGAGGAGGCGGCGTGTAGGGACCCACGCTTCTGGCCCCTTCGTTGCGATCGATGACAATATTCTCATTTTCCGTGCGCCCATTTCTGGTCTGAGTTCGACTAATCTCGATCCTCTCCTCGGAGTGTGCGCGAGGGTGCGGAGGAGACAGCGGTGGGCTTGGTGGCGATGGGGGCCGAGTAATTGGGCGTGGCCGAGACGGGATGGCAACCTCGAAGCCGTGGTCAATATGGCGATGGTGAGTAATAACCTCTTGGTGGATGGTAGGAGCATTGATGACCTGTGGCTCTGGTGGTGCTTGCGGAGCCGAAACAACAGAGGGGCTAGGCGACCTAGAGCGTGAGTTCTTGCGAATGATGATTTCTTGTCGCTCACGGTTGCGACCGTCACGCTCCTCCTGTCTAATGATGATCTCCTGATTAGACCCAGAGCTACTGGAACGTCGTACTCGTGACCTGGCTCGCTCATGTGATTTGGGACGAGTCAAGCCATAATCATCATATCGACTAGGGTCCAGATTCTGTTCCGATCGTCGAATAATAATCTCGTCTCGCTCAGCCTCTCTCGCCGGTCGTCTGACGTAATCGCTCCTCCTGGAGAGTGTGTCGTCAAAGTCCACGTCGTAGCGCGAGCGACGGTCGTCTTCGTCACGGCGAATGATGATCTCCTCCCTGGAGTCTCTCGGCGGCGGAGGGCGGACATCACGGTCTCTCTCGTCCCTACGAATGATGATTTCCTCCCTCTCCCGTTCGCGCGGGGCAGATGGTGGAGGAGGTGGTCTCCTGTCTGTATCTCTCTCATCCCGCCGGATGATGATTTCTTCCCGCTCTACCTCCCGATCTTTCTCTCTGAATCGAGGCGGAGGTCTGGATTCTGATTCTGCTCTTTCCCTGATGATGATTTGTTCCTTCTCGACCTTTCTTTCCGGCTCTGGGGAAGGTGATCGTCGACGAGGTCGAGTGGGAATGAAGTCAAACTCTTCCCGTTCTCGTGCTCGTAAGACCACTGGGCCAGCAGTAGTCCTACCGTAGTCCTCTCGTAGGAAGGCGGGAGTATTTCCAGGTCTCTCTCGGACGTCGTCTCGGACGAGGACTTCTCGTACATCTCGTTCTCGTTCACGTTCACGTTCACGTACTGGGGTTCCACGACGGAAATCCACCTCCTCTTCAGTAAAACGATCATCGTAGACCCTGCGACCACCTCTGGAGGAGTAATCACGACGGTCCTCGTATCTGTCGATCGAGACATCGTCGACGTAGCGACGGCTCCCCATCACGGCCACGGATATCTTGTTGTTTCTTATCGACTGATCACGAGGATGTTGCTGAGCGTCGTTTGCAGCGAAAAGGCGGGGTTGACCAGCGGGACTGGTCACCAAGGCAGTATAATGCGAGGCAGGAATCGCTAAATGCAAGACGGAAACAAGCAAGTGCACAACGACGACAGCTGCAGGAAGTGGCAGAGAAGAAGAGGTGAGCAAAGCAATAGAAATACGCTCACTTAAAAAAGAAGGGTCAACAGGGTCACCAGGCTTTGGCTCTGGGGCTTTGGGTAGCAAAGTCGAGCTGAGAACTTGGCCTAGCAGCCTCTAAGGAACCCACGTCACTCTGCAGCACGCCACTAATTAGCACACCAGTCCTGCCAGTCCTGGCCGTCGTCCCCACGCCTGCACATCGGACAGTGACTTCAAAACGGACACGAGCATTGCTTCGCTGCAGCGGGGAAGCAGTTGGGCTCAGAAGGGCGGCGTTGCCTGCACTGCCATCTTCGTCAGCCCGAGAGGACTGTTGGACGACAACGTAGACAGGTTCAGCATCTTCCGTCGGCAAGGCTGATTACGATTCGGACCGTCACAGGGGCATGAAACTCATGACGATCAAAAGCAACGACCGCCTAATAAATGCATGTGCGTCTCCCTCGCTCCAGGCATATTGTACTCCGACACTGTGACGGATACTGCCGAAGCCTGGGATCTTCATTTCAGCTAGTTGCATGGTTGGAGGTCAGGCATTAGTAAATTGTTCCCTAAGCATCTTTGTGCATTTCTGCCTCTCCATCCACTTGGGCATCAACATCCATGGCGAAGCGCACTCTTCGCTCCATGATTCGAAATTCACTGCGGAGGAGCCGGGTTTGGGAGCAAACTTTTGTCTTCTTCTATATAGTCCATCATGTCCTTATTCAAGGACCATCTCATACTTTGGCGAGTCCTGTACAATCCTGACTCGACCAATGTTCATTAGTGTCTGTTCATTGGTTGCAATAGCCTGTTTGATGATTCTTCTCCCAGAGAATCACCGGCATCGCACCTGGTCACTTGTCTCCTACATAAGGTAAACGCCAAGTTTCGTCCGAAGACACGAAATCCCGCCAGCACGCCCATGGCAATGCACTCCTGTTGTCATATGCTAAATGTACAAATCTGGCCGGACTCCGTTCCCTATGCCAAAAGCGGAAAAAAGTGTGGATATCTCAATTGTTGCTGTTTAGAAAAGAAGGGACGTCTCATCATAAGATCATTTCGTCGACGCGTACAATCTCTTGTCCGCGCCGGACCCAGTTTCGAGACTTGAGCTCGTGGATGACGGCTGTGGTGCGACTCCTGTACGTGGAGCATTCGTGTATCATCGTTAGGGAAGGACTCTGCGGTCAAAAATTTGACGGGCACGATTAATGATTAGCGAGGGATCAATCTTGAGTTCTTTTGGATCGTCTCAAGGATCCGGATTAGCCACCTGAACAGAATGTGAGCGCGCTTCAATTTGAGACATAAGAATCAACGTACCCGTAGCTGCCTTGAGTAATCCTGGTTGTCCTGAAGTGAGACGTTGCTAACCTGACCTTCGTCGTGGAAATACAGGGCGTAAGGATTCAATCTCTGGTCAGTAGCCAGACTTCGTCGATCAAGTCCTGAAGAACCGGTGCCCGCACTTCTTGGACCGCTACCGTTGGGTATCCCGGAAGTGTTGATGCGAGGAGTCTTAGTCCCGAGCAACCCAGAGGACGACAATTGACTAACTTGTCGGGAGGGTACGTTGTTCGAAGGCGAGCGGTCGCCACTTCGAGCAATGAACGACGATTCAGGCTGGCTGATGGTGCCATTTCTCTTCTGCCGGCGTCGATACCATACGTACATAGCTGCACCGATGAGAGCACCCACACCGAGAGCGGCGCCCACAACAATGCCAGCGACCTTGCCACCACTGATACCACCGCCGCCGCCACCAGTAGCAGATTGACCCAAGGTCGCATCTGAAGAGACCGCGGGAGTGGGCGTTACTAGGATCGTGCTTACTTTGCCGGTGACAGTAGTGACGCTGGTGTAGACTTCGGTGGGCGCAGCAGTAGTGCTATCTGTCGCTGTGTCCACGGACGAGGCTGAGAAGGACGATGAAGTCGGTTCAGACGACGACTGGGAACCACGTTAGCAAGCCGTTTGTATTGGTTACAAAAGCAGAAAACACCACAACACCCGTATAATGAGGAACAATAAAGTGGGGTGACATGAAAGAGACGGGTCAGTCATACAATGAAGCTCGTGTAGCTTGATGAGCTAGTCAAGGGAGCCCTTGACGTGTCATATGTTACAGAAGAAGCCTCGTCGGAGCTCTGAGAGGATCCAACGGTTACCATTGAAGAAAATGAAGAAGCAGGAGAGGAGGTAGTAGCCGGAGCATCAGAGGTGGAAGTGGATGGTGACCCGGACTCAAATGGAGAGGTACTAACCGAAGAGGTTCGGGGTGCTGCGCTGCTGCCAGAAGCTCCAGAGGTGCCGAGAGGAACTCCAGGACTCAATTGGTAATATCCATAAAGGCCAGCGTTGGTCGAACCACACCAGTCCTGAGGATAACCAGGACATTGTTCGTTGCAATCGTACGTGCTCTGCTGGTCAGCAGGGACGTAGTTTGAACACCAGCAGTAAGAACCCTGGAGGACGGCAAAGGCGTATGATCCCTGGCAGTGGTCCTGGCACGCGCCATTTGACATAAACTGGTTATAATCTGTTTTCCTGTCAGAAAAATGACAGCATCTTTGAGGTCTTGACAATACTCACACCGAGGATATGAGCCCGCATTGTTGTCGGGTGAGCAGTAGGTGATGGCTAGGCCATGTGCCTGCGCGAGGAGCGAGGCGATGAGGGCAATGTAGAGCATGAAGCAGCCCCAACGAGGGTCAGGGAGGCTTCGGGAGAGCATCTTTCCTTTGAGACTGAGCCAACGGCAATGATTGTTCCAACTGTTATTTCCTCATTGAAGATTTTTTTGTCCGACTGGCGTGAGAGATTCGTAGACGCAAGGTAGCGACAGGAGAGGTCTGACCAGGAGGATTTATTGCATCGAGAGTCGGCTGTAAGAGTCCCTTCGTCGTGGAACCTCCTGCCGGCGAAGAGGTCGAATTTCTTTTAGCAGTGGCCGACTCAGTCAAGAGGCAGAGACACTGGAGCTCTGGTACTGGGGTATCTTGCGGTCGAAGTCGTGAGGAAACGGATCTGGATGGTTGAAGAGATGGAGGAAGTGTGAGATGAATTACACTCGCGGTACTTGGCGCTCACAATGGCGGGAGTGATTGCAGGGTGAAGCCGTGAAACAAGTGCAGATATCGGCCAGTAGTGAAGGTGTCTCGCTGATTAGAAAAGGAAATATAAGTACAAGACCTGCAGATATTGCGGTTGGGTGAAGGGGAAGTGAGGCAGATATCAAAGGTGGTCGCAGTCGAGGTACTACGATTGCCAGCCGTGGGTAGCGGAGGAAGGAGGAGAGGATTTAATGAAAATGGCGACCCTGACACGAAAAGAGAAGTGATGGGTACGGGACAAGTACGGATAACTTACTACGAGTTACAACTGAACTAGTGGACTCGGGTAACGATGGACCAGGGTATCAATTGGCAGAAAACCCCGTTAGGAAAGATCAACCATCCAACTCAAGATCAGGTTTTTTGTGGGAAACAGAGTCGGAGGCGAATGGGTTTGTTACTACAATACTCGTTCAACTCCGTAAATAGGCGAGCTGGAAATGGTGCTTGTTAGGCACGTGGGCATGGAACTGTTTTTCTACTTGTTTTCAGGTTACGCATATTACTGCGTACTACACGACGAATCCTGCTGACGGGGAGCGTATGCATACAGGTATATCAGTACAACAAGTCCTGCGCGTCCCGGTAGTTTGATTTTGATTTTCGAAAGCGCGCGCCAAAAAGACAATACTATGTTACAGTATCGGCAGTCTAGTACGGAGTACGAGTAAACAATGGGCGTAACTTTGTAGGGTTCCGCCCATACACCACCCATGTCCTCGTATTCATTTACCCTGCAACCACAAGCCTTACCTACCCTGGAGTAAACTCAAGCACAACAATAATGTCGTCCCGACCAACCCTCCATCTTTGAAGCTCGTTCCAACTCCTAGGCGCGGAGGTGCCGGGCATTATTGAATGAGGCCAACAACTCTAAACCCAAGTGATGATGATTGGCAATGTTTTGTACGTACGCCTGCCCAATGCCATGTCACTCTGTAGTTGTGAATCCGTGAACGGGCCACCATCGGTCTTCATCACCGACTAGGCTGTTGATGTGCCTGGGACTTGAATTGATGTTTTGACAAAAGCCAGCCCTGTAGGAGATCAAAAGGCTCGCATCACTGGCCGTCGCCGCTGCCGCTGCCGCTGCCGTTGGAAATGGTGTTGCTGAATCCGTTACGGAGTTTCCACCGTCTTTACAAGTGGGTTACTGTTACTCGGTAGGCACACTATTGCCGCTGACCTCAATACCAATGTTTGCATGTTTGCTTTTTATTGTCCCTCATCGCGATCCGACCAAGATCGAGTTACTTCTTTTTGAGACTATTGCGGATTTTTACATCAAGTAGCCACCGTTGGGCCTCTCTTTTTGGAAGCGTGGGCAGAAATGTCGGCCTGCGCAGGCCTCAGGTCAATACGGAGAAGAAGACCGTGTTATGCGGAGGCGCCTTCACTTCTCTCTCTTCAATGATGCATTGATTCTGCAGCGACAGGCTGGACTGACAAATGGCCTATCTCCTGCGACCGCACCCTCGTCTTTGTATCACTGATGCTCGCATTTCGGGGTTCCGTACCACAGAATGGCAATGTCTAGGCCTTCCATCGACTCGTCTCATATCCAAGCGTCATTACTCCGGACGGAGGATTGACGGTGCTATTAACTTTGCTGCCCACCCAGTGTCTGTGCTCAAAGTATGTTATCCATGAGTTGAAATTTCTGCATGCAACGGTGAAGTCTCATGGACAAATTCTCCGGGTTTCAAAGCAAGAGGGCCTATACCTAGCAGAGTCCCCTTCTCACAGATGTTAGCCATGATACTGGAAAGAAGACGGCGAGATGATCCGTCGTTTGCAAATCCATGCGCCTGCAGATGCGTCATGCATTGGTTCCCGCTGTGGCGCCTGCGGTGTCACTACTGGGTTGCAGATTCGCTTCAAGAAACACACAGCTGCAGCTCATCTTCCCTCCCAATCTCCCTCGCTCTGATCAAATCCCACAAGCCTCCAAATTTCGTCTCCAGATCACATCAACATCTGGCCTCCTTTTGCATCTCACCGCCAGGTTTCATTGTTACACAACAACCCAAGCTCACTCACCGTCTCCTCGGGCCCACGTGTCTGCCATGATACAAGTATGTACAGTATTGCAAGAGTCCGCAGCGCTCTGAACAATGCTCTCTACCGGCATCTGACTGTGCGACGGTGGCGACAACGCCAGATTAGCATCCCCCGTAAGCTCTTACAATAGAGACACTTCTCACACCACACATGGCTGGAGTGGTGAGCTTGTTTCTCCCGTGCATTTTAACTGTCTTTTTTTACCGGAGTATTAGTGGGTATGTTTCTGGTCCAGCTCTCCAAGGGTGGTCAGTTCTTGTCGAGGGAATCCAGGGCGGGCCAGCAAATGGCATGCCTAACCCAGTGCACATCTTTCTTCCCAAGTGCGGGGAAGCCAGCAAAGTACATCCCCTGCTTGCATTAGGTACTTCACGAGTACAGAGAACGAAACCCTGCGATTTACTCAGACCTCGAGCAAGTCAGCTTCATTCCTTTGCATCTCCTCCCGTGGTCCTTCGTCTGGTTGGGTGGAACGGGCAGGACCGACCACCTTCTCAATTGTCCAGTCCGCAGCACGCAGTCCGTACAAGTAACCGATTCGACAAATCGTTATCTTCACTGACTACCGAATCAAGGATTCTACAGGGGGGCGAAGAGAATGGTGCATTTTGACGTGCATGGATAAGCGTCCTGCGCCATTCGAGGCAAGCTTCCAGTAGCTTGTTGATTGGCTATCTTGTCCATTTCAATGGCATGTCCTTGAAACGAAGTATAACCCATGCAAGTTGTTATCGTACAGCAGATACTACCAGCCTCTTTATTTTTCCTGCGTGAGTTTTGCATTCCATATCATCAAAGGAGGGGTTCACAGGATTACTTGATTTCGTATCAGCAGACCCTCGGGCATGTAATAAGTCCAGACCTCTAGCGGGCCATGCCAGGAAAGCTACTTGTGGTATCGTTACCGATTTCATCGAGCTACCTTAGGTATCCGATTATCTCGAGGGACGAGGAATCAATTATTGGCTCTTGGGACCGATGAGCCTAATATGTCGCTTGCACATTATTGCAGGTTGAAAAAAAGGTGGTGGTTTACGCGTCGTCGCAACCTACCACATTAACTTGAACCATGTACACGTTCCCATAGCTTTTGCTCGGCGGTAAGTCTTTTCTCTGGCCGAGCTCTCATATACCAGGTTGCCCTAGCAAAACAAAGCCAGGCACACTCAAATTCCAAGGTATTGGCCCCCCGACGTACGCGGCTCGACGGGTGGGAAACGAAGCGGTATGTAAGGCGTGCGTGGGGGGGTGGTGGGTTGGTCGGCCGAGGCAGGCAAAGCAAAGTCAGTAAACAAATCACAACAACGACGAGCAGTTCCTTCCAATAAGAAACAAATGGTTTGACGACAGGGGGGGACTGAAATCCCTGACCGTCCCTCGTGTGTACCTGTCATTTCACCGTGTTGTTCTTGTTGTACGGGTGTAATTTTGAACGTGTTTCAAGTCTCCAGGGGGGGGGGGGTTACCAAGGTACTCGGTATCAATAAATGTTTCAAAGCCATTGCACGACAAGTTCCAATCTTGGGGGAAACGAAGTTCTGAAGATCCCGACCCGACCGTGGAGAAATTGTGTTTTTGTTTGATCAACCCGCCGCTCCCGACGTCATACACCACGTGATATCCAGGGGTCGAGCCAACCAACAAAGGGCTTCTTTTTGTATCGTGCGTGGTGTTTGAAATTACAGGTCCCCCATATGGAGTACATTCCAGCATCATTACAGGCAAAGACGAGCGAAACGGCTATGACCGACTCCCCGTTCTTCACATCTGGGACGACAGACCAACAAAAATACCCAGGGCAAGGTGCACAAAAAACAATCATTGACGGGAATATCAATGGCTTCGACATACTCGTACGAGTACAGGCTCCCAACGTCCCTGTGATAAGCAAGGGATGCGTGACTCAGCACCGGGTCCTTCATTACTGTATGCCAAATTTCAGGAGATCTGTACATAGACAGGGGAGCGCTCGACAAGGGGGCAGGGGAAAACAAAGGATTGACCCCCTTCTCGCCTGTGATGACCATGAACCAGATGACATCGACGATACGAGTACGGAGCGAGTGTGTGGGTTTTTCTTTCTTTCAAACTTGACTGCATTCCACCTTCTGTGAGCATTTTACCGTTGTTTGAATACCTAGGTATCTCTGTCTTGTTCGTATCCCTTGCCAAAAAAGAAAAACAATCAGAAACCATCTCGCAGTGTTCTATGTAAGAAGCTACATTCTCCAATCGTACACAGCGGCCAAAATGTCTCTATAGCTTGGCACCGGCCTTCTTGCGCTTCTCTCTTTCTTGGTCCCTGAGCAACCGTCTGAGAATCTTGCCCGACGCACTCTTGGGAATGACATCGATGAACTCGATGCCGCCGGCAAGCCACTTGTGGCGAGCCTTTTCCTTTTCGACGTGCTTGGCGATACTGCGCTTGACCATGGCATCGCTCTCCTCCAGGCCGACCGACTGGGACTTGACCACGAAAGCCTTGGGGACCTCGCCAGCTCGCTCGTCGGGGACGGGGATGACGGCGCAATCGGCGACGGCGGGGTGATTGAGTAGGCACGATTCCAGCTCTGCCGGGGCGACTTGAAGACCCTACGAAAATGTGTCAGTCACGTTTCCCGCCCGTCGACCAAGTCGATTCTTACCTTGACTTTGATGAGTTCCTTTATTCGGTCCACGACCCAGATATGTTCGTTGCCCTTTGGCGACACCCGGATTTCAACTTCATCGCCGGTTCGCATGAATCGGCCCTCGGGCATGTCCACAAACGTCTCCTTGGTCGCCTTTTCGTTCTTCAGGTAACCCAAGACCACGCTGGGTGACTTGACCAAGAGTTCACCGCGCTGGTTGTACCCCGTGATCTCGTTGCCCTCGATGCTCAGGATCTTGGCCTCGTAACCCGGGACCAAGCAACCTGACGAGCCGAACCAAACATCGGCCGGAGACGTCGAGCACACCACCGTGCACGTCTCCGTCAGCCCGTACCCCTGTCGAATGATCCATTTTGGATATTGAGCCGCCAGTTCCTGGGCCGTTTCCTCGCCTAGTGGAGCGGCACCCGTGAAGATACATCTCACGCTCGACAAGTCGAACTTTTGGAGAAGTTGCTGTTGCTTGACCATTGCGATGATAATCGGTGGGACGATGTACAGGGTGTTGATCTTGTACGTCTGGATCGAGTTGAGGTAGTGCTGCAGGTCGAATTTAGGAAGGATTATAACTTGATCACCCCGGTAGGTCGACGCATGGCTAGTCACGATCAACCCATAAATGTGTGACTGCGGCAAGAGACCGAGGGCGATGTCGTGGTAGCCAGGCGCAACTGCCTCTCGAGCCGGCTTGTCATACAGAGTTATCTGGACGGTATTCGCAATCACGTTTCTATGGCTGATCATGACACCCTTGGGGAGACCTGAAGTGCCACTCGAATAGCACAAAAACGCGGTCTGTCTCGCACCCTGACCTTTGCTCCATTTGATGGGTTCCAGCTCCGGCAGTGACTCTCCTTCTTTTACTAACTGACCGAGGGTCTTGAATTCCTTGGGAATGGGAGGATCATTTGGCATCTCGCATATGTAGACTTTGCTTCTGGGTATGTTCGCCTTTGCCGCGGCTTCTAGCGCCGTTTCCAACAGAGGCATGACAGTGAAGAGCACCGTGGCGCCCGAGTTGGTGAGTTGGTGCCGAAGCTCGTCTGCGCTGTAGGCTGCGTTGGCGGGCGACGACACCCCGTTCATTCTGTGAATTGCCCATGACAAGGTCATGATATCGATCTGGAGGAAGCGATTAGTTCAGACGTCTTGAGACGGACGATAGACGTGCGTGCGTACCGTGTTCAGCGCAAACACACCAACAACCTTGTCATACTCGGAGCCCTCGTTGACTTTCCAACCGAGCTCTCTTGACAATGCTCGCGCCAATTTCTCGAATCTCTCCCTCTGCTGTGTCGCAGAGATGCTCTTGCCGGTGAGACCGCACGTGTAGGTGTCCCACGACTCGGCGTAGGGTCGTCGCCCGTACTGCTCATCGAACATGAATTCGCATATCGGTACCGTATCCGGGATCTCTGGCAATTTGGGCAGCCATGGCGCAGGGTAGAAGACCATGACGGCGAGATGGTTTGAATGGGAAAAACTGGAAAATGACCGCCTTGTTTGAAAAGAATGAACAAGAAATTGCAAAACAGTTGAAGAGATTCCAGGGAAGAAAGAATGCACACGAGAAAAAAGATATTGGCATTCTACTTCGTGCTCGTAAGGGAGGGAGCCCAGTGCTTTTCCCCCGAGCCCAGGACGACATCCGAGGCATTGTCATTCTTACCTGTCCGTATCCAGTATGGGCTGGGCTCGATTAGGTCACTTTTAGGGGAGCGAAGCTGCGCCCGTGGAGTTCACAACCCGTGGAGTCGGTGGGCTGGTGCTGGCCCCTCGCTGATTGATCAGTTGGGGAGGAGGAACAAGAGTCGAGTCGAGTTGTGGGGAGGGTTCACGAACATTTTGCACGAGTCCCTAAGTCCACCGGATGTCCGAGTGGCAATTGATGAATAGTTTTCGAATTGTCTTACCACTGTCATCAACTCGTGGGACATTGTGTACATTGTGATAATTGGATGATTTCTCATTTCTCATGTACGCAGTCCTGCGTACTGACTGTCCTGCGACACAAGAAAGTCGCTTTCCCAAATCCCGCCCGCCCTCAGGTGGCCCGGGAGATGCCTCGGGGTTAAGGTGCAAGGAGGTCCGGACCAGCCAATAGATCAGCCTCGACTGGATGAGGCTTGTTTTTGCCCATGTTCCGAGGTTACGGGAGTACATAATGCAGATAGAATCCACCTCAAGGGATGTTGCTGGCAAGATTGACTGCCTTAACCTACGATAGGTGTTGTGCTGTTTGGACTGTTGCTATTGTACCTGTGTAGTGAAATATTCCACAAGAGGTTTTATTACCCGTAATGGAAATCTGATATATCAACTACTACTGCTTTGATCGACATTTCTCTGCACCGCATGTACACTCGAGGTTCATGTTTGTGAAATATCCTTCCCCATAGTCTGACGTCAACTCCTCCCCAAAGTTGATATCCCTCAGTGTTTGAATCAGAATCACCCGTCGTCGGCCGACCGTCGCAAATGTGTACGAGGCGTTTGGTTGACAACTGTGATTGATGTATCGTGTCCAGTTCCCATATATTGCCGGATCAACAATTATGTCGATAGAGTCTTCCGCCTGACCATTATCAACGCCTCTCCTTTTCTGGCGACGCTTCTGTGGGATGCCCATCCCAAACACATACATCTCCGTTCTATATCTGCTTGGGTTCTGGTATGGGTAGATTTCCCCAATGTATTCACCCAGGATCGCATCCTTCTCCAGAGGTTGGAGGGCTCGAACCCCCGTGCCCAACTTCCCGGTGTCGAACAACTCGACCAGAGCGTCAGGGCGGCCGTTGTGTTTATCGTAGTAGTCTGACAATTTGCAGGGACAGTCCTTTCTTTTGCCACAGGAGTAGCACTTGAGTTTCACATCGAATCGCGGATCTCCATTTGCCTGATCCGATAAATTTGGCCAGTCGTAAGTGTCCAGCACTCTAGACTCCGCCATATCAACTTGCCATGCCTTTTGATGTTCACCAATCGTCGGCCTCCCTCCTCCATTGAGGCCTCCCGGCACCCTCTGTCCGTAAAAGTCCTCATTGTCGAGGTCGGAGCTGTATTGGTATTCGAAACGACAGCGCTTTGCAGACTCTTTTCTCTTGGGGAGCACCCAATGGTGAGGAACGTGGTCTGTAGGATGATGAAGCTGGTGCAAGTCACGTTCACCTATACCAAAGCTATCATGGTTAATGTTGTGAACATGTTGGTCACCTTTGAAGCAGCATTTGATGAGGCGGTCGTATTCAGTGTCAAAAACTCTCAATGCGGCCTCCCAGTTCAGGTTCCTTGTTACGGCCACCAACTCTAAGCTGGACGAGAATTTTTTGATCTTGGGGAGTACATCACCCCATCTCGGTAGGCTTTCGGCCTTGCTGTCAGCGTTGTCTCTTTGGATGGCGGCTCGAAAACTTTGCGAGTGACAACAGATACTAAGCATAACTAGGTTGGGTGTTTTGATAAAATTGATTAGCCGTTCGGGATGGCTCACCTGAAGGTCGTCGATTGCACGCTGAACTACCTTCTTGTCCTGCTTACGGGATGGCTTGGAGTTTCTCAGGGTCCTTTTGAGGTCATCAGCAATGTCACTTGGGTAGAGGTCAAAGAATCGCAACGTTCTTGCCTGCCGGATTAAATCTTGAATTTCAGTACGGTCCTTCTCGCTGATGGGGGAAACAGCAGCAGCGACTATCTCAGCATATAGTTGAATGATAAACTTGTCAACGGCTGCAGCAATGTTTAGTTCCGGCTTGGATTTGCTCGATCCTTTCAGGGTCTTTTGGTAGTTGATATAACGTTCCGTGGGTTTCTGGCGTCGTGCACCTCGACGGGGGCCAGTACTAGCTGTCGGATCAGGAATGGGGTTGTTCTCATTTCTACTTGTGGTCTTCTTGGCTTGTCCTCTGGTTGCTGGGGCCATTGTGAGGGAGTCCTGGATTCGTGAATGTAAAAGGGTAGGGATGTACGATGTGTGTAGAACAAGGAAGATTGAGAGAGGACGAGCAAACGTTTATGGGGAAAGACTGGAATGCCAGGAATAGGACTCGAAAGGCTGGACTGAATGGCCATTGTGACAAGCGTGCCAAAAATACCGTCAATGCCGTCAAGAACAATAAGGGTTTGAATAGAAAAAGTGAGGTACAAAGGAAATGAAGAAAGAATAAACTCAACTCATTGTTCATTGATGCGCCGGCCGCCGACAATTACCAAAATCCTGACAAACAATCGCGAGAGATTGGGCAGAGCCAGTGCTTTTGAATCGAGTAGGAAAATCTCATTACCAAATGGGTATCTTATACAGTCTCGATATACCTCCTAACCTCCCAATCGGTCACGGCTTCATCCCATAATCTGCATTCGTGTTCTCTCGTGCCTCCATAATGGTCGACAAATTCGTCTCCAAAGACTTCTCGGGCCACACTGCCTTTGGCCATAAATCTTGCTGTACTGTCTTTGAGGTTTTTGGGCAATCGCTCGCCTTGGTCGCTGCTCCCTCCAACATCTTCTCCTCTGCTTAGAGGAGGAACCGGGATGTCCATTTTCTTCTCTATACCTCTCCAACCCAAGGCAACAATTGTAGCAAGCACCAATGAAGGGTTTGAATCAGCGCCACAGACTCTGATTTCAAATCTCGTTGCCTTTGCTGACGCCGTGGGAGGTGCAATAAGTCTGATTGATGCTGCTCGATGCTCTAGACCCCAGGAAACAGTGACCGGTGCCCAGAAATTCTCAACCAGCCGCTTGTATGAGTTTACTGTAGGCGCAATCAATGGCATTACATCGGCCAGACCGTCCAGAATCCCAGCGAGGAACTGTCGGCCCAGGTCTGAGACGTATTCGAGGTCTTGATACGGTGGATTTGGATCTTTCTCGCCCCGATAAAACAAGTTTTCCCCCGATTTTTTGTCGACAATGGAACAATGTACGTGCCCACTGTTGCCCGGAAGGCCCTGTTTGGGTTTTGCCATGAACGTCGGGGTGATACCATACTTGCTACCCATCGCTTTGACAACATACTTGAATAGACTCGCTCTATCCGCCATCTCGGTGATTTCACCAAACTCAAGAGCAGCCTCGAACACTCCAGGCCCTGACTCGGTATGCCAACCTTCGACATTACATCTGAACTTCTCACAAGCATCGAAGATGCTGTAGAACCAGTCTTGATTATGGATCGGATCGGTCAGGGAATAACCAAACATGCCCTGGGTGAGATGGGGCAGAGAGTCGACGGGGTTGGTCTGAAGGTAGGGAGCTGTGGTGGCAGATGAAAGATGAGTGGTTTGAATAGAGGGATCTCTGGGGGCTCTGAACGTGAAGAACTCGTACTCTGCGCCAGCCATGGCTCCATAGCCAGCTTTGTGCAGCTTTTGGACCGCAGTCCGCAAGAGACTTCTGGGGCAAGCGCTGATGGGTTTGCCGGTGTCGGGGTCGCAGAAGCTGACCAGGAAGAAGGGCACATTATCCTCCCATGGGATACGCCGGTAGCTGCTGAGGTCTATCTTTGCAACCAGATCTTTGTATCCATTCTCTTTATTGCTTATCTTCAGTTCTCGGAAGTAGGTCAGATCGTGCATATCCCAGCCGAAGATGACGCTGCAGAAGCCAAAGCCATCTTTCGCAACCGAAAGGAATTTCTTCTTCGAGACGAGTTTACCTCGAAGAATTCCTGTCCCGAGTCAGCAGATGTTTGTTGTTTGGGGCCAGGTGCGTCATACCATCTATGTCAATGCCTGCGAGCTTGATCTTGGTGTCAGAGGCGAGAGCAGTCTCTAGATCGTCCAAGCTCAGAATCTCTTTGTCGCTCTGCCCAGCCATTATGATAGATGCAGAGTACAAAGCTCTAGCACCACCCACAGCTCCCTCTTTGCGTAAAGATGGTGTTCACGAACAAAGGGCAGCCACGGACAAAGGCGCAGTGGAGAGGCGGGGGGGGATTGGCACGAGAGCAATGAAGCGAGGATGATGGTGATGACGGGACTTACAGTGGCGTAGCTTGGTGGAGTGCATGACTGATAAGGGATTCCACAGCAAATAATTTGTGGCTGGAGAGGTTGTGTTAGGCGTCATATTCCAGGGTCTTTAGGCGCAGTTTATACCTATGACACCCTGGAGAACGCCTATAGCTATGGTCGTTGTTGCGCGAAACCAACCTGGGTACTGGGATTTTGAGAAGTGCGATACAAGTCAGGCTATGGACTCCGTTCCTGAAAATCACCATCCCAAGCTTTTACAATAGAGATCACTAACGGCGTCTGCAGCAGCTTCCGCTCCAGGTGGATATGATTCCCGCTAGTCCGTGAAGACTGCATCGCATTACTTATAGAAGCATAGCTAAAGATGATCGGACCCAGCCAAACGGCCGCTGTTCGGGGATCTGTAGTATGCATGAGCCAACCGTTTCCACACCAGCAAAAACGTCAAATCAATCTTTTATCTACGCTCTATCACACGCCCTTTGACCGCCCACCTCTATTCGTTCACATTTCTCGTCTAATAGTGACTGATAGCGACGACTGGCAAGAGAATACAGCGACGCAGAAGACACATCATCGGCATACCAACACCGAGTATTACTGTTTTACAATCTTCCTATCGAAACCCGGGATACAAAACAAAAACCAGCGGACATGGCCGATTCACGTCAAGGGCGTCTTGCCGGCAAGAATGCCATGGTCACCGGTGCGGCCGGTGGCATCGGCCTGGAAACCACGATTCTCTTTGCCCGCGAGGGCGCTTCAGTGCTCATGGCCGACATTTCCGAGCCGGCACTCGAGCGTGCCCTGACCAAGGTCAAAGAACTCGTGCCCAACCCTCCGCGTTTGCAGACGATCAAATGTGACGTGTCCAAAGAATCCGACGTGGCTGCCGCCGTCGAGTCTCAAGATGCCCACGGCGGTATCGACGTCATGTTCAACAACGCCGGCATCATGCACGCCCAGGACGACGACGCCATCAATACCCCCGAGGCCATCTGGGACCTCACCCAGGCCATCAACGTCAAAGGTGTCTGGTACGGCAGCAAGCATGCCGTCCTCAGTATGCGACGACACAAGAAGAAGGCCGGCAGCGTCATCAACACGGCCAGTTTCGTGGCGTTGATGGGCGCCGCAACGCCTCAGCTCGCCTACACCGCTTCCAAGGGCGCCGTGCTCGCCATGACCCGGGAACTGGCCATTGTCCACGCCCGAGAGAACATCAGGTTCAATTCTCTCTGCCCCGGTCCACTGAACACGCCGTTGCTGCAGGATTGGTTGGGCGACGACGTGCAAAAGAGGCACAGACGTGAAGTTCACTTCCCGAGTGGCCGTTTCGGCGAGGCCATTGAGCAGGCCCAAGCTGTGCTCTTCCTGGCCAGCGATGAGAGCAGCTTCGTCAATGCGACCGAGTTTGTCGTCGATGGCGGTTTGAGCAGGGCTTATGTCACGGCTGAAGGACCTGCTCCTGCAGCTCCTTCAAACAATGTTCATTAGAATAGTATCTCAGTGGTCGGGAAACCAAACTCTCTTCGGCGAGGATCATTTTCATGAGCATGTGTGTCAAAGAGCTAAGACTCCCTGGTTTTCATTAGACTGGCTTTACAGATGGTGTTGCTCCAAGGAACTCGCAACTCTTGTTTTAAGCGAGTCTTCTATCGATGGTGCTCATGATAATCAGAATGACATCTTCAATTTTCCCAGTGTTCTCAATTGAACCCATGATTTTGCTTCTACAATTACCAAGACCCCTCAGTGATGTCTCAGAAACAACAAGGCTTATGTGGTAGACTGAGGCGAGCAAGAAAACAAAAAGGTCCCAGGTTTGATTCTCATTGAGAACTACGATCACTCCTCCTCCTCCTCATCAATGGCTCGGGCCAAAATCACATGCCTGAATTGATGAAGGCCAATTCACTAAACGATGACAGTGACTTTTCACAAACGGAACTAGACAGGGTTGAAAACAAGAGGCACATTAGCGTTGTACCGTAAACAGAACCGAGCTGAGTCGGATACGGTAATCCGATACAGTAATCCGATACCGGTGATCAGCATCCGTCATGAATCTTTGGTGAATACCTTTGACTCTCGAGTTTTCGATCATTAGCAATGTCTCCTCAACCAGTGCGAGCCTAAAACTGAACCACAAAATTCCAGGTGAGGACTTGGTGCTCGGAATTGCTGACTTGGTGATACAATACGTCCCCAACCAGAACCAGAGTCGTTTCCTCCACAAAATAGCAAGGTACTAATTTTCTATCCTTGATCTCCCCGCCGCTACCCAGGTACTCCACGATCCTCTACTTTCTCGGTGATATTTGTACATGTCCGTAACATGTCCTCTTTTATATCAAGCGTCAGAACCCATCGTTTGAGGATGAGGTTGCACGATAGCCACGGGCACAAACATCATGGAAGCGCCACAAGTCAACGAGAAAGTGGCGACGCTTGACCCAGTCATGGTTGAAGATGTCGACGAGGTTTTGACCGAGGAAGAGAAGTCCAGGCTTGTGAGTACTAACGGCTGCCACTTTGACACGAGGAGCGACCATTTCGACTAACCACGAAAACTAAGGACCGCCAACTGGTTCGAAAGCTGGATCTCAAATTGATCCCTTGGCTCACACTGCTGTACCTGGCATCTTTCTTGGATCGCACGAATGTCGGCAATGCAAAGATCGAGGGGCTGCAGGAAGACTTGAAGATGACCAACAACCAATATAACCTTGGGCTGGCGATATTCTTCATTGTGTACGCCATCTTCGAGCCGTTGACCAACGTTCTGTTGAAACGCTTGCGGCCGAGTGTTTTCATTCCTGTAATCACGATCGCGTGGGTAAGTGGGGCTGCTCAGACTCTGCAGAATTCATGTACTAACCATGTCGCGGCTGTAGGGAATTTGCACGACGACTCTTGGTCTGGTGCATAATTTTGGAGGGTTCTTGACGACTCGTGCCTTCCTAGGTCTGACTGAGGGAGGTCTCTATCCCGCTGTCATCTACTTTCTGTCGTGCTGGTACAAGCGATCCGAGCTTGGGATTAGAATGGCTTTCTTCGTCTCTGCTGCTAGTTTGGCAGGTTCCTTTGGGAGCTTATTAGCTGCAGCTATTGCAAAGATGGACGGGGTAGGGGGTAAAGCCGGCTGGGCCTGGATCTTTATCCTTGAAGGTTTGGCAACTGTTGTCCTAGGCGTCATCTCTTTCTGGATGGTCCACGACTTCCCTGACAAGGCGACCTTCCTGTCTGATGCGGAGCGCAAACGCGTCATCCGACGACTAACGATTGACCAGCAATCCAGCGTACACGATGAAAGCTGGAACAAACAATACTTGGTGGCTTCTCTAACTGATTGGAAGACTTATATCGGTGCGCTGACCTATACCGGAGCTGGCGCATCCACATACGCCTTTTCGTTATTTCTCCCGACCGTAATCAAGGAACTAGTATGTTCATCGCCGAACAGATCTTGTTCGGGAAGCTGACGTGAGAAAGGGATACACCTCGACCAGGGCTCAATTGCTTAGTGTCCCACCGTACGCTCTTGCCGCCATCATGTCTGTCGCAATCGGGTACCTCGCAGACCGCACACGCGCTCGAGGCATCTGCAATATTTGTATGGCCCTCATCGCCGCTGGAGGATTTTCCATGCTGTTAGGTGCCGAGGCAGCTGGAACCCGATATGCTGGTGTTTTCCTTGGTGCGATGGGATTGTATCCATGTCTTGCTAACACTCTCACCTGGTTGAGCAACAATCTTGAAGGTATATCTCACAAATTCCAATGGTAGCCAGTCAGTGGCTGATCAATTGACAGGGGTCTACAAACGGGGCCTCACATTAGGCATTGTCATCATGTGGAATAACCTCAATGGCACTGTCTCCGCGAATATTTACCGCGGCAGCGACGCGCCAGACTTTCCCACTGGTCACGGTGTGGTGCTGGGCTACATCACGGTCTTTCTTCTCGGAGGGTCTATCATTCAAACTTTGATGTTGCGTGCCGAGAACCGAAAGCGTGCCACATGATCGCGAGATGCACGCCTTGTTGGTCTGGACCAGCATCAAATCTATATGCTGGGGGATCAACGGCCTGACTTTGTTTACACAACGTAGACGAAGTCAAAATTGTAATGGGCCCGTTGAGATTGAGAGGGACCGGCGGATCGTCGTTCTGTGATATGGAGAAGAGAACGGAGAGACCTTCACAACTTGTCCGAGGCCAGGGCTGCTCTGGGGATCTCTGACCGGATCTGTAAATACCATTGTGGTGCAACTATGATACAATTTGACGTTGCAAAAGTTGTCGAGCCAGTACTTGACCAGCTGACACAAATCGGGGGTCATTGTCGAAACTCATGTCCGTTGGGAGATTGTTGCTTCCAGCTTCTCTTCCACTTTCACCTGGGATCAAGAATGTTAGCCGAGTAAGATACTGTATTTCGCGGCGCTCAACTATCACGAAGAATAACGTTCGCTTGCAAACCCGTTAAAGGGGCCTATCGCAGCCTAGAGCTAGTCTTTCCACCTTCTATTGCGCACGAATATGTCTTCTCCGTTCCTACGAAGCGCTTTCTTCGAGAGCTGGACTCCCTTCGGAGTTTCTATAGTACCAAACCCTCATCGTCGGGTCTGCGGGTGCATTGATGCGGGCTGGACAAGCTGACTCTCAACGGCCGCGAGTACATGTCTAGAACACTGAAATGATTTGATCTGCCTTGGGCTTGCTCCAGAGAGACTGGCTATGTGAGTGTAGCCCTTCCCAGGACAATCAGTCACCTAAAGTCGCCTCCGGCGTAAGGATCTTTTGAAGTCTTCCATGGGCTTTTTTCAGTCTCGAGTGTAAACTAGGTAAGAATGGACATTATTCATAGAAATGATGATATTCACCTCTCTGACTGGCAATTTCAGATGCTCCCTGGATGAGTGGTGTACTCTCTCTACTGGCTTCTGTCCAATTTTCAATATTGAGCGATACCTTCCTCGATCGCCTTGATCTGGAGGGCCACCAAACGAGAATAGTACCGACAGAATGCGAAATTCGTGCCCATGAACCAAAACCCAGGGTGACCGGATCTCCGCCAGATGGTGCGCATCTCGCCTTCCTCGTCGAAGCCCCAGACGTCCCCGACGCGACCGGCGACCTCGTCACCAAAAATCACTCGCGTCTGTGTCTTCATGTTCTGGAACCCGGTTGCAAAGACAACCTCGTCAGCTTCTAGGGTAGTGTTGTCGTCGAATTCCAGCCCGTGCGGTAGAACCTCGGTGATTTCCGCCCCTTGTTTCAACTTGATCTTGCCGTCGATGACAAGTTGACTCGCGCCGACGTCAACGTAATAGCCACCGCCGCGATGCAGATATTTCATCACGTAGCCGGAATCGCCGGGGCCATTGTCCAGCTTGAAACCGACGGCTCTCAGACCGTCGAGAACGTCGGCGTCGTGTTTGGTTTGTTGCACACACATCTTGACCTGCTGAGACTTGAACAGCTCCGCCGGTAGGGCCCAGAAGAGTAGGTCGGCGTCCTCGGTCGGGGGGCCACCCTCTTTGTAGAGAGGCCGACCGACCTCGTTCATGAATTTCGCGGAAAGGACGAGCGTCGAGCTGCGTTGGACCATGGTGACGTGGTAACCGTTTTCGTAAAAATCCTGGGCTATGTCGTGGGCCGAGTTGCTCGAGCCAACTACGACGGCCTTCTTACCATTCCCATTTGGCCTCGCGCTCGTAAACTCGGTACTGTGGCACAGATTTCCTCGGAAACGTTCCAGTCCTGGTATTTTCGGCACATGCTTCGGTCCAGCGTGGCCTGTGGCTTGAATTATGTGGGAAGGATGAAACGTACGCGACTCCACAGAGCCGTCCCCGTTCTGTCGCTCCAGACCAACCGTCCAGAGTTTGGTTCGATCGTCCCAAGCAGCAGAGACGACTCGCGTCTTGCTCCACACGTTGAGTTCCAAGATTTTGACGTAAGATTCGAAAAATTCCGCCAGCTTGTCCTTGGGGGTGAACTTGGGCCATTGTGGAGGAAAGGGTAGGTATGGCATGTGGTTCAGCCAGACAGGGTCATGAAGGACGAGATGACGGTATCGTCTCCGCCAACTGTCTCCGACCGACTCCTGGATATCAATGACAAGAGTGTCCACGTTCAATGCCTTTAGACGTGCGGCCGTGGTGAGACCGCTTTGGCCGGCACCTGAGATCATCCGACCATGGTCAGCCTGGAACAATGCTGGTGCCAGTCGCGATTGTCTATTAAGAGGAGTCATACTTACCCACGATGAGCATGGTAGGCTCTTTGCCCCTAAAGTCTTCTTCTGCAATACGCCTGTCTCGCCAGTTGAGCCTTCCAGGGAGTGCTTGGTGTGTAGCACCGTCAGGACGCCGAAGGCCCGTCTCTTCCTTGAAGCCGTGTAGCTCTTGGAGTGTCGTGAACAAGGTAAAGATCTTCCACTCATTGTGCATTTCGGCCAAGCGCATGATGCCACGCCCGGATCCAAATGTGGTAACGATGTCCACAAAGAACTGAATGCCTATAACGTCCCCAAGGCCATCTATAGGCCCCAGCGTCGGAGATCTCAGCGTACTTGATCGGTCAATGTCGAGAAATTCCAGGGCGAAGTTGGATCCGAGAAAGTCAGAGATCTTTTTAGGTCCCTTCAAGGTACGGAGATCCCACGATAGACATAGGTGATCCCGCCAGTAGCTATTCTCATGAAACAAACTTGATATGGCTTGTGCATCCTTGACCGCGACTGCATCTTTGAACGCCCCGATTATTTTCGAAGCGACGTCGCCTGCGCTGACAGATGATGTGGCAGAAGGAGGCCAGATTCCGAGGGGAATGTTGCATGAGCCGGGCACAATCCGATCTTTGGATTGCACTTCTGTCGTTGCTGTTATGTCTGTGACTGCGACAGCAATGGAAGCCCCTTTCTCGGGTATCCTCCAGTCCTGTGATGGTGCCGGATCTAGAATGTCTTTGAGAGAGGCGCCCATCCTGTGAGGATATGATTATTGTATAATCGGTCAAGGGGTGTTTAACGACAATGCATGAGAATGACAATGGCTTTATTGTATTCAGTCCAACTGCCAAAAGCTCAGGGGCCCAGGCGAGCCGGAGAAAGAGTACCGAAGAAGGATTTATGAAAGAGATTCCCGCGAGATGATTGCAACATGTCCGTGTCGCCACTTGCACCTCGATCAGTACAAGTGTGATCAAGTGGACTACCGCCACACTCGTCAGTTCAAATGAGATTGGCAAGACTCGTCAGGTGTGAGTCTCATCACGGAAAATCAACTATCTAGGCCTGGTAATTACACACCCCACCCTCAGGGCACACCAAGCCCCGTGGTCTTCAGTGCAAATCGGAACTTCTTCGACAACAAGAGCTACCACTAGGTAATGTTGCACGATGAGTCCGACTTGCCTCTGCAAACTTCACCCCTGCGCGGAGATCTTGTGAGATAGAATGGTCAGCCTTTGCCAAGGGCTCAAGTAGAGTCAGAGTCTGCGGGACCAGTTCCAGTGGTATGCAGACGACGCCGTTAAGATCTCCGATGATGTAGTCGCCGGGCCTGATGGTCATGTCTTGGTCTTCCACTCTCACAGTCACAGGGACATTTACCTAAGATCAAATCAGCACCGTGATGCAGCTCCAGAGACATTTGAACACGCACGCTCACGACTTCTACCACTTCATGTGGGGCAGCAGTTCCGACGCCACGCGCAAAAACCTAGAATGGTCGGCATCTCTACACCTCTGACTTTGCTGCCTTGGACCTACGGGATAGACCAGGTCTCGATGATCTTGGAGATCTCGAATGCGGCCGTCCACCACGGCACCAACGGCGCCGGAAACTTTGGCTCGGTGGCTCATCAGTCAGCCATAAACCGCGTTCGCGGCATCAGGAGGAGCCGAAATGAAAATCACCGTGCCGGCAGGAACGGAATCGATCTAGAAGGTGTCAGTACATGATTGTCTTCCTCTTCTCCTTGCGAGATACTAGGAGGTGCCTACGTAGTGTTCTTTAATTGTCGAAGGTTCGGTGCCCCTGCGAACAAAGTGGACCGTATACGCCGGACCCGCAATTCGAGTGTGGCCTTCCTGGCGTTGAGGTGACCACATCGAGATATCAGGTAAACAACCCCCATGCGGACTCCCCAGCATGGTTAATGCGTCGGATATATCGCACCTGTCTGCCTGTCAATTCGGACAACTCGGGAACGAATTCAGAGCCTCATCCTTTTGGCTTTGGTATCCTTACGTCGAGTACTGCTGTAGGAGCTCGCCGAAATTCTCACGAGACCCCATGGCTGTCAACAACCAGTCCGGTTTTTTAGAAGAAGTACAAACTCCGAAATGTATGGAATGGCCAGGAGGTGATTTTATGGAGTTTTTTTACCCTCGCATGGCCTTTTACTTGCAGGCTTCGGCTCTGGGCTTCGTCGTCTCTCGTGCACATATTCCCGGAGATTGATCGTCGTTTCTCCTGTCGGATCTGAAAATCCGAGATGCGGCCCCCAGAATGCGAATCATTCTATACTTGTAACTTCGAACTATTACGACGGCGTGCTGGAGTAGCAGAACGACTACGATAGGACTAGCATCGTACTGATCCGATCCCTTCTGAAAATCATGAAAAGGAGATAAGCACGACTTTCTTTCAAGATTATCTATTGCCTCACAATCACTCATTGGCCTTAGAGGCTTAACTTCTGACGACTTCACAACTTTGGGTGGGAATTTTGTACATAACCTGCAACAAGTATGGCTCGAAGGTTTGCCTTGGTCCTGCTTGCGATAGCTTGTGAAGAAAATATAGTAACTTGGTGTATGTCCTGACATGCAGCCGCTCTATCTTTCGCTAGACCTGATCTCACAATGCCTGCAGTGGCTCTGGAGCAACAATATTGTGATCCGTCCTCTTGATCTCTAAAGATGTTTTTGTAAGAAGTCGAGCATGAGTTCGTAGCCACGCTCGTACTCCTTTCTTGGACGCTCCAGGTCCAATTTAGCCCTGCAAATTACGATTTGTCAGCCTGGATCCAGACGACCAAAACCCTAGGATATAGGGTGATCCATACCTAGCAGACATCCATCCATGGATCTCGTCGAATCTCTCACGGTATTTCACGCCCGTCAGATTGGCCACAAAGTCTCGAATGGTCTGTTCTTCCTCCCCCTGCGAGTCGAGCACCATCGTCGGAATCGTGATCGACTTCGCGTCTTCAGGATCGAGCCTACAAGGGGATGTGAGAGCTAGGACATCCAGCCGTGGCTTCCCCAAGTTTGCGGCAATGAGACTCAGCCCTTTCGCGCCCCAGCAAAATCCTGCTCCGGCCCATCTTTGCACATGTGCATAGTTCGGGTCTGACTGCAGCATGTCGACCACCTGAGCAATGAGGCCCATCTTTTCTTTCGAGGTGACATCGGCGATGAGATCGTGGAGAGGTTGCTTGTCGGCTCCCAGCTCAAACCACTCTAGCTTAGCAGCCTTGTGTGAGCCGATGATGTCCGGCATCAAAACAAGATAGGGCTCCTTCCCCTGGGTCGAGAGTATGTCAGCTCCTCGAAATGTCTGATTGGTGTAGCCGAATATATCGTAGACGTGGATGATTGCTTTCTTCGCCGTGAGTGGCCCTGTGCGATCTGGTCGAGATCGTGAAAAGTGCGGCGTCAGCATAAAAACATGGATTTAGGCCAGTCCTTGGAAGCAAAAGAAATACATGGCCCCGACAATATCGCTTTGTGTTACGACTTACAAATTTGGAATCCATTGACATCCAAAAATGAGCCTCTCGGCGTGTATTCTTCAACCACCGCAGCCGGGGTGCTACAACAAGCTGGAGAATACTCTGTTCCCATCGCTGCGCCCGAAGCCTTCAGGGTTGTAATGTGAAATTTGGATTTACATGTAAACGCCTGGAAGGACGAACTTAGGTCACCTCAATCTCATATAGGCAGGACAGCGAATAGAGCGACTTGCGTACGTTGTGGAGGCCAGTTTCGGGGGAGCCACAGGAGTAACTACGTATTGCGGCAAACCGGACATTCAAATGTCCGGCGATTCAGTCCTGTGGAATGCAAAATTGACCCCTTTAATATCGAAGCTTTGGAATGCGGAGATGTTGCCGTTTCAATGTCCGAGAACTCGAATGGTCTCGAGACTTTCGATGACTTACTCTCGCCATTGGACCTCAGAGGACTTATTTTCATTGTATTGCGAATGACAGTCTATCCTCTGTTTCCGCCCATTCCAGATCCAGCCCCGCCCCCGATCCCTTTTGCCTTGAAACAACGGAAAAGGTGGCTTTGCTTTCTGCCTCGTCGAGATGTGCGTGCCCTCCGTTGGCGATAAACCCGAAGTTGACCGCTCTACCTCCACGAAGGAACGGTAACCCCATAAGAGCCGTTCTAAGGTACTAGAAAATGACTTTCAGCTGGTGCACAGCGGGCTGGGCCACAAGGAAACGTAAAATTTGCTCATTGACGGCAGAGTCGCTCGGAGATCTACAACTTGGGATATCATCTGCTCAAGCTAAATGTGGGTTACTTCTTCGTTTCGAGTTGCCCAGAAGGGTCTGGTCTTGTTCCTTTCAGATAAGAACAATACACATCCTCCGGGCGCGGTGAGCACTGATATAGTACTTTTGCTCTCATCCAGGCAAAATATCGGACTGCGGGTTGACATCAAAATCAACGACTTATCGAGATATTGACGTCTCCGATACAAGATGGCGGCGGTCATGGACAATGCCAATACGCTCCGTAAAACGCTGAATACAGGATCCGGCGTCTCATACGGCGCATGGCAAATGCTTCCAGGCACCCATCTGTCGCGGGCCATCGCGAGAGCAGGCTTCGACTGGGTCTGCATCGACTGCGAGCACGGCAATATCGCCGGTAAGCTTGCCCCTATTTCTCTTCTCAGGCCTTTATCTCGCTACACCCACGAAAAGGAAGCTGATCGCCGTACGCTACTACAATATCTAGACGATGCAATGCATGAGTCGATCCACGCCGTGGCATCTGTCGGTGTCAGCCCGGTCGTGCGCATCCCCGCCAATGAGGGGTGGATGGTCAAGCGGGCGCTGGACGCAGGTGCTCATGGCATCATTGTGCCCTTGCTCTACACCGTCGACGATGCAAAGAGGCTCGTGCAGTCTGCCAAATTCCCACCACTCGGCAAGAGGGGTTTCGGCAGTCCGTTTTCACAGGGTTCTTTCGACGTCAAGGGGAACCTGTCAGGAATCGAGTACCTGCAAGGTGCAAACGGGAACTTATTGACGGCCGTGCAGATAGAAACAAAGGAGGCACTGGGATGCGTGAATGCCCATGTCCCGTAGTCGACCATGCATCTTATCACTAACTCAAGTCTCTAGGTCGAAGAGATCGCCAAAGTCGACGGCATAGATGTTTTATTTGTAGGTCCGTTTGACCTGGGGAACAATATCGGTCATCCAGTGACAGGAGACTTTCCCCCGGAACTGGACGCGGCCATTGCGAGAATTCTCAAGGCCGCCCAAGATGAAGGGAAGAAGTCGGGCATTTACTCTCCGTCTGCAGAATTTGCCAACAGATACGCTGACATGGGCTTCCAGATGGTTAGTGGAGATGCTCTCCGTCTTTGTGTGTTGCAAACGTATTCTAAACACCAAGCTCCAGATCTCGGTGGTAAACGACATGAGCGCAATCCCTATTTCCATGGCTAAATCACTGTCAAAGGCTAAAGGCTGTTACGGCGATGCAGCACAAGGTCCTAAGCAGGCTGCGTACAGCGCGGCGAGTTTGGTTACACAAAAGAAGAAATGACAATAACATAGTGTATGAGAAGAAGATAGACAACTGCAACCTCCTGATACGTCTCTCTCTGGTGTGTGTATTCTCAGTGGAACACGTACCCCCACTTCCTAAACCACCTTAAAAGTGAGGTTTTCTATAAAAATCGATTGAAGAGAGAATGCGACCAAGCCAAGCCTGGTAGCTCTTGACCCTCGCAGTCGCGCCTTCTCCTTCTACCATGAATCGGGCCGCAAACTCCTGGAAGGTGGAGTTCTGATTCTCCTTGGTATAATTCTCCAGAGTGCCCATGACAATCAGGTCCTTACCGTCCTTGTCACCAACAAAGACCTTCTCAATCATGTGCTTGCGGAAGGCAATGACATCCCAAGCCTTGTCTCGGGACCTGGCGATTTCTAGCAATCCATGGTCAGTGACTTACGTGTGCAATGACACGCCATTGGTGATGGTGAGGGTCCATACATACGCTCGTTTCCCTTTACTGTGCCGGTCGCCCTCACCATTTCACCTCCATGGCTGAAAACTTTGTCCGCCATCGACGGTCCAGCACTGGCATCTTTGGTGTCTCCCAGTTCGAAGAACAGATTGATGAGGTCCTTTACCTCTTCCGGGACCGGTGTTGCTGGCCACTGTACGGAGGATGTGGCGGCCATGGTTACACCGAGACCTTTCTTGGCTGCGGTTCGACAATTGATATGATCAGCTGCCACAGATCTGAATCAGTCAAAGCTGAGTCAATGAGTTAGAGGAAGCAGTCTTCTGGCACCACCAAATTCTACACTCTTCCTTTGACCAGTAGGTACTTAATGTGACACCAGCAGGGAGACAGTGGTTGTTCTCATCTCCAAATCCGACTTGATTCATCGTCCCGGAGCTTCAAACTCCGAAAACATTCCTCCGCAGCGGCTGTACTATGATATACTAAGTAAGCGATTGCCGGCGCTGAACCTACCTAAGCTTTGAGGGGTGAACCTTACCCAGAATGTCTACCGTAGTTGCCCGAAACAGTACGATAGACTAGTGAGGGTCTGAAAGTCGGTGTCCAGAATCTACGAGGCGAGAATCTGAGGTCCACCCGACAGGTTGTACAATCAGGCTCCTCTTAGGAAGCTATGCATTGGCGACCTCTGTCTCACGGGGTCGATGGAACCCATTCTGGCCTCATCCCGTGGGTCAATTGGGCTTCCAGGGGCGAAATTCGCAATACCATCCCGCTGAGGGAGGTGTCTGTGACCATAGGACATCCCCGGGGCAGAAGTATTCGTGTTGGAGAATTGCAAATTCCCTCGACCGGGATCTGATTGCTTGTCGTGTCTGGGCACACGCATTGCATTGCGCGAAGCGACTGAAGGTGATATTTATCCTGAGGCAATTAGATAGCCGAAAGAAAGTTTATCTGAGCATGTCCTCGTGTTGCTCATGACAAACACTCTCTCGGGCACTCTCTAGGCCTAGCATTGGGGGGGGGGGGCAGACTTGAACCTGATGCACCCGTTCAGATTTGGAGGTGTTGGGCCGTCAGTCGTAGTGTTCAAGGCAGCAAGTTCTAATCAGAGAAGCTTCGATCTCCCCGATATAATCAGTGTTGCATAAAGAGACCAAATAGGGTACCATCGGCAAAGATCGAATCGTCGATCAGAGTATCGTTCATGGGATCGAAGCAAGTGTCGTCCCAAGAAGCATCCAAATACAGCTCATCGAAAGTGTTCGGTCCCGGAACTTCGTCGGCTGGCCGAGCCTGAGTAGCTTTGATGGTGTTAGTGTTCACGTCTTTCCAGACGAACGGGAAGGGAATGACAAACCGGTGATAGTGACGGAGTCCCCTGGAATCGTTACAGCCTGCTCGCCACGACCCGTCTGCCGATTGGACTTTTTGACCTTTCTCATAAGCTTACGGAGCTGTTCGAACGGCTTCTTCCACCCAATATGGCTTGTTAATCTTTGATACTCCACAATAGCCAGCCAGAAAAACCGTATACAATCAAGGTAGTCAGGGTGGTCTCGATGAGACTTGTCGAAATGTTGAAGCATAACGATGACAGCGCTATAAATGGCGTAAGACAAGTCGTAATGTGCGTGGCGGAGTGAAAAGGCTTCCTTATACGCCTCCACGAGTTTCCAGATCCTAAGTGCAGCTTGAATACACAGCTTTCGGCCTTCTTCTTGAGCAGAAGGATCGAGAATGAATTCAAAGTGATTTTGGATCAGGAAAGCCTGTTCGAGCAAGATGTGAAGTGTCCAATAAGTCGTGCTGTTTACTATCAGGCTAATTCCACGTTGATTTGGTCTGCAGAGATTACTTACTGAAGATTCACCTGATAAGGTGGCGGAGTATCATCGGTTTCCGGGTTAAAAAGTAGGTGAATCGGCAGTCGAGTAGTCCATTGACTGAGCCTAGCCCTGATCTCGGATCGAGCCTGCAGGAGTACTGTTTCGGATGATTGGGTGCTTTTGAACGTATAGAACTCGTCGATAATCTGAGCAGTAATCTTTGAGAGTTGCAGCAGGTGTTGGAAGGTGCTTAGGGCATAAGCTGGCCGGCATTGGTAATGTGGAATCGATTCATCCAAAGTAGTTGCTTCTGAGTCCTTATAGGGCGACCATGCTTCAAGCTCTTCATACGAGTCGAGATACTCGTGTGGTATGTTGCCGTCTGATTCGTGCATAGCAGGCGGTCGACCAAGAAAGAGTGATTGGAATTTGTCACTGGCATACGCTCCCCAGTATACTCTCCTTTGAATCTCTATATCGATTGCCAAAGTCACCGAATTAGCGCCGGTCTGGGAAGCCTCCTTGCGAAGATCCAGGTGGTAGCCAAGGTCCATAATCATTCGGTATCCCATGCCGCAGAACGTCCATCCAGCATTCTGCTTGCCGTACTGAATAAGACATGACCCGCATATTAATAAGGCAACGACGGTGGGCAGGCTTGGCTGGTCAATATGTTCAAACAATAATGACTTGAATCGGTGGTAGAAGGTTATGCCAGTAGTGGATGGGTCTAAAGGATTTGACCGAAGGCTGTCACGATCACTCCATAGGCTGCTCTGGAGATAAATGGCGTTCAGTAGCAATTTGTTTACATATGGTCCGTTGTTGATCAAGCTATCCATAATAGCAGGACGGTACGTCAAAAGATAAAGGTAGTGCAGTCGGTTCCAATGTAAGTCCAGCAGATGCATTGCCAGGTCCATCTGAATACCGTCAAAGTCAATGTTCATTGAAACGCTGGGCGATGAGTGCAGCACCAATTCCCTCTGCTTGCTGACTGCGGCGTATGCGATGAGCCTATTTTGTATTTCTGGTATTAGAAATCTTGCTGATTCGTGCATGATGCCCTCATCCCGAGTGCTTTCTTTGCCGGTGGGCGATTCATGCAAGAGGCTTGTTGTACCGTAAAAGTGTGACTGTCCACTTCCGGTCATCGGATTAGGTGATATGGCTCCTGCATCACCATCATCATCAGGAAATTCAAGCGGCCATTGGATTGCCGAAGGCTGCTGCATAGGGTTGACGATGTTGGGCGATGAGGTGGCCAAGTCAAGATCCGGATCAGGGTTGTCTCGATCACAGATGGGCTGTGGAAGAGTCTGTGGTGCCTGATTACATGAATTGGACATGTTGCTCGGAATCTCACTCTGCAAGTCCGCGGTCTGAATATCAGCCCGGCTTTCTGCAGCATTGTTTGTATTCAACTGTGCCTTCAGTTCTTCAATCTGGCTTTGAAGTGACCGTATATCAGCAGCTCTCGAACGCGTAGCTGTCTTCCTGCCATCGCGGGGATAATCACATGAACGACCTCTTGAACGGCATGCATGGCAAGCGGGCAAGTGGCCGTCACATTTGACCTGTACACATATGTATCAGCCATGGCACAAGTTGCGCTCTGATCAGCGCCCAGGCTGATCTTTCAAGAGCAAAAGCACCTTTTTCTGACGGCATCTCTTGCAGGAACGGCATGTCCCATCCGCTGCCACGCGCAGACGAGGACTCGTGCCGCCGAAAACTTCAGGATTCGTAAGTGCTGACATGTGGGCTGCTGCTATAGTGTCAAGATTCGATGCTTGAGGAGATGAGTCTTACAGACACCATGAGGTTAACTACGGTCGATTAGAAGTGCCAGAACGCATTTCTACTCGCAGTCTTCTTAGTCCTAGTGCAAGAAACACATAATTACCATTCCTCGCTTCACACCAATACTCCCAGGGATCCTGGACAACTTGACGCTAGGTTGGCTGACCGCGCAGTGGCTGCCGTTGTTGATGAACAGACACGAATCCCAGCCGAAGCATGGGGAGCGAGCGCACAAAGGCCATTTACGAGGGCCTTTTCTCGGCCTGCCAGGCTACCCTCGCACACGGTTCTCCTCCGCGCCTGAAGCTAGAGGAAGACTATGGCGGAGGACGATATGTGTCCGTAATTTGAAGGGTGTTGGCATGATACCCAATCTTGTATCAAAATATGTCAAACAACGCGGGCGATGATCTCATGATCAATCTTCATAGAATAATAGTACCCAGCTTTTCAATATCTTCTCCATCATTGGAGAACGTACCATGTGAGTCCAATTTGACTTTAGGGCCTCCTTCCTTCAAAGAGGCATTTATTATCCCTTCCAAGGTCATGAGTTGCCTGGTAGCAGCAAAAGGATAATAGAATGCTCGGCTGATACTTCGGCCTAAACTCGAGAACACTCCCCGCCGTGTAGTGGTGCTTTCTTGTATAAACTCTGGCACTTCAAGCTCATGGACCCAAGTCCGATCTACACGGAGCTCGTGAGGAGCGATGATATGCTGCTTCGGCCGCAGGAAAGGTACGGGCCGTCGAACCTGTACCAGTAGCTTGACACCAGTATCAGAGTTGATGAGTCTCATCGATTTGACCAGATTCAGGGGCCGCAGGAGGGCTATGCCCCCAACTGCTGTGAACGTGATTATGCCAAGTCGATGTCCTACTCTCACTATCGTCGGAAGATCAGAATCTGGATCATATAACCACAGATTTCCAAAGGCCAGAGCCGCCGAGGTTAGGAAACATGACCCGGCAATAAACCAAGAAGCTCCGAGAAGACCAGTATGTGAGGGTGCCTTGTATATCATCTGCTGACCAGCAGCCAACAGTTTTGCCCCATAGTATTGTTTGTTCACCTGTTCTGGAGTCAAGGAAGGGTCTATTGATCGTTGCTGACGTTGCGGCAGAGACGACGGTTTTCGGGGAGAAGGAGGTGTTTTCGTGGCTCTAACACGAGGAGAGCTGGCAAAGCGACGAAGGGCGCCAGATGCTGCAAAGCAAGACCGGGAGATAGAATGACTGAGGTGGACAGGCATGGGTGAAGGTTGCGACGGAAATGGCGCGCATCGGCTCTAGGTGTAAGGAGAGGAACACCTGTCACTTGGAGATATACAGAAGATGCAAAAAGGTAATCGTACAGTATCACGAATGAAAAGAAGAGCGAAGATATTGTACAGTAGCAGTAGGACTCGGCGAATTTGTTCCTACACATGTGAATGCTCGTAACTTTTTTTTGGAGAGCTTGGAAGCGCGTTTTGCGGTGGGAAGGTGAAGCGAGGAAACACGATCGCAGTTCCATCGTCTTGAGGTCCAGGCACTCCGTACATACTTTAATCTCAGGAAGTAAGAGACCAAGTACAGTGACCTAACTGACTCATATGAGACACTCGGAACATACGAAGTGTCTTGCCTCCAACAAGGACAGAAACCGTGGTCCTCGCAATCTTACATAATGTGTACGCCGTATTAATCAGGATGATCTACCTAGGCCCTGAATACGCGCGCCTGATCTCCAAGGTGAATGGCAGACAATTGATATAAAAGGAATGAGAGAGTAATATGACATGAGTGTTAAAGACGCACCTAACTGCAGTCTACAAGGCAACATCGTCACATGGGTCTCATTGGCACGCACTTTTCATGATGAACACAAAAATCAACGCCGTCTTCTTCGATTTCATGGGAACATGTCTAGACTGGCACAGTGGTACAGTTCAAGTCTTCCCACCAACCATCGGCGATAGCGAGAAGTCGAAGCTCGCTTTAGAATGGCGCCATGACTATTTCGACGCCAATGCAGCTCGACTGGCCTCAAAACAGCCACCAGAAGACATTGACATTACGCTTCATACAACCTTGGATGCATTGCTTGAGAAACACCCGGAATACAAAGACAGATTTGACAAACAGACCAAAGATCGATGTATCACGGCGTGGCATTCGATGCCAGCTTGGCCAGATGTAACTCTGGCCATCGAAAAGCTCAAAGCTGCAGGCTATGAGGTATTCGTCTTTGCAAACGGGACGCCGCGGTTACAGCTCGACTTGTGCAAGTCTTCGGGATTGAAGTTTGACATGCTGTTCTCTAGTGAACTGTTGGGCGTGTACAAGCCTGCTCCCGAGAGCTATCGCAAGACGCTAGACTTGGTCAAAGTAGACCCACAGGCTGCTGTTATGGTCGCAGCGCATGCATATGATACGCGAGGTGCCAAGGAAGCCGGAATGAAGACGGTATACATTCACAGGTGGACTGATGATATTAATGAGGATATGGAAATCGTAAAAGGAGAAAATGACTTCTTTCTGGAGGACATGATGGACCTTCCGGTTGTTATTTCACAGATGTGAATTTTCATGAGGGGGGCGACGGTGATGCCCACGAGTGACGATGCGGAATAGATAGTGAAGACAATGCAAGAGGAGGAGGTAAGCTATATTCGAGACAGAGACAGTTGGTCCTTTTGATGAAGAGTGGAGCTAGACGAGGTCCGATCAGACAGTCCGCAAGGATTGACTTCCGTTCGATCAGGTCATGACCTTATATCATCCAAGAATTTTCACCTTTTTGTAGGCGCTAGGCCAGAAAATGTTGATCCGAGAAGACAATTTTCAAAGATGCACGCCATTCCGTTCGTCGTCTTTTGTAGGATCGATGCCGGCTTGGTTCTGAAGAGCCTCCAGCAGGCGCGGAGGGACACTCTGAGGGTTGCCTTCTTGGATCACAGCAAGAAGCTTCATAAAGAAATCTTGTCTGAGGACTTCCATCAAAATATCTCGTTGGTCAATCATATGAGACGCAGCGTAACGTAGTAAGCCACCGTAGGGCTGATCATCGACGCCTTCTCCCATGAACCTCGATTCAACTGCAGGCAATGTGGTGGTAGATATTGCAGCCCAGTCGTAATTCGCCAGTCTTGCAATATAGTCGAAAAGCCTGGCCTGCGATATTGTCACAAGCTGCATACCTTTCTTCGTCTTGACGTCGCGATTCGACACCCGGAGGGACGTCCACTCAAACATGATTGAATAGACCTGGGGGTCTGTAAATATCCTTCGCCATAAGAGACCCTGTCCCTGCGCCTCTGCCAAACGATCCTTGGTCGATACTACTGTGAAGCTGCTATGACTGTCGACGGCTAGAAGGGCCTCGATGGCCTCCAAACAGCGCTCCGCAATCTCTGTGCTTTCGGATGACAGCCAGATCGTGAGCAGGCATTGAACTAGTGGGGAGCTCGCCGCAACGAATGAAGCACCGCTTGGCGAGTCTGCAGCTTTTTGCAAATACGCAAGACACAACAGTTGGACAGATATGGAGGGAGAGGTCAGGCCTTCCTGGAGCTTTTCGGTGGAAATGGTACCTTTTAGTTCATCGAAGGGAAGTAGGGAAACATTGCGTTCCAGCAGTCGAGTGAGAGGCCTAGGTTCCTGTTGCAGTATTTGAAGAAGCTTTTCGCCGGTTGCCAAAAGCCGCCATAAGAGGTCTCTCGAGGTTGACGCGTCGAGCGATCGTTCTGCTCGCCTCAGCAGTTCTTCATCCAGTAAAACTGTGGCAGGCTGTGCTTCGACCTCGGCGAGGTGAGAAAAGACTTGCGGAAAGAGGACGTCCTTGTTTTCAACTATGGTATCCATGATGTTGCGTCGTAAGAGAAGATCAAGCCAGGTGAACGTTTGCAGAACATGGCACTGTTTTCAACTCTTCAATTTTGTGTAACAGGCAACAAACGCTGATGCATGTCTCTCGCCACGACTTGAAATGACGCCCATGTCAGTTGAATATTCGGAGTTGACACCGTCTAACCTTCCACCTTAAGGCATACTGTAATGCCGGCTAAACTTCGTGGTTTCTTTACCCATGGGTTTCAAACGTCTACGTCAGGCTGCGATTGTGTATGAGAGTAACAAGCTGGTCAACAACTCTACGAGGCACACGCTCACTGACATCGATTCATTCTTGACAAAATAGCGAACTTTCGGTCAAGCCAACAACCCACAGCACAACAAACCTCGATGCTACCATGGCAGAAGAGTTCAAGAACCCATTGATATCGTCAAAGCCCTCCGACTCGGGACTCAGCGTGTCTCTTCATCCCCTGGCCCTCCTCACAATCTCAGATCATGTCACTCGACATTCAGTGCGGAATCAGAAAGGCCCGATTGTGGGCGCCCTTCTCGGACAACAGACAGGTCGAGAGGTCACCGCGGAACATGCGTACCCGACCGATCTAGTCAAAACCCAAGAGGGAGGGTGGGAGTTCAATATATCATGGATGGAGGCAAGAACTCAACAATGTGAGTCTTTCCCAGACTGCCCTCTGTTGTAACGAAGAGAACTGACGGAAAGAAACCAGACAAGGATGTCCACAAAGCCCCTGCGTTGGATTTTGTTGGATGGTACACACTGGCTCCCGAGTCTGGTCCCTTGCCTGACTTTACCCGTCTTCAACAGCAAGCCATGACCTTCTCCGGTGACACCACCATTCTCCTCGTATTGCACCCTGAAGCCATAGCGGCGGGCGGCGCAACAGGCGGCAAACTCCCAATCACAATCTACGAGAGTGCCTCTGAGACCGAGCCAAGAGACGATGATGGGTCGATGCAGGTCGACGGCCAGGAACACACGTCCCTCCGGTTCAAATCATTACCTTACAGCATCGAGACAGATGAGACAGAAATGATTGCAATTGACTACGTCGCCAAAGGCGCAGGCAGTGCCGCCGCGGTGACCGACTCCAAAGCCACAGGTTCTCCGGCTGGGGCCTCGGAGTCGAAATCGAGCGACAAAAAGGGCAAGAAACGAGCAGACGCAGCAGTCGAGGTGACCAACGGGAGTGAAAGTGCAAATGACAAACTTGACTCTCTCACGCCTGAAGAACAGGACCAGATGGCCAACATGACCACCCGGCTGAACAGCGTCAAGATGCTACAATCCCGCATCGCCCTGATGCGCACTTTCATCCAATCCCTTCCCCCCTCGTACCTCACCGACCAGGAATCGGCCGCCATCACGCCCGACTCGCCCGACCCTGCCCACATCCCACACCTCCGCAACATCCAAGCGCTAATCACGCGCCTCTCACTTATCACCCCCATGGACAGCGCGGCTTCGTCCCAGCCCCTGGCGGAAGCGACACACTCGCAGGCCAACGACGTGGCAATGGCGAAACTGCTCGCGCTACTGGGCCAGGACATCCAGGCTCTCAGCGAATTTGGCCGCAAGTACTCGGCCATCGAAACCGCAAGGAACGCGTTAAGAGCCAAGCATGCCAGCGGCGGATCCAAGACCTACGATGCGCTAGCAGAGGGAGACGGGCATTTCGGTAGAATGGTGATGTGAGGCAAGCGGGCGGGGGCGTGGTGATCAATGATCTCTCTCCCTCTCTCTCTTATGAAGCTTCCACGACTGCTGGTTGTATCTCTTGATGGATTAAGAGATGGTGTTTCTACTGTTGTTGTGGACACGGACGGACGCGGTGCCTGGATCCAAGCGCTTTTTTACAGCAACATGACGTAACTTACGATGACGCAGACCCAGTCGAAAGCAAAGAAACAAAAGGAATAACGAGTGACTTGACGAAAGATGAAATGCGGCATAGCGACGGCGTTCCAGGTTCAAAAGCCACTGAAAAGTGCCTACAAGAAGAGTGTAGAAGTGGTCATACGGGCAGGTTGGTATGACTAGATAGAGCGGCCGCAGGGAGAAATGAATCCACAAAAACTGAACCAAAGCTCAAGCAGTTGATTTGTCATGATGATGATGGTTTATATATTTAATTGATAGGAGTGTAGGCATGGGGAGCAACATTGGCCAGGGATGGAAATGCATTCGTTGACGGCCTCAGCAGGATCTTGGATCCTTGCTGGCCCAATGCCGCGAAGTACATGACTCCATAGACTCTCATCAACATGAACCTCGGATGGATTTCTTGGCAATAGTGAGATGCCAACGTACTGTATCACTCAACAACCTCGACCGTTCAACGATTGAAGGGGGCTAGAGTTTGGCCCGATGTTGCGCGCCCATAGCAAAGCCACCTGAAGTCGTCGAAAAGTGGAAAGTCGTTGAGTGGCACCTTACATTAACGGTCCGTTTGTTGACGAAGGTGCAGTCCCGGCAATCCGAGACACTTGTGGACACCTTTGATGAGATCTGCATCGCAGATCGTAAGAATTTCGGTACGCTGCGTCTGAAACCATCGCTCACACTCCTCCTACCATATTAGAAATAGTCTGTATACTCTTTATGACAACCGCGGAAGAAATTCATGCTTCTTTCCACCGCATCTGCCCGGCTCGTTCCATCCCTCCCGTGTGCGACCGAGCGGACTTTCCGGCAAATATCGAGCCACTCTCCTCCGTTTGCTTACGAAAAATATCAAATCGCTGATCTTTGAAGTCGTATACCAAGGTCGTAAAAAGTCTGATGATTGTTTAAACACGTCATTTTTGGCATGAAGGATGCTCGACAAAAAGCTTTTTTTGACATGCATCGTGTGTGTGTTCTTGTGACCACGCTGGATCTGTAAACCCTGACTGAAAAGGTTGTATTATGACGTAAAATCCTGAACGCCGGCGCTTCCATGAACATTATAATCGAGTAGTGTTGTTGTTGATGAATGTAATACGGGTCTTCAGGTGACTAGAATATCGACAGGCCTTTGCCTTCTTGAGAACAATCGAAGTCGGAACCGCTTTTTGGGAAGGCTTTCGGTCTGGGTTTGCACTGACGCTTGTCGTCCTGCTGGTGCGGTTGATGTCCTTGGTCTGGCAGCAGCTGGGCTGTGATCAATGGTTGTTACAGGAGGTGCTGATGCAGTCGAGAGGTTTCTATTGTCCATGGTGCTTTTCTTCTTGCGGATTGTCTTCATCAACCGACTGATGTGTGGCTGTTTCTCATCTTCGGTTTGAACTTGCTCTAGAGGTGGTGGAGGCAACTTTTTGTTCAAGTCCGGCACGGAGAAGCTCGGGTCGCGAGGAACGTCCATGGACTTGACGGCTCTAGTCCGTAAAGGTGAAGAGTCTGAAGGAACAATTCGAAGGGTAGCTCTGGCGGGATCTGCCTCGGTAGATGCTTTACTCAAGTCGATCGTCCTCTGTAGACCAGAATTCGATGTTTTCCGACTCTTTGTCACGGACACTGTCTCGTTTCGCAGGCTGCTGCCAGCTCGTTTTGCACTTGCCGCAGATTTTCTTGTGGTGTCAGAGAATCGTCGAGTGCTCGCTCCAGGCGTAAATCCAGCACTAGTCAATGGCGTCGAGTAATCATCTGCACTCGAAAAGGTGTCGCGATGGGAAACGTCCGAGGAGATTGCAGAGTCGACATGAAGATCCAGAATATCGTGTGTCACGTTGGTATCCGACCTTTGTGGTGCCTTGGACTTTTGTTCTTGTTTCACAACCTTTTCTGCTGGTGGCCTGCCTTCGTGGATCTGTGCTGCGAGGTATTTGAGAGGATCTTCCGACATGTCGTCCGAGTGTTGTACATTGGCGAGCATCAGTGCGCACATTCGCTTCAGTTCGCCCTCCTCTTGATCCGTCAACATCTGCCTTTCAATCAATGGAGAGTCGGGGATAAAGTGAGGGTCGTCGGCTTCTCCGCGATACTTTTTCGGGATCAAGGACTAATCATGGTTAGGAGAAAACGACCAAGTAGGCTGTGAGCTAACCAAGGAGTCTGTCTGCAGACGAAGCTGCTTGGTGGTGCTGGTCGTGGCCATTGTACCAAATACTGCCCGGAACACAAGGTGTACGGACGTTCAGTGGTAGCAGAGAAAGACGTTGGTACCGCGCACGGGGTTTTCTGTGATATGAGTTTGGTACAATTCGTGTCTTTGCGATCTGAGGCTGCGCTGCACAACACAATTAGAGATTTGGCTTGCTGTGTACCTTGGTAGGCGGGCTGGCGAGTGGCAGCTTCGTCAAACCACCAGGGTCTTGGAAGAGAATAAGAGACACGGGCAAGAAGGAACGAAGGAGCATATCAAAAGATGAGCCAGCTGCGGCTGCGGCTCCCGGTCACGAACATCTAGTCAGCGCAACGTTTCACCTTGAGAAAGAGCTGAGTTCGTGAAGGCCGTATCTCAAGTGGGCCAGAAGTGAGCATAGTGAGCAGCTCAGCCAGGGTGGCTTGCTCGACCAACGAGATGGTACAGTCCACAATTGACCTATCTCATCCCCAATCGAGGTTTCAGGACCGTGAAAAAGACTAAGCGAGGCTGGACTTCGGGTGACTGTGGTAAGGACTGGTGTGATGGCTTGAGCAATGATTGGCACTGGAAATTGGACAGAAATTGACATGGCGGGCACCGAGGCCGAATTAGCGCGCACTTCAAGAATCAAGCAAGCGAGGCGAGATGGAAACGATAGGAACCGACAGGATCATTACTAGGTGTACTATTAGTTAGATCCGGCGCGTCGATTATATTATCTAAGCCTGACACCGTTGGTCTTGGTGTCTCGAAGCATCTTCCGGCCATTTACTAGGAGTGCGGAGTATCGTTACATATCCCTCCTTTCTCTGAACAGTACTGTACAGTAGCACTTTAGGGAGACCCTGAATTTCACCTTTTTGGACGTCATCTCGATTCGACCGAAACCGGGAAATATCCTCGCAGTCGTTTGCTGTTCCATGGAGACTAGTACGTCACACCAAATCTCCGATCCGACCACAAATCTGGTATGGATCTTTGGTGCTACGAAATCAATAGACTCAAGAATGCTTTACCCTTTCACTCTTTCTTGACACAGACGCTGAGCTTACGCGTTGGTCACAGCTTATTGTTCGTTAACTGTACGAGTACATGTCAGCGACGATCTTGGTCAGCCTGGTGGCAAAACCCTTTCACAAGTACGAGTTGGAGGCTTTCGAATCAAAGCAATTCGGTAATCAGCCTAACCGGCCGATTTATCGTCTCTATTCGAACGGTCTTCGCGAAGCAAGTCCCTTGAACAGAGTAGTCGTGGGTGCTATAGTGGCACTCGAGGATACTCGTACGGCGGAACGAGAGAGACCCGCCGGCATCAGAGATTACTGTATCTCTCTCTGGGGGCCCAATTTTGCCATATACCTCCATGCTGGACAACCCTCGTGCGGCTTTAAGGAATACACCAGTCACTTTGACATTGTTTCAAAGTGTTGGGCCGTAGAGGACAGTGCCGCCACAGCTGGAAGATGATTCCAAGCACAATTCTCCTCGATTGCTTGCCAAAGGTGCAAAACAATAATCTGGTGCCTTGCAGCTTTTGGTTCCTCTCCTCCCCTTATCAGCCTAGCGCAACCCCACAACCACGTGAAAAAAAAAACTTGTTTCCATATTGAATTTCTACCCACCGCCACACAAACAGACGCCAAAATGGCCAAAAAAACAATCAACAATTAGGATTCGCTGCTCGTCACCGACGCAACTACTAACTAATCGGCTTGTGGCTTAAGTACGGCTGAGCGAACGGGAAGCCCTGCTTTCCACAACCTATGGTCGATTGCGAAAGGAAGTCTCTGAAACTATAATATATCCCTTTCGGATCTTCCATATAGATCACTGTTCGGCGGTACGTATCCGCTAAATGCAGTACTACTCAAGAACGTGAGAAAATTCCCTTTCTACCTAAAATATCCACCCTGCTAACAGTTTGTCCTTTTAGCAAACACTCATTTCAGATTGTTCGTAATGAAGAGAAGCGAGAGCAACATCGTCGTTCCACGCCAGTCGTGTACAATTACAGGGCATTACAAGACTGGTATGCTCGCTCGCCATAATTACTCTTCCTTTTTAGTTTAATGGAGGCAGTGAAGGACTTTCTGTTTCTTACCAATCTCTTCCCGCATCTTGATCATATCATCGCAGGATGTTAGCCTCTTCCGCTCATCAGCAGTACCTTGGCCTATTGATATCCGCGAGAGAGTTGAGTGCGTCTTCGGAATGGTCGTGTTCATTGACAAGTTCGTCATCGAAGTCCTAGACGAGTTCTTTTCTTCGCTTGGTGACTCCCGCTCCTCATGGAAGAGATTGCTTGGATCGGTCGGATCGTTTGAGACTTGAAGAATTTCAATTGACCTACTTGGCCTCATTCAATCATTTGGACTTACGAGAAAGGCAGTCAAAGAGATTCAACAAGTTCCTAGCCGCCCTCGCCTGCTGAGCACGTGAGAAGGCCGGTATGATTATCTCTTCATACCAATTTTCATTCATGACAATGGCCTCCCACTTCCAATGACCTACGACCTCACCGGGTGTGACCTCCCACAAGCAAATATAGTGATGGCTATATCCAACATTGATGTAAGGGTCACGGACGTTGTATTCCTCCATCTCGCGACCGACGTTAAGTACGGGTAGACCCTTTCGAATACGTTCGTCTGGGTCGATAACGGTCAGAGTAAAGGGTCCTCGATGCCGTCGCCCTCTCAAGCTTGCAAGACGCTCGACCTCGTCAGGCGAGTCTGTGAATGAGATATGAGGAGTTGGTGTCCAGTTGCCGTGATCGATGTGAATGTTCAATGAAGTTTGTCGAGATATAAAGGTGTCAAGCCGTTCAGGTCTCGCTCTTGACCTCATACGACCATTTTCATCAGGTTGGCTTCCTGAATGGCGGTCCAGGAGCCTAAGCAGTGGCCTGTTGAAAGGCCCTAAACGACGCCCTCGCCATGGATGTCGCTCCTCTTCTGTTCGGAATACGGTCCTTGACGGAGAGTTCAACAGTTCTAAAACCAAGTCGGAATTGAAAGCGGCGTCGTCCTCCATGGCTGAAATGGTTTCTGCTGTAATGAGGACGCACACTCTGGGGATGTCCACCGAATAAAGAAAATGATCTCAAAGGATGTTGCTCTCCGCGATCAGCAAATTCCTTTGTCCAAAGTATTGACTGACCTAGATCTAGAATGAAGCAATGACGAGGTTTTTAATATCAACGAGACATGCTGACGGGAAGTACTTTGCATGCATGATCATCACCTGCGGATGGTGGCGTGGACCATGGCAGATTCTTTCAGCCTCATACGGCGTTCACTGCCCAGGCCACCTGACCTTTTGCATTCAGTCTATAGCCTGAATGGGCAACCAATATGTCCATTGCAGGCTTCTAATGGTTGATATTAGCCAGTCCCAATCTATGAGGACGGCCATGCTAGTCGATGTCGCCGGTGAGGTGAGATTGACAAGACCACCTGCATGATTATCACATTTTATCCGTCAATAAGATCATCTTTCACACCCCCTTTCCGTCACGACATCGGATTGCAGACGTGGCAAGATGCGATTGGGCGGTGACACTCGACCTCGAAGGACAGTTCCGGTGAGTCAACAACATCACCACTTACCATTTGATCGCTGCCTGTCTAGATGGATAAGTCCGAGATCAAGAAAGCTGCCGACCACACGTACGGTGAATCCATCGCTCGTGTTGTCTGGGCAGCGCACATTCTCTCTTATCTGACCGGGGAACAAAGCCATGCCGAAACTCTGCAGTCCGAGACTGGTGACGAGGACGAGGACGACTCCGATGGAAGTGAATCGGACGCAGAAACAGACAAATGGTCAGATCTCACAAGCGCCGACAAACATATTCGTTCTAAATTTCTTGATTGTGTTGCTGAGCTACTGTCGCCGGAGAACGGCTGGGATCATGTTGTTGCTGTCGGTTTGCTGGAATGTGAGGATTTCATCGAGATTGACGTGGCGAGAAATGACGGATTTCACGCTGTCAAAAGTCAGCAAGGCGGAAGTACTCGTGCTGAGGGTGCTGGTCTACAGTATATTGAACATCTACGGGAATACCTATCATCCATACTCGATCAGGGTGTGAATCTCTATGAACTCTTTTGTTGCGCATGTCTGATTTTACGCCTACAGATCTCTGTGAACAGTCTGCGATGTCTTCGAGCTGGTTTGAACCTATTGCCATCGGATTCAATTGTAAGAGGATCGATTACTGGCTACGCGTAGCAAGACGTTGCATCCTCTGCGAACACCCGTTTAAGGCTCCCAATGAAAAACTCGGCCCAGGATTCAAAGAGGCGGTCAAAACATGGACCAATATGGAAGAACTCCTCAGACATACGAGCTCCTCCGGGCTAGCTGTCTCTAAGGAAGAGATCGTTCGCTGCGCGTACGAATGCATATCATCCATGGAGGTACATGACCTACTTGAAACGTCTTGCAGAGATAAGGTGGGACCCAAGTTGTGGAGAGCGCTCAGGTCTATTGCGAGGCCAGTGTCTAACTGTCGACTTCTCGCGCGCATTGCAAGTCACGTCGTGCAATTGCGGACGGTCAAGGTCTGCCCTATACCGTCTGGGCCAGAGACAATTCTCACACCCGAATACCTCATTGACATCACTGACGCTTTGGATCGATTGGTGTCCGTCTCGCTTGCGGGCCCTGCCCTCAAAAGGGTCACCTCATTCAGAAAAAGATTCAAACAAGCTTGTGCACGGCCACTTAGAAGTCATGCTGAAGTACAACTGTTTCTGCATTACGAGGACGGCCTTTGTCGAGCGCCGAGCATTGATTATTTCGGATGTAGCAAAAAAAGTTGCTTTCTGTGTGAGGGATTTCTCCGGGCTTTGCCTCTTCCTATATCCACTCGAGGACGACATGGCATCTGCTATCGGGCTTGGGGGGTGCCTTTCTCGAAATCCGACAAAGTTGTCATTGCACTTGAGGAGCTTGGGAACAATCTGGCTTCCCGAATTGAAAAGTATCTGAAAGGTCAACTTAGGAGTTCAATCCTCAATCAGGTCCCCCAATCAGCTTTTGTGTCCGGCCTCTCAAGTTCGTCTTCGGAAGAACTGCGGTGGAAGAAAGAAATGGTTGACTCTGTTAAAGAGGATCAAAAGTCACGTCAAAAAGAGCGTCGCATACTGTAAGTGAAAGTCCCTGATCGCGCGGATTGTCTGTGCCCGAGGCTGATGATTCTGGCCTTTAGGGACGGACGAGTCTCGACTACCAAGCCCGCCACCACGTTCGCCGAAGCATTCGAGACCTACGAATCTTGCGTAATGTGCAACTCATCGCCGGCCAAACTTTGCGCTCGATGTAAAGCTTGCCATTACTGTTCTCGCGATTGTCAGAGAAGTGACTGGCCCTGTCACAAACTTCTTTGCAAAGACATGTCGAGCCAAGCTCCTCGACCATCTCTAGCTCATAAACGTGCGATCCTCTTTCCCCAGAACGAAGCCAAGCCTTTCCTTGTCTGGGTGTTGTGTAGTCGCAATGTTGACTCACAGAATGAAGACGATGAACGGCAGGTGGAATACGAAACCGCTGGCATTCAACCTCTCCTCGGAATGGACAAACCCATCTTTGGCACTGTCCCCATTGAGCGGAATTGTAAACGTGCTAGAAATCTAGGCTCTAGGAGGTTGACTCTGACATTTCGCGATGCCTTCTTGAAAGATGGCTCCACGATTAATCGCGGTATTCTCAACTCGGTCAAGTTGTCTGGGACAGTCCATCACAGTTGGTGCGGCCCTGTTGTTGCAATGCGGGAGACCCTGAATGGTCGGTACGAGGACATTACTTTAGATGATTTCCGGCACGAGGACATTACTTTAGATGATTTCCGGCACGTCATTGACTACTTTGTGACGTACAACAAATCCGAAACACCCGAGATCACTGCCCCTCTGGACCACAAGTGCACAGGCAGGACTATCCGGGGGGTGAAAATCTGTTGTTACGGGGAAAACAAGCTTCATGGGGCCGAGCCATACATCCCAGTGGAAGTTGAAGAGATGCATCCTGCCCGCTCTCTACTTTCAGTTGACAGGAACATCTCACCCATCTCAAAGCTTCTTGAAAGCCCTCTCAGGTTATGGAGGTTCGCTGAAAGTCAAACTTGGGTTGACACGCCTGGCTGGAACTACAACATGTCGCCTGAGGGTAACCAAGACGCTGCATTGCTGATGACAGAGACGGACCTTGGAAATGAATTTTGGGGATGGGCGCCTTTGTCATGGAATATCGATATTGGCAATGTATTGGTCATTCGCGCAGATGGTACCGATCTTTACGTCGATGAGTTGAGGCTAATGTGTTATTTCATTCGTCGAAAACTTCGCCCAAAGTTCGAGGACGCGTTAGGGATGACTTCCGTCTTGCGAACGAGGAGTGAAGTTTTAAACTTCATTAATCGCGAGAATTTGGAAAAATGTAAGGCTGAGATGGCCAAGGATCTCAGCTCTTACCTTTGAATACTCTGTCTATATTTTTCACAACAATTAGCTGATACAGACGCGCAGCCAGAATGTACCGAAGGAATTGATATTTCTACTTGCACTGACGCTGCCGTTGTGGGCTTCAAGATGTAGGCACCTCGCCCATTTCCAGACCTGAATTATTCGCTGACTTTTTCACAGGAGCAACGGCGAGTAGCCAAAAGCTTATGTGGTGAAGAAATCATCTACGGTCACATCCGAAGAACTTCAAGATTTCATCAAGGCCCGTCTCTCCAAGGTGAAATGGCTGACAGCGGGAGTGGAATCCATCGAAGCCATCCCTCGAAACAATACAGGCAAAATCGTCCGTCGTCGGCTCAGTAGTGGCGACTATACGAATCATAGTGCATTGACCGCAAACGGAGGGCCCAAACTGTAGGCGGCGAAAGCATCGACTCAGACATCGACCACTTTTTGGAACCTCTGAGGCCAAGAGGACGTGGAGCGTGAAAGAGGTCAAGTCACCTACCAGGAGCCTGAGGCTGCTGTCAGAACAGGTCCATCAGGCGAGATGGGCACCATCACCATCCGCAACTGTACACCTTCTATACAACTATTTAGTCTCTCTTTATGACCTACACTACAGCTCAGTTTCTCTAGAACACTTTCTCGCTCCAATTGGTGTCGTAATCATAGAATACAAGGAGTGGATTACAAGGAGTCGAACTTGCCCATCGGGAAACACGCCAATTTGTGAGTGGAATCGAGTGTCTACAGTGGCACATGAGTCTTGTCTGATAGAACTACGACCTCGGTCGCATGTGCCCAATCAACGACCAAGGGGAAAAAAGGGGCTCGGGCACAAGGTTCGATGCCCCAGAGGGCTTCGGTTGGCGGTTGAACAGCCGACTCGGCCCCAAACACCAACTTTGGCCACTCATTGGCCGCCTTGTCCACTTCGGCTGAGCCTTGCTCAGCCTGATAACATCGGCTTCGGCCAAAAATGCATTCTGACGGTCTCCACTTTCAGACCCCACCCGTATGAAAGGGGACACCTATGCACTTGTTGGTGAATGGCAAATCATGTTGTCGCTTACATATTTGTGCGGGTAGTTAACAGTACTACAGTAGTCTCTTAGACTTGTTTTTCCACCATAAGAAACCTCTTGCTTCCAACCTTGAGCCACAACATTTATTTGCGAAGCTTCAGGTAGCCTATGCAAGCGGTACATGGGTGAAAGATGTCTGCACAGTCCGCCCGAGTCGTAACATATTGCAGTGTCTGGAAACTGGGCATCGGCCATCAGGCAGCCATCCCCCTTGCCATGTTCATCGACCCTGACTTTTAGCAGGCGATACTTCCATCCACTGAGTAGACTGCGCCGGTGATAGAGCTCGCTTCGTCACTGAGAAGAAATGCAATGAGATTGATAGGCTCTTCTAGTTGTTCCAATTGTCTGGGAGCCATGCTTTTATGACTGGTGGTGACAGGATCTCCGGATTCTGTTCCTCCGTCTTCCTCTAGAAGTCTTTCGGTCAAGGCGGTGCGGATCGGGCTCCTACCATCACCTCAATCAGCACAGGGTCCCAGAAATCGGAGTCAGTGTCACATCCGAGAGTCACATAAACAGCACAAATCACTTACGGGGCAACCGCATTAACCCTGATTCCATGTGGTCCGACATCTTTGGCCACCGTTCTAGTCAGGCCAATGACTCCATGCTTACTCGCCGAATAGGCCGAGATGCCATTTCTTCCCACGACGCCCGCAAGGCTGGAAACATTGACTATGGAAGCGCCTTCTTTTACGACGCGCAGCTGTGCCCGAACGCAGTACATGAGACCGGTCAAATTAATGGATAGAATGTAGTCCCACTCCTCGTCCGTGGTGTCGACAAGGTCTGAAGGCAAGTATGTCTTGCCCTCCATAGAAGCCAGGTTTGCTGCTCCGTCGAGTCGACCAAACCTCTGCACAGTTGACTCGATCCAATCTTCAACCGCTTGACTCGACGAGACGTCGACCTTTATGCCTATAACCTCGGCCCCAGTCTTGCTGATTTCCGACACCACCTTCTTCAAGCTTTCACCTTGCACGTCCGCCAACGACAACTTGGCACCGAATGAAGCGCAGATAAATGACAACTCCTTCCCAATCCCAGACGCGGCCCCTGTGATTGCGATGACTTTCCCTTGTAAGCTTCCCATCTCAACCACGGTTTGAACTAGGAGGAACACTGCTGTTCTCAAGCTTGCGTTGGTCCAACGCAGGGCTGACAGGGTGTATACTGTGGCCTGGGTTAGGGACAGGCGAGTGTCGCGACATTCAATGTCGGAAGAAATGATATGTGAGCATCCAGAGTGAGTACATACTGTAAGGCAAGGAGCGGCACGGAGATTCCACCCACGACAAAATTCGGCCGACCCGAAAACTTCGGCACCGAGAGGTAGCCGGCCTGGGATGCAAGATTCAATTGCTGGTGAGGTCTGCCAATGCCAAAAGATCGGAAATTGGACGAAGCCTATACCTCGTGCTTGAAGATCAAATAGCTGTTTGTATGCGCTGTCGCATTAATGAATGGTAGGGAAAGCTTCGACCTGTCCTCGTGCAAAAGAAGCCTCTTTTGGCCTGCCAAACCCGTTCACCTTGTGACACCACCGCGGAGGTGGGCCCCCGGATTGAGCGACTCTCTCTGGACACCATCCTGCAAGCCTGGACGCTGACTTTGGGTCCAGGCTTGCCCAGTCTTGCCCAGCCTTTGTCGTCCTTCTGTGGGTCTTAGTCGTGGCGAACATCTACTGAGGGTTTACCCAACTCCCACCCACATCGTCTCTCCTTCACAACACTACTGAGCAGGGCCTCTGATCTCGACATCCCACCATGAGGACCCTATATACAGTGGAACATCCACGAGCAGTGGGAAATGAAGACGACCAAGCGTCTGCATTTCTTTCTGAGGGTCCTGGACCTCGAAAAAGAGGGAGAGCTTGCATTTCTTGCCATGAGCGCAATCTCAAGAGCAACGCCTCAGGCCTGGGATTTCCTTGCACACGCTGCATAAACACCGGCAGAACAGCAAATTGTACCCCATTTCCCGAAAGACCCAGATTGTACGCCAAAATATCTTCCGCAAACCTCGCAGGACCTTCCCCTCTGACGCGTAGATTAGCTTGAGACGTGGGCGAAAGAACTTAGGCTCAGGACGCTTAGATTTTGGAGTTGAAAGACAAGCTCAGATCTTGCACTCAGACAGTCAGACAGGCGACCCAGTGCGTGGTTGTCCAGCATGTATGCATTCGTGTTTTTTGGGATCTAATCCGACTTTTAGGAGCCCTTGGCCGACGTGAACCCTTCCACCCACGACCCACAAGATATGTTTGACTTTGCAAAGAATTTTTCGGCAGAAGACAACAGCCATGGCACAAGGACCGGTAAGCCTCTTCAATCCCCTTCTCCTTCTTTCCGGCTGTCACTTTTGCCGTCACTGACCAGGTATGGCGAGGCAAAAGCAACGAACGGACCGTGCGTAGCCGTGGAAGAAGAAGATGCTCATCTGCAGATGTATCGTGAGATTTTCCAATGGCCTGTTGATGTCGTATCGCCTACGCGATTGGCACAGCGCGAAACTGGACGAGAGGTAATCGAGCTGCTGGAAGGCCAGCATTCGATCGCAATTCTAGGCGAGGCGTTCGGACACAATCAGCAAGGGCGACTCGTACGCATCGTCCTCAAAGACCCCGGTGGCCCTGGTGATCAGCCACGCAATCATCCTCAGTTGGATGCAATTGATTATCGGTACCTTCAGCAGAAAAGTGCTTTCAATCTGCCTCCACGCGAGGCACGGTAGGCAGAGTCTCCCCTCCCCTCTCCCGTCGGTCTCGTCCATGGAGCACCCCGAACCACAGAAGCCGAGCTAATCACGTAGCAGCGACCAATTGGTTCGCTTGTATTTCGAGCACGTCTATCCGTACACGCCCGTCCTTGATCGGGAGGATTTCATGCGAGAGTACGACGCCGATCGAAGCTCACACTTTGTCTTATCGGCAATGCTGGCGAATGCCATGCCCTATGCGTCTGACCAGCTATTGATCCAAGCTGGATTCTCACATCGCTTAACTGCGCAAAAGTCATTCCGATCTAATGCTCAATTACTATATAACTTTTGCGCCGAGAGGAGACCGCTCCGTTTACTACAAGGGTCCTTGATCCTGAGCTGCCTGAGTCCGTCATTCTCGCCAGATCGGGACTTTCGCTACTGGCTCACGAATGCGGTTCGCCTGGCAATCCAGATGGGCTTCCACCGAGAACATGTTTTGAAAGCTGTGGCTCCGTCCACAGCAAGGCTGATACGCCGGATCTGGTGGACCCTCTATAACAGAGATGTTCTCTTGAACGCCTCAGGTCACTATACCGTCCGAAAAATTCGTGACTACGATTTTGATACAAAGGGCTTGACGGAAGATGACTGGGAACAAGGCTTCCCCGAACCGACACACCCTCTCTTGCCTGATGTCAGTCGCATACAGAAGCTTTGCTTTCTCGAGACTTGCAAGTTATCGGTGATGAGTATGTATTTCTCCGGCCACTTGGGATAGCAACAGCAGCTAACTTTCAATTCTTCAGGTGCAAAGTTCATTCAAACCTTTCGGACGGCAGGCGTAACACCTTCGCAGGACGCCTGCACGAGGGTGGAAGATGCGCTGATGGATTGGCGGTGGTCCCTCCCAAACGAACTTCATCTTGAGGTCGTCCGCAAGTGGACTACCGAGAACATGTGGATCATGTTACTGAAGGTGTTCAGCTACCGACTCGAATGCTTGCTCTACCGTGCGTTGCGCCAGCGGTACAAGGCTTGCAACGAGGAGGACAAGGCAGCGGAAGCCGCTCGCAAGCAACAAAACGCCTTATTCGAGGTGGACACTGTCATTCAACGGGTATTCCAGAATGGAATCGCCAACTGGTTCCCGTTGTCGCTGTAAGCTTTTGTTATCTGCAGTCTCCGGTCTCTCAAGCCACCCTGCTAATGGTTCATCTAGAACAACCTCTGTCTCTTCGATACTGGCATTGAACATTGAAAGCGCTCTCGAACAAGGAATCGGCCCGGCGCAGGAATTCATGATCAAAGCTCGCATCCAGACGGGACTGGCATGTATGCGCGAAACCTGGGAGTACTGGGGGGCGGTGAAGTGGACTCTCCGTATGTTCGAAGCGGTCGTCGAGCAGGCAGGACTTGAACCCAATTCGACCGCCAGGCTATGCCAGAGACATACTCCGCGAATGCCACCGACCGTCTCAGAACCCCTCAATTTCAAATCTCAGCTGCTGAGCCACATGACTTGTTCGACTTCGAGGTCGATGACCTGTGGGGCTCTCTGGTGTCGAGAGACGACGGATGGGTCCAAGACTTTATGGGTTCAAATACCTTCGGGAATGAGACGCGCCCGCCTCCGGCACAGTAGCTGAGGCTTACGCAGACTCTGGATGCTTATCTTGCAAATTGATCAGTCCCAATGCTCGCCGCGGTTACCTGACTGCATGCTCTGAGGGGGGCATGTGCTGAGCTCGAGCGGTTATGAAATTGACAAACGATGCAACGACGTTCTGAAGTTTGGAGCCCGTGGCCAAAGGCTAAGAAGTTTTCGTGGTAGAAGTACCTGGTCAATCGACCTCACTTTGTGCTGAACAGTCACAAGGCATGATGCTGACTTGAGCTTGGAGAACGACGACTGTGCGTGGATTCTGTACAGGAGTAATCTTCGACCTAAACGTTCGATCAATTCCCGTTAGCCTGGTCGAAGTGTACATTCGGCATCTTTGAAGTCGCACAAAAATCACTGATCTTAGACGTGGGTGGACTTTGTAAGTGGTCGGCTATCGGCCGTCGAGATCAAATCCTCGGTTTACAGTCGTAGTAAACTACCCAGATGCCGTTGTTGTACCACCCCATCGGCTCCAGCACACCGAGGAACGTCCTGTGCTCGCCGGCTCGGAGATTTCGTGGGAAAGACTGCCGCAATCGGCCGTGACTTGAGTTCTTTGCATGTGGTTGACTCGGCCTGGGAGAACCGACACAACGTTTGTTGGCCGCGTGGGTCCGGACTTCCCCCCTCCGCAACAAGGTGTTGCAGAACATGCCGGGAGAGAGGGCGTGTGTCGACTCTCATCCTGAGAAAGAAGAAGTCTTGTTGGATGACGAAGTGTTTAGTGTCACCGTTGGTCTATCTGCGTATCTGATACACACGATAACTCGCTATCCATGCTCTAATTTCAGTGGTGAATGGTTTTCCACGTCATCCTCTAAGCCCCAACGATAATTGAAACTCTTTTACTGTCTCCGACCTTCGATGGAGATGGAGATGGGAACGGCTTGTTGCACTCAGATTTTCCTGCCTGTGACTGTGTGAGGGTCTCACACGTCTTGCTGAGCGACCTTTTCTGGACTGTTACTCTTGATGTCCTTACTTGACGACCTTGCGGTGCCTTCCAGGCTCGCCGTCTTCTTAGATTTGTCTCTGATATCCTTCCATTCGATACCAAACGCGAGGATGAATCCTAAAATGGTCGCTGCCATGGAAGCATACTGTTGGGGAATGACCTCAAGATGTCAGCCTCGTAGTAACACAAAAAGTAGCCGACCATTCTGCGGCGGTGGATGGGGAGCTCCTTACAAACACAGCAGTGATTGCCTTGTTATAAGACCACAGGACCGAGTCTAGCTTCTCAGGAAAGCTGGCCTCCGTCACCTTCCGGGCATGGCCAGTCCCGGCATTCAGTAGTAGTTGCATCTGGCCGCTCCTGAGACCTGCATGGTGCTTGAGAGATTTCACCAGCTGATTCTGGAAGATTGCTAATCCAATGCTCTGGAACACTGAACCTCCAAAATACTGGAAGAACGCTGCGGTGGATAAGCCAACAGGAATCAGCCGTGGAGAGGAGGCCAGGCACGCTTGGACCGAGAGAAGCGGTGCCTGCATCGCCGTGCCTCCAATTCCTTGGAAAACTATGTACGTGATCCACTTTGCATGTGGAGTTGACGTGGTGAGGGTAGTGTAGAGCCCTGCGGCGATGGCCATGAATCCAATGCCGATGAAAAACCAGGGGTTGTAGTAGCCCGTGCGATTGACTGGGCCACGGATGTCAGTGTATTTCTCCTTTTGGTCAAACCTCCAGTGACCTTTCGGTTGTACTTACTGATCAGACCCGCCGAGATCGAAGCAACAATTTGCGTACATACCATGGGTAGTGTCATGACACCACTGTGAAGTGGACTGGCACCTTTGATGATCTGAAACCACTCGGGTATGTAGTAGTTGTTGAGGAGGTACCCACCAAACATCAAGGTACTGAACAGACAGCTGAGGAGGATTGAGCGCTGGAAAAGGATCGAGAAAGGAATCATGGCTTTGTCACCTTGACGGTATTCCCAGACGAGGAATATGGTGGCGAGGACAGCAGAGCCGCAGAACAGTCCTATCACCGTGGCCGACTTCCACGGATATTTTTGACCACCCCATTGTAATGCCAAAAGGGTCATGACAATCGTTGGTATGAATATTAAGCATCCGATGGTATCAATCTGCCGTACCTTCTGCATCAGAGGTTTCTTATCCGAGTCTCTTTCGGGCGGTCTGAAGAGCAACGCCAGTGCGACTAATGTTACTGCACCAACGGGAAGGTTGATGTAAAAGCACCATCTCCAGGATACCGACGTTGTTAATGCACCTCCTATGATTGGACCAGTGATGGTAGCTACCCCAAACAGAGAACCTAGTGCAGATGTATAGAGCGGCCGCTTGGAGAGAGGTGCCACGACGGCGAGGATGGAGAGGCCCCCAGAGAAAATTCCAGCCGCTCCGGCACCAGAGACCGCTCTGCCAAGGATAAACATCTGAGGGACGTCAGTACATGAGACTTGTGACCAAACCGATGGAATCAGCGCTCACCGGAGAACTAACAGCTGCCCCACAAAGCGTGGAGCCGAGAAGGAAAATGCCAGTGAAGACGAAAAAGGTCCATTTCAGCGAAAAGTTTGTGTACATTTTCCCGGCCATGGGCTGCAACGAACACATGCACAGAGGGTAGGCAGCTCCATACCAGCCAATATCTGTGGTAGAGTTGAATCGTGCTGTGATATAAGGGATGGCCTGCGATGAGAAGTTAGCTATCGTGGAGCTTTCAGGTGAGATGAGACTGGGAGTGACCGTACAGTGGCCACTACCGATATATCAAGAGCGAATAGATAGATAGCAAAGCCTATCCCTGCGATGACAAGATAAAGCCTCGAGCCGGTCAAATAGTGATCAGTCTCTGTATTTGTGGTTTTGGTAGTCACTCGACTCGTTTCGACTGTGGCGACGTCGTCAGTGCTTGATTCTGCCATTGAGATCTGCGGCCGTTGCTTGTTGCGCCAGAACATGGCTTTGAGCTGCATTTCCTGAAGGGAAACGGGTAGGCAAGGAGATACGAAATGAACTCGCAACGAGAAACCCTAGAGCTTTTGAAAAGGACGAGGACTTGTTGTTGAAACAGAGAAAGGTAAGTGAAGGCGAAGCAGAGAATATAAACACTTCATCTGTTGATGGAACCAGGATCATAGTGGACTTTCGCACGTAAATGGAAACGCGTCAAGGGAGAATCATCCTTATTTTGCGAGAGCCACAAACCACCGGAGTCATTTCCAGGTGTCATTGAAGGGCACGGGAACGGCATGATGGTTGTCTGAAAAGTGTAGCCGGGGTGATATAATAGAGAGACTGTTACGGAGAGTGAATGCCCGTTCGCAGGATGCTGATCGGAAGACATACTAAGGTATCGGCGGACGGGTTAAAGAGCCCGGTGATTTTTCCAAAAGGGGAATGTTGAGCGAAGTGAGACCCATAAATCGGGAAGTGGTCGAATTACACGATTGGTCTCCGTATAAGAGCGGGAATTTTTGCATCCCGTTCCCGCTCGCAAGACGGGGACATATCTTCCTATCTTCACCTCGTAGTACGAGGACCTGGACACACTTCGTCGCCCTGCACTCTCCGTGGGCGAGTTTCAACTCGCTCTTTGTCATGAGCGAATCGGAAAACGCTCGGTTGAAGCGACGGGCGTGTACGCGGTGCGCAAAAGCCAAAGCGAAATGTTGCTTCAGTGCTGCGCAGAGTGGCTGCGACCGCTGCAGAAGGCTGAGGCGTGATTGTGTTCTCGAGGAAGCAGTGAGAAGCCAGAAAGAAAAGCGGTCCACGTATGTTCCATTCCTACTCAGATGACACATGATCCTTCCCACTTTGAGCCGCGAGGGTATTTCCGTTCTTTTGATTCCGTGGCTTTCATTATTGTGTGGCATACACTGCAACGTGGATTGGAGCGACACCTCATGATGCAAACTTTTTTCGAGGATCCGGCCACTGTCTGCTATAATATTGTCTCGATCTGTGATAGAGAGCGGGCTGGGTTCCGTGAAAAACATTCCTCTTTGATTGAACGTTCTTGAAATCGTTGAAGTATTTCCTCTGACTGAGTGACAGAAGACTGAAATCTCTGGAGGAGAAAGTCAACAGCCTCACCGCGTTACTCAGCTCCCGACAACACGATACTCAAAACACGACTGCGGTTCTATCACCACCACCGACTGTGGTTGACAATACCCAAACACCGGTCCTGGAACCGCCGCGATGTGCCACAGCCTTCCAGGACGGATACTCGCATTTCGACGTCGTTGACAAGGGCCTGCTGACACAGGGAATGGCCGATACCCTCTTAAAGACTTTCAAAGCATACCCATTCCAAATACTTGCCATTTGTCATAATCGATCCACAGATTGATACAACTTCTTTACGCAGAACCTCTCCAAATTTGTTCCTGGCCATAGCCACAACATGTATCAGAGACGACACTGTACTTCAAAGGAGACTCGGGGTCGAGTTTAAAAGGATTCTTTGTGAGCGAGTGCTGGTGAATAATGAACGAAGCATTGAACTCTTGCAAGCACTGCTTGTATACCTTACCTGGGTTCATTTTCAGTTCAATCCGATAATCAAGCAGACAACCATGCTCCTTCATATGGTGCTCGGGCTCGTCACAGACCTTGACCTTGACAGGTGTCCTGCACATCGGGATCAGACAATCGGAAGCTACGCTTGTAGTAAGTCCACTCCGGACGGAACGCTGCCGCCCCAATGCAGAAGGACTACAACTGAAATGCGTACACTTCTGGGCTGCTTCTATCTTTCTTCAACGTGAGTTTCATTTTTCTGCATACTCTTGGACGATGCTTATGATATGAAGAATGGCCATGACTCGCAAAGAACTAGCCATGAAATACACCGGCTGGATCGACCACTGTTGTCAATCCCTCCATGAAAAGCATGAATTTCCCTCGGACATCTCTCTGATAGTCTTGGTCGAAGCTAAATGTTTAGCGCGACGCATCAGTGAGAAATTCTCGTATCAAGATCACACCTTCATTCGAAGTCAGAGCGACATGGTGATTCAGATGTCCATAAACAGTTTCAAAAAGAAGGTAGCTGAACTTGAAGCAAAGTGTGTCTCAGCTCTTCAGGAAAATTGTAAGTGCAAATGAGCTGTGATTTGTTCTGCGCGCTTGCCAGGGCCTAGACACATCAACAGAGGACGTCATGCTAATTGAACTGTCAAGATGCCCTAATAGCGGAGCTGAAAGCGTTGCGCATAACGGTCCACGAGGTGGCATTGTATCGTGACCCTGCGATCGTAGCCGAGTCTACTGGCCACACATTCCATCTCTGGAACCTCTTGAGCTCATCCCGTGAATTCTTGAAGTATCTCTTCAGCCTGCCAAAAGATGTTCTGAGGGACCTACCTGCCGGGTGTTTCACGCTATTCTCGTACGCGCTTATTGTGCTCCTGATAGTTGTCCGCCTGCCATCAACGACAGGCTGGGACAGCTCGATCGCGAAACAAGAAGCAGATTTCATCGGCCTCATACAACGGGCTCAAAAGACATTCGGGGATGAGCTCACGCAAACCGGAGATGCCGTGAGTTTGGAGCACAGAGACGTCTGGGCATTCTTCTCTCGGGGCACGGGGGGTTTGATGGGGTGGCATCAAAAGTCGGGACTTCAGAGCGAGGGCGGCATAGATTTTCATGTCCCGATGAGCTCTACAATCGCCCCATGTATGATAAGATGCTCGGTATCTGACCTGATGACTGCTTTCAGTGCGCTGAGGATCAGGAAACCTAACGAGTCAGTCAGCTTTGGTGGCCAGCCACAACTGACGACCGGAGCCGGAGGACCACAAATCCAGCCCGAGACAGCAATCGATCTCTGGAGTGACGAGACGTGGCAATCAATCCTGGATGAGTTCTTCATGTTCCCTACAGCGGCAGGGTTTCCAGCTTGAGCGCAAGGAAAAGGTGTTGGGCTACGTTGGAGGGCGATAGGTATTACGCATTCCTGGGCCACCTAAACAATCCGCACGAGGCTATACTTATCACTGGAGTACTATAACGTCGATAAGGAAAGGCAAGGAAATGCAGCCTTAATGGCTGCTACAATTGAATGTTGTGATTTCTTTATTGGTGGTGGCCGTCTCTGAAGGGAGAGAAAAGAGACGGAGTCTATGGAAGTAAAGCAAGTAAAAGACAACAAGCCAATGGGGCAGGGTCACCCTCCATCTTTGGTATTTCAACCGAGGCAACCACGTAACAACCCTGCCCCTAGCTGTACAAATTGGCTGTCCTCAATCGAAATAGAAAATCACCCTTGTTAATCCCCGAGTTTGAATGCATCATGTCCTTTGACCATGATTACCATTGTGTTTCCTGTGTTGGATCGTCCTGGACACCTGTTGATTGTTCTCCAGGACCTACATCATCCCAACCCTGTTTCGCATCGTTTCCTTTCTCCATTTCACCTGCGATCACTTCTTCAAAATCAATCATGTCTGGCTGGTAGAACTCGGAGTCTCTCAACCATTTCAGATCCTTTCTTCCAGCAAACGGCTCCTTCGCGACTTGAACGTCGTCTTTGTTCTCTCCAAGGGCACGAGTGAAAGCATGAGGCACGGCCACACGCGTCGTGTAGAGTAACGCTCATCGATCAACCATCCAGATGTTGAGGTATCCGGCTCGATTGTTTATAGCCACATTCCGATTCAGATAACATAAAAAGCCTGCTGTTTTTCCGAGTGTAACGTCGACGACGACGACGACAACATCGAATTCCCAGCCCTGGGGCGATGTTGAGCCCAGCGCAGGCCATTTCGGGGTTATATTTGGATCCAGTACGCACCACTTAATAAATCTCCGTATCTACGACATTGAACGTGATGGCATGTCGAGTGAATCCTAAAGTTTCTCGATTGAAAGTGTTCAATAGCTTCATAATTAGGCGATTTTTGGGCTGAACCGATTCTTGCACGATCAATCGTCCATAGTATGCAACCTCATTAAGTATCTCAGGGTCCATTCGATACTAAATGGTAAGCATGACCGCTGGTGTGCCATTGGCGGTCAAGCAAGCTTGTAGAGGTACAGCGGTTTGTCTTGCCCGAGAGTCCTGATCAAGTACTATTGGTGCCAACTGATTGGGATCGCCACAAAGAGCCTTTCCAGGTGCATTTGGGTAACATCCCACAAGGGCGACGGTGTCGATTTCGCAAATGCGGGAAGCCTCGTCCACAATGATCATGTCGACTTTGTCATCCAAGGTTTCCGATATTTTAGCCTGCACAGGTAAACTTGGTGTGGTGACCACCGCGATTGCTCGGATCAAAACATGTCCTCGTGCCGCAGTCAGTTCAGCTTTGAGGTTGATCTTGTTACCCTCTTCCATCTCGGAATTTTTAAAGATCGACCAGGTCTTTGGATTTCTCTTTATCTGGCACAGAAGATCCCACCCCTCAACTGGTTGAAGACTAATCAGCTGCATATTACGGTGGTCCACTGACCACTTCAGGGTATCGGCAGTAACTCGAGAGTCCGGAATAAGTGGTCTGTTCGACTTATGTTGATGCTGATATGCCAGGAGGTTTTCCAAGTGGGAATGAAATCATAGCTCTGTGCATTGCTATTCTGGATTCAAAAGATCTCTTGGAAGCCGCCATAGCCGTGATTCGGTGCTTAAATATATATATACGCTGGTCACAAGAAATTCGGATGCATGCCTAAATTGACCCAAACTCCTGCATCTTCTTGACATTTGTGGGTAAGACAGTTCGATCCTTGAGTCTGATCGATTCGATGTCTCCAAAAGTTTGTTTGTCTTCCTTAATCCACTGTCGCGGCATGTGCAATGGGAGCATTAAGCCTGGCAAACCAACAATAGGTGGCGTGACTGTAGCATGGAAGAACGCCATAACTTTATCAATCGTTCCCGGATTTCGTCGAATCACTTTAGCGTCGTACACATGAACAACGCTGTCCGGGGCAAGCCGCAAATTTTCATCCTTGGGCATCTCGAATAGTGCCAGAAAGATACGATCGTCACCCATAGCCATTCCACATAAGTAAAGAGGGTATGCGTTCGCTTCCCAGGGAGAAATGGTCTCAGCGACGTGTTCTTCTTACGTCGCACCGATACGAAGAGTAATTAGGTACTCCAGGTAATTGAAGGGGTATTTGGTCTTGGACAACAAATTCGGACGTTTCTCTTGCAACGAACTGGCCCTTCTGGATGACAAACGTATGAACATCTTCCTTGAACCATTTCGTCAAGGGAACTTGCTGTTTGTCGTACGCAAACTGCGTCAGGAGGGACTTGAATGCGGCCAAGGCGCTTTCCGCCCACAAAGATGTATCCACAATGGTCTTTCAGTATTCAGCGAGTTTTCGGACTGTTACATCGGGCTCGGGTACCAATACGGCCTCCGCAGATGCGATCGAACTTGTATTCCAATCGCAACAGGTAACGTTCGTTGCCTGGAAGCTTGTCCGAATGCTCCTTGTAGCCATTGTATTTCACGACAGATATCTTTGCCACTGCAGCGGCCGAGAATCTGATGATTCCACGATATCGAGCGATGTTCAGATTCGAGAAGTCTTTATCTGCGACGACCACGAGGATATGTGGAATGTGATATTCTACGAATAACGAAACAATAGTCATAGAGCCCGTGTATAGCGATTCCCAGGTGTTGGACATAATTTGGGCATTGTAGGAGATATCGTTGCTTGCTGCGACAATGGTGTCGAAACGATCCATGGCGAAAGTGCCATGGCCTGATCAAGGGACATGTACGGAGTCATGTCAAAAGACTGTACCAATCTTAACGTCTCTTCGTGTTGCTCCTTCTCACGAACGGCCTGTTCCTTGGGTGTTTCTTCCTTTTCAGGCCCCTTCTGACCCATGACCTTCGGCTTTGGAAAACGTTTACTCGGGTTCGGAGCTGCGCATCGGGATAATCGTCCAGCACGCTTGCGACGATGTTCATCCCAGATAGCTGCACTCTCCTCAGGTGTCTTGAGTTCATGGACAGAAGCTTCAGCTTCCACAACAGTGTGTCTTGCTTCTAAACCATAAGTAACCATTTTTTCCAAGGTCATGTCCGATCTTGGAAGGAGCCGTTTCTTCATGGCCTGAAGCTCGTCGATCTGTGCAATGTTTTCAACAGTTTGGAATTAGGTGTCTGGGTATTTTCTTGCCCATTAATTCCCCAACCGGACTGCGCGGTGGAAGGTTGTTCAGCATCATCGCTCCAAGTTTGGTCGACCGAGGACTCGACGGCGGCTCGGTCAGCAGGGGTTCCGCGACTCACACCTTCGACGTCAGAATGATCAGCCGGTTGTCAACTGATTGAACGGTAGATTGTTCAACTGGTTCATTGACCGATAGTGGAGTTTCTTCCCCATTCCGTTCGGCCTCTGACGATTGCGTAGCAGATTGCTCCAACTGTGCATCGAAGTTTGATTTTCAACCAAAGCTTGCACGGGAGACGATTCATTCATTGGAGTTTGAATGCTAAGTAAAGGCTTCCACGACCAGGTAGATTCGACACCAGGAAGGGAGTCAAAAGAGTCGCCCATGCTTGGAAAGTATCCACTCAAATTGTCGGCGACCTCCTTCTCTTTGCACTTTTCTTCCCTGCCATCTGCAGTATCGTCGTCGGAAGAGCTGATCTCAGCCTGCAAAGACGGGGATTGGAGCTTGAAATTTATGAACGAAACGGATTGAAATATCTCATGGAGCTGATTAGAGGCAACTCAGACTTGGTCTGAAAAGCGAGAGGATCGGGCGGAAGATGAGTGCGGGATGAGGATGGACCAGCAACAAAATTGTTAGATTCGTCACTGTCATACGAAAAGTGAGGATCCACAGTCTTCAGAGCCTTCTGTCATTGCTCTATCCCATCGGCGAGAAGGGCCAGTGCATGCTCGGAAAGGGTTTGGTCGAGGTGTTCATAGAGAAGCTGCATCGTATCGAGTCCCAACTTTTCTGACCTTTCAATGAACTGGTCGAGATTTTGTATCCTCACGCTTTTAGTCCGAGCTACGCGAACTCCAAATGTGAGGATAGAAAGTTTTGATCGGTTTGAAAAAAAGAAAAAGAATGAGAGTCAATGGGAGTTAAGTAATCTTTATAGAAATTGATAGCGATTGATGAGGAGTGACAAGTGAAAACTCTGAGACATCATAACTATTCAAAATTCAGATTGTTCACTGAAGCAGTCAATATAGGTGAAAATCCTGAGACACTGTAAACGATTAGATTTCGAATTGAATGTTGAGACAATGACCATAATCAGATTTCAAATTGCGTGCTGAGGCGGTGAGTCAAGGTGAAGGAGAATCCTGTCCCTTTGACTCATATTTTATTTACTTCTCACAGACTCTTTCACTTCTTTTCCTCTGAACAGAGACGGCCACAACACAATCAGTTGCACAAGGTTCTGTTATTTGACAAGCCTTTCTGGCTTTTAAACTTCTTTGCCTCTTTCGTTGTACGTGGGTTACAGAATTAATAGTGACTCTCCTTTAACTGCAATAGGACATAATTAAAGTTGATGAAAATCTGATGAAAACTAATGGACTAATGATGATGGTTATGGGTATAAGAGGTGAAGATTGAAAGGTGAGAGTCAAAGTACAAGAGTTAAATTTTATTAAGAGCATTAACACGCATCCAAAAATTTTCTATTAGCACTTCAGTTCACTAAGATTCTTCACTTCACTTTGGAAGTTTTATCTTACTTTCCTTGAAAAGGTGACGAGCTTATGTCGAAGCTTAAGGTTGAGATCTTGATTGCAGTCATTCAAGGATGCTGCTGCAAGAAAGGACACCCAATCTGGATCCCGCCCGAAGTACGCCCAAGTACAACAAGATCTGCGGGCCAGGGTTCATGAAGAGGAAAGATTATGAGCGAATTGAGATGCCATCGCTGAAACTTATTAATTGAAGGTGAACTGTACACCAATCTGAAGTCGATAGTCGTTAACTGTTAGACAGTTGGAGGCCATACCCAGGACCATGATAAGGATAGCTGGAGAAATGATCCGCAGAAGTTCGTGCGAAGAGTTATGTTGTCCGCCATCTCCTAAGGTTGGTGAATGATGCCTAGCTCCATATGATGCTCACGTTAAGCTTGCAACATTGGAGTGGTCAATATATGCTCCGATAGAGGTGCCATGATTGACTGACTGTCATAGTTCAATGCCTAAGGTGAGAAAGATAAATGGTAATCATATTGAAGGCAAGGGTAGATACGATATCTGCCAAACGAGTTCAACTTGTGATCTTGCTCTTGACATAACAAAGATACTTACTTGCGTAAAGTAGCATCATAACTCTCATTTGACCAATTTATCGCTCAGATGGGAGAAAGAGTGGGTGAGACGCATGAGAATTAATGTCCTATCATGATGTGTTTCTTGTCCTACTCGATAATTACTTGTGAATATTGACAAGCGGTCACCAAAATTGCTTAACTTCTTTGACAAGCCAAAAAGAAGAGTTCAAACCTCAAATGCCAAGCGACACAGAGGTACCGATAGAGCTGGTTGTCAAACCCAGAACTGCAGAGATTGGTAACGGCACAGATCCAAGTTAAGATTGAATTGGGCGATGGGTAACACGCACACCCACCTCTGCAATACGCACAAGGCTATCTACTAGGTACAGATCACTCCTGTAACACCCCAACCTGTTGTGTCATCCGCTATAGGAGACTACCTACTCAGTAGTTCTGTCGTTATTACTGTCCTTATTAGTGTCACAGTACTGGTCATTTTCACGGTCCATAAGACTTGCCAGCCTAAATAGGTCTAATGCTCAGTCTCCGCAGTAGTGCAAAGTCTTGGCACTAACACAAAGATGAGCAGACTTGTGCTTTGGATATGATCCAAGCTTCCAACTAATCTCTACAGAAAAAGGCCCTAGAACAAAATGAAAAAAAGAAACAAAGGCCTTGCATCAGCCGTGAATCGAACACGGGGCCCATCGAATTTAAGGCTCGAAGAGATCCTCTGGCAACGATGGATCTTCATACAGGTTAGAATTTTTGTTTTATGATCAGAAGATGTTTTGGAGAACTCACTTTACCACTAAACCACTGATGCTGGTGATTGTTGAAAGGGAATGCAGATTTTAATCTTATATCACTAAATTTTATGTGGGGAAAATAATCTTCTCAGACTATTTAGGGTTAGTTTATAGCTTAGCGATCTCATGACAGTAGACTTCGTACATTCATGAGAACGCTCCTATAAAGAAACCCTTTTCGTCATTGCTAAGTTCATTAAAGGGTATAAGTACAATATTGACATAGTCTTATTGTAGAAGCATCGTGCTCCTAGACTAGCGACATGACTTTTTCGGTAAGGAATACAATATAACGAGACATCAGTTCTTAAATGTCTTCAATAACTAACGACGCCGTACTGATTAGCTGACTTTCTAGCGTCTCACTAGGGATAAATTTCTATGTTTTTTAGAGATTGATGAGTGTAGTCGCTAGGGAAGTGAAGAACTTTCACCCAAAATCGACTTAGCAAGTTAGCACCCAAATCAGTTATACTAAGTTAGATGTCTTTACGAAGCGAGAGCATGTAACTAAGAAAGTCAATAGAGAGAGAGATGAAGAGAGAGGAAGAGAGAAACTCAATCCCGAAAGTTCATTGATACTTTGACTTTTATAAGAGTAACTTATCGAATCATTTGACGGTACAATTTAGACGCTTCGGTTATTGTCTTTAAGTTTCACTTAATGGAATATAGCATAAATAGGAATATCATTATATAGAGATATAGGACATATAACTACTCGAGTACATCGCGCTGCCATTAGGAAGTGTTAATACGTCTTCTTGGAAGGTAACTAAGTAACCGAATCGGAATGAGGCGTTTAGCACGTATTTCAAGTTTGTGAACTTATTCCAATACATACTATGACAGCAGTAGACACTATAGTAATATTCACACACATGATTTGCGTTAATGCTTTCGTTCTCCGTTGGTTCAACGAGGCTTGATGGCCCCTTTTGAAAGGGTGATGCTTGGCGACCCAATTAAGTAATGGGAAGTATTGCTTACTTGATGCCTCTCGAGGCACCGCCATCTTTATTTTGTTATCCTGGACATGGCGAACGACCTATCTCGATACAAAGTATTGAATCACACACATACATAAGCTCTATTTGTCATTGAAATTGTCTCTACTACGTAATGCCTTAGTGACAGCGACCATCGGTGAGTCAACAGTAGTGAACTTGTCTCATATATTTCGAAGCCTCCTTGTCTCCACCAAATTATATTTCCGCTTGTACTCAGCGCGCAAATTCTTCACATTTCCCACAACGCAACATAACACGACAGGGTGGACATTCGCAATCCATCTAGGTCTAAATCAATAGGAATAGCGTCCTTCATACCGGTAAGGTTCTCAAAAAAATTCAATGGACGGGACACCATACCTGTGAGAAAGTGGAACCCCGGTATCTTTGCGTGATGAGGGTGTGCTCTTTAAGGTCCTCACTTTTTGCGAGGCTCGATAAGGTACAAACGCAATCCGAATGCACCCCTGACTGCCACGTTCTTCTCTTATTTTCCATCTCGCCTCGTCTCGGCTTCTTGCATATAAGATTGTACGATTTCTTATCTCGATCTGCAATACAAAAGACCAAAAAAAAGCATACTTGACGAGCTTGGCTATTGCTTGTCTTTCTTACTTGATCCCCTGATACGTAACCTCGAGTCCTTGCCTCCATTTACACATACTCTTCGATTCTTACTGTCAACAGGGAAGATCAAACGACGAGAAGAGAGTCGGAGAAACAACACACAAGAGACACAATGTCCACCGATACCAGTGGAAGCGCGGCATTGGCGTTCAATCCCGAGAACGTCAACCTCTCGACTGCCAACCACAGAGATGTCATCTGTGCACTCGCCGCCTCTGGTAATGATTACAACGGCCAGCTGGGCGCACGTGTGTCTGCGCTCTTTGTCATCCTCATCGTCTCTACGGCCGCGACGTTCTTCCCGGTCATCGCCAAACGGTTCCCCCGTCTACACATCCCGCTGTACGTGTACCTCTTCGCGCGGTACTTTGGTGCCGGTGTCATCGTGGCCACGGCCTTCATCCACCTGCTCGACCCGGCCTATGGCGAGATAGGACCCAACACCTGCGTGGGCATGACGGGCGGCTGGGCGGACTACTCGTGGTGTCCTGCCATTGTGCTGACGAGCGTCGTCGTCATCTTTCTGTGCGACTTTGGCGCTGAGCGCTACGTCGAGGTGAAATATGGCATCGACAGCGACGCAGACGTCCAAGAGGCCGTCACCGGGCAGGCTGACGGACCACCCAACGGTCACGCGGATTCTGCTCAAGACGCACGAACGGGGCAATTCGGCGGTAGTATTTCGAGCATGCGCCGCGAACACGACGAGAGACGCAAGGTCAGTGCGTACGAGAAACGGTTCTTGGAGGATTTCGAAGAGCAGGACAGCGACGGAGAGTCTGAATACCGCAAGAACTCGTTCAGACAACAGATTGCGGCGTTTTTGATCCTCGAGTTCGGCGTCATCTTTCATTCGGTCGTGATTGGGTTGAATCTCGGTGTCGTGGGAGACGAATTCAGCACCTTGTACCCTGTTCTTGTCTTCCATCAGTCCTTTGAAGGTCTGGGTATCGGCGCGAGGATGTCGGCCATACCCTTCCGCCCGGGAAGCTGGTTGCCGTGGGTGTTGTGCGCGGCGTACGGGTTGACAACGCCCATCGCCATTGCCATCGGCCTTGGTGTTCGCACGACGTACAACCCGAACAGTTTCACAGCGAACGTGGTATCCGGTGTGTTGGACTCAATGTCCGCCGGTATCCTAATTTATACTGGGTTGGTGGAGTTGTTGGCCAGAGACTTCTTGTTCAACCCCTTGCGTACAAAGGATCACAAGAGGTTAACATTCATGGTCATTTGTGTGCTGTTGGGGGCTGCACTCATGGCGTTGCTCGGAAAGTGGGCATAAAGCCGATGGCGAATGCCAATGGGATCGCTTGACCCGACAGCAACGAGGAGGCTTGTGTCGACCAGGCTTACGTGGTGTCGTCCACATTTAGGTACTGCACGATAACCCGATTCCTTGGTGACACAGAACAAGCCAGATGCAGGGATTGGGTAAGCGTGGGAGGATTAGAGCAGCAGTATCAACGAGCCATGCTTTTGAAATCTGATCCAGGGAGACGGTCAGTTTACTTCTCGCACCCAGAAAGATTTGACAGTAATAATTAGGCGGAACGGGGAGAGGACACAAGGGGTGGTTCAGCAGAAGATGTGAGTTCTTTTCTTGACCGGATGGTCAACACAATCCATACACACAGTGGAGGTTTTAGATAGATAGGTAGTAGTAAGCAAAAAGTATACAAAAAGGACAGTAGAGTATCATTGAATCTCCTTTGTAAGGACCATGAACTAACTCAGCCTCGGCCGCCCTTCCATAACAGGTACAAGCAGGAAAAGTTCCCTGTCCACCACGCAATTCCGCGGAGCTGACTGTAGAGGTCGTGTGGAATAAAGACGTACACCGCTCCATATACTAGCCTGGTGAGCGTATATGCGGTACACCCCTTTATGAGTGCCGATTCAGGGACGCCGGACACTAGAGCAAAGAGGACTGTTGCATGGATGTCACAATTGTCAATAGATACTCCATAATCCGAGTCTCTTGAAGGCGGCTGAAGGGAAGGAGGAAAGAAGACTCACCCGAGGTAGCGAAAAAAGCAAATCCATCGGTGGAATTTGCACTGGCAGCTTCGATGCGGTAAATGCGGTCGAGCTGGGCCCGAGTCATTTTGCCTTCGCGAATCGCAGCCTCGGCGTACTTGGTCAGATCTTGCCGCGGGCTACCATTGTGGTCGATACCGACGCTTTGCTTCCATGGCCTGCTAGACAGTGCCACGTACGCGAAAGCCCAGTTCCAGGCGAGAAAGCCGGCTGGAATGGCGAAGGAGGTGGCTGGGGAGAGGCCGAGTGGTGTCGACATTGTCGTGAGGTTGTCAATTGAAACAGGTTCTTCCTAGGTGACAATAGAGATAAAGGTGACTACGGATTGAATATTGATGGTTGGTTGGACCTTTTGGATTTCAGTACAAGTCGTGGTCGTATTCGTGTTGATGCTGAATAAGACGCCACCGGAGCTCGGAACGGCCGCTTTTCTTGCCTAAAAGAGAGGAGCTTCAACAGCCTCGCCAGCCTCGACTACTTTGGTCTCCTTGCAACGGCGGAAACGTTTCGATACATGTCGTACTCTCTATGCTTAAGACATTTATACAAAGTACCACGTAACAACCTCCCGGTTCTCACGCGGTGTAGCTGCTGCTTTGGCAACTGACTTGAAACACATGGCTTGTACTGTGTACTGATAGTTGATCAATAATTACATAAGCAAGGCTGTCATCTTGGCACCCCGCTGGCTCTCCAACTCCATCTATCCAGAATTTTGGTCGTCCGACATTGAAAGGGCCACGTCCCGCCAGCGGCGTCCGATTCAAATAAACAGGCTCAACACATGGGTCATGGGGGACATTTCACTCTCCGATTCCCCAGAGGCTCTGGCAGCCCAAATTGCCGCTCTCAAAAGCAGTTCTACCAGTCTGCGTACTGAGGCTCTACGGAAATTGTTGCACGAGATTCAAGGCTCGGGTGCGTTACCTGCAGACCAAAGACATGACTAGACTAATGACGAAGCAGACAACGAAACAACGTCCCCGGACACATTAAAGATACTACCTATACTTCTTGCGACCTACCCGCGTTACGTTGACCGGAAATCCCGTCGCGCAGTTCAGTTATGCCTCCGAGCCTATCTTCGTATCCCGACTTCAGCTGACACTACCTACCCTGCTGTCATCAACTTTTTGCTGCAAGAGAGTCAGAAGTCTGGAATCGCCTCCACAAATGCCTTTGTACTACTGGAATGGGGTTGCATTGCCCAGCAAGAAAGTCTACATAACAAGAAAGCATTCGACTTGTTATTCGGGAAGATATGCGTGGCTTCTGCTCGACTTGTCGACAAATGTGAGGATCAAGATGTCCGCGGTGGAGTACAGCATTCTGCCGTCACAGTGGCCAGAAGAGGATTGCGGGATGTCTTCAAAAATGAAAAGTTCGGAGAGCCAGCTCTCGAGCTCGCTCTCAAGAATGTCGTTTGTGCACCTGATGCGACTGCAAGCTACGCACCATACGTGGGAATCATTGCAGGTGTGAGCTCCCGCATACCGGAACGGCATGCGCAGCTCCAATCCTCGAGCAAGCAGATACTCGACTTCTATGTTAAAACTGTCATTGGCTCCAAAACCCCTGTGCCCGCACACGAAGCTCTGGGAATTCGCGACTTCTTCATGGAATATGTCACACTGAAAGACATGAGCGAAGCAGTGGTACCTGCTATTGAAAAGGCTATACTTCGGTCTCCTGAAGCCATTCTTCAGGGCCCAGTCGAAGCGCTTGCTTCGTATCTCCCCGAGAAGGTAGATATCTCAGATCTCCTTGCATCGAAACTCGTCAAACCTCTCATTTCCGCCATGAATTCTACCAATGCCACCATTCGTGAAGGTGCTGGAAAAGCGTTATTGGCGCTGGTGAGAAGAGGTGGGAATGCTGATGCACTCCACAAAATGGCTGTGGAGCTGTCAGCAGCTCTGAAGTCCTCAAAGGCTGCAAGTTTCGAAATGCGCGGAATTATTTCTGAAGTTCTTGAAATCGTGCCTAGAGAGGTTAAAACTTCACCCGTCATTGCGCAGGCTCTCACAGTTGCGGCGGCTAAGGAAGCGAATGAAGGTGCTCTGAGGAAAGAACTCACAGCAGTTGTTCCCCATCTGCAAGCTATCCTAGCGTTATCGGCAATTGACAAGGCCTTGTCTGAGCCCATCCTGAAAGGTTGCACTGAGAAACGCCTTAATTTTCGCAAATCTTGGCTTCTGTTCATCTCCAATGTGCTCAGGGGACTGGAAAATGCTCCCTCAGATAGCACCTCGCAAGAATTTGTCCACGCAGCCTTAAAGGCATTGAAAGATGTTCATGGGGAGATTGCTCCTAACCCAATGCCTGCAGTCCAAAATGGCTACGTTGCAGCAGCATTCGGCCTACCTGCACTGCTAGACTCGCCACTTCTGCGGACGGACGCGTACAAGTCAAAATCTTACGATGATCTAAGACGACATCTACTCGATACTGAGCCGAAGATTTCACTGTTACTGAATCCCAAGGTCTACATGAGACTCACCTCCATCGAGGAGAATCGCTGGGCTCTAGCTGCTCTTGTTACTGCAGCTTCAGAGCTCGAGAACGCCTCGGGAGACGCAAAGACAGCCTGGGCCAGGGCAATTCTACACTTGTTGCTCACGCCAGAAGTTGACTCCAATGTGCGTAAAGAGACCGCAGCTGCGCTATCAAAAGCGTATCTCGACAAGCCCGCTTCTGTTGGACAAAGCGTCGTGTTGGGTATCTGGGACGTACTCAAATCTCGTTCAACGGATCTAATCATTAAATATGAAGAGGATGTGCCCTTGAGTGATAATCGAATACTTCAAGCTATCAAATGCATATCTCCGACCAAAGACAAGACCCTAGGGCAGAACGTTTCGCGGAGAATCTTGGAACAGCAATCAATATCCACAACTGTCCTGCTCCGCCCGGAGTTGATCGCAAAGGCAGACTGGATCACAACCTGTCTTGGCATTGGCGTTGACCCTGGCAAGTTGGTTGAGCAACATCAGGATGCTGTGTTTGCGGAACTCCTTTCACATTTCATAGGAACTCAATTTGCACCTCTGAATGTTTTCGAAATTGCTGCGTGCAATGCTGCAGCTACGCTAGCTTTTGTGGCTCCGGAGACATTTACCCCGGCATTGATCCAACAGTTCCGTCAAGATCTCGCTACCATAGATCTTGAAAATACTGGTCCTACAGAAGCGCTGATAGCCCGGTCTCCGGAAGGAGCCTTGGTTGTAGACGTTCTTGGTCAGCAAACAAATGCTGTCTTGGACAATAAGAATCAGAAGGATTACGATGTACTAAAGTGGGAAGAGGAGATACGTCAACAATTAGCCAAGAAGAAAGGTGCTCCTCAGAAAAAGCTGACTCCAGATCAACAAGCAAAAGTCGATGCTCAGCTTTCTCACGAAAAGACCGTCCGAAACAAGCTGAGATCCGTCTCTTACAGAATCAGAAGAGGTGCAAAATTCATCGAAGGTCTTGCTCGCGGTCCACCAACTGATGCACGGCTCTGGATGTCTCCAGCTATTATTACTCTGACACGTGCTCTTGAAGCTGGAGCGTCTCTTATCGTGGACGATGAACTTGTTACCGCCTATCTCGCCTGCTCTACCAAAGTCTCGGATCGATTAGGATCACTGCGCCAATTCATCGGCGTAGCAACGCTCAGATCTCTTCGAACCTCTAATGTTCCAGAGCATCTTTGTGTAGAACCTCTTGCGGAATTAGGTACAAGGGTACTATACAGACTGAGATTTGCGGCAGAGCAACGCCCTTTTGACACTGCAAGCACCGCTTACGCTCTGCCACTTATTTTCCAAGTCTTGGAGAATGGTCGGGTTGGCGAAGTCGCAGGAGAAGATGCTGACGCACAGGTTCTGCTTGCATTGGAATTTCTATCATTCCAGATGGGTTCCGGAGCTGATGAGCAACTTCCTCGGGCCGATATCCTACGCCATCTTATCAAAGCCATGCAGACATATAACCAGCACTACCGGATTATTAAAGACTGCCTCTTTGATTTCTGTCGATCAATTTCGGACAACCTGACTGGAGAAGAAAGAGATATCCTTCTCTCATCAGTGACATTACCTCAATCTTCTGTCCGTGCTGCTCTTCTACAAGCAATACAGTCAGAAATTGATCTGTCTGATATCGATTACTCGGTTCACATCTGGATCTCGTGTCAAGACGAAGAAGATGAAAACGCAGACACAGCTCTGACTATCTGGCAAGAACACGATTTTGGGATAACCGAGGTCATGATCGATCAAATACCTCCATTCTTATCCTCTACCGCACGGTCAACAAGACTTGCAGCTTCGAAAGCGCTGGCACAAGCACTCCTGCAAGCACCTTCCAAGACAGAGACCGTACTAAATGGTCTAGAGGAGTCCTACCGCGTTGAAGCGCAACCATTGGTGCCAAAACGTGACAAGTTCGGAATAGTCCAACGGGGAGAGCTAGTTGATCAATGGGAACGACGAAGCGGAATTGCTCTGGCCTTCAAAGAGCTCAGTACTGTACTCGATAAAAGCGCACTTATCCCTTTTATGCAATTCATGGTATCTGAGGGCGCACTTGCTGACCGTCACCCTACTGTGCGTACTGAAATGGTCGATGCTGGTACTGCCCTTGTTGCTGCACGAGGTAAAGAGTGCTTAGAACCATTGATGCATATCTTTGAAGACGTGTTGCAAGGCCCAGATAAAGCAACGCAAGAAGCAGACTGGGTCAACGAAGCTGTCATCGTTCTGTACGGCTCGCTGGCACGACATCTTCCTGATGGTGACAAACGAACTCAAAATGTCATACAAAAGCTCCTGGAGACACTCAGCACGCCATCGGAGTCTGTTCAGTACGCCGTCGCAAATTGCTTGCCCCCCCTGGTCCGACCGAGTGCTGTCGATGCAGGTCCTTACATAATTGCCTTGCTCGACACTCTCTTGAACTCTAAGAAGTATGCAGCACGCAGAGGCGCCGCCTATGGTCTGGCTGGTGTCGTAAAGGGCAAGGGTGTAGTGGCTCTGCGACAGCATAGAGTAATGTCTACACTCCGGAGTGCATCAGAGAACAAGAAAAGCCCCGATCAACGTCAAGGTGCAATGATGGCTTTTGAGCTTATGTCACTGCTCCTTGGACGTACTTTCGAGCCCTATGTGATCGAAGTGCTTCCTCAAATGTTGACCTGCTTCGGCGATCCTGCAGCCTCTGTGCGTGAAGCCACTCTAGATACAGCAAAGACGTGCTTTGCCAGTTTGAGCTCTTTCGGAGTCCGGCGCGTACTGCCTCAACTGTTGGATGGTTTGGACGAGACGCAATGGCGAAGCAAAAAGGGAGCGTGCGACTTGCTTGGTGCAATGGCATACCTCGATCCTCAGCAGTTGGCCACAAGTCTACCTGAGATCATTCCGCCCCTAACGGCAGTATTGACAGACAGCCACAAAGAAGTACGCGCTGCCGCCAACAGCAGCTTAAAGAGATTTGGTGAGGTCATTACTAATCCTGAAGTCAAGAGCCTTGTCGATGTGTTGCTCAAAGCCCTCAGTGACCCCACTAAGTATACAGAGGAGGCACTGGACGGCCTTATCAAGGTCTCTTTCATCCACTACATTGACTCGCCATCATTGGCTCTTGTGGTGAGGATTCTCGAACGAGGCTTGAATGACCGCTCTGCAACTAAACGGAAAGCGGCCCAAATCATTGGCAGTCTTGCTCATCTTACGGAGAAACGGGATATTGTTACACACCTACCAGTCCTTGTAACAGGTCTACGCCTCGCTTCTATCGACCCCGTTCCAGCAACAAGAGCAACTGGTGCTAAAGCTTTGGGAAGTTTGGTCGAGAAGCTGGGTGAAGATGCTTTCCCTGATCTCATACCTAGTCTCATGTCCTCACTACGCACTGATACTGGCGCAAGTGATCGCCTTGGATCTGCCCAAGCCCTCAGCGAAGTTCTTGCTGGACTTGGAACAGCTCGTCTGGAAGAGACGCTTCCAACAATCCTACAGAATGTGGCAAGTCCAAGAGCGACAGTGAGAGAAGGCTTCATGACACTCTTTATATTCTTACCAGCATGCTTCGGCAACAGCTTTGCCAATTATCTGGCGCAAATCATACCATCCATCCTGGCTGGGTTGGCTGATGATATCGAGGCCATCCGTGAAACTTCCCTTCGAGCAGGCAGATTGCTGGTTAAGAACTTCGCAAGCAAGTCTATTGACCTCCTGCTGCCAGAGCTTCAACGTGGATTGGCTGATGACAGCTACCGTATCCGTCTCAGCTCAGTCGAATTGGTCGGCGATCTTCTGTTCAATCTTACTGGCATTACAGGCCAGACAGACGCAGAGGAAGAAGACGAAAAGGCAACGCAAGCTGGCCAATCTCTTCTCGAGGTTTTGGGAGAAGAAAGACGCAACAGAGTACTGTCTTCTCTGTACATTTGCAGATGCGATACTTCCGGCCAAGTTCGGGCTGCTGCTATCGCTGTTTGGAAGGCTCTTGTTGCTACACCGAGGACACTGCGCGAATTGGTGCCGACTCTCACCCAAATCATCATTGCTCGTCTAGCTTCCTCGAACATGGAACATAAAGTCATCGCCGCGAACACTCTCGGAGAGGTTATTCGCAAAGCTGGCGAAGGCGTCCTCGGGTCACTGTTACCATCACTCGAAGAAGGTCTGCAGAGTTCAACAGATGCTGACAAGAGACAAGGCATTTGTATTGCTCTGCGTGAAATTGTCAATGCTGCTTCGCCAGATTCCCTCGAAGAACATGAGAAGAAATTGATCGCTATTGTTCGACTCGCCTTGACTGACTCTGACCCAGAAGTTCGCGAGGCTGCTGCAGAGTCATTTGACTCTTTGCAACAAACGTTTGGCAAACGAGCCGTTGATCAGGTTCTACCCCATCTCCTCAACCTGCTTCGCAGCGATGGGGAAGCCGAACATGCTCTCTCTGCCTTGCTCACCCTGCTTACCGAGGCAACAAGAGCCAATGTCATTCTACCGAACCTGATACCCACACTCTTGACCAACCCAATCACCGCTTTCAATGCTCGAGCACTTGCCTCGTTGGCCAAGGTTGGCGGTGGCAGCATGACTCGCAGGTTGCCCGCCATCCTCAATAGTCTGGCAGACAATATAGTCACGTGCAAGGATGAAGAAGTCTTGGAGGAACTGAACGAGGCATTTGATGCCGTCTTTTCGTCGGTGGATGAGTATGACGGTCTGAATACTGCAATGAGCGTTATGCTAGTGATGATCAAGCACGACGATCATCGCAGACGAGCAGTGGCAGCTTCTCATCTCGCCTCGTTCTTTGCAACTGCTGCGGTCGACTACTCTCGGTACAACCAAGACCTCATCCGAGTTCTCGTCATTTCATTTGGCGACAGAGATCAAGCTGTTGTCAAGGCCGCTTGGTCCGCACTCAGCCAGTTACAATCTCATCTTCGCAAAGAAGAGATGGAGACTCTTGTCGGCTCAACACGGCAGGTCCTGCAACAAGCTGGCACTGCTGGCTCTGTCCTCCCTGGCTTCGCCCTTCCAAAGGGCATTTTGCCTGTCCTACAAATATTCTTGCAAGGGTTGATGAACGGCACTACCGACCAACGGGTCCAGTCCGCCATGGGCATCTCCGACATCATCGACCGTAGCGGGCCAGACTCCCTGAAGCCATTCGTGACCCAGATCACAGGTCCACTTATCCGTGTGGTTGGCGAACGATCGATGGACGTCAAGTGTGCCATCCTTTCTACCCTGAACCAGCTACTCGAGAAGATACCAACATTCTTGCGACCGTTCCTCCCTCAGTTGCAGAGAACATTCACAAAGTCCATTGCCGACCCGACAAGCGATGTACTCCGGATGCGGGCCACCAAAGCCCTCAGTACGCTCATCACGCTGACGCCTCGAGTCGACCCCTTGATTGCCGAGTTGGTCACGGGAGCCAAAACTCCGGAGGCTGGTGTTCGCAACGCCATGCTCAAAGCTCTACAGGAGGTCGTCAGCAAAGTCGGGTCGAACATGAGCGACGCCTCGCGCGAGTCTATCCTTGGCCTGATGGATGCACAAGTCGAAGGGCACGACGACAACATGATGGTCACCAACGCGCGACTCCTGGGAGCCATGATCAAGGTTCTCCCCGAGGAGAAGGCCGGGCCGCTGGTCAAATCCCGCATCCTGGTCCAACCGTCGACCAATGCGTCGATCCTCGCCCTCAACGCCGTCTTGCTCGAGAGCCCGACCACGATCCTGTCGGCGCACGCCGAGGAGGCGAGAAGCGTTCTCGTCTCCGGGTTGTCCGGCAAAAGCACCTTTGTGCAGCAGAATGCCGTGCTCGCGCTGGGCAAGTACCTCCTGGCCGAGTCGACCGTCGCCGACGAGGAAGCGTGCCGGCCCCTCGTCGAGGCGCTCGCGTCCGTGGTGGCCCCGGGGGCGGACATTGATTCGCGCCGCCTGGCCCTGGTCGTCGTGCGGACGGTGGCCAGGCACCACCCCGACGAGGCGCGCGCCTTCCTGGGGGCGCTGGTCCCGCCGGTGTTTGCGTGCGTGCGCGACCCCGTCATCCCCGTCAAGCTCGCGGCCGAGGCGGCGTTCCTGGAACTCTTCGGCGTCGTCGACGAGGAGTCCGCCGTGTGGGAACGGTACGTGGCCGGCCCGGGCAAGGCGTTGTCCCCCGGGCAGGCGCGGCCCATGGGCGACTACTTCAAGCGCGTGGCGCTCAGGCTGGGCGCGCAGGCCCGGGAGCGACGCGAGGCCGAGGGCGGCGCCGGCGGGCTCGGCCTGAGTTCCGACGAGCAAGAGGACGAGCGGGAGGTGTGGAGCGTCGGGCGTGTGGATCTCGGTGAGGGAGGCGGCGACGACGAATAGGGTCCAAGGCACGGCGTTGTTGTAGGGGGCGTAGGTAAATGGAGGGCTTTATGGATGGCTGTCGATTAGAATCTCTTCGAGAAACAGAAGAAAGGGGGGGGGAAATGGCCAAATGGTCTTGTCACGAGCGCGAGAAAAGCTTGTAATACAGGCACACACAGCATAGCGAAATGTCTTTTTGTTTCTTTTTGTTGTTCTTTAAGAAAAAAGTTGCGATTCTTTGCTTCCATGGTATATGTCCCTCCACCATTCTTTCTTGCTGGTGGACGACCCGGTATCTACTCAAACATTGTCCTACGCCGCTGCGATGCATTTTTCCCCTCCCAAAGCCATGTGCCCTCGCTCGCTCGCTCGCTCTCTTGAATGGCAAGCACGACGGTACGACAAAATGTGGAAAATATATATACACAGAAGACGTTCCCCCTCTTGTTGAATTGGTTCCAAAACATCCCCAGGACCAACGGTATCTGGGCCCAGCCACATTGAATGAGCATCGTGTTTTGGCAGTCCAAGCGATCCAAGAGAGACCGTCTGGTGACGAGCTCGTAATATCGAAATGGCTGAGCTGTCTTCTTCTTTTGTAACATGTGGGACGACGTTAGGTATTTAGCTTTCCGGTGACGAGGTGGCCCCTCACTGCGCGGTAGTGCAGGCGCGCGTGTTACTTGTCGATGGCGGGACATCCTCGATACAAGAATGCCCAGTTAGGTGGAATGGCGCGAGATTGATCAGAACATTTGAGAATCAGGTCGGTCAATGCGCTTGAATGCAGGTGCGGGAGTGCCCGGCAAAGGCTCATCTGAAGCTGGGCCTTCTTGTTCGGTTGGTGGTGGCGGTCTGCACATGGAGAGTCAGTTATGATGCCGGTAGTTTAGAATGTATTCATCAATCAAGACACTTACGGTGCGCTCTTGCCCCCAGTGTTGTCAAAGTACTTGTGGAAATCACCCTGGTCCTCGAACGGTCTCGGTCCAAGAATTCTGACCAGGTCATCTCTAACAAGCACCTCCTTCTTCAAAAGTTCTTCCGCGACCGCATGGAGTTGGTCTTTCTTTTCCAGCAGGAGATCCTTGCATTGCTTGTATGCGTCATCGACGATCCGGCGGACTTCCAGGTCGATTTGCCGGGCCGTCTCCTCGGAGAAAGGCTTGTGAAGTCTCTGTTCGTCGTCCTTGTAATGAAGGTAGCCAATCTTTGAGGACATGCCCCATTCGGTCACCATTGCCGTGGCCATTCGCGTGACCTTGTTGAAGTCATCAGATGCACCACTCGTCACTGTGTCGAACCAGATTTCTTCGCTGACTCGGCCGCCGAGCGTCATGGCCATTCGATCCATAAGTTGCTTGACGCTCATCAGGTACACATCGTTGCCTCCTGCAGGTAGGTATTGGGCATAACCAAGAGCACCTTGGCCACGTGGGATGATAGAGACCTTGAGTAAAGGATCAGCGTACTTGAAGAACCAGCCACAGATGGCATGACCGGCTTCGTGGTAAGCGACGGTCTTCTTCTCTTCGGGCGATAGGACCAATGACTTCTTCTCAAGACCGCCAATGACACGCTCGATAGCTTGCTCAAAATGGTCCATCTCCACCGAGGGCGCATTTGCACGAGCAGCAATCAGAGCAGCCTCGTTGACACAATTGGCAATGTCGGCACCAGAGAAGCCAGGCGTCAAAGCTGACAAACGACCAGTCAGATACTCCAAGTCGACGTTGGTTACGATCTTTTTGAGATGAACTTGGAAAATCTGCTTTCGTCCGTCCATGGTGGGTCGATCAATGGCGATATGTCTATCGAAACGACCTGGACGCATCAAGGCCTTGTCCAGGACATCAGGTCTGTTTGTGCCAGCGAGGACCACCACCTGTTCTGAAGTGTTGAAACCATCCATTTCGGTCAGAATTTGGTTGAGAGTAGACTCTCGCTCGTCGTTGCCTCCTCCGAAATTTGATTTCGCCCTAGACTTGCCAATAGCATCGATCTCATCAATGAAGATAATGCAGGGCGCGTTCTTCCGGGCGTTTGAGAAAAGATCTCTTACTCGGGATGGACCTACACCGACAAACATCTCGACGAACTCGGAACCGGAGACTGAGTAGAAAGGTACGCCAGATTCGCCTGCCGTGGCCTTGGCCAGCAGAGTCTTACCAGTACCGGGAGGACCAGATAGGATAGCACCTCGAGGAATCTTGGCACCTAGTTTCTGGTATCTTGAAGGGTCTTTCAGGAAAGACACAAACTCCATGATTTCAAGCTTGGCCTCATCCATACCAGCGACATCAGCGAACTTCGTCTTGACATCGGTTTCGTGATTGAAGCGCTTGGCCCGGGATTTGCCAATACCGAAGATGCCACTGTTTCCCCCAGCTCCAGACGCCGCTCTTCTTGACAGCCAAAAGAGAGCTCCGATGAAGAGAATGGTAGGGCCAAAGGAGAAGAGAGCGGCGCTCAGAGGCACCTCGTCAGAGTAGGCGACAGGAATTCTCTCGCTGCTAGGAATGCCAAGCTCTTGATGCGCCTCATCCAATTTTCTCTCGAAAGCTTCGACGGAACCAATGTTGAAGTAGTAGTAGAAGTTAGGTCGAGCTGCGGGAGAATCAGGGTACATGTTCGCCACGGCCGAGCGATGAAGCTCAACTCTGACACGATTCCGATTGATGACGGTCAATTTGTCGACGAGGCCCTTGTCGAAAAAGGTCGTGCGGAACTCCTGCCATGTGATGTCTCTCGAATTCTCCCCTGGGAACAGACTGCGATAGGTGTAATAACTCAGAAAAGCGGCCATGATAGCAGTGCCAGCGTCGAGCCTGAGCTCAAATTTCGATCCCTTCTGCTCCTTCTGTTGTCCATCATTTTGCTTGCGTTTCTGCTTGCCATCCTGACTCTTGTTGGATTGCTCGAAAAGAGGTGTCTCGTCAGTCGACTCAGATTTGTCGGAACGTGCATTCACGCCGTACTTTTCTCGAACCTCCTCGGGAGTCATGCGGGACATTTTTGTAAAGACCGAAACCAATCGAACTACCGTTGCCAGTGAGATGTGGTGTTTGGGATCTTTCCTCCGAGCCTCGAGTACTTCTTGAATCTCCTTGGGTACTCCGCCCTTCTTCATGAGCTCGACCGCCTCGTCAATGGCGGCGGCCTGGGATTTCGGCAGACCCATCTTCATCATATTTGCGAGATCTTGGATCTGTTTGGTTTCCTCCTCGCTGAGCTGCACGAGGTCCTGTTTGGCCGCCGTCTCTTGCGACTTTGCATCTCCATCTTGTGATTTGTGCGACTCTTTCTCTTTTTCTGAAGGAGTCTTGTCGCCTTTGTCCTTCTTCTTGGGATCCTCCTCCGGCGGCTTCGGATCCCCGGGATTGATGGTGGCGTAGGACCTCGAGAGATGAGGCTGTCGAATCTTACTATGCAGTCTTATTCGAGAGAACTGGGTTGTCCGGCGTTGTGCGCAGAAGGCGCACTCAAACGCAGCTTGGGAGGATCGCAGCAACTGCGGCCTCAGTAACCTGGTCGCCATAACGGCGGAAAGAAGTTTGGAGGAGAGCGGGCCGCAGAACAGGTTGTCAAAAACTGTTCGCGGGAGAAGAAAAGGGAGGCGGGGAGAGATGGTAAGCCGGGGACGATTGTTGAAGCTGGTGGCCAGAGAAGTAGTTGACGCGGGCAGTATTTGCCTGCACTGCGGAATCAATTCTCGAATGGCCGATGTCATGACTTGGAGTCACTTCTACCTAAATACTCCACCGTGGAACCTGCACATAATGGCTCTATAGAGTACCGTACTGGTATCATTGAACGACCTTCTGGCACTCAACGACTGTAGTTGTTGTAAGTCATCATTAGCCTGGGTTGCGGTGCCTCTGCTCAACAGTGCTCAGAAGTTTTGAGAGTGTGGAGGTCGTTGAGTGGTAACAGATATTGCTTACAAGCAATTTACTAGTCGGTGTTTGAAGCTGTCTGGCGCTGTTTTGATTCTATTCTACACGCAATCTCCCCTCCAGATACCTCTTTTTTTTCACAGCTTCTTGTAGAGCTGGGCCATGTCTAAACGGCACTAATAGACACCTCGTTACATTGATTATGCCCCTGGAAGCTCCATCATTCTTGTTTTGCCGACCATACAACCTTCGTCCTTGTCTTTCGCATTGGAGCACACTTCTTCCCGGTTCATCACAAGCGGCGGCGACCGTACAGTTCATGGCGATGCTTCCATTCTTCTTCAGGCTTTGGCTTGAGGATATCCTTACTTGCTGGTCGAAATCTAGGATCTCGAGCAATGCGGCTAGGAGCATTGTAAAATCCGTCAATTTCTTCCTCGAAGAAGCTTGAACTCGAGGCAACGCCTGTCAGGAGTCGAGATCTTTCCACTGCATACTCCGGTGCAGGTTTGTATGCCCACACAGATCTCCCATCGCCGCCAGTTGAGTTCAGAAGCTCCGGGCTACTGTGAGATGTCAGATTTGCCCAGATGTTGCCCACCGCACATATTGCAGCGCTCTCAATCTCGGCACTGGCGACTTGATCACCAAAATCCATGTCAGCAATTGACAAATTGGATAAGCGATTGTTACGATGCTCCCTGGCAATTTGATCCACCAAGGCTCGAACTGCTTGATTGTCCTGGCTGTCCGCCTCCAACCACTTACGGACCGACTCCTGCCTTTTGGAATGGACACGCAGCGGTCCAGTTTTAGGAGGCATTGGATTGTCTGTATTGGAAACGTATCGCATGGCTTTGTTCATCTTGATGCGGGCGTCTCTGCCAATGGCTTTAAGCTCGAACCATTCCGCCACTCCAACATCGAATTCCTTATGAAGAATGTCGTCCTCCGGACCATTGATGTCTTCAAGCTCAAAGTCTCTGAGGATTCTACCTTGACCTGCAAGCGATTCGAAACCAGGTGGAGGGTCGACCGACAATTCTGGAGCAGAATGTAATTGTTGCCCATTGCCCAAATGATGAGGATTTTGCTCAGATGCTGTTATGATGCTTGCCGCAGATGACGGGCTTGCCCCTTCGCTTTCTCTCAGGCGCTGCAAGTCCGGATTCCGTAGTACTGTCTTTCCAGTCCTGGCTAATGCTTGTTGTTCTGCAACAAAGCTTTGCATCCTAGTGTTGCGGTCATATGGTTCATTGACGGGCGTTGTTACCGGTCGGCGCTGCTCATCTTGAGGAGTCTCAGGGATCAAACCGTTATTGGATATGAGCTGCTCAAGGATAGCACCGTCAGAATCCGAGTCTGTAAAGTTGTGGCGGATCGTTGACAGAGGGACAGGAAGTGCGCTTGCGACAAAGCCATCAGAGCCCATATGCGACAAGATCGGACGATCCGCATTGCCTTGTGCGAAAGGACCGGTGTAATGAGGCTGACTCCACAGTGCAGGTACGTTGGTGTACTGACTAGCTGAATGAGGATATAGAATCGCGCTGCGAACGAAACTTGGATCTTCTGACGATGGATGATGTGGTGCCATCGGGAGATTAGTGGAGAGGTCTGAGTATTCTCTCGCCAACGATTCGAATTTGTGTTCTTGTTTGGTTGGGCTGATATCTGAAGGTATCATCACAAATGGATTACGCTGAATTAGGTTCGGGATGGGCATGGGGTTCTGACCTGCACAGATGTAACCTGTCAGTTCGGGATTATGGAGATATGCAGGGTATGCTGGGCATGCAGGGCCATTCATACCGATCGTTCCAGGCGCGTTATTCGGTGGGGTTCGAACACTGATCGGTGTATCTCGCTGCGATCGCCCTAGTATGGGGTGCTGGTGAAGACGTTTGGGGGTCGGGTTGTGAATTGCGGACGATCTATCATTAGCAGCTGCTAACATAGCTCTGGGCGCCGTTGGAATTGGAATATTTGGCAGATTGGTTCGAAGAGCTTGGTGATCTCGAGGACCTAATGGAGTCTCACGTGGTAGCAGAATAGCAGCTCGGTGAGCAGTGCTGTCTGTCTGTCGAGCTGGAGTGGAAGGTATGACGCGTTCTCCCTCAAATTCAGTATCATTTGAATCATCTTCAAGTGTATCTTCAGGTGTATCCTCTAAAACCAACGGGATCCAAGCTTTGTTGCCCTTGTTCCGGTTGGGTTGTTGGTTTTTGGTGAAGGCACTGAGTGAGATAGGAGCAGGCGTTGGCGGCAGTTTCTGTTCTTCGGCTTCGCGAGAGGCTTGTCTTGCGTTTGCAGCCTTAAACGCATGGTACTCGGCCGCTCTAGCCCTAGCACCCAGCATGGTGGAGGGGTGTGTGAGTGGGAGATGACTGTGAGTACATGTTTCAGTTTGAGAACTTGATAGCGAAGAGAGGAGTATGCCATTTTTACCTTGGTTAGTAAATTTTCTCTAGATTGCCAGCATGTCCCTCAAGCCTTTCGCAGCGCCGATCTTCCTCGAGCCAAGTGATGTTTCACTATGGACACCAGGTCATTCGATAGTTGCTACCTTGATCCGATGAGTTAGCTACCAATGAAGACGAGATGCTGGTCACAGTCAAGGATAACGTACGAGATGCTCTTCAAATTGTGGACGCGATACGCTGGAATCTGCCAATGATCATATGTGATGTTAGGGTTCATCAAATATTGTCTCTGGATGAGTTTCAAAAGCCGGAGATTCAGTTAAGATGGAGGTGAGGCGAAAACATGGTTGCTGAGCATGTCAACTCCACCGCAGTTTGCTCACCGGTTTGTTCTATGTTTTTCCTCGACATTCAGCTCATGGCAACAAGAACTCAAAGAAGACATGGCAAGGAAAGAGCTTCCTTGTGAGAAATACAACAAATCTTCGAAAGGAAGACGCAAGGAGCAGTTCACTGCATGACAAGAGAATGGAAAAGCTCGGCCTGTACCAGAACAGCCTTTCTTTCTTCACCGAATGGAGGAGAATGAGCAGTCTTCAGGGTATACCAAGTCTTTCACGTCTTCCTGCTTGCTTTGTATGGATTGCTGTGGGAAAAGGCTTTCTGGACAGCGTTGAACAGAGCCAAAGTCGTATTGTCCATCAATGCTACGTCGCCAGAACATGATTTCACGAATATCCTTACTCAAGAACCTTTCCCAGGTAGCTGTTGCACCCAGTAGAACTCAGCCTGCAGTTCTCGTGCTAAAACTACCTAGGTGGCTAATCTCATCTAGAAGGGAGTGATTAATGTGTAGTACTATATATGATAGACAAATCCGGGGTCGTAAAAGATCCACCAAAGATTGGCACTCGGGATAAAATTCTCCGAAGTCCATCACCACGTTTCTGTTTCTGCGGTGCGATTGATGATGCGTCTTAGGGAACATTTCTCAATCATTATACCATCATCATTGGTTGCGTAAACAGCCGGGATGATTACAACGTGCCTCTTGGGGAGGAAACAAGTCTTACTACTTCGCTGTCTCGACCGAAACCGCCGCCATGAAAGTCGGTCACGCTGGGTATCGAGGCTCTGAAGTACCTCTGCCGATTGAGGTTCTCAGTCTCATACTCTCATATACGGCGACGTTATACAACCACCCAACACAATATACACTGTGGGCATGCTGTCTGGTGTCTAGATCCTGGTACGCCGCCTCGATCAGCCACCTCTACGCCCATCCACTTCTTGAGAACCGCAATTTCGACAAGTTCAGTCGGACAATTTGTCCGCCTGTGAGTGCACATAAACCCAGGATAGGCTTGGAGAACTTTATAACGCGACTGGATATGTCTGGCCTCGCGTACGAAAGCTCAAAGAGTCTCACAGCTCGACTCCTTCGCAGGACGCGGAACTCATTGGAAAGCTTCGCGGCGCCCGCAGTCACCTTCTCAATCGCATGTCTTGCACCACTAAGCAAATGCGCGCATCTACAACTTCTGGATCTCTCTTGTGACTCCTATGACATGACCCTCTCCCAACTCCTCGACTCAATTGGCCATCTCTCCTCCTTGACGACTCTTAAACTGCCTCGGAACGCACTTCGAGGCCGCTGTAACCTCACGTCCAAGTCGCACTGGCCAATGCAACTACGGAATTTGCAGGTAAGCGACTACCTTTTCGATGACCTCGAGTCTTGGGCAACTCTCTTCGAAAGCTGGTCAAATAGCCTCCGAAGTTTTAAGATAGCCGAATGCAAAGGTTACGCCTCCTTGCATTGCTTGGAGCCAACTTTCCTCAGAGTAGATACCATTACATCTTTCGGGATAGGACTCTCATTGCACGACGATGCATTTCCTTTTCATCGGATCCTCAAAACATTTCCAAACATTGTCAGATTTACTCTACCCGCCTACCAAGCGGAACAATTGGCAAAATCGAGTGGCGTGGGCGAGTTCATGAGCGACATCCAGAGCGGCGCATACCTCCAACATGTCGATCCTGAGAGTTTGGTGGAAGTCCTGATCTTAACGGAACAACGTCCACCTGCAAGCACCCCTCCGGACTTGAGTTCCGAGATCCTCCGGAGATATGTTCACAAATTCCCTCGACTGAGACGACTGGAGATCCCGGAGCTATATGCCTATCCAGTCGGAAAGAGAAGGGAGTATGAAATGTTGAATGATGAGCTGGAGAAGAGGGCAAATGCAGACAATCGAGCGACATCCGGATTGTATCTCTGCTAAGACTCGACAAGACCTGAAACGGGCCTATATCGATGGTGTTGTAGTGTAGAACAAGCCCCGGCTCGGACTCCGACGGCATCAGCAGCGACGGAGAATCTTGTGGACCAGCAGCTTGATGAGCCTAATAAATGGGCTCTTGCGAGGCTCTTTCAATATCCCAAAGCTGACGTTGAAACACCTGGTTTCAAGCAAGACAAGCCTCACCCATCGGTCTTGATCATGGCCGGAACATTGTAAACAGCCTCCCAAGGATAGGTGGACATGTCTAACCACCCGAAATCGCAACTGCTGAGTATAGTACAGCCACAAGTCTTGCTGTGTGACAGATTGATAATAATTTGTAATTTTCATGGCTAGGCTGTCTCGCTATGAGCCTCCTTGTGCGACGACGGGAATACTCAGATGGCGAATGATCTAAGACATCCCCCCTATCACGAATCGGAATCGCTCGACGGAGCGTTCTTGCAGTGGACGGGCCCTTTCCCACGCCATCGAAGGCCGGACGAGGAAAAGTCGTCGCGATGGCAAGCTGCATGGCACGGGACGTCGATGTCAAGAGAATCGAACGCCTTTTCGAACAGTTCGGCTGTTGAAAAGAGAAATAGAAGTTGCTGATTCGTTGGCCAGTTGCCCGTGGGGTCGCCACTTGGTTCGAAGAACTGACCAGGACTGATCTTCCGGAAGACGCGTCGGGGAAACCCTTGAGGTGAAGAGGGGCATCGCTGGGAGGCCTCTGAAGCAATAATATTGTCAAGTCTAGGCGGAGATTGCAGATTTCACTGGGCTTTTCCTGGTAGCGACAGGGTGCAAAAGTGGAGGAAGCAGGGTGAAGGCCAATAGCTTACCACGTAGTCATGCCCTTCCCCTCCCCAGCCGGTGACATGGCCCACGATTCCGCACTGATTAAGAAAAGCAAACAAAGAATGACTTATGAGTACCTCGACTTTCCGCATTGCCAGCCTCCAACAGACCTTTTGAACTCGACCAACTCACGTGGACGAGTCATGCTGTGTCTGAGTCTGCAACTGTCGGATAGATAGGTCTGAAATGCTGATGGGACGTGAAGAAGGAATATCCTTTTGCCTCGCTACCGGGTCTCGCGTATCTCTGGCCCCGGAAAGTCGACGGTCAACTGATAAGGAACAGGGTTTCTTTCTTTTTTCTTCTGGCTTATGATTCGGGCCCGTTGACTGGCTGCGTGTAGATCTGCTGGACATGCCCGCCGACTGGCAACTGTAACTGCAGCTTGGGTGCATCCTGGACTCGTCGCCTCCATCTGATCGCTCCGAATCGCCAGCCTTCAGCGCCCGCACCCGCAACCCGCACTGTCTACTGCACTGCAACTGCGGCCACACGCACACTTTCTGCCAGCTCGTTCTTCCTATCTCAGTTCTGGAACCGACACCTTTTCTTTTCTTCCTTCCACTACGGAGTAATCACATCGTTTTTGGTTTTCATTGAAGGTAATTGAAGTATCCTGTGTCTCATTCTCATCAACTCGCCGGCTATAGTGTCCACCGCTTAATCACTTTGGCCCCTCCTCCTCCTCCTCACGAAGCCACGAAGCCACCGCTTCCCACCGCTTGCTGTACCTCGCGGACTGTTGGCTGGTGTCCATGTCTCGTCTCCCGGCCTCAGTCGTATGGATATCCAGATTCCCTCTCCGTCAGTTTTTCTGAAGAAGTCACCCATCCTGACACCCGCACCTACTGTTCCACCAAAGCGGCCAGCCGTTGCGAAACCCAAGGGCAATGCTACCGTCAAACCCCCAAACAAATCAGCGCTGGCAGTTCAGGATGCGGCAATAACAAAGCCAAAACAAAGCAAGAGTCGAAACGGTATGTTGTTACCAACGTGGAGAAATAGAGATTGCTGCGACTCGTCCGAGAGCCCTCACTGACCAATTTCCCTAGGTTGCATGACCTGTAAGAAGAAGAGATTAAAATGCGACGAGACTAAGCCATCATGCGCCCAGTGTCAGAAGAGAAATGTTGTTTGCGAAGGGTACAAGAAAGATTACAAATGGAGAACGTTCGAAGAGACCACGTTCAGCACCAAACCGACTTCCAAAAAGAAGGCATTCCGGTCGAACTCTTACCACGCTGATCAGTACGGGCCTCGGCCACTCAATATATCCAAAGGTGGGCTCTCAGATGGCACCAATACACAGCACGAGGAAACCCAGCCTGCTCAGTCATGGTCTCCCGGTCTGCACACCGCATTTACCACGGCCACGAATGCCTTTCAAGGACATCGTCAAGGCTCACCGAGCCCAGACTTACAGACCGATCATCTGCCGGAAAAGGGACGTTCGCCATATCCCAATCAGAGTCCCGACTCAGTGTTTATGCCAGCCTTCGAAACCGAAAGCATCTCACCCCGGCTCGCATTTGGTGAACATGCCGACCCATTTAACTTCCATGCAACCGCAGCCGATTCTTCCGCGACAGAAAACAACAGTGCCAGATCGTTTTCTTCTGGATCTCCCCAGTTACTGGATCTTCTCCTGCCAGGAACAGACCTGACCCAGCCTCCTGATCCATCAGAGTCACGACCACCAATGTCCCCTTTACCATATCAACCGGAGCCAAATCTGTCCACGGACGAAACATATGATGAGGAAGTAATTCGCTCAGATGTCTTGCCAACCGCAGGTGCACCGTCTTCCATGCCTGCTGCTTCAACCTGGCAGACCTTTCGCACATCTTCGCCAACCCCCAGTGAGGCTTCGAGTACTTCTTCCAAGTCCAGCGACCTTACTATTCTCGCACAGCCAACGCTTGATGCTTCATCTCCCGAGATGCTAATGCTTCGATTTGATAAGCAGACCTGCGGTATCTTGTCTGTCAAAGATGGTCCCACCGAAAACCCATGGCGTACCTTGATATGGCCGTTGGCCCGTGAATCTCCTGCTCTGTACCATGCCATCTCGTCCATGACGGCATTTCACGGCGCCCATGAGGTTCCCATGTTGCATACTCCAGGTATGGCTCATATGACAAAGGCAATCAAGCGTCTCGCGTTCGACATTCAAAACATGAGGATCGACTCGGCCCTTGCCACCACATTGGCTCTGGCGTTCAGCGAAGGTTGGGATAGTCATGTCAGTACAGGTGTACAGCACCTACGTGGCGCAAAGCTCATGGTCAACAATGCCATGGTCAAACACCGGCGAGACATGCAATTAGGCCAGATGACCACACAAGACGCTAATCGGCTGAAATTCCTCTGCAATACATTTGTATATATGGATGTTATTGCACGTTTGACCTCATTGGAAGAAGCATTGGAACTGAATTTTGAAGAGATTCTTTCTACCGTTAACGCGCCATTCGGCGATCAAGTGGAAGTCGATCCTCTAATGGGTTGTGCCACGACCTTGTTCCCGCTGCTCGGTCGCGTGGCCAACCTGATTCAGCGCGTTCGCAAGACCGAGACGAATTCATTGACCCTGGTCTCTTCGGCGATGGAGCTCAAGGAACAGCTACAACAATGGCAAGTGCCTAGTGCCTTGATATTCGAACGCCCAGAAGACCCCAATTCCGAGGTCCAGCATTCCATCCAAACCGCAGAAGCTTACCGTTATGCAATGCTGCTGTATCTGCACCAAGCTGTCCCGGAGATCCCAAGCGACCCTCCATCAATGCTGGCCAAGAAGGTACTCGTGACTCTCGCTTCGGTACCCTTGTCGTCACGCACAACCATAGTCCAGATCTTCCCACTCTTCGCGGCGAGTTGCGAAGTCACAGACGCCGATGACCGAAACTGGGTCATGCAACGCTGGGGATCGATGATGGCCCGTCTGAAGATCGGCAACGTCAGTGCCTGCTGGAGCGTCGTCCAAGAAGTCTGGAACCGCCGTGACGAGTACGAGGGTGAGAAGGCGAATCGTCTGCTGCGGCGTTATAACTCTCGCGGAGTGCCCGGCGGCAACTTCGTGCCTCCAATCTTGACCATGCCGCCTGGACTGAAGCGCAAGGCATATACCGTCGACGGTGCGAATGATGCCTCAGGCGTCTTTGGTCAAGGCCCAGGGGGGCAGGCACTAGATCCCGCAGAATCGAGCGCCTTTGAGACCGTGGATCAACAACTCGAGCCTGGCGGACGACCTATCAAACGCCGCGTGACGTTCGATGCTATGAATGGAGGTATGCCTCCGAATATGCCCGGCACTGGAGCGTTTTCAATGCCTGGGTCGGGGTCGGGAATGAACTTCTCACGCCGTCCGATGGGTGACATTACCTCGCCCGACCAACTTGAGCATGAGTATACGGTGCGAGGACAGCTGCATTGGCTAGGTGTCATGGCAGATCGTCAATGGGAAGGTACGTTTTGCTTTTCGACTTCATGTCATTGTTATCATTACTGTTCATTATTCATGCAAGTTTTCATGTGGCGCTGCCTGCGTCCAATCGCTTCATTTCGACGACCCATGCCATTCCTGTCCCTCCCTCGATCCTATCCTGGTAATGCGGCATGCACATGACAATCTTGTTTCGTTTTTACAAAAAGGAAAAAAAAGAGATGGCTAACCAGCAACACTTATGTGCAGTCTTTCTGGGATGACGAGACTCCCAACCTTTGTAAATGCAGTTGACTCCGACGTGCGTGTGAGATATGCTTCTTCTTTACTCCCTCGATCCCGGGACTGATGGATCGAGTCTCCCGTTGCCGATGCTGGTGAAGGTAATGCCGACTGTCCTTTGGAATTCCAATAGTGGGAGAACGAGGCCGGTTTACTTGCTTCGTTCTCACACTCTTCGACACACCGTTGCTGTTAGGAAGCCTGTTCAGATCCACGGTTCCGTGGGCCCTTCGCACAGCCGCCAGGTCCATCCACTGAAACTCGGGGGATTTCTCCCTCTCGCTGCCACTGCTGTCGGCATTGCTGTTGCTGGAGATGGACTCGGCGCGGCGGTCCCTCGTGGACTGACCTCGGCCATTTTCAACACCAGCTAGGTAATTACGCATGCTGGCGGTGTACTCGTCCAACTCGGCGCTTCGAGACATCTTGGACATGGATGCTGGTGGGGTCACCATGCCCTTTGGATTTGGGCCGTTGGCTATACCCTGGGTCTTGAGCCGATTGCTGATGGCCGATGGCTCGGTCGAAGATGTTGATGCCGTCATGATGTTATGTTCTGATTATGTTTATTATCTGGTGTTTCTTTCTGGTTGGGTTGGTGATTCGAGGGTGTTCCAGCTTGCGCGAGACAGATCTCGTCCTTTTGCTGCTATGGTTTGATTTGAAGTATCTGGGTTGAAGGTCGACAGCAGTGCGGAAAAGGGTATGTCTTTGATGATGTGTGAAATGAGGAATGGCTTTTCTTTTGTTTTCTGTTTTTCACTTTCGTTGCCAAAGTTGATGGATTGAGTTTGTAACGGATGATACTAGCAAGGCGTTGATATAGTCGGGGGTTTTTACATGAGCTTGCCGGCGTGGGTTCTGGTGTTGCTTATGGATGGGAAATGAAGCCTTGGTCGCTTGAGGCCGGGATGGTGCGACGGTTCGTTGCACAGGCAATATATTCACGTACACAAAACCTCTTCCAAAGGGAGGGTGAATAGTGTGGCGCGTATGGTGGTTTCGGGACGTTAAACGTAGGTGTGTGTGTGTTGTCCTGGTGGGGGGAAAGGTAGAGACAATTTAGACAAAGATTGCTGCTTTAGGTTCCTGAATCCATCGAGCGACGAGGTCCGCGACCCATGTATGCTTCTTTACAGTTTAATTGTGTCGTTGTCCGTCAATCGGTGTGGCTTTTTTGATGCGAGCAGGGGTGTTGCGTCGCGATACGAGGGCAGCAGCGAGGTGGGAAGGCAGTCCCTGGTCCTGGTCCTGGTCCTGTTCTTTGAGGTCGGTCCTTTCTCAACTGTTTTTACTGCTTATGGTAGTTCGCGGCGACGTGCAGGAAAGGATGTCTCAGTCTCGCTGGCTTTGTCGCTTTGTGGCGTGTGGCGAGGCCCTTTGGAAAGAAACAAACTGGACCTCCCAACAGGGATAACGCTGACGAGGAGAGGTCAGTCTACTTTATGCGATGAGGAGCACAAGGCAAACGTGGAATGGCGAGTCGAGTCCCGTTTTCGTTGTCGTTACAGCCGCTTAGGTTATGGTTCCGAATAAACCCTTGTCGCTCTGGGAAGGGTTGGGTGAGAACGCGGAGAGAGAAAGAGAGAGAGAGAGAGACGGAGAGGGTCCAGATCCTTGTCGCTTGTGGTACTTTTTACCTCTTTTTGTCGCAAAACGGCCAAGAGAGTTGAAGAGGTGGCGTGTGTGTGTGTGTCGAAGGACGGAAGGGCAAGCGATGGCGAGGGAATGATTGCGGAAGAGAATAAAATGTTAACAGGTGTTGATGATGTTATTTCCCAAAAAGATCCAGAGATGTGTCGCCCGGGGGGGGGAGGGAGGAGTCTAGGTAGGTATCACTCGTTTATAGCGAACTATGCCGTACGGAGTAATGTCCTGGGGTTGTCGAAGCGATGCTTGGCAGCACGAATGTGGTGGAAACCAACGACGGGGAACGAACTAGAGAAAGAGACAGCCACCACGACGGGACGCCGCACGGGACTTTTTCGTTACCAGTTACAAGGCGGGCGAATGCGGATACGGATGGATCCAACAATGAGCGGTTGGACCTTGGTGCAGTGGGGAGGATGGAGAGGTCCGATGTCAGGGATGGTAGAGGAGATGTGGTTGTTTTGGACCAAATAGGCAATAACTTCTGGGACGTCCGTCGGTGTCGGCCACAGGGAGGCGACCAAAGCCTGGGTCCGGGAAGAAGAAGATGGCCGCGGCCGAGAACGGGAGAGGAAGAGAATCCGAGATCTGGGGTCCGGAGAGGACGCCGTTGTTGCGTTGGGGGGCGAGTCGAACTGCTGGGTCCTGGAAGAGGTGGGAGAGGAGTGGTCGTGAAAAAGAGTAGCAGTTGTGGTGGGAGAGGTAGTGACGACGAACAATGGGAATATCGATGAGAAGTAGTGGTTGAATTTGATGAAACAATCGGTGTCATAACAAAATTCCCATGCTTTGTAAGAATGTCATTTGACAATTTTACGCTTTTTTATCGGTGGCGTCGAAGATTGAAAAATCTTGGTCTTTTTGTCTTGTCTCTCTCTCTCTCCACCGGGTTTTTTAAACCAGAAGAGAAGGAGGGAAAAAGAGGAGCAGGAGGAAGACAAAGGGAAACGAGGGAGGGAAAGAATTATGGAGCAGCCGGGAGGGAAGGTTCAAGGGAAAAGATTCCTCGAGTCCTTCTGCGATCGCTCTTTTCCCTCGCTTTTTCAAGTCAGATCGATCGACGGGGGGGGGAGGAAAAAGAGGAGTCTTTTGTCCACCAAAGGCGTATGACCGGGTAGGGCGGGCGGGCGGCCGTGGGTGGGATGATATGTGTGGTGTGTTGCGGTCTACACAATAACCGTGATTCGAATGTTGTATGTAAGAGGTCGAAGAGGAGAAGTGGAAAGGAAAAACGGGGGGAGAAAGAAAGAGGCTGCCAAAGGTTGTTCGAAGAAGCGAGTGGAGAACTGAATGAGGACGAATGAGCAATCATTCGGGCGCACGGGAAAAAATGAAAAAACAAAGCAAAAGCAGGGAAAAACATGTACGAGTACGAATAGGTTCAAATCACTCAATCAGGTGTCGGTGAGTATATTATAGAATACGAGGAGGGATTGCGTGATGGCAAATACGATACCAGGGTCACTCCCGGCGTATGGAAGTCAGGCAAACCGGACCGTTGATCAAGTCACAGTGTCAGTGTGTGTCAATGTCCGCAGCACCTCAGCCTCAAACTTCTGGCGACGCGAAGTGGTCCATCGAGGTAGGCTTTGGGTCTTTGGTGGGTTACCTAGGTACTGTAGAGAGTGTCACCCAAGGGTACTTCACCACCGGGTACAAAGCACAATGTCATCATCATCATCATCATCACACAGCAGAACGATTGTTTCGGGCAGTACAGACGAGAACACGACATCGCACAGGACCCCACGGACTCAGCATGGTGATGGTGTCAGGTGGGCTCTGGAAGGCCGAGGGTATGGGAACTCGGGGTTGAGGACATGTACAATTGGTTCAGATATCAACTTTTTCCCTTCACGATAGGATTGCGTGCTACAGGAGCCTTGCATGGACCATTGCCCCTCCCTCCCTCCCAGGCGAACCATACGGAGGTGGCCGTTAGGCAAAACAATGAAGGGGAGGAGTAATGATATCCAACCCAACATTGGGGGCTGCACGGAGGGAACTCGAATGGATGTGAGAGGTCACAGCTTGCGTGCTTGGAGAATGATGGACAGGGGCGGGTCAGAGAAGGAGAAGGGGAGGGATATCTTTGCATTTAAATGCAGCTTTGTCCCTGTGTCAAGACATCGATTATGGGTCCAAGGCATCTAATACTCCGGACTTGTGTACGGATCTCGTATAACCTCTCTTTGAGTAAGGGGGAGTACTCCGTACGAGGGGGGAAATCATAGATCCAATGCGAGTTAATCTAGAAATTTCGATCTTTTCCATGCTTGCTCTGACATCTATCTCATGTGGTACGGGGAAACTCGAAGGGGGTGAGGAGGTGTCGCCGCCACGACCTCCGTCACAGATCAATCAATGCAAGGGCAGGCAACGAGACTTGCCGTGGTACCTGGACATAATTACTCCGTTGCCATGTACGGGGAATTTCCTCCCTCGCAGGCTAAAGGTTTTCCAAACGGATTCAAAAAACGGCGGGGAGGTCATGGTCTGCCCTTTCAGGCAAAGAGTGCGGCTGGCACGGAGTTTGGGCCATTATTCAACAGGGGCGGCCAGTCTTTATTTGACCATCCACGCAGAGAAAGTGTGGGGGAAAATGACTTCATGATGTGAGGTCAGGGAATTCTTTGCTTGATTGAGTCTGGCGTCAAAATTAGAGGAAAAGGACATGTCCATTGGCCATCGAAACCGAGGGCCGATTCGAATCCGTTTGTCCCCATCCCATGCGGATGATCAATATTATCATCATTTGTTGTAGAGAAAGATCAGATATTCGTGAAGGTCCGGTGCCCGAATCAGTCTTGAACGGTTACTATGAGAGTCTACTCGTGTGTTGTCGTTGACTCGGTCGTGCAGAAGATATGGATGCACACAACTCACCAAGGTGATTATACCGGATGTGTGTGAAAGTAGTGAGTTTTGGTCAGACACTGTGATCGCCCACTAGATCCGCCATGTTAGACCAACTATTTTTGTCATGACATACAGTACATCAAAACTTCTACTCCCCTGTGCTGGTCCCTTCGTCCCCCCTTAGAATTCTCACAAAAGTGCAATCATAGGTCGAGGATGTATTGCCCAGTCTCAAGAACACCCCCTATCCCTTTTGTCTAGTCCTCAATCAATGGTATTCCATCGCTTAACTACACTGGGAGATCCGAGAATCACACACAATATAGATAGAAACCTGTGTCACACGAAATTCCATCTCACTCGATCCAATCCGAGAGGGGGTGTCGGAAAATCCAAAAATCCGAGGGGACTCCCTCTCTCTTATCTCTGTTCCCGCTCGCGGTCAACTGCCAGTCCACTTCATTCTTATTCCACCACTTTCCCTTCTCTGGCATTCTATCCCGCTCGGTATTATCGCTGGTTCGAATGAGCAGCAAATCCGAAAACCCTGCGGCGTTGGATGGGACACAGAAGACCGTTCTGCCCTGACGCGGGTCCAAGTCCTCCTCTGTCTGTCCATACGCGTCCCCAAGTTCATGCGGGTTCGCGAAGCTGACCGGCGGAGGGGGACGAGGATGAAAGGACCCCTCCAAAAAGCCAGTTCAGCAGCCAAGGTGAGAGAAAACAACAAAGATACGGATGAGAATTCGCGACTCGTGTGTTCCCCCCCCGTTGCTCAAGAAACCTATATATTCTCCGCTCTCGCTCTCGATCCCTGCCTTTTCTCTTTTGGCCAAAAACATAAATTCGTCCCTTGGAAGGTACCTTTCTATCGATCGTTACATATTCTTCACGAACAGATCTTCACACACGCAAATAAACCCATCCACGTCGTCATCAACATGTCACTAGCTTTCAAGCATTTCGCAAAGGCCCAAAAGGAGTTCAAGCCTCCCTTGATCGCCAACGAGAACGCATACTTGGGCGACGTCGTCTCCAGTACCGATTCGGAGAAGCCCATCAGCGCCGGCTTCTACAGGCTCGAGAAAGGCACCCCTCTGGTTTACGAGTACCACTACGACGAGATGAAGATCATCGTCGAAGGTGAATTCGACATCTCGGACGAGACTGGCCAATCTGTTCATGTAGGTTGCAGACGCGTGGTTGAGAAACCAACGAGCACAATAAGCTAACTTTTGCGGTACAACAGGCCGTCGCTGGTGACGTCTTTTATTTCCCCAAGGGCAGCAAAATCACCTTCACTACCAACTCGTACGGCTTGGGTTTCTACTGTGGTCAGCGCAAGGAGGGTTCTGCTTAGATATGATGATAATGTGAAGGCGAAAAAAATTGCTGCCCAATGCAATAAGTTTCAAGACCTTGAACTGTTCTCCCTCATGCGCATTTAAACAGATGGTCTATGATCTCCTCGCTTTCTGCGCTCGACGCCGCCATCTAACCAAGCCGGCCATGGCAAGAACTGTCAACAACACTAAAATCGTCGATGAGATCCAGCTCTCATCAGGTTTGGCCTCCTGATGCCCGTCTAGTCAGAGAGACTCGTTGACTGGTAAACATTCCTTGATAAATTGTTCCAAGTCGTCAATCTCTTGTGGATCTGCGGAGTGAGGGAGTCCTCTTGAATCTATCGTCAGCCAGATACCAGCTCCCTCCACAGGCAGGACTTACCGATATGTCTTGAAATCTACTTTGTGCCCCAACTCCTTCCTTAGAAACTCGGCAGTCTGTTGTCCCCATTTGTACTTGACCACTTCGTCACTATCACCGTGACCCATGAAGAAAGGTGTGTCCTTGTTCACATCACTGGCCTCTTTTGCAAACTCTTTGATCTTGCCCGCCAATACCAGGTAGCAGGATAGTCCGAAAACGCCTCCTAGCTTGTGCGTTGTTGTGACACCTGTGAATATGGACATTGCACCGCCCTGCGAGAAACCGCCAAGTATGATCCGATTCGACGGGATGCCAGCTTCGATCTCGTCGGCGATGAGTTTGTTAAAGGTAACTCGGCTGCGGAGGATGCCTGGCTCATCTTGCTGCTGATTCAGGTCGGAGAATTCTGTCTGTTCGGTTGCCAGTAACTGTCAGGGCCTGCGTCCACAGCTTCGTCCGCGTGGAAAGGGGGAGGAGGGGAAGGGGCTGGCAAACATCGTCGCGGCGTCTTACGATATCATACCAACCGGGCATGCTCATACCCATATTCTGTGTTCAGCCGTCAGTAAGGAGGGCTTCCTTTTCCTCTTTCCAGGGCTGGAATGCTCACCACCGTGATAGGGATGTTCGGTGCATTGGGAAAGACGAATTTGACATCTTCAAACTTGCCCCGTCGTCGCCAACTCTCGGCAAGAGAAACCCTTCGGTCGTTAAGCGTTGCCTTTCGTAATGATGTAGACTCTGGACTCACCAGCCCGCACCACTAGAGAGCCGAGTCAGCTGTGTATGTGCAATAGCACAGAGTCCATGCAAACCTGTCACCCAAACCATGTGCCATGATCACTGTGGCCGAGTGCTTCTTCAGCGCAGGCACAACCAGTGCTTGCCTTCCTGCCATTTTGGAATTGTTACTAAGGAAAATGAAGGGCAAGAAAGTTTTGTATCGGCGTGACGGATCCTCTCACGGTCTAATCAAAAGCAGTCGCTTGTAAAGAGAGGATCGCATACAAGTTCACTTGCTTTCAGACGATGCGGGCAGTGTTTCGCGGGATCGTGCTCTCCGCATAAATATCGGCGTTCGGTGGAAAGCCGGGAAGGGAAGCCACTCAAGCCTATTAACCATTGTTGGAACTAAGCAACCATCTACAGAAATCAGAACGAGAGACACATGAAATACCATCAGTGGACCATCGCCAAGCATACACTTTTGTCATTTTAGCAACGGATACAGCGAATCCTGAACTGCATTTCTGATATGCAGGCGGCGAGAACACTACCTTGAGTACCTGAAAGAACCCTTGATGGGCCGACCACTAAGACGCCTCCAAGTAATATTCAAGCAATGTATTGGCCAAAGAGCAATCGCAGAGTGAGTCAAATTCATTCAAGCGCAAGCCGATCGGTGAGTCCATTCAGGGTAACCCAATCTCTCGGTAGCTCTTGAGAACCGACCCAGAGATTTAAGCAAGCAACAGCTTGATTCCTTTATTCCAACAGTGCCATACCCACATGGATTGCCGTGGTCGATCCTCGCGTGTCTGGCCGGGCGATGACGGTTCCAAGGACCATATGTCCTCTTCTAATGTTACAAGGCACTTCTCAACATTCTTCATGCCTTGTCGTGTGTAGATTGCTCGTAGGAAGACGGTAACAAATTCCCGCAAGCTGTCAGCGCCATCATCGATAGGGCTTTCACACCCCAGTACCCATAAGGGCCATAGCATTATTGTGACGACACTGTGGTCGGTAGGAATTTGACTCAGACTCTCCAAGAGGCGATCGCAGAGCGCTTTGACTCGGGACGAATCTTTGTTGTGATCTGTTGCGCGCAAAAGGAATATTCGAGTTGCAAGACCGTGACAGATTGCTGCTGTTATACAGATGTTATGGGCCTCGGCACTGTCGCTTCTGTTGGAATCTGTCGGACTACTGCTTTGGGTGTCCGTATCGAGCGGCGTGTCCGCGCAGATGGCGATCGGAGTAGGTAAATGGATCATAGCTGCGTCAAGCTGCAAATCCAGATCTTTTTGCAGCTGGATGAAATCCTCCTCGGATATATTGTGCGTGAAAAGTTTATGGACGGCAGTCGCGCAATCGCCCAGCAGAGAAAGTAACTGGGCACAGTATCCCAAGTCGTGGTGCGGTCGCGACTGGGACGCCTGAATCGCATCCTCGAGCCAGTATCTCTTGTCCAAGATGGGAGGTCTTAGACATGGCACGCTCGACATAATGTCGGCCCAGGCCAATAAGTCCGCCGCAGACTTAAACAAAGGACTGTCCAGCTTATAGATTGGATCCGTTCTTGAGGGATGGATGCGTGGGCACTGACACTCGAAATATTTGTGTCGCTCAGTGATCAGGGTGTGCGTGCCTTGAAGGAGATATTGAACCCGGGCAACACCATAGTTGTCGTCAGGGCGGATGATTTCATCGCCAATCAATAGCAAAGAACCGACGATCGTGTCATCATCCAGAGATGGAAGTGGCATATGGTGACCGTTGGGCGATGTTCTGTCATTGATGGACATATTCGACTCTGCAGTAAAGTTGTTCAACGAGCACCGCAAAGCTTTGAACGCTTTTTGCTGCACGAGGGCAAAGGTCGAGTCAGGTATTCTTCCAAGAGACAGCAGGTGGGCAGCCGAGTTGGTCAACATCGCCCGCAATGTGACTGACCCTTCTTTGGTGGAGAGGTGATAGTACATTTGCCCAAGGTCCTGTGAAGCGGCAGGGTCGAGACAGACCAGCTCAAGGGTCATCTTCATCCAGTGGTCGAAAAGAGCTCGGTCAAGGGCATCAAGCGGATGAACAGTTGATACAAGTCTCAAAGTCTGCCGCCGATACGAAACCTGATACTCGGTCTGGTTTCCAGCTTGCTGCTTCCGGTACACTGGAGTTGGGCGTTGCTTCTTCGTTGAAGTCGAACCTCCTTTCGGTTGTGCCTCGCCGACCCATCGCAGCGGTTTCGCGTAGCCTTTGCACGCTACTCCGCGGTCTGCACATCGACGACATCCTGGTTTTGCCTCGTCACATTTAGTGCGGATAGCTCGGCAGTTCACGCAACCTTGAGAAGGATCAACACTTAGGAAAAGCCCTTGCAGAGCTTGGATGTTGGGAATTACCTGTTCTGGAGCGCCGATAATATGTCTCCATGGTTTCGCGGAACTCGGGCTTTTAAATTGCCGCAGACCATCTACAATGACGAAGCAGCTTCGAACAGGTCATGGCTATCTCTGCCGGAGAAGTCCCTAGATTGTAGTAGGGATGGTGTGAAGACGTGTCAGCGAATGGTTGCGAAATCTGACAACTCGACAAACGGCCAGGTTATTTAACTCTGGACCTTCTGAAAGTAACCCAGATTCCCAGACCCCCAAATCAAAACCTCTGGGAGCAGCAAGATATGGCCGCAATATAAGGTCTTGAAAAGACGGGAATTTTTTTGATCCCTTGTCGTCCTCTTCGCTGCTTGAAACCGATAGAGCTTCATGAGTCAGAAGAGGCGCCAAGACAGGGAGAAGGCGAAGCCTATGCACAAGCTCTCGCCTCTGGGGTTTGGTACCCATTGGTCGACACACGCAGCTCAAGCTCGATTGAGCGGCAAGGGACTCTTCTAGAGCTGTTGAGGTCCGTGCCCAGCTCACAATCTGACGCAACTATCGTAACTTCAGCGACAGGGGTTCGGGGTATCAGCGCCTGACTTGGTAAGGCTCCAGATTGCGCCACCACCAATCCGTTGGTGGGGCATTGGCGATTTCTGGACGACTCGTCTATCTAAATCTTTCATTTCACGATATTTACAGCCTTGAGTGCTCGTTCTCAGCAACAAAACATTCAATGTTCGCTTTGTTGCACCGCCAAGCGAGTAAAGATAAGTACAGGTGAGTGGCTTGACCGGAATGACGTTCACAATGGGCAAATCTTGTCTACTGGAGGGACCTGACCATCCTTTGTTCTCATACATCGACTGCTAACCAGTATCTGGATATCAGAGATCAATGGGAGGTGGCCTGTCATTCAATATGCTTGATCCCCATGGGGTCCGTACTTTTGATCTTCCAATACCTGCAGCTGTCTGTGCTCGCTAGATTAGATATAGGCCCACATGTGTCCCTAAGACAGTTGAGAAGATCACCACGTTCTTCAATCTCAACGATGCAGATATCCAATCAATTCTTGAGTGGTGCTTCGAGCCGCACGTGGCTTACTTGACAGAACGATAACCAATCCCAGCTTGACTCGTTCTAACAAACATAGCTGGACGATGGAGCCTTTCTTAAGGAACAAGAGTTATTTCAATACTGGGATACCTGGAGGGAAATGCAAATCCGCCGCCCAAGTATGCTCAGTATGGCCATGGCTGAGAGTAATAAAGCTGCACCGGACATGACAGAGTATATTGTATGTTTTCCTTCTTCGTACCTCGAGGTAGTTGTTTGGCAATATCTTAGGACCCCTTCCTATTGGCAATGCCACAACGACCCAAGACTCGCATAGTTGTCTCACAGGGTAGGAGGTGCAGTTGTTCCCGTCAATGCTCGTCGAGAGAAGAGGCCAAGGATGGTAGCTTACTACCCTCTTACGGCCTACCCTGTGAGATGGTCGATCATAGATATATATCGAACCGTAAACTGGCATCTCCATTGTCACCACCCCGTATTCTACGGACGAGAGCTCGACTATTCGTCCAATGAATGGTCTGTTATCATGACCAGCCATGGGATCTATGTGCCCGTTTCACCTATCACCGTCCGGCGGCCCCGGCCCGAGGTAACCTGTGTAGATAGAGCTTAGAGTGACACTATGCGTGACCGTATAGTCACGTGACTCCGGGCCCAATTTCTTAGCAATGCTCGAGCCGCCAAGGCTTTTTGTATGCACAAACCGACTGCGGACGGGAGTGGACGACTGCATCTCGTCAAACCACAGCTTTCCAAGCTTTCGAACAAATTCACATCTCATTTACATCCGCCTCACCTGCCCCCAAGCTAGGACAGGAGACTCAGATTCTTCTTGTTCCTTTTTTTTCCCCCTTGAGGCTCCAACCCTCCCCTGGTCGAATTTCTCCGGTTCTTTGGACTGCGGGAAACTCGAAGCTGCAGATCCCCGCACACATCAGCACGCATCAATTCACCTCGGACTCGAGAAATTAGGGAAATTCACATTCTGAGCTGAAGTCGCTCAGAAGTCATTCTTGCTCGCCACCATGGATCAGGAGAAGCTCAAGCGCATGCAGGCGCAGGTGCGGATTGGTACGTCTCTGGGTCGGAGCTATGGATTTTGAACACCGATTTGTGCGCAGGCTCGTCAGGACTAACGATGTTGTGTGAACAGGGTACGTTCAACTCGACCCCTTGAGACATTCCGAAGAATCGGCTCCCCTCCGATCGGACTTGCTCCGGCTCCTCCTTCCGCGGGCAAATACGCACGCGAAATACACATGTGGACGAGTTACTGACCATCACTACGGTGTTTTAGAGGCAAAGGTACACCCCGCAGAAAGACGAAGAAGGTCCACAAGTCCTCGGGCACGGACGACAAGAAGCTACAATCTTCGCTGAAGAAGTTGAACGTCCAGCCCATCCAGGCAATCGAGGAGGTCAATATGTTCAAGGAGGACGGAAACGTCATTCACTTTGCCGCACCAAAGGGTACGTCTTTTCCCTTTCTCTCTCTCCGCGCCCCGCGTGGCCAATCGTATCACGAAAAGCACACAGCCTCACGCACGAGTGGGCGCGGGCGAAAGAGGCCTCGAGATGTTTTTAACTTTTGGATGGCATCGGAGCGAGAGGCTGACATTACCTGGACTTTTTCCTCCTACAGTTCACGCAGCTGTTCCCTCCAACACATTTGCCATCTACGGCAACGGCGAGGACAAGGAACTCACCGAACTCGTACCCGGCATCCTCAACCAACTCGGCCCCGACTCACTCGCTTCCCTGCGCCGCCTCGCCGAGTCCTACCAGAGCTTACAGAAGAAGGAAGGTGGAGAGACGAAGGAGGGAGAGGATGACGACGACGAGATCCCGGACCTGGTCGAAGGCGAGAACTTTGAAGGCAAGGTCGAGTAGAGAGGTTCCAGCTTGGAGCTTCGGGGAGCAGTGGTGGGACAATGCCGTAAGGTTGAACCACTACTTCGGTGAAACCACAAGGCCCTAAAAAAATGGCGTGCGTTGTACTTTAGAGGTATGAATGACGCAGAGCAGAGCGCAGCTGCAATGGGAGCAAGACCGACTTCCTTTTTTTCTGTTTTGTTCTTCTCAGACACCAAAAAAGGGGATCCGATTGTTTTCTATGGCGCCCATACGGGAAAGTAACCTCTCGTTCTCATTGTGAGTGAGATAATTCCAATGCAAAAAATGTAGCCCAGGACAAGATGGAGACACACTTGCATCGGTCAAACTGGTTGCACAAAGAAACCGGAAAGGATGAAGCCTGGTCGATTTGCCGAGCCTCTCGCAATTTGTGGTAACAGTCACTCGTACATGGGGGAACCCCGTCAAGGTCTTTTTGCCTCTCGTGATGATTCGAGGACGTTTGTGTCGATGAGCGTAGGTGGACTCCCTGTATCTCCGTGGTATACAATGCCAGCTCGTAGTGCCATGCTCCTCGCTCTGTGTCCATGCAGACGAGTTACTCGAGTCACGGGTCATGCTCACTGTACTCCGTATGCTATATGCAAAAAGAGGAATAAACCTCCCCCCGTCTTACCTGAAACTAATAGTACATTACTCCATCGATATGAAGAACGCCACGCTTTTCCTTATTCCATTGGCGTTGAATATGAACCCCAAAATTCAATGTCCAGCAACGTCTCTAGAATGGTGGTCGGATGAAGGAAGTTGGAGTGTGGTTGTGTGAGAGAGTGAGAGACCAGAGACAGGGGACAGATTCCGCAGAACCCGAGTATCATAAATCAATCATCCTTCATGCCACACATGTCCGTGCCGAAACAATCGTCTATCCGTCTCCAAAAGGACCAGTACCAGCCATTAGCTGGATCCCAAGAACCGTCCTCTCTGATCAACGGACCCTCGACTCCCAAAAGCACCCCAGTGGACTGCGACCCGGCGGCGGCCTGCTTGCCCGCCACGACTCCTACTCCCCCTCCTCCCACGAGGCCCCCAACGACGGGTATACTTCTCAACGCGCGCTCCGCAAAGGTCGGCTGTGGGGGGAGCGCCTCGGAAATCGGCCGCAGCACCGCCTTCTTCACCTTGATGTGAGTCATGTACTCTGACCGACTGGGTTGGCGACTCGTGATCTCCTGGCTGGGTAGATTCGGCACGGAGCGCGAACGCAGAGTACCACCGCCACCACCACCACCACCACCACCACTCGAGCCCGACGTCGGAGAGAGGAGAGGTTCGAGGACGTCCGTCGCGGTGGCTGTTGCCGAACTCGCCGTCGTCGATTCTTCATCCCCCTCGGGCTGTCCGTACTGAGTATCCTGCACCGTGTGGCCTCGAGGTAACGTCTGCATGGCTCTTTCGAAGCCGGCAATGGCTGAGTCTTTGCCCGTGGCCGCGCTGAACGTGCGTGCTCTACCGGTTTTGTTGTTGGTGTTGTTTGTTGCACCAGCCTCAGCCCCGGTCGTCGTCGCCAGTAACCCGGCCCCGACGTGCTCTTGACCGACAGGACCTTTGGGTAGGGCCACGTCCGCACCGGGCCCTCTCCCCTGCCACATCTCGCAATGTACCATGTACCCGTCGATCTCGAGCGGAGAGTAAAAACACGCCCTCTCGGCGGCCTGGTAGCTGTCGAACGTGACCTTGATCCAGTGAGCTCCTCCACTGTAGATCCTGCTCTTGCGTATCGCCTCCCGGGACAGGTTCTCGCGCGCGACCCCCACCGACGGCGGTCTCGCCAAGCGGCCCAGGGGAGAATTCGACGAGAGGAACAACGCCGGGTCTTCGCGCGGATAATCTTCGACAATGTAACCCGGCGACACTATCGACTCGAACTTGCTCAGCACCTTCCACTCCGAGTGTTTGCCCGCGTAGCCGTAGAGGAGACACTCCGTGGGCACGGCCTCCGGCTCGCCACCTCCTATCCGCGCCGCGTCGACCGTACTCGTGCCTGTGGCCCCCGCTCCCGGGGTCGTCGTCTTTGTCCGTTCTTCCTCTTTCGCCTGCTCCCTCGCAAACAACCGCCCAAACTCTGCGACGGCCGTGTTCTCCTTCTGCCGGACCGGTGTGGTTCCCGTGCGCGCGCGTGGCGTCCGTGATCCCGTCGTCCTGAGACTGCGGTTTCGACCGAAGGGGCCACTTTCTTCGGGTTGGCGTGCGTTTCGTGCCGAGCTGGATAGATTTTAGTTGTTAACCCAGTGTGCAACGAGAAAGGGACAACAATTGTGAGTATGAGGGTTGTTGCTTACTCTGCATACCGGTAGCCCCAGGGAAGTGTCTCGCCCTTGGGATCTCTCGCGCGTTCTTCAGGTAGGACCGAATGGATCTCCATGGTGGCCGAGAGCAAAACCACGGGGTTCCGGCTGTGTTGTGATGCTAAAAACAAACAGGCGAAGAATGGGCAAAGACGAGACTGAAACCAGTGTGTTTTTGTCTGTGCTGGTTGGCGGCTCTGGACTTGGAGCAAGGACAGGTGGTTATCGGTGGGTGTTGGAGTGGTGAAAATGGTGTGTTGATGAGGAAGCAAAGGCGTACAGTATTTAATTAAGCGCAACGATCGATTGGGGTCGAACAAACACACAAAAAAGTCCCCCCACAGCCTCGTGGGTCAATATCCTCAGCCTTGTCAAACCAGTACTGAGCAAGTCACCGATAGCAACAGAACAGGTTACCTCAATCTACTCTATGGTAATGTTTGTATAAAATTATTCTGCATTCGTCGCCGACGTAATATCTGTCTGATCTTATTTAACGAGCGGAATCATGTCTAGGAAGTATCCTCCTCAATGTGGTACCAGATCGACTCCCAATGTCTAGGCCTTGTGCATTATTACTCCCCTCTGGCAAGTTTCGAATCTACTATATCGACTATGCGCCGTTGGATGAGATTGCGGTCCTTTCAACAGTTTCCTTGCTCTTTTCCTCCTGCTTTTCCTGCATGGCCTTCAACTCACCAATTTTGGTCTCGGCGAGTTTGTTCGCATTCATGCCCATGGCTTTCATCCAGTCAGGGTCAATCGCCTCTGCACTAAGGTACGGCGAAGGGTCCTCCTTGTTCACGAGCGCCTTCACGGTGCCCATGCCCAAGAAAGCCCACATATTCTTCTTTCCTGGTCCAAGATATTCGATGTCGTAATCCTCCCATCGCGGATGTTTGATAGCCTCGATATAGTGAAGTGAACTACCAGGCCATACGGCGTTGACGCGACCCGTATCGTTGTTCTTGTACCTGTACAGCGGCAATATGGTAAGTGTTGTGATAGTTACAGGGGAACCGAATAAATAATTTGATGTTGTGGCAGTGAATGGGTAATCTCTGCTGATGAGAATGATCTGAGGGATGGCCTTACCATGATCGACATTCCTCTACCCAGACGGTATGCTTCATCCACTCCTGGCAATGATCATTGAATGCGTCCGTCACATCCTGGGGGTAAAATCAAGGTTAGAATCTGGAGTCTAAGGAAAATGTCGCAGAAACAAACATACCTGCTTCGGAGATAGACTGCAGATGTACTGGGTCTGAATCTTCTTGATCATCTCCATTGCGTAGTACGATACATACAGCAACGGACCCATCACGCTGCCGTTCTCAACAGGCCAATTTGGTCCGACAAAGGTGAGGAAGTTGGGGAACCCAGGAATACCTAGGCCGAGATATCCTTCAGGGCAGACCTTCCACTTGTCGGCGAGATCGATGCCATTCTGTCCAACGATGGGGAACCGAGGACGGTACGACACATCGAAGCCAGTGGCACATACAATCGTGTCGACTTCACGGTGAATGCCATCTTCTCCAATGACGCCGGTTTCGTCGATCTTGGTGACTGGCGTAAAGTGTACGTCGACATTCTCTTTCTGAATCGCCCTAGGGGATTGAGTCAACATGCCTGCTCATAATGAGAACAGGTCTGGACTCACTGCATGTAAGGATCGCCTGGAGTAACTCTACGACAACCAATGCCGAAAGTGGGAGTGAAACCCTCCAACAACCTCTTGTCTCCAATGAATTCTGCCATTCGTGCTTTGATCATCTCCCTTCCCATCTTCTGGGCTTCTGCATTTTTGTAGAACATTCCCCACAGTCCACTGTACAGTATACCGTCAGAACAAGACTGCATTCATCTAGCAACAAGAGCAAGGGTGATGATCCGCGCATCTAACACTCTCGCATAGACATTCAGAATACTTACTTGACTTGGTCCTCGATCGACTTGGCGTGCTCAACGACCTTGTATGGGTCACGGAATTCGGTCTTTTGCTCGCTTGTATATTCTGCAAATACATTAACATCCGTCTTGGATTTTGTGAACGTGAACGATCTGAGCGGCAAAAGATAACTCACCGTGGTTGGCACCAAAATTGTTCGCAATTTGGACAAACCAGACGCCTATCATCAGAGCAGTGAGCATACGACATACACGCGCAGGAAGTCCCCCTACCTGTTCTGACAAAGACATCCATATGTTTCACATGGGGTTGCATGGTGGGCACCGTTTGAATACTCGAGGCCTTCCGGATGTTAGCCCGTTCATGCTCCCCATCGAGACAGAATGTGTCTACCCACTCCAGATCCAATGACCGCGACTCTGTCCTTCTTCCATTCTTCCGCCTGATAGTCCTTTGGCCATCGGGCAGTGTGGATGATGCGGCCCTTGAATTTCTCCATGCCCTCAATATTGGGCCACTTGAAGTTGTTCAAAATGCCTGTCCCATGAAGAAGCATGTGACATCTGTCCTCGAACAGCCTCGTGGTTCCGTCGGCATTGGTCTGCTTCAGCTTGACGAGCCACTCGCCAGTCTCCTGTTGCCAGTAACATCCGACCACTTCGGTTTTGAAGTTCATGTACTTGCGGAGTCCGAATACCTCGCAAACTTTGTCGAGGTACTTCCAGATGTCGGGAGAATAGGAAAAGAATCGAGGCCATTCGGGCTGTGGTTTTCATTGTCAGTATTATAATAAGAGGGCTTGTGATGCCAGTGATTGATTTCACTTACATTCAAGGCAAAGGCATATGTATAGGCATGGGAGGGAATGTCACTTCTCTCTGTCAATGATGTGTTTCACAGTCTAACTGGTTTGGAAGAAATCCAAGGAAAGGTCCATCGCATACCATGCGCATCCAGGGTATCTATTCTCGAGCCATGTGCCTCCAATGTCTTCATTTTTCTCGTAGATAACGTGCTCGACGTTCTCGAGATGTTTCTGGATATGGTAGGCACTTGGACCCCGTCAGTCAGGAATCGACCTGCGTAACATACCAAACCTACTTCATGATTCCAGTCACTCCTGCCCCGATGGAGAGTACGCGGATCTTACGAGTGTAGGGCCCATCAAGAACAATATCTAAGTCATCTTGATCAGCAAACACTCGCATCATCAAAGGTGACGGCAGGCTGCTGCTTGTCCATGCACCAACCAGCGAGACTACTACCTACCCGGAATCTCGTAGTCACCTCGAGGCACTCCATTGCTCGAATACCCATCGGTTGACCAGTTGGCCAACATATTGATATCGGGCGCCATTTCGAGTCAGTCACTTAATCGTCAGCGGAGAGAGGTCAGTCTGGAACAGGAGCCGGCAAGGGCAACAAACAGTCGACAGTAAGCTTTCTTTGCACGGAAGAGTGATACGAGATGAACAATTCCAACCCCTAGGAAGGAAAGGAATCGACGAGATTTATGAAATGCCGGAATCAAGATTCAGCTCACCCTGCTTGCCTTAACCTCGGCCATTTTGTGAGGGTGTCCTCGTATTCTGTAGCCTCATCTATGCTGATCTCACACTAAAGATAGAGCTCCTAACAAATAGGACACGCGTAAACCTCCAGTTCCTGCTCTTATCCGCGGTTCCAACGGGAGGCCTCAGTCAGGGCCTAATTATGCGTGCTCCAAAGGATGTGGACCAGTGTGGAGGGGTCCCAGAGACATATGCGGGGAAGGGGGTCCTTGCTCGAGGTCGATGAACCGGGATCCGACTCAGCAAGTCCAGTTGAATTGCTGCACTGACTCGAATATTCGTACGGTACATGCCCTTGGCGAGGCCCCGACACTTTCAATGCCTCGCTTGCGCGCTGATGTCACTCAATGCTGACATCAAGCTAGACGACTCAGGAACATCTTTCAATACCTTCCCTGCAATGGCAGATCCTGCGCACTTCGGCCAGCCAATATCTTGAATGTTCCTTCTGGCATGATCCAATTTTGCTGCACTGCTGACCAATAACTCAGATCTTTGCGTGTTAGAGTGAGATTAACCACCTGGGTACCTCCGGCCTCGAGTTCCACTTTGGTGAAGTTTCGAAGCACTTTTACTGGTGTTTCGATGATCTCTCCTGTTGATGGCTCGTGTATTGATTGAGGGAAGCCGACGTATATTTGAACCACCTCTTTCCCTTTGCGGAGTCCAACGTTCTCAATCTTTACCTGAACACTGACATATTCTTCAAACAAGGCGGGATTACCTCCCTCGCCTCCTCCAGCTTGACTTGGTTCCTGCCTGCGTTCATACCCCTCAGGATATGGATAATTCCCTTTCCTGACTTGGTTGGTGCTCGTGATATATGGGTAGATGAACTTCTTTAATTTGGAGAACCCTTTGGGAAAGATTGCACTCTCGGCGGCGGGTACCTCCTCATTCATACTAGGTGGCGCAAGCGATTCGGGCTTTGGCGAAGGTAGTGGAGACTTGGCCTTCAAGCTCGTAACCTGCAGGTCTGAGAAGTGGAAGGCAGCATACGACAGGCCATGACCAAAGGGATATCGTGGTTCGATATTATGCTTGTCAAAATGGCGATAGTCAATAAAGAGACCTTCCTTGAAGTCAACCTGTGGTATAACGGCGTTCGGGTAGTAGAGCACCGGAGCACCAGGACCATAATCGTTAAGGCTTTTGCCTAACGTGTAGGGGAGTCGCCCAGAAGGATCCGCATGGCCAAACAGCACGTCTGCGAGAGCATTGCCACTTTCTTGGCCGGGTAGATTAGCAAAGAGAATTGCTTTAACAGAAGGCAGGTCGGCGAATCCCTCGACCAGGACAGGCCCAACGGAATGAATGACCACCACGACTGGACCACCACAGGCTTCGGCAACGTTCTCAATCAGAGCACCGGCTCCCTTCTGTATCTCAAGATCATTTCTGTCCGCTCGTTGAGATGACCAAATGCGATGACCCTCGCCGGCATCGGCATTTCCGAACACGATACACAGATCCTGCTCTTTGAGGGTGGCTTTTAGCCCCGAGGACACACTATTGGTGAGGGAAACAGTGATGTTGACGGTAGACATGTCAAAACTCGCGTTCAATGCTGATAGCGGATCAATGAGATAAGTAAACTCAGTAGCCCCAGAACCCCAGCCGACGGCAAGAGTGCCTTGATTACAAGCGCGATCCTCACAGTAGTTCGGTCCTTTGCCGGGGCCAGCATCCTCACCAATGATAGCAACTTTCTTCGTGTGGGAGACACCAAGCTTTTCAAGCTTGGGGCTTAGGGGCAACAGTGAATCTTCATTCTTGAGCAGAACAGTACCCTCGATTGCAACTTGACGAGCGATATATCGGCTCTCGTCATTTTCAGTTTCGATGAATTGGTTGACGACAACCTTGGGCTGCTTGCTGCTGCTTCCATGATGCAGACGACCATACTTATCATCAGTCCACGAGGAGAAGTTTGGCAAGGTCGATTCCCACGTGTCTTGGCCCAATTGGTACCACGCTGCAACCACTCGAATCACCATATCATTTAATCTTGACATTGGCACTGACCCGTTCAATACTGCAATGGTGAGCTGATCGCCGAACAGCGCTTTCCCGTCCTGCCAGTATAGCCCATCTCCAGGCATTGAGACATCTAAACCTGCAAGCGCGCTGGCGACACCACTCCTCTGAGCCAACCAATCGGACTGAATGAAACCCTGGAACCCCATCTCGTCTTTCAGAATGCCATTCATAAGCTTGCTGTTGGCGCAGGCGTATGAGTTGTTGACCATTTGATAGGAGCACATGACTGAGGCAACCCCTGCTCGAATGCTCTCCGCAAAAGGCCAAGCATAAAGCTCATGGAGAGTTCGATCGTCAATGTTTGATGACAAGGCTTCCGGCAAACCCCATTCAAAGGACTTGCGGAAATGTTCTTGTTCGTTTCCCACAAAGTGTTTAGCCGTCGCAATGATGCCTTGAGATTGGATGCCTCGGATCGTCTCGGACGCAGCTACTCCTTGCAAGACGGGATCAGAGCCAAAGCCTTCCCATACCCTCCCCCCAGCAGGATTCCTCCCGAGAGGTCCCATGGAAGGGCCCAGGAGGACATTGACTCCTTTGAGCTTGGCCTGGCGTGCATGGGCAGCACCACGTCGACGCATAAGATCGCGATTGAAGGTTGCGCCAACGGTAAGACCTGCAGGGAATGATGTTGTATGATCAGTGAAGCGAATGCCCAGCGGCCCATCCTGGAGACAAAGTCCGGGGAAGCCGGCATTGATGGCAGGGCCAGTATTGCCAACACACAAATCCATAGACCATCCTGTGCCGGTAGTAATATTGACCTTCTCCACCAGACTCATGCGGTCAACCAGCTTCCGCGCCTTCTCGTAGCTATCCTGCCATGATGGAAGAGTCCCTCCTCGCGGAGTCGGATACCATGGAGGCGATTGGCCATTGATTTGACCTGTACTATACACCCAATAACCACCACCACCAATAACTGAGGTGAAGACTGCGAGGACGAGGACAGAAATGGCAATGGATGTCTTCGTCAGCTTTCGACCACCACAGATTCGGCGGCTGACTGATGCCGTCGAGTATTTGGAGGACTTCCCGGTGCTTGAGCCTGCAGGGTCCAGCAGGTGCCCGTCGCTAGGAGAATGAGGTTTTACATCTTCGTCCGACAGATCTCCGTCACTCACACCGACGCCCGAGTCGTTATTCTGTAGAGGCTGATATCGGGGTTTGAGAGCCGGCATTCCCAACAGTCTGATGATATCCTTGAGCTCTAGAATTTTAGACAAGGCAATAGACCAATCAGTCACCGAAGAGGGTGGTCGAACAGGCGAGCTAAGGGGACGTTAAAGAGGAGTAAACGGCGGTTTCGGAGATGATTGAAGTCCCCAAGGTCACTAGGCGTTCCACAGACCAGCTGCCGAGGCAAATAGGCAATTCGGTGGATGGTCGGGTGGAGGGGAAGGGAGAAGGACAGCTCCGATGTGGCTAAAGAGGAGAACAGGATCGGAGGTTAGATGATCTAAAGCTGGAGTTATAAAAGCTGTTGTATTGAATCAGGAGCTTGAAGCTTGCGTAGCAAAAGGCCGGTCCGAGAAGGAATTGTTCGAGAGAGAAGTTTGTGTCGCAGGTCGAGCTTGACGTTTTTATTCTGTGCTGGCTCCCTTCTCTGTCTTCTTTTACTCTCCCACTCATCGCTTCTTCCAACTCACTTCTGATCAGTCGGTGAGGTCTAACGCCCAGTTGCTGTTGCTCTCCGCCAGTAACTTGCCCCGGCTCAGCCATTCCGCAACCGGCAACAACACGCCTCGTCCATTTGTTCGCCGCCCCTCCCCACTCAACCACTTTTTCGTCCTACGTCCTTGACACAAAACATGATCGCTTCCTCTGCCTTCAAGAGACTCCCAGTGCGAAGATTGGCTGCTGGTGCTTTGGCTGTACGAGCACCATCCTCAGCAGTCCGCCCGACACCGAAGTTCTCCCAACGAGTTCCTCGAGCCGTGCCCGCCATGGCCTCATCCTTTTCAACCTCGGCCGTCAAGGGCTCCTCCGCGCCCAGCAAGGCCCCAGAGGCTGCCTATGACCCCGAGATCACAGATATCGCATCTTACGTCCACAAGTACAAGATCGACTCAGACGTTGCGCTCGATACCTCCCGCTACATCCTCCTTGACACAATCGGCTGCGGTCTCGAAGCCCTCCGCTTCCCTCAATGCTCAGCTCTTCTGGGTCCGACCGTCGAGGGCACGACAGTTCCCAATGGATCTCGGGTTCCAGGCACACCATTTGTGCTTGACCCGATCAATGGTGCTTTCAACATCGGTGCCATGATCCGATGGCTGGATTACAATGATTGTTGGTTGGCTGCCGAATGGGGTCATCCCTCGGACAACCTGGGAGCTATTCTGGCAGTAGCAGACTGGATTGCAAGAACAAACCGAGCTGGTGGCAACTTGGGCAATGGCAAGATTCCCACGATCCGAGATGTTCTGGAGGGTATGATCAAGGCACATGAAATCCAGGGATGCTTGGCTCTTGAAAACTCCTTCAACCGAGTCGGCTTGGACCATGTAATGCTCGTCAAGGTTGCGTCTGCGGCTGTGGTGAGCAAGATGCTTGGTCTCAGCGAGTCGGAAACAGCAGCTGCCGTGTCTCAGGCTTTCGTTGATGGCCAGGCTCTCCGTACCTACCGACACTCGCCCAACACCATGTCTCGTAAGTCTTGGGCTGCTGGTGATGCTTGCCAGAGAGCTGTCAACCTGGCTCTCAAGGTCAAGCAAGGTCAATCTGGAGTTCCTACTGTTCTGTCTGCCCCCGTCTGGGGTTTCTACGATGTCCTTTTCAAGGGCAAGAAGTTCGAATTCCAACGTCCATACGGCTCTTATGTCATGGAGAATGTTTTGTTCAAGGTATCTTATCCTGCTGAATTCCATTCTCAGACTGCGGTGGAGGCTGCTCAGAAGATCTACAAGATCCTTGCAGACATGGGTAAATCAGCAGCAGACATCAAGGAGGTCACCAACCGCACCCACGAAGCTTGCATCCGCATCATTGACAAGCAATTCAAGCCCATGGATAACTTTGCAGACCGAGACCACTGCGTTCAATACATGGTTGCAACAATGCTGTGCTTCAACCGCCTGGAAGCTACGGACTATCTTGACGGCAGCGAGGCAGCTACTTCTCCGTTGTTAGAGAGTCTCCGCCAGAAGATCAAGTGTGTTGAAGATCCTCAATTCACCAAGGACTACCACGACCCAGCTTTGAGAACCATCTCTAACGCTCTGACTGTTACATTGAACGACGGCACTGTATTGGATGAGGTGGTTGTCGAGGCACCACTTGGCCACCGACTCCGACGTGACGAAGCCAAGCCAGAAATTCTGGCCAAATTCAAGAGACATCTAAGCCATCACTTCCCTGAGTCCAAGATCAATGACTTGATCCAAGTGTCGACTGACGCATCGAAGCTTGACTCGATGGAGGTTGACAAGTATATGGATCTCTATGTCAAGGAAAAGATGGAATGGTAAAAAATGATAGATTTTTGAGGTTGTATGCATGACTAGGGTTACCCAAAATTGGCGAACGTTAAAGATGCTTTGATGCGTAAAGGTTGAAAGGCAGTCGGAATATGTTGTAGATATGCAATTTGATGCGATCTTGGTCTCGTTTCTTCTACACCTACATATTTCCATCACGATCACACTTGTTATTTCAAGACTTACTAATGTCTGCAAATTCCCTCGTGGGCAGGACCTTTTCGTGCGCTCCTCTCGCAGCCCATGCCCTCTTCCACGCCCACGCCTCGTCCTTTTCAGGGCCATTCGACTTACCATTGAGAACATTGACCACGTACCTTCCGATATTGGGCAGAAACTTCCAGCTGTGGAACGAGCCTGCGGTCGCCAGGAACAAGTTCGACAGCCTGGGGTCTGGATGTCGCGTGATCAACTGGTTCTGGTCCGGCGAGACGGCGTCCCAGCATATTCGCCAATCGTCCGGCGAACGGCCGTTGTCCAGGACCTCGGGCACGCGTTGTCTGATGACGTCGAGTGACTCGTCCTTCAACGCCAAGGGTACGTCCTTTTGGTCGGGCTCGGGCACCGAGATCTCCTGGCCCGTGTCCGGGTGAAGTTTGGTGTTGAGAAAGGTGTTGGAGTTGGTAAACTTGAAGAGACGGTCCTTGCTGGGAGGCATGACCTCGCCTTTGCTGCCGTAAATCAGCACCGGCATGCGCGAGTAGCGCTCTGCCTCTGCGTCGTCGGAGAGCTCGAACGCCGCGACACAGACGCCGGCCGCCTGGATCTGTCGGCGTATGCCGTCCTGTTCGGCGACGTGCAGGGTCTTCTCGAGAGGGCTCATGAGCCAGGGTGTCCAGGCACCCGTGGCGAGGAGGATCTTGTCTCCAGTGAATCTCCGTCCGTCTGCGGTCCGGACGCCCTCGAGTTTCTGTCTTCTGTCGACGTCATCAGCGACCACCAGCTCGACGACTTCGCCTACCTCGTGGTGCACACCGGCCTCGGCGGCTTCGGCCATCATGGCCTCCACGGCTGAACTCGCGTCGGCCCAGCCTGCGCTCGAGTTCGTGTAGGCCTTGTCGCACCCGGTCGTGTCTATCCCCGAGAGCACGCCGTCCCACCGCGTCTTGACTTCGTCCAACGTGATGTCCGCCGACGTGTCGGGCCGCCCGCTCTCGCGCAAGTTCTTGCGTATCCGCGTGGACAGGTCGCTGCCTTTCTCGTCCAGCGCCACCCAGCCTGTCTGGTGGAAGTAGCGAGACAACAACGGGCTGTCGATCCATGACTGCATCGCCTCGTACGCGAGGTCCATGTAGAACGGTATGCTGTAGTCGGCGCGGACGATCTTGTTGATGTCTGAAGACGCGGCCGAGGGAGAGGGCGCAGGTGCGCGGTCGAGCACCGTCACTCGAAGTGAGGCATGGCTCTGGGAGAGATGATAGGCCGTGCTGGTGCCGAAAATGCCTGACCCGACGATGAGGACGTCACTGTGTGAAGATTTCATGACCATATTTGTATCTTGACTGGGGGAGTTCTTTTGTTGAAGCATCCGCTATGCACTCGCGTACCTGATACTCACATCGTACACGTCCTTTAGACTTGCAGCTACCTTGATATCGGCCACGCGGTGATAAGCTTACGATATTATTGACCCAGAATCTCCGCAACGTTCGCTGGACCGGCTCAAGTGCCGCATAATAGCGCTGGGGTTTGCCCGTCGTTTTAGCCGTGGAAGCCCGTGTCTGACCTTCGTACTAAACCGTCCAATAAAGCCCCAATTTACGTCTAGTGAGCCCCAGTGAGCCCTCCCTCCCCCAGTTCGAGGCTTGCCAAAGATGGAGAAAACAGGCCGCCAACCTCGGTATCTCACCTGAGACCAGATAGCCGGCTTAAAAGCCAGCGGTGGAATGAGTGATCAGAGAAGAGGTGAGACAGGTATGACACTCGAGTCTTCGCACTTTTCCTTGATACGAGTAATAGTTGTTGGTGTCCCGGCCTAGAAGTGCTGTTTATCACGATCTCATTGCCTTTAGACAGTGTCGGGTGAGATAGACACGATATAGAGCATTGGTCTGGTCGGCGTTTGCTACAAGAATGGCTCTCGGTGAGACTCCCTTCCTGTCTCACACGCACAGAAAGTAATGCATTGACTGACGGAAACACTCTCAGCAACCGCAGCAGCAGTCGCCGCAGGCAGCTGGGCAACGGCAGCCTACCTCGATGCCAAATTCCACCTCCGCAAGGACTATCAGAACATAGCACGGCTGAAGAGAGGGGAAAAAGAATACGCCCGCGCCGTGAAAGAAGACAAGGTCAATCTGTGGTACGTTCTCGAGGAAACATGCAAGCGACACGAGAACCGCCGGGCGATATGGTGGCGCGAGCGGTCCTACACCTTCCGTGAACTGCACGACGAGACCCTGCGCATCGCACAGTGGATGCTGGAGCAGGGTGCGAGGCCGGGGGAACTGGTGGCGTTGTACCTGACCAACTCGCCGCACTTTATGTTTTCGTGGTTCGCGTGTATGGCGATCGGCGCCGCCCCGGCATTCATCAACTACAACCTCGAAGGCAAGGCGCTCTTGCATTGCTTGGACGTCGCCCAGACGAGGTTGCTGGTGGTGGACGATGACGCGGGATGCCAGGCACGAATCGAGGGGAGTCGAGCGGATATCGAGAGTAGGGGCATGAAGATCGCCGTGCTTGACGATGCACTCAAGCGGGCCATCTCCTCGAGGCCGGTGGTGAGACCTGGGGACGAACTCCGCGCCGGGACAAAGGGCGACTTCCCTTATTGTTTGATATATACCAGGTTTGTGGTTCCCTTTCCCAATCTTTCCTCTTCCCCCCCCCCCCCTCCCCCCCGATTCCTTTCAA